CAAGTTGGTGAACTTTGATCACCCCCCTGATCGAGTAGGCCCCTTATCTGCTGACTTGGCCAAGATACCGCGCTTTATCGCCATGAACCGTAAAAAGTTCTGGATCATCACATCGCGCCAATCTCGTTTCGGAAATTTGGGTGGTTGAGTAGCTGTTCACTTTGTGGGACGAATCTTTGATCATCACTTGAAAGCCTTGTGGGAATCTACTCATGTATTACTGATATCCACTGAGCAGCGGCGGCTCGATTCAGATCTGGCACAGTACTGTATCAAGATAACACAACGCCGATCATGATCAGAACCTCGTTGTAAGAACTTTTCGATTCATACTTCAAGGGATGATCGCAGGTCATTGTGATCTGGATATCTTGCTGGACCCCTTCTTCTTACACTTGCTTCGGCCGAATGAGCAGAAGATGTGGGATCCGGGTCGGAATGTAAGCAGACCAATATTTCCAACCTAATCACGGCGGTGTACAAGACAAATAGTTTGAATCCATGGCGAACTCAGCATCGGTCTTCGATCGCCGATCATTCTGGCTCCGCAATTCCGCAAGTAGTCGGCAAATTTTTTTAGGAAGTAGCTTGACATTATATATCGGTCTTTAATCTACACTGTTTTATATTTCTTTTTTAATTTTTATTTTCTGAAAAGATTGCGATCCGAAACAATTTCCTGTCATTGCCAACTTTTCGCTCACGATCCGATACAATTAATTGCCCGTGATCGCCCACATTTCGCTGACGATCCGGTACAATCACCCGTGATCAGCATATTTTGCCCATGATCTGGTGCAAGTACCTTGTGATCTTCAAACTTAATAAACACATAGCCCTTCGTGTACGCTGAGATGTCATCTATCAATTAGTCACCAATCAATATCTACGCCAATTACTAGCCTAAGGTACAAACACTACCTATGGCTAACCTAGCATATTTGATATCCCTATGTCTAATAAACCCAAAAACTATCATCGTGCCTACTATGACAGGATTAGTGCCACGCGTCGCCTCAGCAGCGATCGCGATCCGGGATATGTGGTCCAAACCACGCGATCCGATCTGCTAACGACTTGGAACCCGATCGTGATCTGGGATGTGTGGTCCAGACCACCCGATCTATACTGTAGACAGCTTAATCGGCTGGGCACGATTGCGATCCGTGGTGTGTAGTCCACACCATGCGATCACTTTATGACCAATCACGTGTGATTCGGAATTACCGCAATGATTGGATCGCCGGATCGCCCACAAAAAGACGATTACTACAATTTTCACTTCTCCACAATATCAGCAACGAAAACGTATACCTAGCGCAGTCGGGTTCTGGCTGACGAAGTCTCGAAACATGGGCATGTGTAACACATCATGGCAAGTATCTTGTGCTGTCGGACTTGCTGGTCAGAGTTATCAAGGCGACGAAGACGATGGCTGTAGTGGGCGCAAGCTGTCGTCAAGACGACCTGCAGGTCCGAAAGCGCAGGCGTGGGATGTTGGCGGTCGAAGAGACATCGATTGCGGTCTGTCCAAATGAAGTGGAGTGACGGCCAAACATCACACAGCTCCCCAGCGCGCACCGCCCATTCTTGTCACACTGACGGGTGCAAGGCTAAAACAATGATGGACCATGTCGCGCGTGTCCGGACAAAAGGATATTCCAGCCTGTGGATATACTCCCAGAGCTGAGAAGCAAGCGAGGACTCGAAGAACAAGTGCTGCTTCGTCTTAATCGCGTTGCAACCTTCCCCGAACACAATACTGGATGTGCGTGTGGACATCTTCAAGAAACCAGAAGCGAGCGCGCACGGGCAGAAGACTGACGCAAGGCGGATTTGTAGGTCTTCGAAAATTGAAAGCAAGATTTTTTGCAGATGCTTGCTGTGCTTCACAAATCATCGGACCTGCTCTTTACGCACACCCCGCGAGTGTAGGGTCATCGGGTGCGGTTTTGTCTGTAGAGCTGGTGCCCACACGACACGAAGCAGAGCTGACCGTGGAATTGAAGGAAGCAAGTACCCCTTGTAGTTACTCATGCATCCCATACTCGTCGTGCAGACAGAGGAGTCAGCAGCACAAAATTTCGTGCGCTCAGACGCTCAACTATCTGCGTGGCTTCAGTGTACAGCACACGCAGCCACTTCACCTGTTGCCTACTGATGGAGACACGAGCGTGAAGTTAATATGCCGCTCTGCAAAATCTTGCTGTGGCGTTCAGAAAGAACCTACAGACAGGAAGTCAGCGAGGAGCGGACGCCAAAGACACGAGACACGTGAAGACGAAAGCTTCTCTGAGGCTCAGGAACCATTCCTAGACATCGGCCGTGAGCGGCTCGCGTGAGAGTCTGCGGATGTTGCTCGTATTGCTGTGCAGCGTCCACGGCCATAATCTCCGGTCCTTGTAGACAGCTGGGATGTCGTTCCACCATTCATGCTCCTGTGGGTCGACTTCTCCAATCGGTCTCCTCCCCAGCCACCCGCAATGCAAGCTGATACGATGGCAATACCGCCCTAGCTAAATATTTGTCCTAATGCTTACATAGCGTCCGCAGTCACATTGTAGCGAGCAGCACCGTCTGTTGCTGCTTCATTGGCCGAGCAAAATCATAATAAAACATACAATAGAGTAGAATAGTATAGAATATTAGCCTGGCAGATTGAGTACACCGCAATGTAGACAATCTTTCAATTGTATGGTCTTTGAGGCAATGAATGAACTCTTAAGATATGTAATAATACGTTTGACAGCAAGTCTATTTAGGAATGATGACCAACTTTGCGAAGCTCTTCTAATGAATAGATATAGAATATATACATACATAAATTCAGGACTGCATCTCTGACAACTTCAACTCGTGTGCACCACATTACCACGACCATCATTCTTTGTTCTCTTACAAAAAACTTTAGATGATGGCATCCTCGGCTGCTACTGCATTGCCTCTACATACTGCTGCAGACGATGAGAATGACGCACCAGTGACAGTATTACGTGTGAAAAGCTTGTTGTTGTTCTCAGAGGAGTCTCCAGACGTTTGCGTATCGCTGTACGATGATCCACGTGTGTATATGGACGTAGCAGAGGACTTGACGTTGCTGCTGGGCTTTGAGCGTAAGCTCTACACTGTAAGTGGACCAAAAGACGTAGAGAAAATTGAGAATGGTGTTCATAATGTTTTTTTACGTATCATTGTGGACACGGAAGACATTTATTTGGAAGAGAATGAATACGTGACAGGTGTCAAGTGGCTAAGCCGCGAGCTCTTTTGCGTGGGCTACACGTCGGGTATCGTGCGTATGTTTAGTCGCGTGGGTCAACTTATCTTTGAGCAAAAGCTGCATAGTGCGGCAGTACAGAAGCTGGACGTAAACAGGAACGCTGCAACAATGGTAACACCCCGACGCGCAAGTGTCTTGCATTCGGGTGAAACGGACATAGAAGGAGAGTTTTGGGTCCTGTATGCGGATGCTACTGTTGTTATTATTCAAATCTCGGAGATACTAGCTAATCTGAGCTCCAATTCTGCAGCTTTGGGGCCTGCTCATGCCAGCAAACTCAGAAAATACTTGCTACGAGATCAAAAGAACGTGATGGCTGCAATTCCGTGTGGGCCGGTGAGACCTACGATCTTTCAGTCGCACTCACGTCTTGGTGTATATACTATTTTAAGTGCTGGATCAGCACCATTTCTTGCGTTCTACCAGGCGGGTAACGATCAAAACTCTATTATTCACTTGGCTCATATTGCTTCAGCTATTGCATCGAGAGCTGCGGGAGCGATGTGGAATTTTGCAACCAGTTGGGGCTGGGGTAAGAACACAGGCGGGATAACAAATGAAGAGAAGCAAGCAAATTGCGCTCAACTAGGTGCTAGTGTGACTGATGCTGCAGCTGAGCATGTACCGGCCCCAGTTAGCAGTACTCGCTCGATTTATGAAGATGAACGCCGGCGCTGCAGAGTTCTTGTTTTGAGTCCTACAGGCAGGTTAGCGGCTGTTTCGGACACGCTTGGACGCATCCTACTTGTCGATACTTCTCAAATGATCGTAATTCGGATGTGGAAAGGTTATCGAAATGCACAATGTGGTTGGATGCATGGCACAGAAGGTGTGCATCGTTTGCCAGGTCTCTATCTGGTTATCTACTCTGCGCAAAGAGGTATTGTAGAAGTATGGCGTGCACGATATGGACCCCGAGTTTTTAGTTTTGCGGTGGGTAACAGCGCCAAACTTTTCACGCAGTGTGATCCTGCCACTAGGAGGACTAAGTGCATCGTTTTGTCAAAAACGAGCGATAGTGAATCAGAAGTCATTGAGCTAAAGCTTGGGTTGCCAAATGCATCAATTTTGCTGAGGTATTTTACGCAGAACAAGCTTCAAGAAGAGAACTTTCTGCTGCACCAAGTGATAGGCGGCCTGCGTGCCTACGTGAAGAAAAAGCGTGTAGACATGGCTCATACGATTGAACAAGATGCACTAGACCCATTGCTGGTGGATATCGGCGGTCTTTCTTCCTCTACAACTATTCAGACGCTTCTTGATGTCTTGTGTAATGCAGATATGGCATTGCTAAACGCAAGTTTTTTGCTCAAAGCACTAAAGAAATTACAGCTGGTAAGTTTGCGCGCAGTTGCTTTTAAATTAACTGTACGTCTAACTCGTGCATTTGCAGGCGCTCAAGAACGGATTTGCGTCTAGGACACCAACTGGGCTAGAACTGTCTCTTCACTGGAGATTGCTTTGGCAGCACCGCGTGGTATCTACATATATTGGTTTTCAGTCTGTAAGTAAAACATGCTGTATTTATCTGGAATGAAGGCCTGATTGCTTGCCTGGTTATAGGAATTTGCGAGAGGGAAACGTGCTTTTATGTCACTCGTACAGACCTCAACTAGAGAAATTATGTCGCGATCGAGCACCGAAGATCAGCAATTTAGTCCGCTTCCACGAGTCCTTCAGTGGTTTGAACTCTTACGTCGGGCTGGTCTTGCGCTAGATGACGAGTCGTGTACCCGGACGTGCAGAGTGACGGACAGCGCTAGCCAGCTCACTGCGTGGGCATTTATGGATTACTTCTCGATGCCATTCAGTGATCCTGACTTGCCTCGTCGACGGGACATTTTATCGGTATTTGAAGCTGCTGAGACCACAGAAGAGTTTCTGCGTAACGCTTTCCGTGTGTTGAAGACTCCGATATTTCGCAAGTCTTTAACTTCTGCTCAGAGGGACTGCCTCTTCACATTTATTTTCGCTCCGATGCTATCCAGCGTTTTTGCTGTTCAGGTACTATGGGTATCAGGCGAGTATGTAGTGGACATCATTGCGTTGAGGTTTCTGACTTGCTTCTGTGACTTACTTCGAATATTCAGGAGATACAACAGTTACATTCTGCTCTTTTTTTGACAGAAGAGATCACCATGGAACTATTTATTGAGTGGTACTTTTCACTGCCTCTTGGCGCGATACTCGCTCTTCCGCCACCCTCGATGTCTTCGTCTCTTCAGCGTTGGCTACAACCGTATTTTGTCATTACAGATGTGGAGGCGGCAATACAACAAAAGGGTGAGGATAATGCTGAAACACCATATTTGTTAACAGAAAACTGCCTTCGCCGCTTGCGTGACTGTCCTCCGTTGTTGACAGCAATTTTCAACGCATGCCGGAAAACGCCAGAGCTTTTACACGCCTTCGTCTTGAGTGAGCATTGTGGATGGGCCGAAAAGCAATCGGCAAAGTATGCTGAAGAAGACACATTTGGAAACTATAGCAGTGTTGGTGGCGGTGTACGTTGGATCATTATGCAGGATTGTATTGCTAAAACAGTGCACCTTTCGTTACGACTTGAAAAAGTTGGTCGTCTGTCTGTCGACGCTGTTGAACAGGTCGATGACATCATGCGGAGTCTTGCTGTGATGCAGATTAATGATAGCCATGAAACTGACGGAGGTAATGCTGTCGTACAGCTAACTAACAACAATGTTGACGTCAGTATCAGTGATGATGATACTGACAGTTGGGTTGCAACTATGGAGAATTGTCGTAAGGCTGCCCAAATGAAGGATTGGGCGGCTGTGCTGCGCGCATACCCTCAGTTTTCGAACAAGAATGCTTTGTGCTGCTTTCGAATCGCGACGCTTTGTGCTGCTTGGAATGTTGAGCGATCCAACATGCGTCAGCTTGAAGATGCGCTGCTGGAGCTAGACTGTTTGGACTCAATTCAAGTCAGAGCAGGAATGGCTGCTTACGTTTGGGAGCGATACATTCGCGTGCACGTGACGACACTGATAACGTTTTGGGAGGAAAGTGCTGTGGGAAGGAAGCCCCAGCGTGGCTTTCAGCCGCAAGTTGCTCGGCGTTTCTTCAGCATTATTCGGGATCTGCTTGAGACGTTATTAGCGTCAGTAAAAACGATTCCAGCGGTCCAAGTTGTGTCAACAGCGTATGGTAGTAGCGAAGTTGATGGTGAAACAAGTGATTGTGAATCTGAATCAGGCGACGAAGACGATGGTGACCATGTACCACGTGTAGCTGTATTTAAATTAGAGAGCTTGACTCAGTCTGTTAAATGGCATTTTCAGGTGAAAGATCTTCGTGCAGTTTATCGGCGTGAATGGCCGCCTTCACACGAGACATCCGCGCTCATGCAAACGCTGCAGAAATTTAAACTCGATGTGATTTCGGCGTCTCAAATTGCAGATCACATTGCTTTGATCATGCTGCTCGATTCATTTGCTGCAACGAAAGTGACCCCGATCTCGATCGTGAAGCTATTTTCAAACAGTGGGCGATACTTGTGCCGCCCGGACAGCTTTTTTGTGACCCAATCTATTGCCGAAGCAAGCGAAGAAGAGGCAACATGTATTCGACGAGACCGAACGAGGTTTTTAAAGGAACTTCTCCGACATGACGAAACGCTCGGCTTTGCGCTTGCGGAGGCATTTGGACTACCGCTGAAGGAAATCCGTGAAGAATACGTGCTGTTTTTGTATCAATCAGGGCGAGACGAGCAAGCAGATTTAGCAATTGAAAAGATGCAGAGGCCTGAGCGAATAGTACTCAAGCTGGGAGCCATCGCTAGGGCTCGGCTGTCACTTGTTTTGAGACGGATGAAGACTGAAGCGGAGTACGCAGTGCTGATGAGCATGCTGCCTGCAGATGTGTTTGCTTGGGTAACTAGCGATACTCAGCCACCTCTGGTGGCAGATCCACTTGTTGAAAAGCTCGACATTACGCCATCACTTACTTCTACCCATTATCTACTCCTCAAGTGTTTGGCTATGATTACGCCCAACGGTGAGGTGTTTGAGAAGGTATCGGCAATGTCCGTACTAGTGAAGGATGTCATTAGCCAGGTCAAGGTGCAGCCGTATAGCTAAAGGAAGTTGAAGACACTTAAGCTATTTTGTGGCGGACGATTACAGTAATACGAAAAATGGTGTCTTCTTTACGAGAAAGATATTTATAACAAATGCACTTACCTCCTTGCGAATTATACTAGTGAATGCGGTACCGCTGGATAAGGAACTCACCGTCTTTTGTCTCCTTCCACTGAACCTCAATGTCGAGTAAGCGTGGATTCTCAGCGTTCCGCCGCACCCACCACTTACCATCAATCACGTCTCCCTTCTTGACGACAAATGGCTTAGGGACATGGAAAAAGACCTGGTGCCAGTGCGTCGGGATACCTTCGGCTCCCGTGGTAAAATACTCAGGATGCGAGCAACTACGCTCAAAACCAATGTCAAAGCTGGACACAAACCCGTGCATGGTCGCATCCCTCGTGACGGACAGCGTGAAGGTCGAGTGGAAGTCTAGCTCATCATACGTGACGTGATCGATATCGATCTTCTGCAGCAGCTCGCGACTTGTAATAATATCATTCGACCGCACGTCTTCTACAAACGCGTCGCGGATTGAGATCTTGGACTTTATGGGCTGCATATTAAAGCTGTACACGTTGTCCCAGAAGTTAAAGCGCTGTGTCGAGTCCTCCATACCTTGGATGAACATCGAGCACTTGTCAGGAAATAGATGACCACCCGGGGCAAGCCACTTATCACGTGCGAATAGTACCGTGTCCAGCATGGATTCGTACAGAAGACAATAGCCCATCCACTCTGAGACAATGATATCCACTTTGTCAACGGGCAGGTCCATGTCTTCCACTTTGCCACGAAGAATGGTAATGACGTCGCCGAATCCATTCACTGCTACAATCTCGCGAGCCACGTCTCCCATCTCGCTGCGATCGATGCCAATGACCTTTGCAGCGCCCGCCTGAGCCGCAAACATGCTCAAAATACCTGTGCCGCAGCCAACGTCTAGCACCACCTTGCCCTGAAACACCTCTGGGTTGTTGAGTATAGCATTCCGGTAGCCATCAGTTCGGACCCTGTCTGTGATCATCTCACGATGAATACCCACCTGCGAGTACGAGTCAAAGTAGTACGTGTCATTGTCCGCAGCGTCCTCAACAGGAGAGGCACTTTCGCCATCGACGACAAAGCTACGGACAAGTTTCAAGTAGTTGGACATTTGCTGCTTGAGCTCCTGATTCTCTAGTCGCAGCTTATCCATTAACACGCTAGCGTTGTCGGCACCAGCAACAGCAACCACGTTTTCATTCTTGTGACTCTCACCAGCATTGTCCGTGTCGTCATCGCTGTTGTCGCTGTCCATGCAGTCTAGACAGTACAGTAGCGGGTCGTCCGCCACCACGGGCTTGAGGAACTCGTCCTTCAGGAAGGCAGCGTTTCCTTCCGTGACCAACGTCTGCATAACCTGTTCAGGTGTAACTCCGTCTAGCGTGCTTCTCCGCAGAAAGTTGATAAGTTGAATGGTAGCGTACGTATTTAGCTTCCGAGTTAAAATTTCTTGGTGCAATGAAAAGTTGTGCGTCTCCTGGAGATGCGCATGCAACGGCGCTTCGATCGTAAACTTGCTGGCACAGAACATACAGTCAAAGCTGGTGGACGAGTCATCGTCGACCCAATCTTCCCATGTTTCACCACCGTCCACGTCTACAATGTCTTTATGCTCCGTCATGTTCAGTATAAATGTAATTGGCAAATGCACCACCAACCACCAATAACAACTGGACCTGTGACAAATGGCTACACTTTTAAAATAATGCTGTAAGAATGTTGTGATGAGCTTACTGATACTTATGTATCGACTAATATAAGGTTGCAGTAATGAAAGACAAGCAAGTGCAAAGGCGTAAATGACTACGCACAGCAGCTGTCTTTCACCTCGTCCTGAGACTCGTCTACGCGGAATTTGCTGCCGTTCGCCACGTCTAATCTATCGTGCTCGCTCTCTGCTAGACGCTTCTGAATATCCACGGCAATGGAGCGGAAAGCCTCATCGATGTTCTGGTTGCTCTTTGCGCTTGTCTCGAAGAACTTGATGCCAAACTCGTTTGCTAGATCCTGACCTTGCTTTGTTGTCACGGCCTAGTTGTCACCATTACAAACACTATGTCATTAGAAACAAAATGGCCACAACTACAGCAACAAGAGTGTACTCAAACATACTCTCTCCGACGGATCCACGTCGCATTTGTTGCCAATCAAAATCTTGTTCACATTAGACGATGCATTTTGCCGAATTTGTGTCATCCAGTTGCGAATATCTACACCGCAATCGGTATCCAATGGTCATTCAATAGGTATACAGCACCACACAAGGCGACAGAATTACAACGTACTCTGGAACGAATGGTCGTCCGTCACATCGTATACTAGTAGAATTCCCATTGCGCCACGATAATAAGCTGCAAGAGCAACACAAGTCCGAACAAGTAGCAAATCAAATGTTATCAAAAGTGTCTCAAGGTAATTTTGGCGTAAGCTGCACACACCAGTCGTGATCGTACGAAAACGTTCCTGTCCCGCGGTATCCCAGATCTGAAGTTTTATCCGCTTATCATCCATAACAATCGTCTTGACTTTAAAATCGATGCTACAATTCAATTTAAAGTCCAGAAATTGTATCGCATTGTCATTAAGTAGCAAAACAATCAATTTTTCAGTTCAGCAATTGCATTATATCATACCCAATGGTGGTGATAAAGGATGTCGTGAACGAGTCGTCTGAATAGCGCAAAAGCACGCAGCTCTTTCCCACACCTGAAAAGATAGAAACAGATTATTAGACACCATAGAGAAGAAGAAGATGAAGAATTGATATAAAGTAGACATACCGCTATCTCCAATCAAAAGAAGCTTGATAAGTAGATCGTACTTGCTACTATGCACCATGGCTCTCGAAGAATAGACACGTTTAATTACGGTCGTAGGATAGGTACCATTTTAATGGTTCAAGTATAGCCATTTGAGAATTTATGTACCAATCGTTATAAATAAACACGAACACGCATCAAGTAAAAAAGGTGATTCTTGTCTCAATAAGTAAACTGTATATCAATATCAGTCATAGCTTGCTTAGCTATACAGTACTGACAGCTAAAAACTTCATCAAGTAAACACTTTTTACCGGATACAAATTTTTGCTCTTGAATTTTGAGTCTTTCCTACACCACATCAAATCAAGATTTATCTTCATTTATTTTTAGTTTACATTCTTTCCCAGTCATTTTCAAGTGTATTGTGTTTGATGTGTTTGATTGTGTTTGCAATGCCTGGAGACATTAAGCAGCACGCGCTAACTGCTCTACGTAGTCGTAAGACGGACGGCAAAGGACTACGTGTGGCCATTGTGCACACTAAATGGAACTCTGAAGTGGTAAACTCACTTGTTCTAGCAGCTAAGACAGCGCTACTAAGCGCAGGCGTGGTCGACAACGACGTCGTGATCGCGGCCGTGTCGGGTGCCTACGAGCTTCCGTATGCTGCGAGTCGCCTCATTACGTCACAAAAGCTGGATGCAGTGATCTGCGTCGGGTGTCTCATTAAGGGAGAAACCATGCACTTTGAGTACATTTGCGACGCCGTGTCGCAAGGCATTATGCGTGTACAACTGGATACGGGTGTGCCCGTGCTTTTTGGCGTGCTTACAGTGCTCAACGAGCAGCAGGCCAAGGACCGTGCTGGCCTATCGGACAAGGGCCACAACCATGGAATTGAATGGGCGCAGACGGCTGTCGAGATGGCGCGTCTGCGCGAGTCTACGCTCAAATCTGGCTGTCCCATGCGCCCTAACGAGCACCTGCCCTACCAAAGTCTATCCAATTGCCCGTTTTTTACGGCTTCCACGTGGCTGCACATTGCCACTCTCGGTGCGCTTGGTTGCATTGCTGCTTTGGTTGTTAAGAAGCTTGAGTAAAAGGAACTGGTGCATTACGTAACAAAACAGACGAGGGCGAATTAACGAACAATTGCTAACATAGTCAAGCGATATGAAGGACACTTTCTTGCCATATTACACTTTTTTGTTTGTAATGACTCTAACTGTATGTTGGTGACACAGGTAGAATAACTAAAAACTCCAGCTGAACATTGCTGATAAGACAAGGCTACAAGACGCACGTTGGAGCCCGTAGCAGCAATGGACTAATTTAAAGTTACGTTTAGTGTGCGATTTGATTGGCTTACACGAGTCATAAGATGTCGACGTTGCCGTGTCATTCGTAACGAACCTCAGAAACGTATATTATTAGAGATCGTAGATCTTAACAGTTCTGACAGATTGCTCACTATCATTTTTTTGTATCAGTTTTGACAACAATATAACGGATCAAATTTAATGTAATGAATCAAATTTATCGTGTTGTAGCCTACACGGTGCATGTAATTTATATATACATAAGCGCACGCTGATGAATAGACCCAGCGGGACATGAATACAACGTGTACTTATAAAAAACTTGCAATTTTAATGCGTTTGGCAAGCTACTGGCACAAAACTAGAATTCAAATAGTGTGATGATGATGACAAAATGTAGCCATCATTAACTTTTTCAGGTCAACCCGTCTAAAATCGATATTTCAGCTTCATTTCGCATCTAACGTCGTAGCACCCAAGTGCCTCTTACGAGACCCTTTGTCACAATTAGTCATGTCCAAGCTGTTACTAAACAGTACGCAGATCAATGCACTACGCCACTCGGAGCTAGAACAATGGAAAACACAAGAAAATGCGGCTGACCTCATGGTGCCGCTCATTGGACGTCTCTACCGCGAGAACAATGTCGTGAGCGTGATCTTTGGCAAGAGCCTCGTACACAAAACCAGTATTGAACTCATTAAGCTGCATAGCTTTGTTTCCAAGTACGTGGGTAAACGCATGCAGCCTACCGAGTCGCTCGTGGTGTTATTGGCACTCGTGCATCACGCGCCTAATGCACGTGGTATGCGCATCGACCTCGGTCGTACTTTTGTCTATATGGAGAAGCAGGTACTAGACGTGCAGGCACATCTTACACCTGAAGTGCGTGACGTCAAGGTACAGGAGCTGGGCGAGCTTCTGAACGGTCAAATGGCTTTGTTCCCCTCAGCGCCGACTTTCACACCAAGTGATGTGATTCTCTATGGTTTTGGCCGCATTGGTCGTCTGCTGGCGCGTTTGCTCATTGAGAAGAGCGGTCCTGGTGTAAAGCTTATGCTGCGCGCCATTGTAGTACGGAAGGGCACCAAGGAGGATCTCATAAAGCGCGCTAGTCTGTTGCGTCGTGACTCAGTGCACGGCCAGTTCCTTGGCAGTATTACTATTAACGAGGAAGCCAATGCCATCATCGCTAATGGCAACCTCATCCAAGTTATTTACTCGGATGGACCAGACAAGTGCGACTACACCAAGTACGGCATCAACAACGCCGTAGTTATTGACAACACGGGTCGCTGGCGTGACGCCGATGCATTGGGACTGCATCTCAAATCTCCTGGTGTATCCAAGGTCATTCTGACTGCACCTGCTAAGGGAAATGTGCCTACTATCGTAGCTGGTGTGAACGACCACATGGTTTTAAGTACTGATAATATCTTCTCAACGGCGTCTTGCACGACTAACGCAATTGCACCGCCACTGTTTGCTCTGGACAAGAAATTCGGCATCGTTGGCGGCCATATTGAGACGGTGCATTCATTTACGAACGATCAGAATTTGATTGACAACTACCACATGAAGGAGCGCCGTGGACGCAGTGCTGTACTTAACATGGTTATTACAGAGACGGGTGCAGCTGCTGCTGTGGTTAAGTGCCTTTCCTCGCTAAAGGACAAGTTGACCGCCAACGCTATTCGCGTTCCTACACCAAACGTGTCACTGGCCATTTTGAACTTGCAGCTGGACCCGGCTAAAGCGGAGAGTATTACAAAAGAGTCAATCAACTCGTTCATGCACAAGGTGTCGCTGGATTCTCCGCTACAAAACCAGATTGATTTTGTTGACTCAGCTGAGGTTGCGTCTTCGGATTTCATTGGCAGTCGTGCCGCTGGTACGGTGGATGGTAAAGCCACCATCGTGGATGGTACCAAAGTCATTCTCTACGTCTGGTACGACAATGAGTTTGGCTATAGTTGCCAAGTCGTTCGTACTCTGCAGCACCTCATGGGCATCAACCATGCTCATTTTCCGGCGAAGGAGCAGGTTGAAGAAATTGACCGATCTCTTAACCTCATTGACGACAGCTAGATCTTTACTAAATTGGTGCAGCAGGCTGCAGCTGCCAGGAACAACACGACTGAAGAACGAAGCGTTACATTGGCATGCGATATAAACAAACACGATTATACAACTGTAGCGAGTTTATCGCATTTGCAAAGTCATTTCCTGCTAATGTGCGGGCATTGGTGACAGTTTAAACGCGCAAGGATGTAGCACTATCAAAATGATAAATTACTAGCAGCATCGATAGCAGGTTTTTCCAAAAGGATAGTTCGTCAGAGCATGTACAGACGTCACCGGCTGTACTTGCTCTAGACGATCTAATCTTGGTCAGCGGTTTTGCTAACGCACTCGGTTGTATGCGCGAAAACGTCATCAGCAATTGTAGTGTTATGTCGCTCTCTTGTTCTGTCAGAGATGTCACTCACCTTAGTAATGTAACATGAGCAATGATTTAAAGCTACGATGGCGATGAAAGCAAGATAGCAGATGCATGACGATAGCTTTTGGCCTGCGTAGTTAGTAAACTAGTCAAAGAATGCTGGCACTACTTGAAAGCACACCATCAATAATCAATCGAGAACGCTCCTAACGTTTCATTAAATTTACTTCTGGACTCCTAATATCGACGTGCATACACACGTAATGCAGACTTTACTCTTCCCACTGCGATGAAGACATGTACAACCGTAAGTAAGTGATCAACATCTCAAGCTACACGTCATCGTACAGAATGATGAACACAATCTTACCTCATCCATATTGGTCAGGAGTTCGTACGTCTTGTGTGGTAGACCGAAGTGTTGCCGTACCATGTTTTTGAGCTCGATAACTTTGACATCATCCTTAACGTAGTGTTTCATTTCAGTCTTACCAATATCTGGTGCCTTGTACTTCTTCAGCAGCAGTGACGAAATTATAACAGATACCGAAGAAAAGGCCATCGCGAGCCCAGCGCACGCAGGTGGCATCATTTGGTGGATCAGTGGGAAGAACATACCAGCAGCCAGCGGAATGCCAACAAGGTTGTACACGACCGAAAAGAAAAAGTTCAACTTGATACGAGAGAACACCACACGAGCCAAATCCAGCGCCACCACTACATCCGTCAGCGCACTTTTCACCAGTACCATGTCGGCCTCAGCCTTGGCGATTTGTGTGCCGGCACCGATGGCCATACCAATGTCCGACTGCGCCAGCGCCGGCGCATCATTGATACCATCACCAACCATACAAACCACGCGTGGCTTCAGTGTCAGCGGGTTCACTTGCGACTGCAGCGCCTTGATCTGAGACGCCTTTTCACCAGGTAGAGCAACTGCCTTCACGTGGTTGATACCCAGCTGGCGCGCGACCACACTGGCTGTGCGAAGGTTGTCACCCGTGATTAACCACACATCCAAGCCCATGGACTTCAGATGCTTCATGACGGCGGCTGCTTCAGGTCTGGGAGCGTCTGCTAGGGCAAGCAAGCCTGCCAATTTGCCTTCCACGCACACGACCACCACGGTCTTGCTCTCAAGCTCCAACTCGTGCATGTGAGCACGTATCTTGTCGTTAATTTTGATGCCTTTCTCCTCGCAATACTCAGAGCTGCCAACAAGCACCTTCGCGGAAGTCCTGCGAGCGGTGGCATCACTCGCAGGTATAATGCCTTCAATACCGCGTCCAGGGACCACATGCACCTCAGTCGGATCGTGCAGTTCCAGCTTCTCATGCTCTGTTGCTGTAACTACAATAGCCTTACCAAGAACGTGCTCACTTACACACTCAAGAGATGCACTGTAGTATAAAAGTTCACGCGGCGTGTACTTGCGGTCAGCCACCACTACATCGCGCACAGATGGGTGACCAGCAGTTAGCGTACCAGTCTTGTCGAACACAATCGTGTCGATGAAGCGAGCCGTTTCAAGTGCGCGCCCACCTTTGATGAGGACACCCTGCTTGGCCCCAATACCACAACCAACCATGACGGCAGTGGGTGTCGCAAGCCCTAAAGCACACGGACACGCGATCACCACGACAGAGATAGCAAAAAGGATTGCCACGAAAAAATCATCAACATGACCACCCACAGACACTCCCAGATCAAGCTTCCATTGTGCGGGCACGATGTCCATCGACAGCAGCAGCATCCAGCTCGTAAATGTCAATGCAGATAAACCCAGTACACAGGGAGCAAAAATCGATGCCAACCAGTCTGCGTACGCCTGGATCGGAGCCTTGTGAAGCTGTGCATCTTCAATCAAAGCACAGATCTGCGACAACGCCGAGCTCTCGCCGCCCATGCAGCTCGACTCGATTACCAACCCACCCTGCTGGTTCGTCGTCGAACCAAACACGTAGTCACCCTCCTTCTTAGCCACCGGCATACTCTCTCCAGTCAGCATCGACTCATCGATTGAGCTCGACCCTAACTTCACCACACCATCCGTCGGGATGTTCGCACCAGGAAGAATGCGTAGCAGGTCTCCGCGCTGCACAAGCTCGATCGGGATCTCACGATCACGCTTGCCCTCACTGATCAGCAACGCCATCTTCGGCTGCAAACTGGCCAGTTCCGATAATGCATCAGCTGTTTTGCCCTTTGCTATCGACTCCATGTACTTCCCCAGCGTCACAAATGTCAGCAACATCGTCGAGGACTCGAAAAAGTGGTGACCCCGGTAGTGCTCGTGCAGCGCCGAACCGACCATAGACACGAAACTGTAAGTGTACGACATGGTAGTGCCCGCCACAACCAGAAGGTCCATGCCCATAGTGCCATGTTGTAGACCCTTCCACGCAGCCACGTAGAAACGCCTACCGACTCCAAATTGCACCGGAGTTGCCAACAAAAACAAAACCAAAAGCTTCAGTGACACAGCATTAAGTACGGGTGTCATGAGAACCATCTCCACAGCAGGAATATACATAAGCACCATGTGGATCAGCATAGCCGGCAATGAAAAGATCATGGCCGTCGTTAGCAACTTGCGCCACTTCTCCACCTCCGACTTGCTCAATGCACTCTCATCTGTGGTCACCGATGCGACCTCAGCCAAGTAGCCGAGACGGTTGATGCACTCCAGCACGTCGCGTGGACCTGTCTTGGACAACTGCTTTAGATGCACGTGCGCCTTGTTCATGGGCAGGTCAACCAACACTTTCGTTACACCAGGCAGTTCACTCACCGCCGACTCGATCTTGTCCACACACGCAGTGCAGCTCATGCTCATGACTGTAAACTTGAGCTTGAGCGAGTCGTCGTCGCCCGGCTCTACCACGTGCGAGAAAGTCGCCTTGTAGCCGGCGTCCTGAATGAGTTTCTTGATCGCCTTCTGCTCGTCCTCGATCAAGTCACGATCAAAGGACACCTCGGCCTTCTGACTTATGAGTCCCACACGACAGTACAGTACACCCTCTGTCTTACCCAGATAGTCCTCAATGGCTTTCACACATGCAGCACAGCTCATGCCTTCCACATGGAACACGGCGCGCGGGTGGCCGGCCGCATCTGGTACGTCAAGCAGCAGTTCCTCCTCGTCTTTCTGCTGCTGCTGGTTCTTCTTTTGCGCTTCTAGCTTCATGGCCGCAGCCTTTGCAGCGTCGTACACACCGGCCTCGAAGCCCACGCACTCTACCATGTCGACTAGTTGCTCTAGTGTCGTGCTACCGGCGTGTAGCATCTTCACGGTGGCCTTACGCTCTTCAAAGCTAACGACAGCACTAGCGACACCGTCCACACTTTGCAATGCATTCTCAACGGTAGAACTGCAATTTTTCTGACACATCATACCTTCCACCAGTAGCTCAAGTGTCAGTGGGTCATAACCGCTCGGATTCTCGACGGTCATAGCCTAGCGGTGCTATCTATTGCTTATAGAATGTGAAGCCAGAATAAGGACGCGGATTGGTCGTTCAATTCGTTAGTGGAACATGACATTCAAATAAGGAAAAGAGGGACGGAAAGGTTACATCAGTTAATACTAATCTCTTTACTTGATTAACGAATGGTACGTGTGTAGTTTTTGTAATGAAAGATGGCCACAAACATCACCAGATTGTCTCCATCTCCGTGTTTTCAACTAGTTTACGATCATACGGTAGCACCCAGTAGCTAAAGTGTACTATTTATTGGAAAGTTTTTCGACTAGTTCCATGCAGCTCAAGGAATAAAGAAATGTATCTACTCTTTACTACTGTAAAACAGACAGTTGTAAGAACACAAGAGTAGCTGATATTCCATTCCGTGTTTACTTGCATCCCACGTCCCCCAGTCAACAATCGCTTCAGCTGGTGATTTTGTAAATTGCTGGTTCAAAGACTTTACAATACGAATTACGTGTATAATCTTCTCGACGATGTGTTTCATTGTTGTAATAGTCATTATACTACAATCTACATCCATGCAAATAAAACTTCATACTAGATTCATTACACATATATGTCCGTTTATGTCATTCGATACTTTTTCATTGACTTGAGACTTTATTTCCTGGCGTTCAAATCGGAATAGAGCTCCATGATTTGTTGTCATATGCTGTATGTTATGGCATATCTCTGATAAAGTACTTTATCGGTTCAAGTCTTAAGCTGTACCGTCCAATGAAACGCTATTTTAGGTTTCAAAGTGTAGGTAGGTAGACGATAGACGATAGACGGCTGTCTTTTTCATCACTATGGTGTCAATGAAGATGCGACTGACAGAATGCATCAATGAGTCTCCACAATATGTAATCGATCGATCCAAAGTATCCATTAACTTTGTATCATCGACGAAAGAATGGGTCTATTGCGCTGATCGTTTACTCAGTGCTCAATTCATGGGTTTTGACACGGTACGTGCCGTTGAATGATTGAATGAAACACTTTATGCCTTTTAACAATGCTTTATACCGCATTGGAACAATTCTTTACTGTTTGCAGGAGACACGACCAACATGGAGAAAGCGTCAGATACAGAATCCGTGTGCATTGCTGCAGATTGCAGTGCGTGACGCTCAGAAGAAAGAGGAGGTCTTTATCCTCGACTTATTGAACCTGCCCACCACGGTGTACAATGGAACACTCACGAGCGTTTTCCTGTCCAAAAAGATTATCAAGATAGGCCATAGCTTCTACCAGGATCTACAGAATCTGGTACAGTCATATCCACATGCGTCTTGCTTTACTGTCTGCAAGGGCGTCGTGGAGGTGAATGACTTGTCCATCTCGCTGGTCGGAGCGCACAACCCGCTTAGTCTGCAGAAACTCGTGTTCTTCTATCTGCATCGCAAGCTTGCAAAGACGCAGCAAGTATCCAATTGGGAAAGAAGGCCACTGTCTTTTGGCCAGCTTCATTATGCTGCAGCGGACGCTCTGGTGCTGCTCCACTTGTATGACGAGCTACTGCTACGCATTCGGAAGCAGTGCACAACAATGACGGAAAGCTTCAGGTTAAGGGACGTGACAAATGTACTTGATGTAAACCTTCCTCCCGATATATCAAAGTGCTCACTCTGCTTTGAGACATTTCAGACGAGAGATGCACTAATGCAGCACCGCAAGATCTGTCTAATGGACGTACGCATGCTGGCAATATGTGTAGTGTGCAACGGTAAGAAGCTTGAGACGGAAATAGGGATGGAATACCACGTGAAGCATTGCAGTGTGGATGAAGTAGCAAACGAGACAATTGTACAAGTTAGGAGAAAGCGCTTGCTCTCTGTGGTAAGCAGCAACAATTCTGCCAAGTCGCTAAAGCTAGTATCCGTTCAACCTAAAGCTAATAAGCGCCGCGAAACAAAGCAAGCAGACGCTACTTTTACAGCAACGAAGAAGATTGTGGATGCCCAAAGTTTGGTTCGGGTGAATGGAGAAAAGAAGAAACGCAAGAAAGCTCGAAAAATACGTGAACGGACACACAAAGCGCAGACAGTGGCAGTTGTGGATGCTCAAAAGGCCGCAGAGCACGGCACTGCATGTCAAACGACAAAGATATCAAGCTGTCAAAATCAAGAACGTAAGAAACGGACAACTAGCATGGAGTCGTCGCTCTTGGCATCGGACGCAATGTGGTCAAAGATCTCGAGTGACTACAATTTTCTTACCAGTGCTACTTAGTATGTGTAGCGTGGTCAGCCACGGTTGCGAAATGAACCATCATCTTCGTATGGTTTCGAATAATATGGATGCTGAGCACCTTACAGCACCTCAAACTTGGTGTTGATGCTCGTTGTGTGCAACATCGACTTATCACGGTAAAAAAAAAGAGCTAGGGGGCTGTTTTGACGGACTACTGTAAAGTACTGAGCACGTGCAGTGCAGCTTGCTGCCAGGAGCAATCAACGCGTCACAAAACAAGTATGTATCAAGTTATAAAGGATGGCTCCTAAACACGTTGGCCCGAAAGCACTCACGCTAATACACTGTGAGCCTGAACAAGCTCATATTGCGATGGCTGTCGGACCTAACAGTCCAATGTGAAAGTCTCTTAACAGCACAATGAGGCCACATCATGGCAAAGCAAATCATAAGTTCCACATTGGTAACAGAAATAGAGACGGCAAAAAGATTGAGCAGACGAGTTTACAGGCTTGATGACTACTAGTGGCACTATCTTTGTCATTGCTTCTCTGCAGCTTGGAACAAAAGCATTGCAGAAAAGTGGAAGGTATATCTCATATATGTAGTTCGTGCATAACGTTTGAAAAAGATTTGGCGGAATATTGCATTGCTGGTAATTTATTGACGGTCTTGGCTTTATCTTGTGCGTGTAAGGGTTTGCTCGTGTTTAGAGGCCATTTTTGCTGCGTCACATCTTGCACTTTTGGGCATTCATCTTGATTCTCCAGATCCTCTATTCCTGTCAATTCTACAATATGTCAATGCCAAGACTTGACAATGTCGACAGTGGCAGTTCTCTTCAGGATGAAATGCGCAGAAACTGTGCCAGCTGATGATTTCCTCGTCGAATACGTTGATTCTGACATATCGATATCAATATCATTAGGACCTTCTGCTCTTCAATAATGATGATAACAGGGGATTGAACAATGTCAAAAACGCCGCTTTCTTGGCAATCTTCTGTAGAAAAAGCTTCCAAAGGACATTACCCTCAATCGAAGCGTGATGAGCTCTTTGATGGTGAAGCACGATACATGCACAATCCATGCACAGCACTTGGAAGCGATGATTACTATACTTTATGACGTCTTTTCAAACGAGGGTCTAAAACCGACTATTCTAACGTGCAAATAACTCCAACGTGCATTATCAATAACCAATCAACCTCATTATCTTGTCGTACGTATGTCATTCCACTGTAGAATATTATGGCCATGACATGAAGATAAAAAGGTATCACTCCATCTGGTCCTGAGTCAAAACCGCGCACAGTACATTCATTCCTTGCAGTTTCGCGCGGACGTTTTATGGCCTTCTACACTATACAAAAACCCTACTGGATTTCGTCAAATCCAGCTGGGAGGGTACAAAACCGCGGCATCCCCCTCGGTGACATAAAAAATTGCTCCAAGAAAACGGTACACTCTGAACCTCGCGGTTTTGAGCCGCACGTTCATTCCGTAAGTGTCATTCTTGACCCAAGCAGATTAGCTCAAGATGGTAGTGTCTACTTCTAACTTAGACGTGCTAGAGCTTGCAATTGAAGGAATGATGTGTATGAAAAACTGTGGACATACAGTCCAAAATGCTCTTTGCAATGTTGACGGCGTCATTTCCGTAGTCGTTAATTTTGACCAGCGCAGCGTTTGTGTCGAGTGCGCCCCAGGAGCTAAAGTAGCAGTGAACGATTTAGTCGAAGCGGTCGAGTGTGTGGGCTTTGGAGCAGTGATTAAACGACGAGATGATGAAATGAATATAGTACATGACCCACTGACACTTGAGCTACTGGTGGAAGGTATGATGTGTCAGAAAAATTGCGGCTCTACCGTTGAGAATGCATTGCAAAGTGTGGACGGTGTCGCTAGTGCTGTCGTTAGCTTTGAAGAGCGTAAGGCCACCGTGAAGATGCTACACGCCGGTAGCACGACGCTAGAGCAACTAGTAGACATGGTAGAGTGCGTGGGCTTCGAGGCCGGTGCGTACGACGCTGCAAAGGCTGCGGCCATGAAGCTAGAAGCGCAAAAGAAGAACCAGCAGCAGCAGAAAGACGAGGAGGAACTGCTGCTTGACGTACCAGACGCGACCGGCCACCCGCGCGCCGTGTTCCATGTGGAAGGCATGAGCTGTGCTGCATGTGTGAAAGCCATTGAGGACTATCTGGGTAAGACAGAGGGTGTACTGTACTGTCGTGTGGGACTCATAAGTCAGAAGGCCGAGGTGTCCTTTGATCGTGACTTGATCGAGGACGAGCAGAAGGCGATCAAGAAACTCATTCAGGACGCCGGCTACAAGGCGACTTTCTCGCACGTGGTAGAGCCGGGCGACGACGACTCGCTCAAGCTCAAGTTTACAGTCATGAGCATGAGCTGCACTGCGTGTGTGGACAAGATCGAGTCGGCGGTGAGTGAACTGCCTGGTGTAACGAAAGTGTTGGTTGACCTGCCCATGAACAAGGCGCACGTGCATCTAAAGCAGTTGTCCAAGACAGGTCCACGCGACGTGCTGGAGTGCATCAACCGTCTCGGCTACTTGGCTGAGGTCGCATCGGTGACCACAGATGAGAGTGCATTGAGCAAGTCGGAGGTGGAGAAGTGGCGCAAGTTGCTAACGACGGCCATGATCTTTTCATTGCCGGCTATGCTGATCCACATGGTGCTTATGTATATTCCTGCTGTGGAGATGGTTCTCATGACACCCGTACTTAATGCTGTGTCACTGAAGCTTTTGGTTTTGTTTTTGTTGGCAACTCCGGTGCAATTTGGAGTCGGTAGGCGTTTCTACGTGGCTGCGTGGAAGGGTCTACAACATGGCACTATGGGCATGGACCTTCTGGTTGTGGCGGGCACTACCATGTCGTACACTTACAGTTTCGTGTCTATGGTCGGTTCGGCGCTGCACGAGCACTACCGGGGTCACCACTTTTTCGAGTCCTCGACGATGTTGCTGACATTTGTGACGCTGGGGAAGTACATGGAGTCGATAGCAAAGGGCAAAACAGCTGATGCATTATCGGAACTGGCCAGTTTGCAGCCGAAGATGGCGTTGCTGATCAGTGAGGGCAAGCGTGATCGTGAGATCCCGATCGAGCTTGTGCAGCGCGGAGACCTGCTACGCATTCTTCCTGGTGCGAATATCCCGACGGATGGTGTGGTGAAGTTAGGGTCGAGCTCAATCGATGAGTCGATGCTGACTGGAGAGAGTATGCCGGTGGCTAAGAAGGAGGGTGACTACGTGTTTGGTTCGACGACGAACCAGCAGGGTGGGTTGGTAATCGAGTCGAGCTGCATGGGCGGCGAGAGCTCGGCGTTGTCGCAGATCTGTGCTTTGATTGAAGATGCACAGCTTCACAAGGCTCCGATCCAGGCGTACGCAGACTGGTTGGCATCGATTTTTGCTCCCTGTGTACTGGGTTTATCTGCATTGACATTTACGAGCTGGATGCTGCTGCTGTCGATGGACATCGTGCCCGCACAATGGAAGCTTGATCTGGGAGTGTCTGTGGGTGGTCATGTTGATGATTTTTTCGTGGCAATTCTTTTTGCTATCTCTGTCGTGGTGATCGCGTGTCCGTGTGCTTTAGGGCTTGCGACACCCACTGCCGTCATGGTTGGTTGTGGTATTGGGGCCAAGCAGGGTGTCCTCATCAAAGGTGGGCGCGCACTTGAAACGGCTCGCTTCATCGACACGATTGTGTTCGACAAGACTGGTACGCTAACTGCTGGTCACCCATCTGTGCGCGATGTAGTGGTGGCTGACCGCAAGTACACGCCGCGTGAACTTTTATACTACAGTGCATCTCTTGAGTGTGTAAGTGAGCACGTTCTTGGTAAGGCTATTGTAGTTACAGCAACAGAGCATGAGAAGCTGGAACTGCACGATCCGACTGAGGTGCATGTGGTCCCTGGACGCGGTATTGAAGGCATTATACCTGCGAGTGATGCCACCGCTCGCAGGACTTCCGCGAAGGTGCTTGTTGGCAGCTCTGAATATTGCGAGGAGAAAGGCATCAAAATTAACGACAAGATACGTGCTCACATGCACGAGTTGGAGCTTGAGAGCAAGACCGTGGTGGTCGTGTGCGTGGAAGGCAAATTGGCAGGCTTGCTTGCCCTAGCAGACGCTCCCAGACCTGAAGCAGCCGCCGTCATGAAGCATCTGAAGTCCATGGGCTTGGATGTGTGGTTAATCACGGGTGACAACCTTCGCACAGCCAGTGTGGTCGCGCGCCAGCTGGGTATCAACCACGTGAAGGCAGTTGCTCTACCTGGTGAAAAGGCGTCTCAGATCAAGGCGCTGCAGTCGCAAGTGAACCCGCTGACACTGAAGCCACGCGTGGTTTGTATGGTTGGTGATGGTATCAATGATGCGCCGGCGCTGGCGCAGTCGGACATTGGTATGGCCATCGGTGCCGGCACACAAATCGCCAAGGCTGAGGCCGACATGGTACTGGTGAAAAGTGCGCTGACGGATGTAGTGGTGGCGCTGGATTTGGCTCGTGTGGTGTTCTCTCGTATCAAGTTGAACTTTTTCTTTTCGGTCGTGTACAACCTTGTTGGCATTCCGCTGGCTGCTGGTATGTTCTTCCCACTGATCCACCAAATGATGCCACCTGCGTGCGCTGGGCTCGCGATGGCCTTTTCTTCGGTATCTGTTGTTGTTTCGTCACTGCTGCTGAAGAATTACAAGGCACCGCAGCTCTTCCCAACGAAGGTTGGAAAGGTGGATTTTGAGGAAGACGTTCAGGTCGTGGACCTTAAGAACCTTGTACGACTGAAGGTTAGCAACGTGCGGTACACGCCGTTGACGAATATGGACGAGCAGAACACGCGTGTCTAAGGTTGATGTGCTGAATATGAGTAATTTGACATAGCGTGATATAAATGTAGTTGTGTGTAGTTTGAGAGTTGTAGACGAAGTTGGACTGTTTCGTCTTCTGGAATATTTAGTCAAATGAACGTTGTACCTGGTATGGAAGTGAGCGAGTTTGTTGCAGCACAGGAGCAGATCGAATCGAGACTGTCGCAGTTATTCAACTTTATCTCGGCCGCTTGGCACCAACTGAAGAACATTGCCATCATAAAAGAGGGGTGTGAACGAGTGGCAGCGCATCAGTGTGGCAAGATTACCAACATTGACTGAAAAGAAGACGAGACCAGCCACCCAAAGAGGAAAGAACGTGTTGATGCCTTGCATCTCCAACTGATACGCCCAATACAGCCAGTGAAACTACAAAAAGCACAATCACCACGTCAGATTTAACAGCAGAACAGACCAGACTAAATCGACACATATCTTGCCTCGCCTCCCAGCCATGCAGCAATCATAGCCGCGCCCTGCCACTTGAATTTTAGGCTTGTCAGCGGGAAAATGAGAGGCAGGAAAGCGGTGTACCACAAAAAGTACTGTTGAGGGAAACATGTAAGCTTCAACTCAATGATAAGATAGATTTCACAGCCTACAAAAGCTGTTGCGTACCTGTGCTGTACACACCTTGTTGAATATGACAAAAACCATCGTTAGCGCAAACATTGCGAAGGGCAAGTCGCGACCGCAGGCAAATGAAATCGCAACGAGTGACGTCAGCTGAGGTAAGAAAGCAAGAAGACCAACGCCATAACCCGATGTGGTGTTGTATCGGAGATAGAGGTCGTAGAAGTAGACTGCAAAGTTGTGGCGATTGTCCGTGCGCGTAAAGTGGAAAAAATATGTTTCGTACAGACACTGGAATCCGTAGCTACATCATACCCGTTACAATGAAGAAAAGACGTTAGTATGTAGTCTTCTCATGAACTACCCGGGGTAAAAACGACGTACATATAGTAGCAGCCTGCTGCAAGGATAAGAAAAAGTCCTCCACTCACAAGACCGAAAGTAAGACGGTCACGATTAAGCTGCTTCGCAAGTTTCGTTAAAAAGCAACACGAGGAACTGCACAAAGAAGTCCGTTTTTTGGCATTGGCTGTTCGAAAGTCTCCGTTAAGGAACTGACCACATAGCGTATGAAATCACCAAAAGAATGTCCAGTTAACCGAATCAATAAGCAATGTATCCTTCCTTGTTCAGCACAAAACCATACAACAAGAAAAGCCAATGCATAGACAACCGGGTATATCTTGAAGTGAACAGCAGCACCATATCTAACAGTCAGCAGCAAAAAAAAGGTGAGACCCATACAAGATAGTAGTATCAAAAAAGGAGCAAAGAAACAAAACAAAACACACGCCAAAGCCGAAAGCACGAGTTGTTTTCGCATCATCAACAGTAATGACAACAGCACTAAGAGCACGACAATTGAATCTGCATTACCCCGCGTTGAGATATTGATTGAAAACGGATGGAATAGCCACACACTATATCAAATTACCAACCAATGCACACACAAAACAACATCATTTGTTATCAGGATCATCACTTTGCATTGGCTCTGAAATCATGGTTTCTACCAGCAATAATTGATAGCACCTACATACATATATATATCATAACCACTAATTAGTAATTATTATTGCAAACCAATACAATCATTGAGAATCAAAGCCACCCTCTCACTTGGATCTGAAAGTCCTCGATGTCTTAGAATGTCATACAAAATGTACCCAGCTAGCAAGTCACAGCTTATAAAAAGCACTTTTCCAACCTCTTGATGGACATAAATGTTTGGTAGTAGCAAAAAAGCTCTTTTTTACATTCGCATTCAAATACATGAATTAGACAAACAAACATATGCAATTATTAAGATTATTTTGCAATGAATAATACGAAATAACTCACAAGATTGGAGTATAACGATACGTTGTGCGCTCATAAGGCGAATGACCCTCGACTATCTCACGTGCTGCATCTGTATATACGTCGTAATCCACATCCGTATACTTGACATTCATGTAATGATCTTGAAAATGACCGTATAGTAGCAACATTAGTCGCAGTATAAACGCGCTGCCAAAGAGAATGAGTGTCCGCTGAGATACCGTCATGATTGAGATGTTCGAAGGTTTATAATAAGCACTTTTTATCAGCTACAATTATTATCTTTTTCTATTTCGTATGTATGTATGTATAAAACTATATCAAAAATAGATAATAATTGTACACGTTGCAATATCATGTGCTCTGAAGGTATAGATAGTAGCAATACTTTACGCAACCTTCTGTCCACCTGTCGTAGCCCAACCAGCCAGCAGAAAATCTAAAGCTTAACACCATCTAAAGCCTAAAGCACCTCTCTATTATATCGTTCCAATATGATGCAAGCTCCAGTAATGGTTCTCAGTACGTGTCACCTTATCTTCCTACTACTTTCTCCTCTCTCTCCATCTCTTCCTAGTTTATAACCTTCTTACACTCTCCACTTAGACACCAACACGAAACGCGAGACGGGCCGTACCGCACAATTGGGCAATATTGAGGCGGCTAAGGCCGTGTCTGATATCGTGCGCACAACGCTAGGCCCACGCTCGATGCTCAAGATGCTGCTTGATCCAATGGGTGGTATCGTCATGACTAACGACGGCAATGCTATTCTGCGCGAGGTGGACGTGGCCCACCCAGCGGCCAAGAGCATGATTGAGCTCAGCCGGGCACAGGACGAGGAAGTGGGCGATGGTACTACGTCCGTCATCATTCTGGCTGGTGAGATTTTGATCGTGGCGGAGCCGTTCCTGAGCCACCAGGTGCACCCGACCGTGATCATTCGCGGCTTTAACCGTGCGCTCAACGCATCGCTGGAGATTACAAAGAAGCTGGCACGCACTATTGACATTGAGAACAAGGACGACATGCGCAACCTGGTACAGTCATCCATTGGCACCAAGTTCTCACCTCGGGTGGGCAACTTGGTGAGTGATTTAGCCTTGGACGCCGTACTGACAGTTGTGCGCACGACGGCGTCTGGACGCAAAGAGGTAGACGTAAAACGATACGCCAAAGTAGAGAAGATCCCGGGTGGAGAGCTTGAAGATAGTCGCGTACTGAAAGGAGTGATGTTCAATAAGGACGTGACCCACTCCAAAATGCGTCGACGCATTGAAAACCCGCGCATACTCTTGTTGGACTGCCCGCTAGAGTACAAGAAGGGCGAGAGTCAGACGAATGTGGAACTCACGAACGATCAGGACTGGAATACACTGCTGCGCTTGGAGGAGGAGTACATTGAGAACCTGTGCGCACAGGTGGTTGCCATGAAGCCTGACGTGGTTATCACGGAGAAGGGTGTGTCGGATCTGGCCCAGCACTACTTTGTGAAGGCGGGTATCACCGCCTTCCGTCGTCTGCGGAAGACGGACAACAACCGCGTGGCTCGGGCTACTGGTGCAACTATTGTCAGTCGCGCGGACGAGATACAGGAGTCGGACATTGGCACCAAGTGCGGCCTCTTCGAGGTGCGCAAGCTTGGCGACGAGTACTTTGCGTTCTTCGAGGAATGCAAGGATCCGGGAGCATGCAGCATCCTACTGCGCGGTGGTAGTAAGGACGTGCTGAACGAGGTTGAGCGCAACTTGCAGGATGCCATGCAGGTGGCACGAAATGTCGTGTTTGAGCCGCTGCTGCTGCCAGGAGGCGGCGCCACGGAAATGCGTGTCGCGCACGAGTTGAAAAAGCGCGCTGACGAAATTGAGGGTGTGGAGCAGTTTCCATTCCGAGCAGTCGGTGAAGCCCTGGAGGTCATCCCGCGTACGCTGTTGCAAAACTGCGGTGCTGACGTGGTGCGTGTCATGACTTCGCTACGTGCCAAGCAGGTCGAGACGGATGAGTCGTACGGTGTGGACGGTGTGACGGGCAAGGTGACGCCGTCCGAGGAGCTGGGCGTGTGGGAACCCTTCCAAGTCAAGACTCAGACCATCAAGACAGCCGTGGAAGCAGCGTGTATGCTGCTGCGTATTGACGACATTGTGTCAGGTTTGGCCAAGAAGAAAAAGTAGGCTTGAAAATCATACTAGCGTGAATATTCGCGTGGATTTATAGTATATTTTGGTCCGATCGTGCATTGAAGAGCTGGAGATTGGTCGTTACGACGTGTGTCCAAGTCATTTACTGGATTGAGCAAGTTCATACGCTATTGTGCTGCACGTAAGAAGATGTCAGTTGATGAATTGCATCAGTAAAGTTACATGCCATGAGTGGATGTTAGTCATGACATGACCATCAGAGTTTTTGGTACTTACAGCTAAAGATTCGTTTTTCAACAAGATTTGAAGCCGTTTGAAATCCGAATTGTCGAGTGGTTTCAATGAAACGACACAGGAATGTAAAAAAAACACCAAGAGATTACGATAGAATGACAAAATCAATACAAGCGGAAATTTCGTGCGAGACTCGCTACTCTTTCATATTAGAATTCACTTATGTCCGTTTACATGACGGGAGATAGAGACAGGCGATTTAACGAGCAAGTCATCCAATGAAATGATCCCACACCATATGGTTGGGTGGGATGGAGGATCCGTGTGCTGCATAAGTTCCATCGTATAATGAGGCGGTCCCGTACACAAGTCGGATAGCTAGCTGCCAGCATTCCCGCTAGGAGGTCCCGAATCCATGATGTGGTGGATGGTTCTCTTTTGAATCATATGACTTGACTCACATAAAGAAAATGTCATTAAACGATCCAAGGAAGGACTCGTCTCAACCGTATCAGACACACTCTGGCCTGGCTTGTCTTTCAAAACAAGTCCACAGACACGACATAATATATATGGCGGGATTTCTAGTTCAATCAATCAATGATAAATGACTGAATCCATAGGTTTCTGGTCTGCAGGAATGTTAACTTCTATTCGTTACTCTCTTTGCACGGGCAACATGAGTTGACAAAGCTTTGCATATCGTGACTTACGATCTGGTAGGATAAAAAATAAACTATACCTGCAGACCGATTTCGGTGAGATCTTTCATTCTTGGATTTGCCTTATGTCCACCGAAATAGTAACAGGAATCTTACCATCTCCGTGGTTCAGACCTTTTTGTCATTGTTATCCTTGGCGGTACACAAGGACTACGCTTTGATCGCTCATTCTCGAATTTACCTTATCTTCACCACTAAAAGACTCTTCCCTCCCTCCTTCCCATCGTAAAATGGTTCAAAACTCACCCCGTGACTTTGACATTGCCATAGTTTGTGGCGGGATTACCGGTGTCACCCTGGCTGTTGGTCTGGTGCGTGCCAATATTCCTGTGACGCTATACGAATCGGCCAAGGCACTTGGTGAAATTGGCGCTGGTGTCGCTTTGGCTGCTAACGCTGCTCGTGCACTGGAACTCTTAGCACCCGATGCCAAGTACGCTTTTGACCGCGTTGGTACGTTCAACTTGTCGATGGCATAGAAGAATGTATGGTTTGACTTTCGCAAGGGCGTTGGCACGAAAGGCAGCGACGTGAATGATGGGTCGGGTGATCTCATCACCAGCGTCCCAACGCCTGCTGGATCAGCCTACGTGCATCGTGCCCATTTCCTTGACGAGATGATCAAACTTGTCCCTGAAGGGGTCACTAAATTTAACAAACGTCTGGATGACATTGAAACGCTTCCCGATGGTAACGTCAAGCTCAAGTTCTTGGATGGCTCAGAAGCTGTGCATAGCGCCGTGGTTGGCTGTGATGGCATCAAGTCGCGAACGCGCAAAGTGATCCTCGATGAGAACGCTCCCGCTTCCGACGCCGTCTTCTCGGGGAAATACGTCTACCGCGGATTGATTCCGATGGATAAGGCCGCCGCTCTTCTGGGCGACGAGATGGCTCGCAACAGTCAGATGTACTTCGGCTACCACGGCCACATGGTCACGTTTCCTATCCAGCACGGCCGTGTCATGAACGTGGTCGCATTTGCCATCAAGGATGAATGGAAGGACTGGAACTGGGTCGTGAGCACAACAAAAGAGGAGTTAACCAAGGCCTTCGCGGGGTTCTCGAAGCACGTCCGTGACATCATCTCCCTGATGGAGAAAACTGATATATGGGCGCTTTGCCACCACCTGCCTGCTCGCATGTACACACGAGACAACATGTTTGTGATTGAAGATGCGGCCCACGCCACACAACGGATCGGGTGCGGCCATGGCCGTCGAGGACGTCTATGTTCTGTCGTCGCTATTGGCTGACGTGAATCGTGCGTGCGATCTCGATGCTGCGTTCAAGGCGTTCGAGAAGGTGCGTTTGTATCGCGCGCAGAAAGTGGTAACTGCAAGTTATGAAGCTGGTCAGCTATACGACTTTGAACTGCCTGGCTGCAAGGACGACGTGGAAAGGATTGCAGAAAACCTGCAGCAGCGTATGCACTGGATCTGGGAAGAGGACTTGGAACAGGAGGTGGTAGAGACCAAAGCATTTTATCGCGCGAAGGTATGAGGTTTGAGAATGTGCGGCGACCAGCTAGAAGCTGCCTTTAATAAGTCAACTCATCATGAACTGTACGACATGATTTGTTTTGGATACTTGCAACAAGTTGAAGTGGACGTTCGTGAGTAGCGCGTCATTCCACACTAGGATCAATTACTTTGTCGCCTTGACGTTTGCAAACCTAAAATAGAAGGCGCTCACTGTTTTGAGACATGCCTTGGGTCGTATTGGTAGTTTAAGACCTGACTAATGTGCTTCGATGATGGAAGAGCAAATGTGTCAAAAGGCAGTAGCTTACGGTCGTGAATGCTCGATGAATGTGCCTGACAGGCTTTCCTAGCTTCCGTTGAAAGCTGTTCGCAGGTCGAAGTCGTTAAAACGTTCATGAAATGGTTGTCCTGTGCCCTTCGTGAGCGAAGTGAAAAGGTATTGACATAGGTTGGGTTCGATCCCAAGAAGCTCATAGTGCAAGCATGTCAGATAGGTTCCATTGGAAGCTAAGTGGGAACGTATATACGAGTCATGCCGGCTGTTTTGCATACTTGCTAAGATTGGCATCGGCAACATGCTCTTATGGATTATGGCCGAGGTGTGACACGCGTATCAAGTCGGAACAATGCGCTCCGAAATCAGTAAAGGCGACTGACTACGCAGATTCAGCTCCCAAGGACCATGCAGTCAGATTGGATTTCGTTTGTAGTTTGGTAGTTAGTAAACAGCGGCGTGGTCAGCCCTATATTCTCATCAGAGAAAGTCTGAACGCGAAGATGACTGTCGGTGTATCTATCTGGCAGTCAACGCACTTGCAAAGCTCACATACAATCAAGCTAATGGCTGTTATGGTCTTTGCTTCTCAATCACAGCATTGTTTACGCTTGCTTGCAACAAATGCTACCCAAACAGGACAATGATCCGAGAGTTCGTAACCACATTGTACACGTGACATATGCGTTTGTAACCGAGGAACCATCGTGTCCATAGGGTTTTGTATGGAAACCCGACTGCTTTTTGAACAAGGATAGTATCGCCAGTCTACGCGGAGAACTCCACTGTCCATGTGATACTTGATCTTCCCATCGAAAGCGTTTTGTCTGCCGAAGTCATCGCGGTCAAGCCAAATATTGTCATAAAGTTTACCAAAGACTGTTGTCGAAAGTGGCGCGCGGATCAAAGCCATCTTTTGCGACCCGAGGGTACCTAGTACGTCTTGTGGTGACAAGTTAAAGTCACCTAGCACCACCACCTTTCTTCCATTTGGAGCAGACGTGCTTATCTCATTTGCCAGCCTATTGATCTCAACGATTTCATCGTGGCGATGTTCTTTTTTGCCGAAAGACACGTGCACATTCATTAACGCTAGCTTCAAGTTCGATACGCCTGCTTCTTTTGTCGCTTGAAATGTGGCAACACACGGTAGTCTAGTAAGCACATTGTTTCGATCTTCCATCAACAAGCATTTGTCAACCAGTCGAACAACGCAACGTCGGAAAAAGAAGGCATAACGCTCTGCCCTCGTTTTCTTTCCCGGTGACTTGCGACCTACAGGATCCGAAACAACATAGTCCCATCCAAGCAGCATCGTTTTTAATCTCTTAAGAACAATCAAGTCTCGCACCTCTTGTAACGCAACAAGGTCAAACTCACACAAAACGTCAGCAATACGCTGCAGGAGAAACGTTGATTTTTGGCGAGAAATGTTGCGAATGTTCCAGCTCGCCACAATGAGGGCTCGGTCGTCACTGTTATCGTGGCTCGGTATCGGGAACACGCTTTGACGAACGTCACTTTCAATCTCTCGACAAAAGCGAAAGTTTTGCTCCAGTTTCGGCTTTACATCCTCGCCATTCTTACAATCATATCCTTTATGCTGTAATGAGTCGAAGTCTGTCAGGCTGACGTGAACTCCAGCTTGTATTTTTACGTAGGATTTCGAGCTAATGCCTTTGACGGCCAGCAATTCTTCCTTGCGATGGAACGGTCTTGCCTTGAGAATTCGTTGAGCCAAGACTGGACCCACTCCTTTCAGCTGCTGTAATTGTCTGCTAGACGCAGCGTTAAGATCAATTGTAGAGGAATCTGTATTGGCTTTTGCTGTTGTTGAACAAGGAGGATCTTCTTCGTCCACGTAGACTTGATTGTGCGCTATAATGGCTGCGAGTTTGATAGGACCAATACCTTTTACACAAAGCAAGTCCTTGACAGACGAAAAGGGGCGTGATGCGATAATTAAACGCGCAGTGACGCTGCCAACACCGTGCAATTCCTGTAACTCATGAAGTGGCGCTGAATTGAGGTTCATTGAACTGAACAACAGCACCTTTGAGTTTTTTTGCACGCTTCTAGCACGTGTACGTATGATGTACGCATAGAAAGTGTACGTACACTTTTATGCAGGGCAGAGATAGGTTACATGATGGGATTATTATCAGAGGTTTCAAGGTCATGCATGTCAAAGAGACTAGTTTTCACTTGGTCCATGCTTGGGATATAGTATCTTGTTGTACGATGGACAGAAATGAAGTACCAAGTTGGCAAGTGCTAAGTGTTTTCACTGCTTTTACACCTTAAGGTGAGAGAATGGGCCTTTCCGTTTATGCCACTTTCAAAATGATGGAGACCCACTCGCTTGCACTTTCTTGCTGAGGCAGCATGAACAGCTAAAGACCCATGCTGTCTTTCATTTTTAAAACGCACCTAAACCAGGTGTAAGTCTTGATCAATGCATTCGGTATCAGCGTCATTGTCATCACCCGTCGGTACTTTGCTGCCGAAACCAAAAATCGAAGAGATAGCGATGGGACCAACTAGCACAACCCCAATTTCGATTAAGGTGATTAATGGTATCGAACGTTTGGAAGAGAACACGGAAATCGGGCATGCTATGAATCTTAGTGAAGCAAAGACATTCACTACACAGGTCGGAGGGGATGAAGAAGGTGTATCAAGCCTTTGGGATATCATTGCCGAGTCTCACATGAAGATAGAAACCTACGGGGATCAATCCTATGACCAGGAACCGGTATCGAGCTTCGTATCCTCGACAACTGAATTCTCCTCGACATCCATAAGCTTAGCGTCTTCATCTATTTCATCGACAAGTCTCCCGATAAATGAAGAGTACGTATCTCGTTTTTACGTGTGGTCGGTATTGCAAATGTTAACCCTTTTGTCTTGGAATCAATGATGGCTACCAGTTCTAGTTTCGAAACGCTGTCCTCGTCATCTTCACTTACGGGCAACCCTTCACCGTGCCTCGGACTTAGTCCAAGTCATTTTGTTACTTTTGAGTCTCGTCCGGACGGCACTTCATTCCGTACGAAGCTGCATAAATTATGTCTTGTATCATCGACTAATGATGTTTTTTACCGTGCTGCAGCGCTATCAAAGCCCATTGTTCGTGAGGACGGTCTTTTGCTTGTTGGCACAGAGATCATCACGGATGCCTTAACTCCAGCTGACGAAACCAACAGAATATATGTCACAAACTTTCTCGCCTCACCTGGAATCGCGCAACCACCAGCTCACATTCTAGTAGAGCGGGTATGCAGTTGTACCCAACCGTGTTAAAAACCTAGTGTCCACTGACATGATTTCGTTAAACGTTGTCTGCAGGAGGTTCGAGATATGCAATGGATGGGTGCTCAAGCTGCAGTTTTGGCAGTCGGCAAAGAGATTCAAGTTATCCAGTTGGGCGGTGGACCTTGCCGGCTGCACGGTAGGCGTTATCAAAGCCCCGCAAATGCTCATCAATCTCACAAACTATGCTTATGGCAGATCCAATCATTTCGGTTCACTCGGGAACTATACGAGAGTTAGCTGTTTCGCCTACCACGAGCTCATACGTGTTATCTGGTGGTAAGCGTTGCGGTTGTCGCTGTTTCGTGCTGCGCCATTTTTCGCTGACGAAATTTTGATGCTACATTGGAATTCTCCAGGTTTCGACGAAACTGTTGTGCTGACTGATTTCCGGAACCAGGGAGACCCTCAAGCTGCAGCTATCATCGGAAAATTTGATGCAAGCGACGTAGTGAGCAGCGTTCGCTGGGCACCATCAGATTTTCAATTGAGCTGGACAACTGATGCAGGCGACTATCAGATCGTAGATACTCGCGTTCGATCACCGCAGCTCCAGCTACCTCTCTACAAGTTTCAGGTAAACGGTTGCTCCCGAGTTGTTCACATCAGCTGATCTCGCACTGACTTGGCTTGTTCAATTGACGCTATGTAGAATCTAGATGCGGCGGGTGGTCTCTTCACACATGAATACCTGAGCAGCTTCAACATCGCACTTGGATTCGAGCTTGGTCACATCGCTTTTGTGGATATCCGGATGCCTCGTCTCAACTCTTGGTACAAAATTTGCACAGTGTTATGTAGCAAATACGCGATTAACCTTATTTGATGTAATATGCTAGCACGTCGACGATCAAGTCAAAATTATCTAGCATCGGTGAAATTCGACATTCCAAGACCGACAAAATCGCGATATTTGGTCGTGGCGGGTACGACTTGTCAGTCGATCAACTCTTGATAACCATTGCCACATACAAGTACTAACTATAATGTACTGCCAGATTCTCGACCGCAAATATCGATGGAATGGCTAATAATTTGGAGCAGCTTACCCTGTATGTCCATCACCTTCAATCCGTGCATTAAGATTGTGTGCTAACACTGAACGTGCTACAGGCAACAGCAGCACACGCTGGCTTCGTACAAAACAAGCGGTGACTTCTCCTGTGAAAGAGACGTGTACATGGCTGTCTCCGACAAGTATGTGAGCATGAAATGCTACGTGGGCGTGCGTTAGAACTTGTACTGACTGGCCTTGTGTATTTGACGACATTTAGCATGGGCATTGTGTCAGTGTACACAGATGACACTATCTTTGGGTCATCGCCATCATTCATCGGCAACAGAAATGGCTGGTAAAAGCGCATCTAAACGTGTGAAAAGAGAATCAACGAAAATTGTTGCATAAAAAAGTTAGTAGTGTTGCATACGCGAGATCTCCTGAAGTAGCTTTGTCATGGAGCTCTTCGGCTTTAGATTAATAAAGCTGTCAAAGTGGGACCACGAATAGCCATCCGTGTGCGCAACATCGCCAGTGGTGTCTGAAGGACAAGAAAAAATGCAGTCAGAGCAATCGCTGGAACAATGGGCAGAACATGCGCAATACTTACCTGGCTTTATAGCAAGCTGAACACGTCCAAGAGCATTGCACTCATACCACTCCGTTTCCTTGCTTCTCGACTTGTTGGACAATCCAATCATGGTGCTCGCCAGTTGCGTCCGCAAAGCAGGGGACTGTAGAGCTTGTGAAAATTTGATGCGGGTCAGTCGCGTGAGCTCAGCAAGACCGGCCTGAATGCGCTGAAGTGCATTTATTTGCTGGTCGGTGCAAAGGTACAGCATTTCGATCAGTCGAACAATAGCTAGGCAGGCTTGTTCGCCCTCCTGTTGAGAAAATAGGCTGGCCTCTGTGTTTTCCTCGCCATTATCTTTCTTTGTTGTTTTGTCTTCATCATCGAATACAAGCTTCCAAAGCTGCAGTCCCCAACCAATAGCAAGGAAGATAAGCTTATTGTCACGCAATTTCGTGGATGTGGCACGCGACTTAGCACGTGCCTTCGCAGAGCTTGACGCAGCCACATTATCGCTCTGCAACAGGGAAAACAAACGTGTACGGTGCACCCACCCCACCCCTTCTAAATGCTCATACCGCGAACGACACGTATGCATATCTTGCTGAAAGCAGTAAATGAAGAACTGTACTAAGAGTAGATTCCGACGCCAGCTCTCGTTCTTCTTAGGCTTTCTATCCTCCCCGAAACGCTCATATTCGCTAACTTCCTGCAGTGCCGTCGCCAGGGGTTCCCATTTGTTTGGGAACGTCACCGCACAACTGCATGCTAATGCTTTGTCAAATACAAACACCAACGCTGCATAGATCGCTACGGCGTCAGCGTACGCAACAGCTTCATGACTTTGGATGCGGTCAATAAGCTCAGCATAGAGCAAATCTGATGGATACTCTTTACCTAGAACCACAATGCTCCGTAATGTCGCAATAGCAACCCCTGGATCACTCGTACTAAGTGAAGTAACCATATCAAACACCAGCGACGCATTCATGGACGACTGGATTTCTGACGATGGCGTCAGGGGTTTCAGTCCATCCGACCGATTGGCAGGGGGCGTACTTAAAACTGAAAAAGTTGCACGTCGTTTGTATGCTCGCTCTATCTCTTCTTTAGATGTTGGCAAAGACTCAGTGATTGAGCGTCTACGAACGTCGGTTTTGTTCCTAGCTCGTGGTGATGTCGTTGATTGCGAAGTCTTCTTGGAGATGCGAGAATTCGATATTGAGCTTACAGGACTCAGTATTTCCTCTATCTTAATGTCACTATCACTATCACTCAAGATACTAGTGAGAGAATTGAAGGTAGCTAGACGAGATTGTATCGGGACAGTAGACTTTTGATCACATTCGTCTATATTCATATTTTGATGTTAGTAGATGGAAGTAGAGAATATTAAGAAAATGGATGCGCATCATGAGTAGGTCTATTATAACGTTCGTTAACGTACCGTCCGAGACAAGAACGACCGTTTTTGTCGCAGCTTTAGACCTTACGTCGGTCTTCATGGTACCCATTTTTCTTCGAATAGGTCAGTTCGCGACTATCCAATCGAAATAATTACACTAGCAGTACAAATTATTGTAAACGTTTCGCTTCAAAGTGTGATATTTTAGACCCGAAGGAATTTGTCCGGTATGTTTAAATAATCACGATAAAACTCGGATAAAGTTGGATTTAATCCGTAAAGCTTGCTTCTTAATGGCGACGACCTCAGTCGCGAACGTCGTTGGTACGCAGACAATTGCAGACGTGCCTGTGGAGCTAGGACAGTCCGTTCATGTCAATACAAAGAAACAATTACAGCGTCAAATCAATTCCATCGTAGGGTGGACGGAGTTGGATCGTGCGCCAATGAACGTGGCACAGACGATGTTGCGCGGTAATGAGCACCAGGTGGGCGAACACCCGTACTTTGTGTGTGAGAAATCAGTGGGTATTCGATACTTGATATTACTATTACAGGGTCGCTGTTACCTTATTTCTCAGAATTATGAATTTCGAGAGGTTGCGCTCTTCTGTCCTGTACGTCCTGATCGACTACAACCTGGTGTAGACCGGAACACTGTAGTGCCACATCAATGGACTATTCTAGATGGACTTATGGTGTGTGATAAAGATGGAAACAAATCAGTGCTTACGCTACTATTGTACGATATCCTGGCACTAAATGGCAGTCCGGTCATGACTTCTAAGCTCCAGGATAGACTCAAGTTGATTCAGAACGATGTCGTAGGTCCACGTAAGCAGCTACCGCCGCCAAAAGGACACCCAACAGACATGTTTCAGCTTGTGCTACAATCAATGTACCCCATTAACCGTGTTGGACACGTGATTCACAGTATTCTGCCAAGAGTCGCTCAGACCAGACAGAATGCAGGACTTGTGTTCACGCCAGTACTTCTGCCATACACGCCAGGATTTTCGAAAGGGCTGTTCCATTGGACGCCGACGTCGTTGCTGTCTGCAGACTTTCAGCTGGGTGTGGAGTGGCGAGGACGTCCTCCAAAACCAGGATTTAAATTGGTGATCCATGACAAGCGCACACAGGTCTTTCAAGACTGGATCACATTCGCACCAGGTAAATTACTCGCGATTAAAGCCTCCAAGCTGCAGGCTTTTCCATTACAATTGACCAATTTATATGGTGTGTCGCATTCGTGTCTGATATTAGATGACTTTGAGGCGTTCCGACAGGACAAAAAGGCGTCTTCTCGCATTCTAGAGTGTGTGTATGATCCAGAATGGCTCACGTACATTCCTTCCCATGACAAAAGTACATGGGATTCTGGTAGTCCAGAGTTTAGTGCTACTGAACGCGGTGTTGGATGGAGAAAAGGTAATGAACAAGGGCCAAGCTTCCTCGACTTGTTGCTGGTCTCTCACGATCTTGCGTGCTATGTTTGATTGTAAGGTGGCTGGAAATTTGTTCGATGCCGTCCAGACTGCAGTATGCCGTACGAGCGCAATTTGCTTACAATGATTGAAAAAGCAGTTAGTGAGGATATAAAGCTTGAAGAGATTGAGCGATTTTTTCCAGATGAGACATCTAAAAAGCCTATGTCGTCGCAACAAAAAAGTCGTCATGAAGCCCCCTCGACATCTGATGTAAGAGTTCTATGTTGTCGGTAACGGTTGCTGTCAACCTTTTTGACATGAAATTTACTTTCAACAGGAGTTGACTCCACCAAGTAAGAAGAAACGTAGCAGCAGTGGGGGGTGCAATTCAAGGACCTGGTACAGGTGTGTGTTACGATTTTCAAAACAAGGGCGTATGTCAACGCGGTCGATTCTGTCATTTTTCGCACTGTGCCTGCAATTCTACGTGCTCGTGCACGCCGACCAAGAATACTTACGGTAACGATGTTTTGGATGGCAAGCAGGTGCTTTGGCACAGGAGCTAACCTTTCCTGCATCGTCGTGTGCAGGCCAAAGACCATCGTATCGAAGAAATGACTACGATGCCCCACCGTCTCCAGAAGGCACGCCTTTGTCGATCATTGATGCTCCCACGGTACCAGACAAATTACCTTTGTTGGGGCACACTGACTCCATTGAGCGTGATTCTACTTCGAAGATCGAAGGCGGGACGGGTGAGGAAGAAGAAGCTGGTGAACTCTCAGACAATAGTACGTTGATTATGCTTGCTTTGACAATGGATCCCTAACTTCACTGACGTGACATGTCCTCGTTGTGGCAGATAACTTGCACCTCAACAGCATATACGCACCCCTTGAAAACTTTAGTAAGGAGACGATTGCTGCAAAGCGTGCACAATTGGCTGCTCTCGGCAATCGCAGTATTTGGGCAAGCCTCGGACTCGAAGATAAACCGCAACGTGCGCGCGCTTGCGGACTAATCGTATCAAAGTCTGGGGAAGTGGTGTATGTCCGTCCGTTGGAGAAGTAAGGTTTAGCTTCCCGGTAGTGAAACAACATGCAGTTCCGCTTTCAAACTTGTATCACGGAATGCAAATAAGATGATCATACTGCTATTAAGAGTGCGTTGTGTATTGCCATCCGGTCGTGGCAAGCGACGCAAACATGCTACCTCGGAAAGACAAACTTGCTACTGCTTGGGGGCAGCCTTCCTTGGCAAATCTTCAAACACCATTGTGCCATCTTTCAGACCTTGAATCTCGTCTTTTGTAAGGAACCGACCACCAGGTCCGCGTGGCCGCCGCATAGCATGCTTATGGCGAGAATCGTGGAGATATGCCTTGCGCTGACGAGGGTTGCCTAGTTTGGCCTCTAGCTTTGCTCGTTGCTGACGTCGGATCATAATACGGTGGTATTGCTTGGCGTTCACGTAGACTGGTTCCTCTTCCGTGGCTTCGGCCGAGTTGGGCGTCGTAGGACGTGGAAACATCGGTTGTGACAGCTGCAGAGCATCAACACATATTAACATCCATAACAAAATACAGTCAACTGCAGTATAAATCAAGCTATCTTCACCATATAGGGCTGCATCATGGCACTTGAACTGTACATGGCACGCAGCTGCTCACTATTTGTTTGTTGCTGTAAGTATAGAGTATAAAAATTATCAGTCAAAGCACAAGATACAGCTTCTCCATCATCTCGTCTCTAGATCTTCCTTCATACCATCTAAAACAACAACCCATTCGACCAGCAGTATACAAAAACAACAACACAATTCTATCAGTATATCTCTTGAATATTAAAGAAAAAAAGACATAGCAATGTGCTTACAAGCTGCTGGATGTATTGCTGTTGTTGCTGCTGAAATAGAGCCAGTTGTGCCTGAAGATCAGCCTGTGAAGCGTCCGTAGTAGCGTTTGGAGTGTTGCCATTTAGAGGAGTGACGGCATCTGAGTCGGTAAAGACTAACTTCGTGTCGGCGCTAGTGCTTGTAGTGTCCTCCATACTGAAATTAAAGTATACAAATGTCAATATACAGTGGTTAAAGAGTATGATTGATGATGCTGTACTATACACTCAGATACGGTCAGTGTCTCGAATATGTACCGTTATATTAGGGGACGGACGACGTCCTGAAGCAGATTCTGTAAATGAACGCTGTAGTTTATGAATACAGAGCAAGTGATAGTGATTGGTCAATATTAGTGTGATGTGGAGCACATAAACCAGTGGCTCTGACGTCGGAGGTCGATTGTATCAATGATTTCTACCAATTAAAATTGGTAGTTTTTCCAGTAGAATGCTGTCATATTTTATATATCGATTTTAGCTGTAAACGTCAATATATTGATGAAGTAACCGAACGTAAACATTTACATGATACTATGGAACTCATAAAACCCTTTCTCGACCGATTGGGTTTTATCAAGGTAAACCTAACGAAAAAACCCGTAGTCTAATCATCAGAGTTTTTATATGATGCCGATGCTTATAATGATGATTTACCCTATTGGAATCTAGACTATAAACGTCCTCATTTGATTATTCCATATACATTGACGAATAATGACATGAAGTTTGTCTCGCCTCAAGGATTTAACTCTGGAGATCAATTTTTTTACCTACTTGATTTAAGATACTCTTGATGTTTTATTGCAAGAAGGACGGAATGGACAAGGAAATATGATGTCGGTGGGATTACATTGTCGTATGGTAGGACATCCTGGACGGATTGCGGCAATATTACGCTTCTTAGATTATGTCGAAAGCTTTCGCGACGTGTGGATTTGTAAACGTGAGGAGATTGCACATCATTGGTATAAGGTGCACAAAGAAGAAGAAGAATGCTGATGCTGTTGCTACTTCTACTGCAAATTCGAAATTATAACGTCTTGCGGGGCTATTTGTTCGTGGTAGCGTCCAGAGAGAGAGAGAGAGAAGAGCTGATGCATGAATGGATGAAAAGAACTTCTAATTAGTATTACGCCCACTATTCGTCAAGTGGTCAAGTTTTGCTGAGCTTCTTGTCAGCCTCGGGCTTCTTTGCACATGGCTTTGTAAAAAAATATTGTGTTAATCTACCTGGGCACAATCGCACCCGTGTCAGAGCCGTTCATACTGCTTGCATTGCTGATTGCAAGCCATGCACTCTCGGCATCTGTGAGCTCCTTTAGTCGAGCGAGGATTGGTGCTTCCTGTGTCGGATCTAAACTTCGAGCAAATAGGAGCTATGGGTATAACAACAGTGAATTAGACGTTGGCACGTAGATGTCACGATAAAAGGCATTGAATCGTACCTGCTCCACATCTTTACGAAGAAAACGAATTGCCTTCTCGTGGCGATCTCTTTCAACGCCTCTCTTGTACAATGGGTATTCGCCTTGAGGGTCATTGATCTCGTCCTTAAGAAATGAACGCGACGAATATGGCACTACACGATAGCGGAGATTTACATGCAAATACTTACTAAGCATAAACACTAAATGTGCAATGTATCCCAAAGCTGTCGAAATCATTTCCTCATCTGCTCTGCCGCCGCCACCTGTGAGGTCTGAGTTGGCGATACGAATTCCACGGATACTGTACTCGCCAGCACCTACATATTCGATGGGGTATACAGTGCCGAGCTGCTTCACGAGCATTGCTTGTCGAGAACGAATCTTATGCGCAGCACGCAATACTTCACATCGACGTTCAAGGATGTTTTGGCGTTCTTCCTTGTACCGCATAGTCATCTGCATTGTGCTCACAAGTGCCTTCGCAATATGAATATCAGTCTCAAACGTTCTGCGCTCGTCCTCCATCACGGCTTTAAGCCGCGCCAAAGTGTGCTGTTTTTCTCCCACTCGCGCCCTTGTCACGCGTACACGCTCCTCGAGCGTCGTACGCTGCTGTTCGCGCGCAATTCGCTGTTGAGAGTGTAGCAATCTGTTCCGAATTCGTTCCTTCAGCTCTGCATTCTTAGCAGTCAGCTCGGTAATCGTTTGTTTGGTCGTCAAAATATGTTCGAGTGCATCCACACCTGCATGTAAGCTGTAGTCCTTCAACGGTATGGCTGACCCTTTTCTCCTCGAGTGTTTGACCGCAATAATACCCTTTTCAAATAAGAGCTCAAGCACTTCACGATGCACGTACATGTGGCCTGAAAACTCGAACAAGCAAGTATTTAGTGGCAGATTCGTCAAATCTGTAAGAGCTACAGGCAATGGTTCGAGTTCTCGCACTCCAAAACTAAGACTCATAATATCTTCCTCAAATACTTTCGAGCCGTTTCCATTCATACTGCCAGCCTGCGTCGATGTTTCCGAGTCCGTCCTTCCATCGTTTGTGCCCAGATCATCAACATCATCAAAACTAGTTTTCGCGTCAGCAAACGATCGTGAATTGTTAATGGGGTGATCGTCTCCAAAGGACAAACGATCACTTGTCACACATGACTTTCGTCGTGATCTCTTTACTGCCTTTCGATCATGCACACGCACGACGACAATGTCAAATCTAGTTCCACCAGTCAGCAGCGTTTCGATTCCTGTCAATCCGTTACTACCACTCTCATCCTCCGACTGGAATGGCACCCACACAGGATTTAGCGTATTGCGTGCTACTTCACTCTCATACACAATCCGACCGTCTATCACTGCAGCACCATCGACATAATAATAGCAATAAACACAGTCATTACAGGCCAACCAACAGTAGCAATACTCAATTCATCCATTCATCCATCTATCCATCCTCTGAGGTTCTACTTTACCTAATTTAAAATAAACGTTAAGTAAGGAATCACCACTTGTACCATTAATCGATAAGTTGCGCATACTAAAGCCACTAAGTTGCTGTAACGTAACAGTAGTTGAACGACCAGTGGGTGGTTGAGTCGTCCACGTTGGTGCGATACTACTAGCGGTCATATTGATCGCCCCACCAAAGCTACCAGCAATACTCGACGGTGTTATCATACAGGAAAATGTAGAACCGATTAAACTTGAATTTCGTATAGATATGAACCTCGTTGTACGTTAATGATTGCGTCAAGAAACGTGGAGAGGAAGCCACCAGTCAATTAAATGCCTTCCTGCACCCAAGAAGGGGGAAAATAATTGCTCAAAGCAAAATGACACCGAATGTACAATAGATGGTGCAAATTGGACAGAAATTGTCTAGCGACACAAAACCTGGTCGAGAAAAATTGCGATTGAACGATTTTTTCATTTTAGCGAATCAGAAAGAAGATAAGACAACTTCAACGTAAAACGCGTCAAGTATCTAGGCCTTTTCCTGTAATTTGTAAGATGAGTCAAAAGAAGATAATTATTCGAGTAAGATATTCTTATTCCGATATATCTACTACGTATCTAAAAAGTAAGTGCGTTATCGTGGACACATATAATCTGATATTTCGATACGAATGTCTCATCTCCTGTGTCATGTCGCACTTTAACGCTATACAAATTGCGTTACAATAAATGTTCTGGTGATACCAATTTCAATGTAAGACATGAAAGCGGCTGGACAGAAACAGTATGTAGATTATAATGATTCGTCTGACCGAGTGACTACTGCCCCTCTCAATTCCGTTGCAAGCGATATACGGCAGCAATACTTCAAGTTCTTGACAGGCGTCGCGACGAACGGTCTAGAACGTGAACATTATGCAGTCGTATTTAGGTCTTTTCTTCTTGTCGATTGTAAAGCCTTTGATACTAGGATTAGCTCATGAATCAGGCCACAGCATTACTTTCAAACTAACTAAGCTGTAAATCTACCACTGGCATCGTTTTTTGTTGTTGTTCTACTTTATACCTGTTTGTTGCGTTCGTTTTGCCAACCGTTTCGTTGTCGGGTGTCTTGTGTCCATGAGTTTTTTTGTTTTGTTGACGGACGAGCAGCCGCCTTAAATCAAGGGGCTATCTCTTTTGCTATGGTGAATATTTCAGCGTGTTACAGTAAAGACACGAACGTGACAACTTGTTCGAGGAAAGGAGGACGTGAAACATGCTCAATTGGGCACCAAGCACCAAGCTTGATGTGGTCCTCGCATCCTACAATACGCAAGACACGTACGCGTGTTGAAGAAGAGAAGTAGAGAAAGTAGCAATCAGAGCAAGGTGCAGCAGAGTGGACTTGGTTTGAATGAAGTTCAAGGCTCAATTGACAGCGACACTGTAGTGGATGAAACAAAGCAGAATGACCAACCGCAACACGAAGTGACTAGCGAATGTTTGCTGGAAGGTCATAGCTCTAGCTCATGCAAAACACTTGCAAGTGAAGACGACAACAACAAGCTGCACGATCGCGAGGAGGCAGCATACGTGCTCGATTCTAGCAGTAATGGATTTAGTGGTGTGCCGCCAACGACTGATGTTCCGTATCACCAAACAAGTGTAGCCAAACTTGAAATGGATAAAATTTGAGACGGTTTATATTTGACTGGTGGCCACGCGTTCATTATTGAATATGGAAACCAAATCAATAACAAAAGCTTGCACGTCGTCGGATGAATGCGATTGGCGTGCATGTGTAGAGTACGAGATAAAGTCCGTTGTCATAGGTGACATGAAGGTGCAAGTTTTCCAAATGGAAGAGCTGTCTGTGGCTGCATCACTCTTTATGTTGGCTGAGATGGATGCGAATGTGGCAGAGATCTCAGGCACACGCCTCTGGACAGGCTCATATTTTCTCTCACGGGTAAGTGTTAGTACTTGTATGAGATCAATGGCTAACAAGTGCTGCTTGCAATTGTTAAGAGGTGTTGACGTTTGTGATTGCAGCATCTATGGCGTCATCCAGAGCTCGTTCAAGGCAAACGCGTACTGGAACTTGGAGCTGGCACTGGTATCTGCAGCATTGTGTCGTCTAAGCTTGGTGCAGTAAAGTGTCTGGCTACGGATGGTGACGAAGCAGTGGTGGAGCTACTGACGAAAAACGTGCAAGTCAACATGGTAGAAGACGTTGTGACGACTCGCTCGCTGTTTTGGGGCGATGAGCCATCGGCACAGACATTGTTGGACGAATTTCCTGGTGCTTTTACGGATATCGATATTGTGCTGGCTGGTGACGTGCTTTACAAAAGAGAACTGCTGCCGCTGCTTTTTGCTACTGTCACGAAAGTGTTGACGTTAGGCGATAATAAACGAGTGTTCGTCTTGTGCCATATCCCTCGAGCTGATGTGACGCACGACCTCGTGCAGAGACAAATTCTCGACTCAGGGCTCAAGTTTGAAGAGGCCAAAGTGCCCGTGAAAAGCTTAGTTGATGCCGCGAATGAAGTAAAGGAGTGTCCTGTGGAGGATGTCGAACGGGCGAAGCTGTATTATATCACAAAATAATCGTATTTGACGCTCCAAGCAGAATAAATGGTGTTCTCTGGGTATGCTGCGTGCTTGCTGTACTCAGAACGAGCTGGGTTATTGGTGTTGTTGCTTCGTTCCACAGACATCGTTACCGTCCTCATCACTTGAGTCCGAGTCCAGGAGGCTGAAAGCGTTGATAGGCGCTGACTGTTGGTTGTATCGTCTTGCTGGCTCTGCTATTGAGACTTTCATTCCTTCTACCTTATCCAAGCTGTCTTGGTCATGGACTCCAACGTCACTCGCCACATCTTTGAGATCAAACATCTCCTGCTCGCAGTACGGTGCAATACTACTTGGTGTGATATCCTTGCCAGTGTAGTCAGGGGGTAGAAAAAAGAGGGGTAGAATGCCGTCCATTGTATCGCGAACCAGCTCCGATCCAGCACGTTGGTGATCAGGTCTACCACGGCGGTCTGTGCGATAACCACGCTTCTCCGCGTACGCTTCACACAGAGTCCATGACGTCCATTTCTGCAGAAAGGATAGAAGTAGATTGAAATCGTTAGCATCCATTGCTGAGATCCAGTGTAATGTCATAACCGTACTAGCTCTTCCTCTAGGCCATCGAAATGCTGTGTGCGAGACTTCAAGTCCAAAATTCGTTCCAAAACAACATGCTCTGCCAGGAAGCGCACCGCTGAGTATGGCTCACGAATCTGGCCAACGTCACAAATGCAAGTATGAGTCAGCCATAAAAGCACATTTAGTCGTTTGAGCCAAGGCTCTATGACTACAACCCTCCTCACCTGTGAGTACGGGTACAGTCCACTTAGCTCTTGAAGATACTTCGGCACACCAGCAAACGGAAATACGAGACCAGGACAATCGCAAATGCAGATTTCAGGAGTAATCATGATTGATTGAAGTCTCTTCGTGTGTCCTGGCGTGTGCGAGACACTCACGATCTTCTTGCCGGCAAGAGCGTTTAATACACTAGACTTACCCACGTTTGGATGTCCAATGAGACCAATGGTCACTTTTGGTCTTTTGTTGAGGCCAATCGCTTCAGCGCTACCAGCAACTACGGGGTCAGTAAACGTCGCAGCGGTTGCAGAAGACAGGCGCACCTGGAAGTGGCCATTGAGCTCTGTGTGCTCCTCACGGTCGCATCGAGCGCACAGTAAATATCCTCGAGCAATCGCATCCGCTTCGTCCTTGACATTAGCATCGGCGCTGCCTGGACGCCCACCAGTTGCGCATGACATGCAAGCGGTGACGGCATCGTCACATCCACAGTGCTGACACTCATGAAACATGGACAAATCATCGTCACTGGCTTTGTCCTGTCGGATACCACCATGACGCTTCTGTTTGCGCCTACTTCGTCGCTTGCTGCTCACTTTTTTCTCTTGCATCGCATCAGATTGCTGCTGCAAGCCTTCATGGTCCATTAAGCTTGCATTCAATTCTTCAGCAAGCTGTTGTGCCTCTGTAGTAGCAATACCACAAGCCACAAGAATGTTTACCGCCCCTTTGATCGCTGATGCATCTCCAACCTCCAGTTTTTTGCTGTACAATGACGAAGAATGCATGTTACATTAATCTCCATCTGCTTGAGTCGAACCTTGCAAGCAAACCTCTTCTTTACCTAAGTACACGGCGTCGAGCGCTAACATTGTTATCACCATGCACAGCTTTCGAGCGAGAGGAGAAGCAGACAAGCTGGGCAAGAGGGAACGGGCCAGTCAGGTAACGCTTCCAAAGCTCAACCACAGCAGTTGGAACGAGATCAACTTTATTGAGCACCACAACCAATGGTTTCTTCAGCTCCTTGGTGACAAGGTCGTATACGGATGCAGGAATATGAAGTAGCGGGTTTCGCACATCGGCCACGACCACAACATGCGTAGCTCGCTCAGTGACGCGCCAAAACTCGCGCCAGACCTCCAGATTGTGTTCAAAGTGGTTTAGATGCTCATTGTCATACTTGTCGTGAATCTTGGTCAGCCACTGGTCAAACATGAGACTCTCATTTCTCTCCACTAACAGTCCGACAAAAAAACACCAAACCACACACAATACCAATCAAATTCAAAGCAACACATTCCATCAGATTCAATGTACACACACCTTTTTCCTTGGACATATCATACGTCCATTTCGGTCGTTTGGGGTGGTCTAGAATCGGGTCACGCTCATTCACCACAGCAAGCAGCGGCATCTCTCTCTTGTTTAACTCCAACGGTCGTTGTCCTTCCATTAGTCTCATCTGGATCTGTTCCTTTGTCTCTTTCACAAAATAGCTCGAGAGCTCTTTGCCTACCGCATCCTTATTGTTCTTGCCTAGAGCCACCGTGAGTTTCAATCGAGCACTGAGATCATTGTCTAGATCAATATTTTGAGCAAAAAAGTCTGGCTCGGCTCGAAAAGCTTCAGCCTCTGGATCTTCATTGTCATTTTTAGATTCTTTTGCTGGTTGATTTGTGTAGAACGCTTTGTATTGCGCGCTCTGCAGATCCAGCAACGCTTCCTCGTCTCTTCGAGAGGTCAGGCGCTGCTTGCGTGCACGAAGCTGCTGCTTCTTTTGCTTGCCACTAAAGTTAGCAGTTGCAGTGGTCTTTATACGTTCCTTACGCTCTTTCTTGAGTGCGTCCAGCTCCTCTCGGCGGCGCGCCTGCAGTGCACCTTCACGCTTGGCCTGCTCAAGGTGCACGTCCATCTTTGGCCAGCCAGTCTCAAGTCACTAAAGTAAGGTTTTGTTTTACTGAAGTAATGGAACAGATGAACGAGAGCCATTGCCAAAGATGGCTACATTGTCTACAACGCTTCAAGATCGCTTATTTATAATAGTAACCTTTAGCGACGAGGTTTGCTGCGACGGATGTAATGACGCTGTTATCATAATGAAGAAAGTAAATACCAGGCGAGTGAGTGAGCTGGTCAACTATCGTGCGTGCAGATAGAAAAGCCTTACAAGCTTGAGCACAAAAGAGGCAGCAGTGGCCTATGGCTGCACGTTTCGCATCAAGAGATATGCTGCAAACGCCAAGGCCAGTGACTTGGATGACAAGATCCGCATGTCTCATGTGCTACAATTTGCGGTTGCTACATGACCGACAAGATCGTTAGTTAATCTTGCAAGTAAGGCCGCGAGAAGCAGAGGAGAAGTGGCGTAGTGTCGTCATTGCGTAGATTAATCGAGGTCTCAATGTCTGCACGATTATTGGCGACGCAAACGCCAGCCAGATAGATTGAGCCATATTGTCTTGAGCGCCGTGAACCATGTCATGATGCAAGACGACATTCGAATCTTGTATCGTCAAAGCTTTGCAATGGCTTTATAGATGACAGTTCACAGCACCACCTGAAAGGTCATCGATGAATGATTACTGCTTGTAGCCAATGTATGATGTATTATGTTGTAAATGATTGCTATGTTACGAGAAAGAAGCTCAGTAATATGACAGTTGTCTGTGTGATACCATCGAAGGTGATGATGATGTAAAGGACAGCTGGAAAATCATTACTTAACCTATTAAACACCCGATTGTTTTATGTGTTTGTTGTTCGTGAGGAACTTATATACCTATAGAAATATCGTCTCGATTCTTTGCTGAAGTTGGCTTAAACTCAATGAGTAAGGAAACTAACGCCTTACCTGACAAGTAAGGCTACCTATTGGGTCTAGTGATCCATGGGTCTACAATTTATGACGGAGGTGGAATGGCCGTCTTTTAGGAACCCACTACTTTTGGGTGACTAAAGGGGGCTGGTCCCCGCCCACCTAATCAAAAAGTAGAAGCAAAGAGGTTTGGACATTGTAGTTCCACGAGTGACGTTTGTTGCTAATTGAGTCATTAGCATGTTATTCTAAAAGAACGATAGTATTTTCAGCCAATGAGAATAATGGTATTACTCTACGAAACATCACAATATACTTGCTCCTCTTCACTATGCCGGCGTCCAAGGTCCAGACGCTTCTTACACTCTTATACACGCAAATGACATGATTCTTATATGTATTTGTTTGTGTATGTATTACATTGTATCGCTTAGCCCAAATGGAAGAAAATCCTATATGCGCCACAGCCGTATGAGGACAATTACGTGGACGAAACGTTTCTTGAACAGATGCGGACAAACGGTACACTAAACGTCACAGTCTCATGTTATCTAGTCAAAAGAATCTTATTGTCCTTGTACGTGATGCGATAGCATACTAACTACAAGTTATTACTGCAGCTAATGTACGGGAACACGACTATGGAAGTATGGTCCGTTCGGCTGCTGCCATTACGCAGCAGATTAGCGCCGTCCTGATCTTCTTTGTGCGTTTTGTGAGCTCTGAATGCGCTTCTAGCTGTTTCGTTTACGTTGTAACTGTTAGGTTGTTTACTGTTTGTTGCCTTTACTAGTCAGTGTTTGAGTTTGTCTGTCACGATGCCGTCTCCGCTGTGGTACTAGGCGGTATTGATGTATTCCTGGCCGTAGCTGGGTTTATCGTACTTCGTATTTATCTTGGTCTACCTCTACGTAAGTAGATACGTTGCCAAATGCACGATACGTCGGCGTATTACTACTGACTGAAGTTTAATGGACTGGGTCAGACACGCTGGATACGCTAAACTCGTGTCTTTTATTCTGTGCTACGCTGTCGCTCTTGTCGCCCGTGCTACGCACGCTTACTAAATCCTATGCAGACGACACGATATGGGCGTTGGCGACGTTTCTTGGCTTACTACACCTCATCACGCACGACTACAACTACGTTAACTCTGGCATTGGCCGGTAAGGAGGCTCTTGTATTGTTACAGTACTGACGATGCCGATTCATCGTATAGCGTTGACGTTTTTGCTGCGATTGCGTATTGAACGGCAGCTTTAGCGGCACAATATCGCTCAATGCCGCGGTCTTCACGGCGGTGCTGCTGGGCTCGCGGCTACAGTCGAACGAGCACGTGTTTGCGTTTGTCTTGTTGGCCATTGAAATCTTTGCGATGTTTCCAATCTTTCAGCGGGAGGTGAAGGTGCGCACATGTGGAGGGATAACACTTACTGCTTGTCTGCAAATCGTACGGAGCTCATTCGAAGCATGCGTTGTCTTTGTGTGCTGTTTGTCGCCGGTAGCGCTACTCTGAGAAGCTACACCTCATGACGACTGCCGTGCTCTTTGCGCTCTCGTTGGCATTGACCTGGCAACTCTCGGGACTGCTAAGCGTTGTTTCAGGCGCTTTGGTGCTTTTCCTGGCCTTCGTGTGCCCGCTTTGGTTCATGCATGTGCAAGAGTCAAAAAAGTACGTGGACTGAATTATCATTTCCGTTATTGAGCAGAAGATGCGCATCGGACTGACGCATGAACATGATTCTTGCAGCGAGATTCTAGGTCCGTGGGATATCGCCCACATCCAGCCAGAGCAGTAACAACCTGTCATAAATGTCGCGCAGGACTTTCTAGCAGCGATAGTAGACGTCGAATAAGGGCATTCATTGGTGCATGTAGCTCCTCACCGCCACTGTTCGTACGGAACATGATTAACACATGTTACCGTTAGTGAACGCACACGTCGCAGTTACTTCAAGCGGCACCGTGGTACATCGTTTCGTTCGTCGCATTTTCTTTCGAACCGCCAGCGGTACCTCACGATGCTAACTGTAATGCTCTTCGTAGTATCTTTTGCCTGCACATGCCTCTTCGCACGGAATGGCAGCATCTTACATTTGTGCTAGGGATTACTCGCCGAGCACGCTTAAGATGAGACCATCGCCGACGGCGGTCCCTTCTTCCGCCCTCAGCTGCCGTCGTGATACAGGAAAATTGCGCAAGATTAGGGCGGTGAGGTGGCGTCATCTTCTCAGTCAGCGCACCCCTTCGCGAAACTAGCGTCGCTGCGAAAGTAGCCACCTGTAGAATAACCGTGTCCCAGTAACTTGCAGTTCACTGCTACTGATCAACGTTTGTCGACCACTTCAACGCCATTGACAAAGGCTTGAATGGACTGCACGGGGCAATGGGTTCGTTTGTGTCTTTGTGGGAACCATGCTGCCCATTCATTGATTGGTCGGTCTGAAGCGCATCGTGTCCCTTCGAATGCAACAGAAACAGTCTTATGTCGACGTTCTAATGTACATGGACACTACCAGCTGCAACACTAGCGAAAAAAGGCTGTTGTGCCATCCATCCTCATGATGTTTAGCTTTATGAACGTCTCATTACTGTGTAACTCATGGGTCAAACGGTCTACATTTGAGCAAAGAGTGTTCGTTCGCAGCAAACAATTCTATACCCGAACGAGTTGACCCTAACCGGCAAACATACGGCCGTTAACTTAACTTCTTTTTTCAGCCAATCATGACGTGCTTGAGCTGATTTATTCCCCGCCTACTGGAACTTTCCGCGAACCCTGTGTCTCGGTGCTGTACCGGTAAATTTGCCTTCACTTCAATGCTACAGCACCTCCCCACACGCCAGACTAAGGACGCCATCAGATGGTCAAAGATTATCCATATGCATGGCTACGGTGATGATTCTACACGTTGTCAAGCAGTTCAATGCTCTGACGAGTCTTTGCCAGCGCTCGTTGATCATTAGTTAGTTAGTAGTAGACAATGGTTTGCATCGTACATTCGAAAAAACCCGGACCGTAACGGTGGGCGTCGTGCAATGGCGGCTGATGATGACGAAGCGGGTCGGGTTCTCCGTGACCTTCTATCAAATGACTTATATTTTATGAAATAGCTTCAACGACAACGGGTTGTATACTAGAAACCCAGAAGAATGCTTTTTAATGCTTTGATTGGTCAAAAGCTTCAAGCTGCACGGCGATTGGAGCATATCGAACCCATCGCACGGCCCGCGATGAGTCGGCGGGCGGCATTCAAAAGAAAAAAAAGGAAAGATTGCTTTGGTTGCTCATTTGAGTTTTCACCAACAAGAGCACACATCGATCGTGTGTGTTTATTAACGTCCTTCCTTCTTTTTTCGTTATCTATTGTCCATCGCCTCATTCATTAGACACCCTTCAAACACATCCACGCTTTTGTTTTCCCACCGTCTTTTGTCGTGCTCTTGTATCGTTTGTGAGTGAGTGGGTGTGTGCACATTATCGTCATTCTCTCGAGCGTGTGTCGTCATCACTTGTAGAACAAGTAAGCTCTTCCCTACTTTTTCTTCTTCTTCTAAGCTATCTACGTACAAACACGATGGCCTCTGCTGCTGTTCTCAAGAGTGTACGATCGCATCCCAAGCTCCTGTCACTGCAACACGTGGACGATGCTTTTTTTGCCTGTAATCGTGATGCACCGATGACTCCTCTGGCTACTGACTCGCCGCTTTTCGTTGCCGCTACCGTCTCCCCACGTGATCCTACTGCTAAACTAGCGGCTGCTGCTTCGTCTTCCGTGGTCGCTGACTCCAAGTCGCAGTCCAGCAGTTCCACTGCTTTTGCTAGTCACCGTGTGTGTATCCCATCATCATCGTCAACCTCGAGTGACGTGTCGGATGAGGAAGACGATGATGTTGAAGACGTTACACGGTCCACTTGCTCATCAGGCAAACCTACGAAGAGTAACACTGGTCGTTGGACGGAAGCTGAGCACAAGCTTTTTCTGCAAGGTCTCGAGACTTTTCCCTATCGTGCCTGGAAGAAGATTGCGACACTCATTAAGACACGCACTGTGGTGCAAATCCGTACCCATGCTCAAAAATATTACCAAAAATTGGAGAAAGAGGAGGCTCGTCTCAAAGAGCGTGAAGCTCAAGACCGTGCTGCTATTGCTGCGGGTGCTCTTCCCCCTTCGACACCGACAAGTCCTTCTTCGCAGAAGAAAAAGATGCACTTGATGCGCAAGCGTAAGTGCTCAATGCTGGACATGGACACGGACACTGATAGCGATGCAGCGGTATTACCTAGTCTACCCAAGCGCCTTGCTCGTGAACAGCCAGTAACTGCTCACATGTCCCCAAAGCAAAAGATGTCTTCTTTCTCCAATAACAAGACGTTCTTTGGGAACCCTATGGATCCCCGTTTCATGTTTGGTCGCAATATGAAGAACCATGCTGGCATGCAACCGCCTCACCAGTTGCCGTTGGATTTTGCTGATGCTGCGGCTGAAGTCATGATCTTGGACTTTGCTGAAGATAAGGCTCTGGCTGAAGAATACTCGCTCGATTGTGTGGACCAGACCCTAGCGTCTATTGACAATGATGATTTGCTGCAACTAACGGAAGAAGAACTCGAGTGGTTCTCCACTACGTCCACGGAGCAGAATTTGACGAGTGATGATGTTAAGACTGCTAGTGAGACTGTGAGTGCTGAATCGTTTGCTGATCTTGGAGTTGGCGCTCTGGACGGCGACAATTTTGCAATGGACTTTTGCCTGGATGATGACGACGACTTTGTACTGGACCCTGAGAAATTCCTGTCGAGCTATTTTGCCCCGAACGAGTAGGCTTAAAGTGGAAAGGGCGACGTCGTGGTGGTCACAAGTGCTGCAGCTTCCTCGAAGAGCGCCGCCCTAATTGTCCGTCCGTCCGTAGTTCAGTCTCTTGAGACCTTTTGCTAACTTCATGTTGCGTTGTTGGCTGCTGTAGCTCCGTTGCCCGTTGTTGGCACTCGCTCTCCTGCGGAGAAGCGTATTATTATTATTCAAAACAATTTTTCCTCTCACATCATCTGCTTCATGTGTATATTCAACAGCTTTGCTGACCTATTCGTGTCTTATGTGTGGCAGCAGCCTACTGACGATCTCAAACATTGCTGATTTCATACATTAGTACACTCTGATCATGATGGACGACAGCTATTTTCACAGGCACGTGGTCCAAGGATGCATTTTTCAAATCTTCTCGAGCTTTACTACGTCTCATCACGTCTCGAAAACTTCGTAGACTTGGTGCCGCATCTTCAAAACGACATACAGCCACACGAAAGACAAGCATGAATGTTTTCTTGTGCTTGCGTTTCTTTTCTTGATCTCCAGTCACATGCATGGTGATTCCTGTCTTTGCTTGCTCGACCTCAATGGACATTTCAGACGGTAAATCGTCCAGTACAATCGTTTTCCAGACGTCAAATGCAACGTCACAAGGCTCAATGTCGTTCATATGACGAGGAAGACTTCGCATATCCTCACTACTAGTAGTCAAGTGTTTCAAAGGATTGAGACATCGTCGTGGATGGAGTTTTTCGTCTTTTAGAAACGCATAAACTTCCAAGCAAGCAAGGGATACACGTGTATCATTGGCTATGATTGTTGTAAACTCTACAATACTTAATGGTTGACGCTCTATGTCGTGTAAAGTCACGAGATAGATGACCAATGCTTGTCGTTTTAAGAGATAATAAGCTTCCTCGGGGTAAAGTGATAATCCCGTGAATGGCCCAGTGAGGAGTCGTGGTGTTGAAAGTGTCCGTTTAGCTACAACAAAAGAGGTAGTAGACTCTCGATACTGTTGTTTCTTGGTACTGGATCCCATATTAAATAGCAATCGACCACGTTGGTGTGTAATGTACGTGAGTCCTGTCACGACGTCATATTCACCCACAGAAAAAGCTTGAGGGAGCGTGGAATTGGCCATTAGCACATCAGTGGCATGTAGTAATATACATGTGTATACATATGGTCATTCTTGTAATTTTACAAAAGTTATCTTTCACTTTGTATAGGCTCTGAAAATATTTGGCATAAAGGACACATTGGAATCAATACAATTCGGTTTTAGTTTTATCGCAAATCTTTTAATTTGGGCGGTTCCACTGCTACAATTCGTCGTCGTAATTCCCTCGAATTTATTGGTAGCCATTCGTCATTATCTACAGACTCGCCCTGCTCAAACCATCGATACAATAACAATAAATATACCAAGACAAAAACTCTATACACATTGAATAAAATCCCATCAACTAGATAAACATCTCGCACCTTGTAATGTACACGAATAAACTTGCCTTCCACTGCCACAACTTTGGCCTACATCGCACCACCACCAGACATCAGCAACAAACAAAAAACCTCATCCCAATAGTACAATAATTCATACCTCAGTGTCCTCAAAACGAATTGTCGAACCTTTAATCGTTAGATACTTGCAAACAGCACCTCCATCCTTTGATACACTTGTAGGTGTCGTTGCACGAGCTTGATTAACCTTTGACGTGACTTTATTCTTCTTCTTTAATGGTGACAACTTGAATGCAGAAGCTGGAACTTTGGCCGATTGTTTCTTCTTGGAGCTAACCATGACTTCTTTTTTTCGCTTCAGACTGCCATGGGTCGCACTCTTTAACGCGGTGCCACTTCGACGCCCAGCTCTGCCACTAGACAAAGCGCACGGGGTTCGTCCAGTTTCCCAAGTGACACAACGATGACACAGTAGCGACTGAGGCAGATCATCAGCTGCCATTGCAGCGAGATCAGGGTGAATACAACGAACATGGGCCCATATTTTGCACTTCGAACATTCAAACCATTGTTCCTAGCATACAAATAGCCCGTTAAAATTATGGCAAAACACTTGCTCGTCATTGCACACGATAGAAAGCATACTCGCGTCCGTACGTACCTCTATTACAGCTTGAGGGCTGCTACTGCTGCAATACTTGTTGCACTTGCAGCTAAAGATCCACGGGTCTTCACCCAAGAGTTCCGGGCTACACGGAGGCTCTTCAAACAGCTGGGTAAGGAAAGAATCCATATCAATCCTTACACTGTCAGGCAGACACTTGCAAACCTAGTACAAACAGTAAGAAGGCAATCGATCGTGATCGGCACTCTTTGTCCAGCATGAAGGCACTTTTCGTACCTTAGCTCTCAATCCATATGGAACCCAATGCAGCGTCGCAAAGTTAACAGCTTCGGCGATGTTAAAACCTTGACACAAGCACAGTCTCGTGAGGCAACAATAACACCGACAACATCACAGAGCTAACGCGTTTACCAAAATTGAATCCCTGGTGATATGTTGCTGGAAAGGTTATCACAAACTCGCCTGGTTTCTGATATGCCCGATAAAATGGTACACCAAACTCTCTCAACCTGGTGGGCGAAATCATGGACGTCTTGTGACGTAGGAACTATATGCAACCATACATTTCGGTACACGTTTATTATGCAAGCATCACAATACGATCATGCTGACAATTAGTACCTGGTGGCATTCGTGATACTTCTCGGGAAACATTGACTGCGCAGCTCTCTCTAGCTGCGAGGCTACATGTCACAATAACGATCGCAATATTAATGCTGCACCAATCGACGTACATCCCAATGATCTTTGCCATCCTTACCAGCATCAGGAGGAACACCATACCAAAACTTGGGCTTTCCTGTGTGCAAGTAATTAATGCTGTATAAATCCATGTCTTCCTATAACAAGCAAACCTTTCATCTCAAGACACATTCCGACACTCAAGGTTAACAACATAGTAATTACTATACCGTATGGAATGCAAACATTGCTCTCCACATGCCAAAATACAACATCGCTTGCGTTACGCCAGGAAGATCAATTTTACGTAGAATAGTATGAAGATGATTTAAATTCCATGATGATGCAGCTGCATCGCCAAACAGTGAAGCCTACATTACAAATCATTCATCAACTTGTTAAAAACAACAATAGACCCCAGAAAGACACACCACAATAACAACACAAGGACTGCTTTTGACAGCCAGTAGTACTTACTACAATATCTGCTCCATAAATTGGTGGATCCATTGTTCCTCGCAGTCCTTTCCAAAACTTTCTTTCAATTTCCAATGGATCACCTGTAGTATCACATGTACAATATATATATATATATCGAAATAATCCATACAAGAATAGAATATCAATCAGTATTACAGGCACATAATAGCTCAAGGAAAATCACCCAAAATAACACCTTCCGGTTCTTTCTCCGTCGCACTCTCTGTCATGGTTTTAAACTCCAATGGACTCATAGTTCTCTTCTCTACTAGATCCACATTAAAAATACCCTTTTTACCAGCAACATGCTGACAAACAGGAGCGGAAACGTGACAATCTAGTTCCGAGACGTCATAGGAACGACTGAACCAACCACGCGGTGGAATTATCTGTATCCATTGTGATCACGATAATAAAGTAACAATTGTGTTATTTTGGGTTGTTATTTGTTTTCGACTTGTGAAGTAACACAATAATTGTTTTTTTCGACACGACAATTTAGTGATAAAACAATTTCTATCCTTGGTATTTCTTACCTTACAAAGACCAATACTGGCACATTGTGGCTCGACGACTGTACGAATGTAGGTAGTAAATGACTGGAACTCAGTACGTGTAGGATAGAATTCCGGACACCAAGTACCATTAGCAGAAGAGAAAGAAGGGGTAGAAGCGCCACGAAGGCACATGACGTGCTCCGATAGTAGGGAATATATAGATCGATGCAATTATTATGGAACGAAATCCTTTAGAAACGAATTAGTATAGGGTTGAACCTGTTTTTTTCGCGTGACCGTTTTTTTCAATGGCTTGTTTTTGTTCATGATTTCTTTTTGCTAATCGCTTACTTTTACTATTAATGAGTCCTCGATAGGTGGGATAAGGTAGGTCATACAATTAGAGAGCATTCGCTAATTTAGAGAAATAGTGCAAGCTCCTTATGATTGACGTATTTCACTGCCATGCGATGCTAGTAATAAGTATTTGCCCGAACAAGCGAGTCTTCTTCTCCATGCTACCAGTCCTGCTTCTCTCTCTCTCACACACAGACGCATACATCCTTTATGTCTCGCTGTACTTGGTCAGAACTGCTGAACATCAAACTGCGCAAAAAGGCTGTGGACTTCAACATGATTAGACACTGTCTTGGTGACGACAAAAGACTTTGATTCGGAACAGGGAATCTGTGCCATTTATTCTTATTGATCCGTCCAATGCCAGCGTCAATGAAAAGCCTATCAGTCCCGAGAACTAGCTTCATGAGATTGGACTTCTATTCGCCTTTTATGCAGGTCACGATCCTACCAGTAAATACACAATACATTACGTTAGTTCAATTCATCTTACTCAATCAAGTCATGAGGGCTTGGCTTGACAGCAATAGAGTTGTCTTACCAGTCAAATCCTTCAAAGAGTCCTGAACCTTGTGTTGCTGTAGTCTCCTTTATCGACCATTGACGGTTGCGAATGTCTGAAAGACCCATTGCGTCTGAAATCTATCAACAGTTTTACCATATCATAAAACCACGTCATTAGCGACTACAACACTCTCCAACATGTATCAATTCATAATGCTACCTGAGCTGCATTCAACGCCCCATTCTGGTCTTGTTTGTTAGCAAATACCAACAAGATCGCGTCTTTCAACTCTTCCTCCTGTATATCACACACCCACATCTCTATAACGTCAAATACACAACAACAACAACAACAAGAATAACGACACGAAAAAAAAACAATCCAGATACAGTCAAAAACACTCGCCTCAAGCATCGCATGTAACTCCTGCTTGGCAATATGAAGACGATCCACATCAGCCGAGTCAACAACGTAAATGAGAGCGTCCGTATTAGGATAATAGCAACGCCAATAGGGTCGAATACTTGTTTGGCCACCGAGATCCCACACTTGAAACTTAATATTTTTATACTGTAATGTCTCCATATTAAATCCTATAGTAGGTACAGTCTCTTCAATCTCATCGGCTTGTAAACGGTCTATACAAAAGACAAGATAAAATAAAACAAGAGACAGACAGAATGTTCATATAAAGTCGTAACTAAACATGAGACAACCCATATTCTCGACAAAGCAATGAACGTACACAATATTGTTGTCTTGCCAGCATTATCAAGGCCCAAAATTAATATCCGCACTTCTTTACTACCAAATAATGCTGCCAATACTTTTGAGATTGCAATTCCCATACTTTCTTCCTATGAAGAGGGGTTTATGATAGTAGATAGTTACTTATATATATATACAAGGATAAAAGGCAGTATCAAGAGGGAATCTTGTGACATCATGTATACTTGTACGAAATATACACTTTTTTAAACTATTTATCACCTAAAAGTCTTAATTTCTTATGTGGAGGTTCATCGTTGACAAAGAGTGCACGTAATGCAGGATACATCGTATCTGCTTGTGGTAATGCATCATCAATTGATTGATGATGCATTAGCTTCGTTAGTACAGCCATGATAGTGTCATCTTGAAGCACGGTGATCACTTGACTTGTATCATTACGACTGCGCAAATCTTGAAGGTAATCAAGTTTTCGCACGAGTTCTCTTAAGGTCGTGTCCTTGACAAGATCACCACCACCTTCACTGGCATTTTCCAAAGCACTACGCACGTAACTTGTGACACGATCAGGAAACTTCTCCATCCAACACGTTAATACTGCAAACGGAAAATTCTCGTATGTGTCAGGAAGCTTGAACACGCTCTGCAGCACACTATCATCAGGGCTAAAGTGAATCAGACACTTTAGCAACCCCGTCATCGTCTCTGGACTCTCCGTCGGGTTCGCGCAAGCCAGCACCTTTCTTGCCGCTGCCATCATGTTCTTTTCGGCGGCAGAGGAATGTCCTGACTGGAGCTCCGCGATCACGAGATCCCACATACCGTACTGCTCCCACGAAGTCCATTGTAATGACGAGAGCACGATGTTGGCCAATCGACTTTTGAAAATTGCAAACTCACGCATCACAACACGGATACATAATGCATTTAGCATCGCTGGTGTCACTAGACCAAGGAGTAACTGTACTAGCGCTTCGCTACGAGTCATCAGCTTGGAAAAAAACGGGTGCTCCAAATTCACAAATAAGTAGGGGCACACGAAAAGAGCTGTAGCACTCTGAGCATCCATTTCGTCCTTGGACACACCGACAGTCATCGGCTTGTCTAAATGAGCACACGCTTGTGCTCGCGCATCGTCAATCTGCTGACTTAGATTCAAGTCTTTCAAGATGTGTTCGGACATGTTGCCACCGATGGCATCAACAAATGCAGCATAAGGCCCCAGAGCAACCTCAGGACTCTTTCCATTGCTTCGTGAACAACAAAAAGCGAAAAGGCGGTAGGATACTGTGACATCTCGTGCATACATAGCCTTCAAAAACGGCACATAAATGTTCACAGATTCGCTGAGCACCTGGTCTAGTATCGAATCGAGCACACTCGCGGATGTGGCATTGGGTGAATCACTCAAGGCAATTCGTGACGACACGATAATCCTTTCCAGCGAGGCGTGCAGGAAGCTTCCCAAGGGAGCAGCAACTTCGACAGCGTTGTCATGTCGAATCCATGATATCAAAATATCGTTTAAACACTCCAGAAAGCTCTCCGTAGGGCGAGAACACGGTTCAGGTATTGATTGCTGAAAGTGCTTAATATCATCGCTCCCCAATACGATAATGCTTTCAGGAACGTCAACAACAGGATGCATATGAGAGATCATAGCCGCTGATGCTGTCAAAGCGAGTGCATCGCTACGAGTAGCCACCTCCGTCGTAGGATCCACTGTTTGTTGATTGTCGGGCAAGAAAGAAAGCGTGCCTAGAGATGTCGTGTCAGAAGATGTCCCCCCGCCAGACATACTTACGTCCGAATGTGTTGGACTCTGCGATCGTAACGGCAATGTTGTAGGGCTTCCAGCGCCAATAGGACTGCTTCGAAGTGGTGATTGGCGACCCGGCGATTCTCGAAGAGGCGACTGCCTCTCAGGCGACGAGGGTAGGCCAGGGGACTGAGCAGGGCTACCACTAACACTCGATAGTGGACTTGATAGTGAACTTTGCGCTTGAACACTTTCGGCGTTTTCAGCGGAAGGAAAGTGCTCCGGAAAAATTCGGTGAAGCTCTAACTGCAATTCTGGCGCACTTGACATCAGCATCGAAAAATTCTGGAGCGGACGTATAGACGGCACAACACCAAGCTTTAGTATTGTCGAGAACGCAGTGGATACACCCTTCTGCATGAGCTTTCGGTTGACAGCCGAGGCAGCAAACTTTTCCACAGCAAAGACAACGAATTGAATCATAGCGAGCGTTACCATGGGATGGCTTTTGAGCGATTTCACCTGACAATAATCGGTCACTTAATATTAGCACCGCTCAACTGATGACAGAAATAAGCCAACACGTATCGCACCATTAACAAGATTGCAGGTTCCACTGTCATGATGTTGTCCGACGGTTTAAAGTACAAGTAGTCGAAAAACATAGCAAGTTGTACTCGAGCCAACACACTGGGTGTTTTACTGCCGTGGCTATTCACGCATTACAAAAAGCAGCATATAAGCATCAACAGCAACAAAAGCAAACGAATGAAAACGCACCAGAGAAGGTAGAGCCATCCAAGAATATGGTACCGAGGCGTAACTTTCGAGTTTAGAACCTGGTTGGAAGGATGGTATACAGCGCAAATATACCGCACAAGATCAGGGACGAGTGCATCCGATCCTGGATTGCTCAGAAATTGGGATGAAAACCATTTTTGGTAGCGCGTTACGGATCCAGCTTGAACACGTTCCTAGAATCACATCATTCACAGCAAATGTACCGATTAAAAATTGCTTCTTGCATCGCACTTTGGTAAATACGACTACCACGTGCCATCATGAACAGGAGATACTCCTCCATTTTAGGATTCAAGCGATAAGCCAGGTACTTTGGAGGAGTGGGAATCGCCATCAACTGCGCCACGGAGTATGCCGTGACATCCTTTTCAGCTTCAGCAGTATCCCGCACGCTCCTCAATTGCTTCCAAAGCACACTCATTCCTGGGATCTACACGCAGCACAAAATTGTTCCGGTTACAAACACGTTGCACATAACGACAAAGCACGCAAACACCAACATACATCCTTTGCATCACTAAGTACGCGCACAATTTCTCGTCCAAGCTGTGCAACATCCTCCTGACGACGATTCCATAATGTCGTGCATAGCTCTACCTCCTGTTTCAACAAACTCGCATGTTGCGCAGCAGAGTGGTCAAGTGATATTCTTGCAAACGTGTGAAAAACAAACGGAATTAAACTTGAGCACGACAATAGCCAGGCTTCATGTTCAATGAGAATGCGAATCGTCGAGGATGCTAGCCAGACCGTTGTGCGACTTGGATCTCCACCCGTAAGATATCGCATCAAGCAAACAATCACCTTGTCTACACCTGATGCATTAAGATGCACAAGTTCTCGCACAAGCCACAATAATTGACTGCGACATGCGACTAGCAACTTTACAAACTTGAGATCAATAAGTTTCTGTAGCCATCCCATGCACGTTTTATAATTGTCAGGAGCTGCTGCTACGGCTGTCAAGTATCGAAGATACTGCTTTGATTGCATTGGTTCAGTCAGTATTGCATAGAGTAGTGCAATATCAGGCTGAAATGGTAAGGGTGTGACACCTTCAGCCGGTTGTTGCTTCAGTATCGAAAGTGTTGCAGTCTCGTCTTTTCCTTGTATTGTCTTCTGCATGTGATAGAAATGTGCATACCATTTCCGGTCCATTTCATCCGGTGCATCCAGTGGTAAGTGGTTAAGTAACTTGGAGTATGGCGTCGGTATGGCTGCTGCTGTCGTGTTGTTCGTTGAAGGTGTCGAAGAAACAGGGGACGATACATGTTTACTACTACTAGACTTTGGTGAAGCAGGGTGTGAAGTAGTACTTGTAGATGATGCGTGTTGTGGTGGTGGACCAGGTGGAGGTGGAGGCGGCGTAGAAGAAGAGATACCAAGTGGGGGCGGTGGGGGCGGGAGATTCATGACGTTTGGTTTCAAATGAAAATAAGCGACTAAAGTAGCAGCAACGTTTGGGAGGGTGGACTGAAGTAACCGCATTTTCAAAACCAACAGAAGAATTCGAGTCGCGAAATGAAAATATGTGGTAAGATATTTGCGTGATAAATTACCGACCGTAACGAAAAAGTATCTTTCCATGTAATCTGGTTCAATAGAAATATATTTCATACCACTTGAAGAAGAAGGAGAAGAAAGAAGAAGAAGAAGAAGAAGAAGAGAAGATGCTGACCGAAACGACGTATTATTTCTTTAAACGGAATGTCGTGCTTGGGACGAATGAACTGTACAATTGGAATACCGTCAGTAGCAGCAGTGACCGTGATGGCAGTGAAACGAGTACGGAGTCTACAGCCAAGTAGACGCAGACGTCGAGCTCGTAGCTTCGTATCCAGACGTACATCTCGTAGACTTGGTCATCTATTCAACAGCAGCTTTATCACTGAGTCGGAGAAGTTCCAGGACAATGATATGCCAAGACATGATGGAGAAGAAGAGACGGACAATGTATAGCATCCGCTCCAGTTCGGAATGGATTGCAGCCACTACCTGATCCATCCGATTATTACTTTAACCCGTACGCGTTCTCATCCCGCGCTGATCTCCCACAGCATTCAGGTCGTAACAAACTGTTGGAGTATTGGGAAAAGAATGTGATTTTGGCAATCAAGACCTATGTATCAGGATCTTTGAAAAGCTACGAAATGGACTACTTCTTTGCTCAGCTACGAGAGCCATTACGAAAAAGCAACGCGGCGGCAGCACTTAAGATTGCCTGTACACTATGTGACGGGCATGTACCTTCGGGTTGCCACTACCCGGATCCGGACACGGATTGGTCTGCATTGCAAATCGATGATATTGAAGTTAGTCGTCGCTACTTGATTGCTTCAGATAATGTAGATGTTGCAGACTGGCCACAAAATATGGTTTGGACTTTGCGTCGCTCGGGGGCAGTTCGACTGGTCAATCCGTCGGGCATGGTTTTGCTTCAAGTGGCAAACCCTGTGACAGCAGCGTCTGAGTACTGGTGGTACCAGATTGATAATCTGCGCTCAATATCGTCGGTAGCTTCTACTTCCGAGCAATCAGTCATTGGCTTCGAGGGCAGCAGATTGCGACTGAAGGCGGTAAACCAGCAACTTACTTACACTATAGCTCTAGAGAGCGTTTTTGACCTTCTTCAAGTTGCCCCTGATCATGCTATGAGAATATCAATCGAGACCAAGAAAAGAAGTCTAGCAAGGACGAGCTCTTCGCCTTTTTCAATGCCGTCGTCAGCATCAATGTCGCATATGCCAACGTCTGCAGTACAGCTCGTTCCACCGCTGGCCAGAGATTTGGAGATTTGCTATGGTCTAGCAGATCTACTCAGACTAGCTGCAGCTGCTAGTCTTGGGTGCCCCCAAAAAAGCTGTCTTTCAGAAACAATATTGATTTGATGCAAGGAGATGCTGCAGAAAGTGGTGATAACACATACTTGTGGTCTAACGCTCCTCAAAAAACAGCGTTGATTACAAAATTACAAACAGTGTTGAGCTAGCAGTTTGAACGCGTTGCTGGGAATACCCCGCCCCGTGTCAGATACAGATGCAGGATTTATAATGAGGATGCCAGATTTACCGTAACAATGTCGACAAAGCTGCACAAAACACGTGGAAAACCAATTGCCGTTGTAGGCAAGGTAGCTGGTGCATCTGGTGGAACCTCTATCAATTCTACTGCAGCCTCCTCTACTTCACCATCGATGGGTATATCAGCTTGCTGCAACCTACGCAACCAAAACTGCAACAACCCGAGGTAGTATCAGCATGCTCGATGCGGAAGCATCGGTTTTTGCTGATCGAGGCACTACTGAATGAGGTCAAGTCTAGTCTCACTTTGTCAAGCTCCTTCTTGCGGAGTCGATCGTTTACGGTGACGAGCGATAGTCCTCCACAGACATTAGCTCTTGTACACGTTCCCGACGCGACGTGCATTGTGTTGTCTTTTGCTGTGCATCCAGTTCTTATGGATCTCCCTGCAGGCAGCTGTCTGGAGTTTTTTCGTGATGAGCGGTGTACTGATCGCTTGTTTGGATATTTTGGAGACAAGAATGGACTTCATTATCTTCCACCACTAGTTATTCCAGGTGATCGATGCTACGATCGAATGTCACAGGGCACGTATGCTCGATACAAGTTTCTAGTGGACGCGTTTTCAGCTGACTTCGGGCTGGCGCTCTGGTTGTGTGAAGAAATTTACCAGAAGTTGTTATATGTTCACCTTTCTCACTACGAGGTGGAAACGGTGCTCACTACAGCCCTGGACGCGTTGGCAGACTACCTTGTTCTCACTTGTGACTGCATGCCGTTTAATGGCAAGAGTGCCATTCACCAAATCACGGGGAAACTGATTAATTTTGCGATGAGCAAGGGCGTCATGCACTCTGTGCCGATTTCAAAACTGTCGGGGCTTGCGAAAGAGCTAATTTGTGTACGACAATGAGCGTACAACGCAAAGGGGCTATATTCGCTGTTCACACAGCAACTAGCCGAACTCATTTCCTTAGTTGAAGAAGTGTCGTGTCTAAAGGTTGGACCATTGTCAGTTCTTAGAAATACGTGGTGGAAAGAGTTTGTGCGAATAGCAGTATTTTCAAGGGTTTTGGCACAAGGCAAGCAAGACATTGCAACCCATGACGCCTTTAAGCGAGTTTACTGCGGACTGACACCAATACGCGAGATCCAATCGCGCCCCCCCCCGGTGATCGGATTATCTTTTTGCAAAATCTTCCTAGCACTACTAATGTTGCAGAGGTGGAGGCCAGCGTTTCTCGGTTTTAGTGCATTTGGCTTTGGAGGAATGCGGTGAAGCGGATGATCAAAACGTGTATTCTGCGGCTGCGGTTACTCGGTGTGGTATCATTTCCAATGTTCTCTACTTGCCAGTGGATAATGAGGGACAAACAAAGGGCTATGCCTTTATTGATATTGGTCGCGCTGATGTCATCGCCAACCTGCTTGCTCGAATTTCTGAAGATGCGTTTGAGTTTGATGGCGGGACTCCTTCAGAGGAAAAATCAAAACTGCTTGCTGATATCGAAGCGGTTTGCCGGCCTTTTGCGGGCTCAAGCAATAAAGCTAACAATGTGGTAAATGGCATTTGTTCTGATGAAGGTGCATGCCCGAACAACAACAACTGGATATGGAATGCGCAGCATGTGGCTCACCAATACCACTTGAGATGGAAATTTTGACCCGAAAAGTACAAGCTCAGTTACACTTTCCTTCGACAAATCAAGAGACGCATCAAAAAAAAAAAAAAGGCTGGGCATGCGAGGCATGTATGTGTGTTAACAGATGGGGAGATGACACCTGCGATGCATGCACAATGGAGCGAAGTGCAGATTTAGTCCCACCAGCTATTGTGGTTACAAGCAAAACTACGGTAAACTTGGATCAAGATCACGGAAATGATACGCTATCATCTTGTGCTGTCACAGGCGGCTTTGATCGAATGAGGTACAAACTGAGTGCTGCTCGGTTTACGGAAATGATACGCGTAGCTGACGAGACAGACAAAGCACCAGCACAGGTGGTCGAGTTCCTGCTTCACAGATTGTTCCAGAAAGCCCCTTGCATTGGAAGCGAGACTGCAGGTATGACGGACGGACTGCTCGACATGTTATAGCTCTATACCGATCGTCCCCACATTGTGAGGCGTCCGTGGAGACGTTTGCTGCATTAGCTGGTGTAAAAAATACATGTAGGTGGAACTTTCTGCTGCAGAGCGACATAATGAACTGACTTCAACTAGCGCCTTATCTAAGGTAAAGGAAAATCCTGTCGCAGTTTACAAGTGGATGCTCTCATCGGGCTATGATTTCCAGTTCAAATTGAGTCATTATGCCTCCACAGATGATGCAATGCAAGCGCAAGCAAGCTGGACACATCAAATGGATTGCCAGCTAATTGCATTATGTCGGGAGCTTTGTAGAAAAATGTGCATGCTTACATTGAGTTGTGTCCAAGCCATGTAAGTGTCACGAATGCACGAGAATATTCACTGCTTTCGTCGCTGGAAACGCGTGACCTCCGGCTTCGGTTTGCTGTGCTCCAGTCACTTAATAAGTTGCTGATCTCAACACTGCCACTCGTCAACCTTCGTCCGTGGACTGACCCAAGTTCACTACGTAGCCGTATCGTATCGATACGCCAACTAATTTTTCCTGGCGTAAAGATTCGCTTTTTCGCACAGACGCAAGATAATACAGCTATAGCGCACTCGGCTTTTGTGGACGCAACTGCAAAGCGGCCAGTGGTGACAATTGACCGACGAAAAATTGTCAGCAAGCGTAGAAGTACTAACTCTAGCTCTGACGAAGCAGCAGCTCTGGTGACGGCTCTGCACGACCCGAAACGCTCGCTTTTTGCCTCAACAATGAATCAGTTGAGCACTATTTCGCCGTCTTTGTTGCGCGCCAAGCGACCCACGGGTGCAAGTGATCCATTTGTATCATTCGTCGTCATATTTGCAAGCGAAAATGTGGTGGGTGAGGGAGTCCCTTACCGCCAGCTCTTTAACAATATTTCAAATGAGCTGTTAGCCGACGGCAACCCACTATTCATTCCCACACAGAACAACGTGATGAAGACGGGAGGATACCGCGAGCGCTTCATGCCTAAACCAAGCAGCACGTCCAGGGGTTGCTGCAAATGTTTGAGTTTGTCGGAAGTCTGATGGGCTGCTGCCTCCGGACGGGTGTACGACTTAATCTTCGACTAGCACCGCTTGTTTGGAAAATGCTGGTCCAGCAAAGCCTTGTGATAGCGGATCTTGATAGCGTTGACCACTCACTTGCGAGAGCTTCAAGTTTCTTGAGGACTTAGCTGCTTCCGATATTGGCGACTCCAGTGAGGCACTATACGACTCTTTTACCACAACTCTCAGCGATGGTACTGTTGTTGAGCTCAAGAGTGGGGGGCGGCATATTCCGGTGCAGAAGACGAATATAATGGAATATATTGGACTCGTCAAAGCAACTCGCTTACAGGAATGCAAGCCCCAGGTCGATGCCATGTTACGCGGCTTTGGCAAGATTGTACCTGTCCAGTTGTTACAACTATGCGTTTGGTCGGAATTGCAGCAATGGGCGAGCGGCAGCCTTGAAATTGACATCGAGCTGTTGAAGCGCCATACGCGATATACGTCTGGAATGAGCCCAGAAAATTTCCCCCATATGGAGATGTTTTGGAAAGTGCTTGCGGGCTTCAGCGAGGAAAATAAGCGCCGTATTACTCGCCTGGGGCCAAGATACCCTTCCCGTTGACGACGCTGAGTTTGATCGCTCGCACACACGTCTTCTCATCAAGGCGCCCCCTCTGCTGGAATAATCCAAGATGCCTTGCTTCCAAAAGCCGACACATGTTTTTTCAATATCGAGCTACCTGTGTACTCAAGCGAGGAAGTCATGCGGGAGAAATTACTCCTTGCCATTACTCTTTGTACTAGTCTCGACGGCGACGATCAAACAGCTGGCCATGATATTTACTACACTGGTGATGAAATCGACGACAATGGCATGGAATGAATGTTGGATGTGTTGCATTAGTATCACGTTGCGTACGTTAACCGCTGCTCTTTCACACAAAGAAGGTTGACGAATAAATTTACTGCAAAAAGTACCCACAAGCATTGAACAACAAAAATTATTCACGTCGACACACGAATCAACTGTAAACGTTGTCTCACAATCAGAACGTGACTTGAAGCTCAGGATACCACTCCTTTACAGCTGCAGCAGCTTCCTTCGTAACACTAAGTCATAGTGCGTTAGTTACTTGACCACTCTTTCTGCACGACATGACGTACGTTGTGTAACGAAAATCAATCTTCTTGAGACGCTTTCGCTCCGGTTCAGGATTATCATCGGAAGGCAACGATAGTGTAGAATCGAGCATGTCGTTTCGAGCACCCATTTTTGCATGGATAGCAGCTACAATTGACTTGAGAAAACGTGCCACGCAGTGTAAGTACCTATCTATATGTAACAGATTAACATTGATCATGTGTAAGACCACTTACGTCAGCCGAAACACTTTTCACGCCGCACAAATTTAGTTCCTGCAAGTTTCGAGCTTCCGATCCAAGAAAACGTAAGAATTGATCACTGCAATTTCGAAGCAAACAAGAAAGAAAGGAAAAACAACAAAAGTGCATGAATTGTTAATTGTCATTCAGCACTAATGACTATGCACGCATTGGCACAAACGTACGTGATTGCAACATTCCAGTGCAAATACAAGCGTGATACAGATTCGCGTTTTTTCAGCAGCGCAATTAACGCCTCATCCGTGATCGCACAATATCCAGCACTCAAGCTATGGAGCTTTCGACATTTGGCCGTGATGGTCTTGATGGTTCTACACGAAAAAATGAATCAAAACAACAAAAAGCCGTCAAAACATTCTACAAATGTAATTTCTTCACTCTCGCTGTACGTGTGGAATATAACAATTCAATACAGATCGTACTGATCCGTAACAGCATGACCAGAAATATGAACTTTTGTAAACTTGGAATGATTCGGATGTTTCTCAATAAGTTTCGTAATGCCTGCTATTGTCATATTGAAATTACCACTGATATCAAAGCTCTATAAGAAAACAAACAAACAAGCAAACAAACAAACAAACAAACAAAAAGAGAGAGAGACACGACATTAGTTCATCTATCCAGCTTCTATCCATATTGTTGGTTCAAGTATATAAACTGTCTCCTATGTCACGACCGATACCTGTAATCTTGGTGCAAATTTACGCAAATGATCTAGCGTGAGGTCCGTTAATTTGCGACAATTCTCAAGGTTCAAGTCTTTGATATCTAAAATGTCCAATACAATCCATCCCGATCAATAAAAAGCCATTACAAAAAAAGCCATCACCAATTTAATACAGCTACATTATCCAGCGAAAAGAATGAGTTTTTCTCCTTTTCTCCTTCCTCACCTGGACAATATTTCAACAACATTTCAATTGCATCGTCCGTGAGTCGAAAACATCCAGAAAAATTGACTGAATGCATATTAGGACAGGTAGTAGCCAGCTATGTGTAATCCACCATGGATTATCCACACACACACACACGTAAACAACAAGAAGAAGAACAAGAAGAAGAAGAAGAAGAGAATCAGATACTTTTGTTTGTCTTTCTCGCAATGCGACAACCAGCCAATGAACATCCACCATTTCAATAAAAATTGTCGAGATTTTTGCGCCAATGATCTCAATTCGTGTCATGCTTGAATCAAAGAAACTCACAGGAAGTGTATCATCACCTAAACGTCCACCACGTAACAGGGCACGAATCACCTCTTGTTTGGCTTTATGTGTCCGCGACTTACTAGGATGAATAATACGATGTGCACGCTCTAGTGTTTGCTCATTGAGGATTACACTCGATTGACGAGGTGTCTTGGCGATAAACTTGAGCACTAGTTTATCCAGTGGCAAGACCTCACGACGAAAGGCCATTAGTTTTTTTTATATAGATAGGAGGAGAGACACAACAGTAGAGTGGTACACACTAATTTTCTGACTTACTATCAATCGATTCTTTCTGTATGTGCCATTGTCTTTTTCTAACATACCTGGATTTCTAAAACGTTACACAACAGGTTACACATGTGCTTAAGTTGCCTCATCAGATAAAACGATCGATATTTGTCTCCTCCTTCAGTCAAAATTAATCCATTTCGAAACAATCCACGAATCGTCTTCTTCGTCTACTCCTCTCTCTCTCTCTAACTCTCTCTCGATCTGTCTCTCTCTAAACAGTATGAAATTTGGTAAACAATTAGAAATCTCGGCGAATCCTGAATGGCGTGATAATTACGTCCAATATAAACGTTTAAAACGTTTAATCAAGCGCGTTGCGTTTGAAATGGAGAAAAAACAGCAGAAACAGCAGAAATTACAGGAAAAGATGGAGCAAAGTGTGCTTCCAATGGATGCGAGTCAAGTTCTGTATGTGAATGAAACGCATCCTTTACTCAAGACGATGGGGGATGAAATTCAAGATGCAAAGGATCAGTTTTGGCACGTTTTAGAGACAAATCTTAAGCGTGTAAATGATTTCTATATGGGTAAAATTGTCACGTTATTACGATCGATTGGAGAATTTGAAGCGGTGTTAGCGCACGAAAAAGTAGCAACAGGACATGTGCATGCACGTCCACGGACACACTCTCAAGGTTGGTGGAGAGAGAAAAAACAATCATCTCGACGAGATTTGTGGAGCTGAAAGCGGTTTTTAAAGTGGATTTTTGATCGTGTTTTTGCAGTGCTGACTCTGGCGTGTTTTTTCTTGGGTCTTTTTGATGCTTTTTTTCTGGGTAGTTGATCACGGATTTGCAGCACTACAGGACATTTATGATACGTTGGTGGATTTACGGACATTTGTACAGATCAATCACTCGGGATTTCGAAAAATTGTCAAGAAGGTGAGAGAGAGAGAGGCTGTTGGGTGGGAGGTAATTGGAGTAATTTTTTGAGTTTGCTGATATGTTTTTTTGATTGTACCCTTATAGTTTGACAAAACAGTTAAATCGCATACGCAAGAAGCGTTTATGAAGCGATTGACGAATGAACGCTTTTATGTGTCGACTGACATTGACGAGTTACTTGATCGTGTGTTTCGACTTACGTCAAAGTATGAAGAAGTAGATTTTCATGGTGGCTATGCAATGCTAGAAAAAGAAAGAATTTATTCTGTAAACTGATGATTAACAGGGACAAGCTAGAGGCTGGGAATATGGAACGTCGGATACAGCGCATGCAGGGCGACCAGAACTCGCTGCTTCGCAAGGTGTGTTGTATTTCTACTTCACGTACTGGGTAATGCGAAAAGGTGTCGTGCGTGCTGTGTGCTGAACATTATCAATTACGTGTAACTGGTTCAGGTGAAAGTCGTCCCCTTCTGCATCTCGGTCGCGCTTTTTGTGTTTCTACTGCTTGTTCGTATAACGCCAAAAGGTAAGCTGACATTATTGTTTATTGGCATTAGAATTTAGAATGGGCCCTTGTTAACGCAGTGTTTTGATTACTATAGGAGAGGATGTTCAGCAACGATGCTTGGCAATGCTCGTTTTCATTACAACATTATGGGTGACAGAGGCACTTCCGTACTTTGCTACAGCACTTCTTGTTCCTCCACTTGTCGTGTTCCTGCACATTTTGAACGACAAGGCAGACCCCGATACACTCCTCACAGCTAGTAAGTGCCTTAGTTAAAAGTTACTGCCGATGGCGGTGATTTTTAACATTCTGTGAACCTCATTCGACTGCTGCAACGACAGAGGAATCTGCTAAGGAGGTGATGTCAATGCTCGTCAACCACACAACTATTCTGATCATGGGCGGGTGCGTGATGTGATGTTGTTGAGTTGTATTAAGCACATAATTGAATGGTTTTGTGTTATGCGCGTAAAAAAAAACCGCTGCAGTTATTCAATCTCTGCAGCGTTTGCAAAGTGCCAGATCGAGCTTTACATTGCTGCATTTTTGCAACGTCAATTTAAAAAGAGCCCAAATTTGTTCCTACTCGCAATTATGCTCATGGGACTATTCCTGTCGATGTGGATCAGCAACCATACTGCCCCTGTGTTGTGCGTATCGGTAGGTATCCTGATCGAGAGTTCAACTATCGCACAATGTCTTACCTGTGCATCTACATTGCTTGCGTAGGTCTTGCTCCCAATCATCCGGGATTTCCCCACCAATAGCACTTATGTGAAGACGCTTCTGATCGGCTTGGCTTTTGCTTGCAACCTTGGTGGAATGATGACCCCGATTTCGTCATTACAAAATACTCTTGCTGTGTCATTTTTGGAGAAGGCTGGGTATACCATTACATTTGGTCAATGGATGGCGATAGCCGTACCGTTTTGCACCGTTAGCACGATCATGGTAAGCGAGGTGTAGCTCTGTTCTTGGCTGGTTTAGTGACATCCGTTACTTATCGTTTCAATTCGACAGTGCTGGTTGTTTTTATTGTGGGTAATGGATCCCCGAGATGCCACATGCATCCCACAGATTGTTTACGACCAAAAGCAAAAGATCAGCACTCTCCACGTTGTTGTCATTTCAATGACGCTACTTACAATCTTCTTGTGGGCATCGTTTTCGGTGACAAGCACAACATTTGGAGACTTGGGTATCATTTCGATGATCTTTATGGTGAGGCATGCAAAACCCGTAAATCCTCATGCACTAGTACTGATTCCGAGCTTTTATTCCTCGCAGTTTATCATGTTCGGCACGGGTATGCTCAGCCAGTTCGACTTTAACTCGTTCTCCTGGCATATTCTTTTCCTGATCGGTGGTGGCAACGTCTTGGGAGATGTAAGCCTGTTATTTGCTTGTGTGGTCGAGATAAGGTTTGGACGAAACAAATGTCTAACTATGTTTGCCACGTGCAGGCTGTTCACCGATCAGGACTTCTTGATACTCTGAGCAAGTCGGTCATCCACGCGCTGCCGTCCAAGGACGTTTGGATGGTCACGGTCTCTTTGTGCAGTCTAGTAGTTTGCATCACTACTTTTGTCTCGCACACGGTTGCTTCGATCATCCTCCTGCCAATCATTGTTCAAATGGCAATTCAGATCGGGCACCCCCATATTCCTGTAATCTGCTGTGCGCTGGCAATTTCTGCAGGTAAGAAGATTGTGTACTCATGCAATGCCTGGACGTTTCGATAACGCTAGATTCTGTGTAAACTACTATTGTCTAGCTATGGCGCTCCCGTTCTCGTCCTTTCCGAACATCAACTCGCTGCTAGTTTTGGACGACCACGGCCAGCAGTATCTAAAAGTGAAAGACTTTCTTCGTGTGGGAGTGACGTTTTCGCTTGTAACAATGGCTTTGATTGTCACTTTAGGCTACGGTCTTATTGTGCTCGTACTTGGGTACAAAATTAATCCGGGTCCACCACTCATGGTGGGTTTGTAGTAGACCAAGTTTGCTACGCAATCCTGTAGACTGTTTGGGGGAAGATCAAGACCAGCTGCACTCGTTATTCTTACATCATCAACTATCTTCGCTTGTGCAATTGAATATGAACTGGCCGATAGAACTTCCTGAACTTCCCACGTTGCATGCTAAAACGAACGACTATACTTCTTGATCTCGTACAGAATCTCTTGTGTTGTAATAATCGCGGAGTTAAACGGAGGCGGGCTTTGGTAGCTCCGCTTGACAACTTCCACAAAGCGCGTGTAGTAAAGCAACAACTGCGTCAAAACTTGCTTGAGAATCTCCATGCCGTTGCGAAAGTTGGAAAAGTATGTCATTACATTGCCATTGATGGTTTCAATCCCAGCTCTCCACGTTAAAGCAAACTCATGCACAATCTGTTCAATCTGCGCAGTGTCAACTTGTTGACAATCTTTAGTTGCCAACGTGCATGTTTGTCTAGCGTCAGGTGCTCGTGTTGTCGGACAAATTGGATGAGCTTTGCAAAATATGTTGCCAGCTCCTCCTCCACAAACTTCTCGCGCTGTCCTGCACGTAGCTCCTCAAACCTTGGGGTCTCCTCTGAGGTGACACGCCGCTTTTCAAAATGTGTTAGCACAAGATCGTAGTTGTTGATGAGAAAGACACATTTATCCTTCGCATTTTCATGCTGCTCGGCCAAGCGCAAGAGCAAACAAAGAATCTCGTCGCGCATGACAGTCACATTATTGAGAATCATGTCGCCTTGGCCATTTTCGTGCATCTGTGCGCTCAAAATTGCCGAATTACCTGCTGCAGCTTTGGAGGATTGGCTTTGCTGCGTGGACATGCTCAAGCTAAGAATGGAGGAAGCAAATTCAGCATATCGTCGAATGACAAAATGAGGATGTCGGTCAATTGGCCCCAGCTTCTTTGCCTTGGCGTTCTTCACACTCATCAAATTAAGATCAAACACAGCCTTGAATCGAGGCCAAAGCAACAATGTCACCCGATCAAAGTACGCATCTAAGCACGAAATACGGCGCTTTTCCATCTCCAGCCGCTGTGCATACGTAAGGCGGATCATCAGTAGCAGCCCAATGGCATCGTAGCACGTAAATAAATAGTTCTCCAGATTCTCGAGACATAGCGACAGTGTCTTTGCAAACACGCGCATGAATAGGTCCCGAGTACGAAACTCGTTTTCCTCTTCGCTACTAGACTTGAAAAACTCGATAAGGAACAAATACTCGGATGTAGCTGAGTCCATCAAATGCTGCTGCATGTTGCGGAAAACGGCCTCGTACGGCAGCTTTAGTTGCTCTTGCTGCGCCACGTGCAATATTAGCGCAGGTGCTGACACCGTCTCCAAGATCTTTTCGCGTTCTGTGACGGAAAAGGTATCATTTCGTTTACTCAAATTCACCCGTGAGCTAAACATACCCTTCAACGATTGTTCCTCTACGACAATGACGTCCGTGCGTGTAGCAACTTCTTCGTAAAACTTCATCAGGCCGGTATGATACGATCTGAAAACATTCACTAGTGTCTTACTCATAGCCGCTGAATACACTCTCCTCAACTCATCCTCCACTTCTGGTGCATTGTCCGCCAAAAATGTCACCAGATATTTCATCGGCAAGAGTGTATTCTGCTGCATCATTTGCACATTCGTCTTGGGTTTCTTCACTTCATTCATCTTTGCCAGCAAGAAATCTCGAATCCGTACAAGTGCTCTTGCTTTTAATTTCTTCAATTGAGCTTTGACATCGGAAAAGGCCGCTGTCTGAGACGGGACCAAGCCAAGTCCCAACGTATCTTGATCACTCATCGCAGCATAGCGTAGCTTCCCATTCAGCGTCACAAGAGCATGTAGGTAAACTTCATTCATCTCACCCTCATCAATCTTCTTGATTAATGATGGAGCTACGACCACTTGATCTAGATACATCTGCAGCTTTTCCTCCGTCTCGCGTCGATTCTTGAGCTTGATGTTCATACCAATTGACTCATCTTGTAGATAGCGAATCTCGTCACTGATACTACCTAGATCAGCCTGAAATCCAAGCAACATCTCTTGCATTTTAGCCAATAGATTATCACAATCCTGTACCTCATCGTGCAGCTCGACAATATCAGCAGACTTGATGACGTATTGTGCAATTGATGCTGCCTCAGCTGCACGAAGTTCTTCGTCAATCTGTTGTGCGTACTCACGCAAGTCAACACCCTTTGATATCGCCTCCTTGATTACGCCATCCTGCTGAAATAGCTCCAGATAATCGTCCAATTCATCAAAATCAATGTCGTCCAAGTCAATAGCCGACGTCTTAACGTCCTTGGGTGTGGTCATAATTTGCAAACTGAGTTGTTTGAATTATGTTACAACAACATAAGATGATAGTGCAACGTATGAGCAACACAAAAGAGCAATTCAAGTATGACAAACATTGTTGCAACAGAATGAATGTTTTGCAATTTCTACTTGTGATCCCTAATCTGAATTCGAGACTGAATAAATTCACGGAGATCCATGGCAGCCCTGAGGATACACGAGTGAAAGTCAGCAATAGACAATCGATAATTGAAGAAAGCATCACGTACTTGTAGTAATTCGTGTCGGGCGTATTGTAGATCATGCAGTTTTCACACATTTTGTCCAGATCTGCCTTGAATGCAGCTTTCGAGACGTAATTTCCACTCTCAATACGTTTACTGATGAGCTGAAGGTCCACTGGATCTTTTATATGATCGAGGTAGTCGACTACAACGGTAGTATCCACTGGCTCGTGAAAAGGCCATGCGCTTCGGTGGTTAGACACTGCCTTAAGTAATTGTGACAACTGCGACTTCAGACTGCCTTGGTCGCGAGTTCTATATACACAAAACGAGCGGCATAGCATTAATACACGGCAAGAAGGAGCATCTAGGACGGCAAGTGTACACACCCAACGCGATTGTTACGAATCACTGCCTGTGACCATCCTGCTTCCTCTGTAACAATGACGTTGAAAAAAAGTCAGCGATGATGTGATGTATAAGAGAAACCATCCAGTCCAGCATCATGGGAGAAACACAAACGTACTGACGCCAGGAACCATGTAAATGTCCATTAACCTGCCTTCTGCAAAATTTGTCAGGCCAGGATACACTGTCTTTGAATGCGACCGCTCTTGAATCTTGTCTTGAATGGCCTATGAAACATCAGCCATGAATGTCAATGTAGCTCGCTAACACTTTTCAAGATCAAAACATTGGCGTACCTTGCGCTGTTGGTGAATCATCGATGTGATCCTTAAATAGTTGATCTGAGTGTGGATTGTACATTCCATCAGTGTTCCGCCGTCGTAGTCCTTAATGTAGCCGTACCAGTTAGGTCGAGATATCGATACAGTCTTTGTGAAACCCTGCTTCTTAAAATAGCCGATAGCATAGTTGTCGGCGTACGTCAAGAAGTGCGTGATGTTCTTGGTCTTCACGTACTCTTTCAAATGATTCATCAATCGTGTACCGTATCCTTTTACTTGGTCAGACGCATTAATGGCACAAAACGCAATCTCTGCAAACCTGTTCTTCTCAAACGGCCTATAGCAAATGCCACCAATCACATGGGTACCATTCTTCAAAATGAGCATTGACCGGTGATTCTTATCAAAAACCAGTCTAACAATGTACTCCTTTGGCATTTTCGGAAGCTGCTTTGCAAAGATGTTTTTCAGCGTCGTGAGCTGGATCATATGCTCGTTTGCACCATCATTTGTGATTACATCAAATTTCAGTCGCCCACTATCCTCTTCCATCTTTGCCATATCATCTCGAGAGATAAGCCCAGATGGCGACACATTATGAAACCTATCTGCACCAGCTGTCGGATCATCTACTACAGTGTTTTCAATAACTTGTGAAACACTTTCGTCTACTTTCTGTTTCTTCGCAACAGGTTCCGCTAGTACAGCAACTCCATTAACGCCCTTGCTCGTCTCCGACGCAAGTGTCTGCACTGTATCATTGCTTTCACTCGTTGCGTCCTGCAGTGATGCATCAATTGTCTTCATCTCTATATCATCCTCCGCTGTCTTCTCATACAATACTGCAGTATCTTCAGCAGTAAAATCGTCATCGCCAGGCCTTACCTTATTATCTTCCTCCATAGCAACAGCTGACACGTTTTCCACGTCATTTGACGATACCTTCTCCTCATGTTCTTCCGCCTTTACAGTCTTGTCACCTTCGCCATTGATATGTCTCATTTCCACGTCTTCCTGCTCTACTGCATCATTATCTGACATCTTCACATCATCTTCTGTCTGCTTCGTCTCATTGACCTCACTATCTTGCGAGTTCCTTACAAATTCCTCCGTGTTTTGACTTGATGTTTCACTTGCGCCTACAAGATCATCTGTCGTTATTGACGTCACAAGGTTTAGTCCTTCCTTGTCTGCTGTTTCCGACGCCATTTAACAATACCAAGGCGTGAAACACCAGGTGTACACAAAGATAATGTGACCCACATGGATCTTTTACTGCAAAAAATAGTGACTGTTTTTCAATCACAAACGGACAACTAAAAAATGTCAATACATCCGTCATCAAGAACGGTGTGTGACTTGAGTAATCGATCTTACGGTACGTTTCAAAATACCGGTACCAACAATAAAAAACCTACAAAGTTTATTTGTTACGAGTCGTCTATGGCCAAACAATTAGACGATTGAACTGCAACACGAATGTAACGTTTTCGTAGTAAAAAAAAACCTCATTCGACTGTAGTTGTTCATATTCCTTGAACTTCCAGACACTTGACTTGGCTTTATTATGACAAACACACGGTTCGAGATTATTATTATTTACAAATTTGTTTTCGTCACGTTGAAGTTGCCTGAAGATTCGGAGAATAGGAAACACATTGAGAAAAGCTTACCAACACTCACAACACCTACGTAAACACTACTAATTATACTCTTCTGTTATAAGAACAGAACCAATTGATCTATAGCGACATATATGTTGGACTCCCTCTTACACCTTCTTTTTGCCCACGACAGTACACCATGCAAGGAAGACCATCTCCTTCATAAATCTTCGGAACAAGTATCCCAACAGACGGTATTTACTCGCGAAGCAGATGTGGAAGGCTGGGTTTTTCTCGCGGAGGAACGACATTCACAGCCAGGCTCAAAGACACGCAGCTACGCCGATGTAGTTGCAGGTAGAACATAAAGATTGAATGCGTGAGCTTTTGTGGCGCTAGGAAACACATGGATCTATCTACCCAAGAGAATACACCAGAAAAAAACAAATGAAACAACGGTCGCGAAACACGGATACGCAGTGCAGTGTTTTCGTTTTGCAGAGTGCTGTGCTATTGCAGCAAACAAGCTGTATGCGTGCGTACTACGTAGTACAAAATCAATTGAAAGTCATCATGATGGAGCTCTTTACTCCACCAAGTCCCTATTGCACGATTATTAAACTACCTACCTTCCTATTGCAATTGAAATAGTCGCTAATCTACTCTTCACTCTTTATTTCACACTCGGCTGGAAGGTAGGAGAGTAACTTGTCAGGCACCAACTGCTTCAGCTCAGCGTAAGGAGCCTTGTGCAAATTTAGCTTTTGCAAAATGTCTGCGTCGTCGTGGATTTCAAACGGTGCACTGAAGTTAAAAAAAATGTCTTGACGGTCTTCGGACATTTCACACTGGATCACAGTGTCATTGCTGGTATTTACTGCAATGAATGGCAGAAATACTCGTCCTTCGTCGCGTACGATGTTGGCATATGCATAGCTCTTGGCTTCTTTTCGTTTACGCTCTGCGTTTCGCTTCAGAAGATTCTTCATTGCAACATGCTGAACCAAAAGGTCCTGCAGGTGTTGTTTTTTCTGCTCCACGCTTTTCATGCGTTCATTTCGTTCAGCCTGCCGCGATAACGGTACAAGTAAGTATACCATTGCCATTTTCCACTACAGCAAAACTACTACTATAGACAAACCAGAAGCATCTCCGTGTCATGTTGCAAATTTGACGGCAGTCCCTTCCATCGGATCTCCTTGCGTTCTTTTGATATGATATCCATGGCCATCAGAACATTTAATGCATCGTAAACACGTCGGCGGATGTTCTTCTCATCATATACCTGACCATTCACAAGGAAATATCAGTAGACTAAACTTACCCACATGTTTCTTATCCCCCCGACTTACCAAATCGTTTGGACGCATCGTGACAAACTCGCGCACCAGTTCATCAGCGACCTCGTTATAGGACGTCACGTGCTTTTCCTCCACCTTTTGGCACACTTTCATGCTAAAATGGCGTAGACCCTTGTTGATTTTCATATACTTTCTCTTTTTTCCCGGTAATCTGGATTAATAACGGTAGGTTAGGAGCTTATTCTCGTGCCAAACGAGTTTAAACTCGCACGTTCTACGCAACTACGTACGGGCTGGTGAAAGACGGGCTTGACAGCATTGGCACTGATGACACCAAATTGTGTTCGCGTTCTGACTTGCCATGTGTCAGTGTTTCCATGGATGTCGGTACATCAACAAGAGCACCATTCTTCAAAATTCCTATCTCCGTTGCCATCTTTTCCAGACCTTGAGACTTCATCATGTTTACAAAGTCGTCGTGAAGACTTGTTGGTGTGATAGATGCAGTTGCAGCATTTACACCAAACGGCACGCTTTCGACTTTATAATCTATTGACACACACACCGTTTTCCCAAACATAATGTAAAAATGTCAACTATCTGCCTACACCCATCCAGTAAACAAATGCATTATGCCACAATCAATACAGTAGCATACCAACCTTGAGTTGGAATATCTTCCTTCTCCTCCAAGTCCATTTCCGTCCATTTCTTAAGCTCTCGACGTGTTGGACGCTTGATAGTTCCATTGTTTGCAGCTCCTGCCCTCCTCTTCCCTGCTGCTTTTGATGGTGCCTTCGGGTTGCTTGTCCTACCAGCAACAGATTTCAGGGCACTGGAAACAGGAGTTCCTTCTGCAGACATAAGCTCTCGTAAGTGTAGAGCTCTTAGATGGTCGATTACAAATTGGTCGATCCCCACGCTGTTTCTGAGATGAGACGACACAATATTAATTTTATTATGATTTTGTGTGACGGCAAGTTGTACGTTCCACAGGAAAGAAGACTCGACCGATTATTTGTTGAAATTCCAAATATCTTTTCTACTCGTTTTTTCATTGGCTAATATATACAGCTACTCTTTTCAATAGGAAAGCAACCAAAATGCCCCGCCACGACGACGACGAGTTCTACGTGCGCTACTAGTGCGTATATCGACCTGTTTGATCTCAATAAAGCATGAAATGGGATGATTATTGAACTTTACGATGCGTATGTACAGTGTTGGTCATCGTGGTAAGTTTGGCCATGAGTTTATGGAGTTTGAGTTCCGCAACGATGGAAAGCTCCGCTACGCCAACAATTCAAACTACAAGAAGGACTCAATGATTCGGAAAGAAGGTGAATGATTGGGTCATGTATTTGTGTTATTATGCCGAATGATGTACAATATATTCAAGGTTGTGAACTGATGGTTAGCTGGTTGTTACATTTGTGTATGTGCTCGCTCCCCTTGTGTGGTCGATGCTAGTGACGGTGTCCAAGTCCGTGATTGACGAGGTCAAGCGAATCATTAGCGATAGTGAGATCACAAAGTACGTGCTGGAAAAACATTATGGTGATTGCATCATTGCTGAGTGAAATGCTGATGTACAGAGAAGACGATAAAGAATGGCCGGAGCCAGATCGTGTCGGGCGACAGGAGTTGGAGGTGGTACTTGGCAACGACCACATTTCCTTCACGGTTGGCCTACACATCACTTGTTAATGATGTGAGAAAGAGACTGATTGTTGTTTTGCATTTACAGTGTGCAAAGATCGGGTCGTTACTAGACGTGCAAGACAGCAAGGATCCCGAAGGTCTGCGCGTATTGTATTACTTGGTTCAGGATCTAAAGTGTCTCGTATTCTCACTGATTACACTGCACTTCAAGGTTCGTTCCTTTTCTTCTGCAACCCTTGAAACGCCATATACTCACGGCTGTTTCTTTTTATATCATTTATTGCTGATGGTTCAGATCAAGCCCATTCCGTAGGGTAAGAAGACCAAGTGAATCAAGTCGAGTAAATGCAAAAACGGTCGAGAAGTAGCTTGAACGTATCAGTTGCAAAGTAAGTAAGTACCTACAAGACATGATAGGAATGAACCTGTTTCTTTTTCGGTTACTTGCGCCTGTACGGTTAAGTTACCAGGGCAGAGAGTAGTTCGTCATACCATCTGACCCAACTGTCTCCTATATCGCCCTTTCAGTCGTATGTGCAAAATAAAGTTTTAGAGGTCATTGGTTTTCTCGGAAAATATCCATACAAAACGACTGTTAGTACCTAAAGCGTGTGTGTACCTTGAGAAAAAAGTAGCAAAGCAAGAAAGAGGACGAAGAAGAAGGAAGGAAGGAGCTAAGAAAACACCTTTCAGTCTTTTACTTTCATTACACACTGTCATTGATTTTCATATAATCATCATAGTAAAAAGGTGCGACTTCCAGTGAAAGATCGAGCTTAATATCGAACATTGCGAAGCAGCAGCAGTATAATAATACGTAGAATCAAGAGGATCCAGTTGGTTTGTTCCTTGTTCGAGTCAGTCAAATCGACGTCGTAGAGAAAAAAAACAAGCGCTAGTACGAAAAACTCAGCAAAACATGTCGCAAGGTAAAACGTGTCATTTTAAGCTAGTATTGCTAGGTGATACAGCTGTGGGGAAATCGTGTCTGGTTGTACGGTTTGTACGCGACGAGTTCTTTGAGTTTCAGGAGCCAACGATTGGGGGTATGTGATACGAAAGTTAAGAAGCAAATAGCTTCTTTGAATGCGGTTTCTGCATTTGTTTTGGTGCTAGGTCGGTGCTCCTAGGTTACATTGTGATTGAAATCTGGTGTTGTGGTGATAATTGTTAGCTGCTTTCCTGACACAGACAGTTGGTCTTGAGGATGGATTGACTGTCAAGTTTGAGATTTGGGATACTGCAGGACAAGGCAAGTACATAAAAATAACCTAAGCGGAGGTAATGACCTGCTCTAATGTGTGTGTATTTCTTCTGGTCAAATGTGTAGAGCGATACCGGAGCTTAGCTCCCATGTATTACCGTGGTGCTGCAGCTGCTATAGTCGTGTACGACGTGACCAACAAGGTACGAGCTAGTGTAAGGCTTACCACGAGGTGGGACAGCAAGATGTTGCAGAGCCATATTTTAAACGTTTGGGGTTTCTCGATGTTTTATTTATTATGTCGATGTTCAGGACTCGTTCACTGGTGCCAAGTCTTGGGTGAAGGAGCTGCAACGCCGCGGAGATCCCAACGTGGTGATTGCTCTTGCCGGCAACAAGGCAGATCTTGAAGCTCGCCGCAATGTGGAGTTTGAAGAGGCTCACCAGTACGCTGAAGACAATGATATTCTTCACATGGAGACGTCTGCAAAGACCGCCGTGAACGTGAAGGATCTTTTTGTGGCGATTGCAAAGAGACTGCCGAAGAATCCACCTCAGCCTGAGCGCGAGGCTTTTCCCATCACTCCACCTCAGGCTGCCAAGTCGAAGAGCGGATGCTGCTAGCTTTTTACCGTTACAATGACTGACTAATGTGGATCCTGCAACTTTAATGTCAGTGCGGTCTCTATTCCTCGTGACACTTATGACATTGGGAGAGTCTTTGAGTGATATATGCACTTTCCTGTTAGATGTATGAGAGGAGGCAGAGAGCGAGAAGAGAGAGCAATCGGCAGAGCAAAAAGGAAGAGAAACAAAATTGCCGCTGGGTCTTTTGCTACCGTGTCGTAGTGTGTGGAAGAGCAACGGTAGATTATGTGAGCTGTGTGGTTTTCGACCGCTCTAAGGACTTTCATCAAATGATTTCTAGTGCACAAATGCTACAACTTTTTCAAGTTGCCTATTTATTTGATGATAGCGGCTATGCATCACCCATCGCACCAGCTCCGAGCAATGATGACCTAGGCGTGTCAAGAAGATCCTAGCAAATATGCTGTTTGCTATTTTGTCACTGACAAACACATACATATCAAAACAAACTTCAAGACGGACGTCACCACAGTCCATTCTCGTTCTGCCCTTTCAGCTAACTAACCGCTGTTTGTCGGTTTACTCACAAAAATAGGCCCTTGCTGCTTCCGTGGGGCTGCCTTGATCCAAAGAGCCGCAACTTATGTTTCCCATCCTTACCCAGTATGGGCTGTCCATGACGCCCTCGTGCTCACTTGTTCACTTAGTTCTTCTTGTGATCGTCAATACCAACGGTGGAATTAATCCCAAAGATTCGGACGCGGTCAAGTTCAGGTAGCTTGGCCAGGATAAGTGTCACCCAGATGGGGAAATTTATGAGCAGGTAACGCGTGTTGTAATCCGTGGCAACCGAGGCGGCCAAAAACAGAAACGTGGGGATCATCATGAGAAACTTCTTTGTGCTGGTCCATGGGTGGCCCTGATCAATTTGTTCATAGAACGTGAGTTCACGGTAGTCCCCCATCGAATTATCATCAGGTGAGCCTTTGATCCAGTGCATAATACCAAAGGAGACCTATACAAGGAGCAATCATATCAGTACAAAGCATGCCTAAAGATACCATCATGCATTCTCTAGCATGAGCATTTTAACATTACATACCACACCATGAATAACATTGACTGTCGTAAGAGCATCACCATAGGGAAAGACCGTAGGTATCGCCATGTACAGCGAAGCTAGAAGCAAGATATAAAACGTCCAGAAACCACGCGAGTCCATCCAATTGACATTCTTGTTTGTATCGAGATGAGCGCTCATAATGTTGTAATATGACGGTATTCTTATGGTCAATAATGCAGATTTATCACACGTTTCTTTATCAAATGTGCACTCTGTTCCTGTGGCTTCTTGAGGCGAAGGGTGATACCGACGATGACGCAAAAACTACTGCACCTTTTGGCTAATTCACGTCTGTTTCGTTTCTTTTTTTTCAAAATATCGTGATTACGATACTTTCCAGTCCTTTCATTGGCTACTGAGGTACCAATTATCATAAAGAACAAGGAGCTAAAATTTAGGAATTGTTTTCACACAATCTGTTCTAGAACATAATTTGGACATTGCTTTTATTGACGATGCCAATAAAAAAAACACGTCACTCTTACTGGATAAAAAACGTTTATGCTGCGACACTTTTATTACGTAACCATGTTTAGATGCCAATGCGGCATGCAAGTTGCTTCAATTATTTGCATGTAAATCTATGGCTTCCTGTTGTAAATAATACACAAAGACATTGTTGCTACAGCTACTAAATACAACAGCTATGCACTCGTGCATGCATCCAATGGCAAATAATGTGTCAACAAACTACTTTATCCATGACTTACTGCTCTGTTAGTACATTGTTTGTGCGTGTGACTAAAATTACGAAATGCTGATTTCCAATAATTATATTGCAATTGTATTTTTGTACATATACATAAATATCAATAAGAATTATATTACTGTTAGTACCGGTAGTTATACCGGTAGTACCATTTCTATCGCCCCCCCCCCAGCTCCCTCTATTAAACAATGGAGTCGATGCAGAATTGGGTACAGGATGTCTTTGCACCCATCGTACTCACATGCTCTACGTTTGAGGCAGAACGTATTGCGCTTAAGAATAATCTATCTGTAGCTGATTTACTGAATGGATTTGCGCGTCTAGATGATGCAGATACGCCATTGCGCTCCGTGACGCACCCGATTCAACTTGCGTGCTTTAACTTTCGCTTTGTAGCAGCTAATCAGTTCCATATTATCAGTATGAATGAATCTACAAAGGACTTGAATGATAGTATCAATCGATATCCACCACAACAAGCTGATACAGCCATATTATCCGTGAAGCTAGACATTCCTCGAGTCACGGCCATTGATGACGTGCCTACGTACCTTCGAAATATTGGAGCTGAGACAGATGCTGAAGGCAATAAAGATCCCATGCCGTGGTATCAATCATTTAAGCACACACTTATGGATACATTTCGATGTGAAGAGTATAGTCTCTTGTGTCATCCAGTCGCCATGGTGGTCGTCGTAAGCTCAACGGATCCAAACCCACGTCATAGTTTTGAGGAGCTCATTGCACCACGAAATCTACCAGAACCATTCCAACAAGAATTGTATGATGCTACTTTGGTGCCCAAGTTTTACGTGGTCGTGCATGACGTCATGGAGACAGAGGGCACAGCTATTGATCCCGATGCGATCTTGACGAGTATGAATATCTCAGCAGTCAATGGGACGGTATTGAGGATTAACTCATTGACAGTGGAAAATGCACCAGTTCCGTCGCCATTTGCGACGCTGTGGACAGAAAATCCATATGTAAGACCACCGCTTTTCTCTCATGAGTTGGAGACGTACCCACAAGTAAACAACGGCGTGGGCACGTTGTTGTCTAACGATGATGTGGCGCAGATGAAGACATTTGTGCGCAGTTTTGGACTGCGATTCCTTCTATCGTCGCTTGAAGGACGGATTTTTCAGTTAAATGAAGTAGTTTCGGCCATGAAAAAGGGTGTGAAAAATGTCTTCAAGTCGTGGCTACGCAAACCGAAGGAATCACGATCGTCGAATGTTTTTGCATCAGGAAGTGTTGTATACAAGTGCAGCTCTATCGAGTCGCAGACTCGTCTTCTGGCAGACACAGCTTTTCTTGCGAGAGACTATGAGCTGGCACTGCAAATGTATCGCTTGGTGCGTGACGACTTTAAATCCGACAAGTCAGTGTATCATTGCGCCAATGTTAATGAAATGATTGCAATCTGTTTACTTTTGACGAAGGGATCGCCCATGCAAATAACAAATGCTTTGGACTCGGCCAATGCAATTTATGCGAAAACGCCTTCTCCGTTGACTCAGCGTTTAGCTATTCGTACGGCGGTAATTGCCGGTGAAATTTATCACACGTTAAGCAAGTCTGGTCTGATTACAGATTATATGGACAACGCTTCCACTGCACTAATTCGTGGTTCAACGATGGAGCAAGGCATCTGTGCTGCAGTGCTCATGGAGCGTGCAGCTTTGTGTAATCTTCGCGCGCGACTACCAAAGTTTCGCAAATACGGGTTCCGAATGGTAATGGCTGGGCATGTGTATGACTCTTTGGGACATGAGCAGCATTCTGCGAGATGCTACTCCTTAGCACGCGCTATCTATGACTGCAGCGGCTGGTTTCTTGTTGAAGATCACATAAACTTTATGCTTGCACAACAGGCAAACAAGTTGGACGACCGCATGGCTTCTATCAACATATTTCTCAAACTTATTGGCACAGGCCGCAATTCAGCCAGGCAGCAGGAAGCTATGCTGTACGATTTTGGTTTGATTGTCAAAGATTTCTTGGCAACAGAGCCTACCGATGCGCGCCCGTCTTCATTTGGTCGAAACGGGACCGTCTTCATAAAACGCGGCGATGGTAGTAACAAGAAACTTCTTGTGAGGGATCTGTGTATGCCTGAGCTGGATGACAAGTCGGCTGTTGTGTTTGCATCGTCAAACGCGTTTGGTATCAATCGATCTATCGACGGCAATTATTTTGACGCAGAGACGTGGCAAGAACTTGAGGATATTCTCAACAAGCAAAACCGGCTGCATCAATATGTTACGTCCGGCAACAGTAATGAAGCGAAAAGCTGGTTTACACCTGCGCATGTATATGCTGGTTATCGTGGCAAGAAGCATGCTACAATTGAAAAACCAGAGAATTACGTTCTAGGAGAACGGATATTCGTTGAGTTTGTGATGAAGAATGCTCTTTCATGTGCAGTGGATGTAGAGAATATTCATTTGTATGGCAAATTTGAGGCCGCTGATGAGAACAAGGAAATATTTGATGTCCCCGAGAACCGGACGTCTGGCGACCAGCGTATCGTAATTGACAGCGTAAGCCTCCAGCTCCTGCCATGCAGTGAAGAGCGTGTCCGTCTTGCAGTATGTCCGAAAGTCCGCGGGAAGCTAAGTCTGACCGGAGTCCGGTGGTCAATATGCGGTGGAGACGTTCAAGGCGAGCATGCCTTTGATATCCCTGGTCCGCTGCTGCAAGACACAAGAGCACATCGAGAAGCGCGAGCCCGTGCGCCGAACATGAGTCTAATTGCCAATGTTGTGGAGTCGATGCCATGGCTTGGTGTGAAAGTTGAAGGTGTACATTCTGAGGCCTTTGTTGGTGAGGTGATGGAGCTAAACGTATTGCTTCTTAATTCTGGTACAGTAGCTCTATCTGGTCTCCAGGTTTGCTGCACTGACTTGCTAATTTGTGCATCGGAAACGAATTCCTCAAACAATCTTTGTGGATACATTGGGTCTAGTGGTCATGTCACGAGTTTAAAAGGAGTGGTTTTAATACCTGGAGAAACAAAGCAGATCAAGATGTGGGCACGAGGGCTAGTGCCTGGGCGCCGCGACGCGGCCCTCCTGTTTAAATACACGACTGACTCTGGAGAAGGACAGGCTTGTGTCACCTCGTCGCTTTCGCGTACAGTAAAAATTAAGTTACGTCTAAATTTGCTGCCGTGCGTCAGTGTATCCTATTCTATTGAACCAAGCTTTGGCGCCAACAGTGAATACATTCTTGGCATCACGGTGTCAAACCAGCGCAGTGACCGCGACGAAATGAGCGGGCCTTTGGACGGAGTAGTTCGGTTGGAAGAACTCGTTTACGTAAGTAACTCCTGGGCAGTTGAGCCCTTGGCACGTCCACCTTTTCATAAAGCTACAGACCTGCGTGATTCACTGCGTTTGGACTTTTTCGAAGCCAGCACGAGCTACTTTCGTGTGATTCCACGATCGCAATCCACTATTTCTGCTGGCATATTAGACTTATGCAAGCTTCCTCTCATGTCAGTGCAAAATGGTGTTGATTTGTCTTCGTCCTTGCCGATCGAGCAGTTCCTATGTTTGGAAAATGCTGGTGAGCTTGCTCGCGCCGGTGGTGCTGGAAGTGGCGAAGGTTCTGAAAAGGATGAGATACGTGGTGGTGGCTTCCGAACGATTCAAAGTGTAAGACGAGCGAACAATGCTCTGAAAAACGCGTCCGCTGACGATGGCAATGTCAAGACCATACAGCAAGAGCCTCAGCCGACGTCGAGGGATGCACTACTATCTCAGCTGGATACGGATGGCCATCTTGTGCTTGTATGGTCGACTGATTGCAACTCGTCGTTCAGCAAACAAATGGCAGGGATGGTCCCTCGTCGAGCAATAGGTCAAGCAAATCTGACGTCGTTAAAAATTCGACCATCTCTTCAAGACGGTTCATGCCCGTTGACTGTGACGCTAAGCTACAATGACTGCGTCAACCTGAAGAGCTCAACGTGCCCTGGTTCGACATCAACATTGAGTGTTGCAGAATTAGATATCACGATGCAGGTGTGCAACGAATCGTCACCTAGTTCAGCTCCACTTGATGTTACTGTTGAAATGCTGCATCCGGAAGAAGCCCAGACTCCGCTTCCTGCTTCTGCGCCGTTGACTAAGCTGCACTCAATCTCGCAATGTGTTGCCTCTCCACGCCGTGGCGCACCACCGCGTTTCTTCTGGACAGGAATTACTAAGAAGAAATTGACGCGGTTCTCGCCCAACAGTCAGGTGACGATCAACCTGAAGGCTTGCTTTATGGAGCCAGGCATTTACAATCTTAATCGGTTTCGATTTGTTGTGCAGTCTGCCATGTCAAACGGCGAGCCTTCAAGTGTCTTTATGATTCCAGCGGAATACCTTGTGTATGTAAAGGCTCGACAGCAAATGTCGGCATTGCAGACAGAATTCAACCAAGCAGTTGATGATCTACTTGTTGTACCAGTTCTATGACATGCTTGCGTTCCGAGACTGTCTCAGCGAAAACACGACACAAAGGAGAGCGGCGACACGTGATACCCATAATAAAGATTAAAGTTACTGTACCTGCTAAATGAACGTAAAAATGTGCGTAGCAGGTTACGTTGCAGGTTGCTTATGCCGCCATCAATCGCTTATACTTTTGCTCAATAAGGCGGATCTCCTCCTCATCTGAATCGCACTCAGGAACCTCGGTCGAAAATTTGATCCGAGGCACGCAAAAACTGTGGAAATCCAATGGTGGTGTTGTGAAGCAGCCACCGTGGTGGTCGACAAAGCCTCCGACCTTCCTGAGATATGCGTCAGGAGACAGAAGACGCTCAATAATTGAGTGAGTGTCACCACTAGCATTCATATCGCCAGCTCCCTGGTGTGAAGACGTGCTCAATTTGTCAATGGATAGATCATGCGAACTGGTGCTGTTATCAGTGCCTTCACGCGCTTCGGCAACATTTTCATTGAGTTCCTCTTCTTGACTGTCGATGTTGCTCGCTTGAGCTGTTCTGTCTTGGTTTGGTTCTTTTTTGTCATATTGTGACGACTGAAATTGGTTTAAGCCTTGAGCACCAGATTCCACTTGCTCGCCATCGACCATTACTTCCTTCTGACTTTGTGAACAGCTACGGTCATTTGGCTGTTCGCTCACAAGAGACGACGACAGCGACGACAAATCAGCTCCAGAGCCACAGCTGAATGATGATAAGCTCAACGAGCTCAATGAAAAGTCCATGCCGTCTCCTTTGCGCACGTTTTCATCGTTGTGGTGAGTGTGAACCGACGTCTTGTCAGAAAACGACTCGTCATCACTTTGTCGGGGCGTTGCTGAAACGAGTGACAACTGAGAGCCCGAGAGCCCATTTTTCTGTTGACCTCGTATACTGGAAACGACGGGGACATCAGCTTCTGCTCCAACGCCTGATCTGCTTGCGTCAAAGCCATAACGACCCTCATCGTTCAAGGCAACATTCGTCTTTTTCTTTTCTTCGCTTCTCGTTGTATTCAAAAGACGCCGCAACTGTACGATTTGCTCTTGCATCTCATGTAATTGCCGCTGTTGGTTCTCAAGAATTTGCTGGTGCTGGATTGTCAATAGCTGCTGCGTTTTACAGCAACTCCGGTAATTGGGGGTACTGTTATCATTCCAATCGCGCTGAAAAGCGTCTTTCGTCTCGTTCGACGGAGATATGTTCGAAACAGGTTTAGCAGCTTGCGTGCAGGTCACGTTGTGTACATTGTTAAGTCGGGTTGCAACATTCTCTTTCGAATTTGCCACACCACACTCGGCAGGGAGTGTTGCATTGCTTGTATTTTGCTCACCCTGCATTGACGTCTGACTCTGTGGACTGTGCCGGGAATCAGGATCCGTACGAATGGCATCTGAGGTAATAGTCCAGCCACTCGTCGAGTCTTCGTGCTCATCACCATCCGTGTATGCTGATTTATTACTTGATGTCAGCAAACAATCTGACCCTCGGGTGTTAACAGTTGCATGAGCCGTATTAGGCGCCATGTCTTTGCTTTGTTCGCACCGTGGAGCCGTAGGAATTTTCGCCTGGCGTCTAGCGTCTTCCCACTCGCTCGTGGGTGCAGCAGACAAAGTAAGCTCCACATCAGTTGAAAACTTGGATGCTCCAACCAAGCACGACCGTCGGTGTGAATATAGCTCAATTGGGAACGGTTGAGTCCGCGGCGACAAAAGCTCGGAGAACTTACACTCAAAAAATCGTGGCAATGACCCAACAGCGCCGCCACCATCAGGGTTACTGGCAGGATACAATGCTACTAAGAACGTGTTTTTCTCGGGTCCCACACGCTCTCTTATCGCCTGTGACGTTAAGTAGCTAATGCACGCAAAATACAAGAGCGGATCAGCCAGCTGCTGTCGCGCTATCTCCTCGTCCCAAGCGTCATCGATCTGGACACCATAGACCCAAACGCCGACAAGAGGTAGCTGTAGCACAAGAGGATCTACCTTTAGCAAAGGCACCGCCTTACGAGTTTGATCGAGAGTGAGATACCCAGATTGAAGATTCCCACATTCCGTACTGAATTCACGTCTTGCTAAACTAACAGCAAGAGGAGTCATGAGCAGTGGTAAGTTCCGTATGAGAGAGAAATTAAATGGAACCGATGGCGCCACACACTCCAGCTGAACATCTAGCCGTGCATCATTGGATCGAAGTACCAGTAACTTAAGCTGAAGCTTCGCGGCGACATTGTCGGAATATTCGTCCCGATAACTGCTCTGGAGTGCTGCAATTGTAGCCACATAACTTTCCTGCGTATCTCTCAACTTGCTGCTATCTGCAATAGCATGTACCGGTATACACCATGTCCCCATTGCAAGTGCATCCTTCTTCTTGGGCTTCACTCCTTTCAAAGCCACTGTTTTCGTCCGCAGCGTCGTTGCATCTCCGTAGAGATAGCACAGAGCGGCATCCCCACTGCCTCGTACACTAATCTTCTCTTGATACAACGTGTATATGTCCTTTAACGTCTCTGCTAAAACGATAAATCGTGGTAAAACTTGCTTTAATGACACACTGGCCGGTGTATCTGACAGGCGACGTCGATCCCTGCATAACAACAAGACCTAGTATCAATACTCCAATAAAAAACCTCACTGTCTCCTTCTAACTAACGTACCAGAGCACTGAACGGGTTGCAGGGAATTGAATAGCGTCCACATGAAGTCTCATTGTCCCCCATTGTCCTCCACTGTGTCGTCTGCCTTCTCTAGGTCCTGTACTCACATGAAAAGGTTTTCTATTGCTTTCTATTGATTTTGACCGACTGTAGCCACTTGTCGAGAGCTGGAAGCGCCTTGAAGAGTCCGGTAGTGGCCGTGAAACGTCGTCATCGGTCGTGTCAGAGAAGAAAGCAGAGCTTAGAAACTGACGACGTGGAGACCTTGAGCGTGTACTATTTCTGCTCTTGATGGTATCAGTAGCCACGGGAAGACGCGTACGGGGCTGCAGATGTCGCACTGGCGTCGAGATAGTCTGATCACTGTCCTGTAATTCCTCGTCAAACTGGTGGAAATGCCGCCGCATTTGAAAAAATTAAGAATACTTGTCTGAGGATTTACGTGGATTCAATTTTAAATCTTAGATGAATGTAATTGGTAGAAAACATCATTCAAACAAGCATGAGTGGTCAAAGACTTAACAGTAGCAAATAATAAACTAGCAATACCTTCTTTTACGAAACGTCTACTGCAGTTTTAAGGCATCAAGATCGACTAGTATTTATTATTCAGCTTATTGCGCAGCAGTAACGACAAGGCCGATAGTCTCTTCACCAATCTTTGAGATCTCACACACGTCGCAGATTGTGCCCTGACTCTCGAGATGATATGCAGCTGCACAGTATGGACAGCGTACATCCGACTCACCCAAATAAATTGGCGTAAAGTTGCGTGCGTCTAACACAAACAGCTTTGATTCCTGGTAGTCCACGGCATGTTCATTGCGAGCCTCCTTTTCCGCTTTTTGAAGCACCTTGCGGGCGGTTAGACGTAGCTTTTCGTGACGCGGATGCTGCGATACCTCTGGAATTTCCAGTAATCGCCGACAAAATGACGCTGCCGAGATAAAGTTGCCCGCCTTGAACGCATTAGTCATCGCAATTTTCAGCGTTAGCACCAGATGCGGTAGCTGCAGTTCACAGTGTGTAAAGTATGCGCTCAGCTCAATGTTGCGCTTGGGATTGCTCTCCAAAGGCACTGCAGCTACCTCAGTACGAATGCGACAAGCGACCAAGTACTCGCGGCAAACCGTAAGCAGACCCTTCACCTTCTCAGCTTCTTCCTTTGAATCCACAGTCAAGAATGGAATCGCGTGCAAAATCGATTGACAGTGCGTCTTCACGTCGTCAAACTTGGCACCAGTAAATGAACGGTAAGCTTGCTTGAGGTCTTCAACAAGAGATGCAAATGAGATGGCAATAGCAGGTTGGTTTGCTTCGTTCCGCCGCAGCCACGCCCGCAATGACGGGCAGTTGCCCTGCGTAGGCAATGAGGTCGAACTACCCGAGAAAACCTGAAGGAAAACGGGCTTGAGAGGCCCAAAGTTAATGACGCCAATCTGACGATGGAGCAACTGCATCGCAGTTTGGAATGACCCAGCAGCAGCGTGGTCGGCCGCCAGAGACGAATTGCGAACCCACTGCACAGCAAGACTTGTTCCAGCAGTAGGGGCTGCCACAAAACCAGCGTCTGTACTGAGACCAGCAAAGTCGTTTTCTAAGGCAGAAGAGTCCATGCCCAGCGACTGATCATCATTTGTCAGCGAGTCGTCCAAGTCAAGGTCGCCATCGGTATTCCAGGCATCGTCGACGCCATCTAGCGCCAAATCCATTGACGACTTGCGAGCAGGGCGTGCCTCTCCTGAACCCTCGTCCTGCTGTAGCGGCTGCAGACTGCGCTCGGCTTCACGCTTCTCAGCAGCAATAGCGTGATCTTGAATCGTCGGCTCGTTGATCTCCACTAGAGCCCAGTTCTCATTCTCCAAGCGGCTCACGGACAGCGGCGGAGACAGCAAAGTTGGATTCGGTAGCATCTCACGCGATAGGAAAGCGTCCACATCAAAATCCGGATTTGTTTCCTGCAGCATTGCACGCAGGCGTTCCACGTGCTCATTAAGGCCGTGAGTCGCAGCTGTTAGCAGAGCCAGGCCAAATTGGCCAGCAGCCTCAAGCGTCATCACGCGGACCTCAACATCACCAAGGTACAGCGCGTTGTGGAAGCGCGCCATGATGTCATTGCGCACTTCGGCAATCTTCAGCATTTTTTTTAGCTTGTCACGGTTGCCAGTGACCAGATAGAGGAAGCTCAGGCGCTCAAAGTTCTTGGTGCGCTGGTAGGCCATCTCTACTACCTGGATATTACCTTGGCGAAGCGATTCTACACCCAGCTGATACCAGCACTTGCTGTCATCCAGCTCGTAGGCTGAATTTAGTGCAACCTCGAGGTTACCACACGAAATAGCTAGCTTGAAGCGAGTTTTTTCATCATTGACAAAGTGCAGCGCAATCTCCGGGTAGCCCTTCTTCGTAAGGTAAGAGATAATTGCTTGCCCGCATAGTCTGGAGTGACGCACCATACGCATCACTTCCGTATAGTTCTTCTTGTTTAGCGCAATTTTGAACTCGCACTCCGTAAGGTCAACGGCCATAGTGCGCATTTTTGCCTCGCGGTCAAGGCAGTGAAGCTTGCTTCCCTCCAGGTGCGTCAAGTACACAGGTACATCCAGCGTGCGAATAATACCAGCGTCGCCATTCGTTAGCGAGTACTTGATGTGGTTAAGCGTCGTATAGACGAAGATCTCTGCAGGAGCATTCGCCCAAATACCGCTTTTGATACGCACTGACTCCGTGATAGTACACAAATGATTAAGTTGCTTATCAGCCAGCACAATAGAGTGCTTGCTGACTAGCGCCACATACTCGTAGTTAGGGCTCCAGACCACGTACTTCACGCGAGGAGCCTGAACGTCAGCTAGCACACGACGGCTCTGGGTTTCGTAAAGCACTATCTTGTCATCGATATGAAGCAGCACGCGGCCCACCACACCACCAAAAAACAAGCCGTCTGCTGTGCCGTTAGGTGGAGTAATCTTCTTGGTCACCTCATTCTGGAAGTTCTTGATCACAATGTGACGTGACTTATCCAGTACAGCAAAGCGGTTGCGGGCCACAAATACGGCAAACAGTCCAGGTCCACGGTTTGACTCCGACGTATCACCGTTTGCTCCCTGTGTGAATGTCACCAGCTCATATGAACCACCGTCAGTATCGCTAATTACCAGCACGCTGTTGGTACCCGAATTCTGATCGTATGGGTTGTAGTTTAGCTGACGTGGGGAGTTGCCCATACCTGTGCCAGTGGTACCTGTGCGACGCACAGCTGCCACAGGCACGTCGTTGCCATCAGCAAAGGAATACATGCGTACGTAGCGCTCTTTGGTGTAATAAGCGCGTCCTTCGTGAACATCCATCGCCGGACGCTCACGCTCTAGCTTAAACACAATCATACCAGAGTCATGACCAGCAGCCAGCAAATTCTGCGATGGGTGAGCCGCGAGCATCCAAAAGCGGTCATTTTCGCGACGAAAGGTCTGCAACCCCATGCGTTTCGAGATATCCCACACTCGAATCGAGCGGTCCTCACTGTTCGAAATAATCAGCTCGTGACGGGGGTGAAACAGTACACACGAGATATTGTTTGTATGGCCACGCATCGTGTCGACTTCCCATGCCTTGGTCTCGTTCATTCGCCAGAGCTTCACTTGACGATCATCAGCACCAGAGACAATCAGCGGAAGTGTCGGGTGGAAACTTGCCCAGTTGACACCCCGATCATGGCCTTCCAGTACATACTTGACAATTGCGTCATTGGCTCCAAAGATATCATGATTATTAGAGCGTGATGAAGAAGGGCCTATCATATCATCAACGGAAGTAGGAGCACCACGCACAGTCTTTTTGCGAAGTCCTGTAATATCCCACACTCTTACGGTCTGATCCAATGAAGCAGAAACAATCAAATCATCCTTTGGATGAAATCGAGCACACATGACGTAGTGATTATGACCTGTAAGGATCGAAACACATGAACGTGATTGCCAGTTCCAGATACGGATCGTTTGATCATCACTACAGCTTAATATCCATGGATATTCATGGTGAAATTGTACCGTACGTATATAATCCAAGTGACCAAGTAATGTAAACAAACAACGACGGAGTTTATAGTCCCATACTTTAAGTTTATAGTCATCCCCTCCAGAAACAAATAAAGGCTGTGAACGATGGAAATCAACACCACGTACAGGTCCATCATGTTCATCAAAACGATCTAATAGAGTACCCATACGATAATCCCATAATTGAATCACACCATTATGTAACGATGTAAGAATCCATGGACGACTTGAATGAAATGTTAATCCTTTTACACGATTACTCTTGGATTCAAATTTAGTCAGCATGTTACTATAGAAGTAAAGAAAGATATACTGTGCAAAGGTCAAGAGGTCAAGACTTAGATAGCGCTGATAGGAGGAGGAGGGAGGGAGGGAGAGGGAGATTGACTCAATAAGATGGTGATCGCAATAGATTTAGGAAGGGGCGGAAGGTGCTTGATCTACGTGGCGATCGAGCTCTTGGTATAGCAATGTATCTATATGATTGGATGAAAAAGAGTGTTAGGATGCCTTTGTATTTTGACAAATGAAACACAAGCATGTCAAGATTGATTATGGTGTGGTGGACATATTGTTATAGATACTGGCATTGGATATGATATTGTTGTGGTAGTAAATGACATTTAGAGTTTACTTTTATGAAAAGACATGTAGAGTTGTTGTTGCCATACACGCGGATCATTACCAACATAATTACGCAAGACACTTGACTCAAGTTGAATTGCTTTTACGTCATTGTACGGTAACAAAAGCAAATGCGTTACTGTCTCTGCACGGACAGTAAAGGCAACAGGTTCCTCGTTCAATGATTCACGTTCACCAAAGGTTTGACCTTTGTAGAGTGTATATGGATGCGCAGAATGTACACGTACTCTTCCAGATCTAGATAAAAGAAACAGTATACTCGAGTCAGTTTGTTGTTTTTCTGATTAGATAAAGCATCTGGAGATACATAAAAAAACGTACGCAATGAAATAGATGGCTGTAGGTAACGAGCCACGTGCACTAATCATTTGACCAGCACGAAATACCTTGGCAAATAATGGCGTGTTACGGACGGTCTGTAGACGCTCCATTTCTAGAGACATACATAGCACATACGTAGCTTGTTAAAACATTTGCCTGGACCAAAGACGATTTACCATAAAGATACTTTTCGTACCGTTCAAAATGACACTGTCCGTCGGCCAAACAAGCCGAGCTACAGCAGGGGATACGGCAGCAAGAGATTCACGCTTGTACGATACCGAAGTTACGTCAATCGACGTCATACAGTAGCGATAATTAATCATCATCCCTAGCGCCGTTGTTAATGCTGATGGGGTCGTGTCTGCCATAAAGTTGATTTGCTCCACCTGGGCACCGTTTTGAAGGTGAAAGTTTGCCACGGGATCCAAGATCTTGTCCTTCTTTCGTTCAAAGAGGATATAACGAGCACATGCTGATGTCACAATGTCGCGAATATTCTCCAGTAGCTCGGCTTCCTTGTGCCACTCTGGATTGCTTATCTTTTTCAGCAGCCATTTGTGCAGCCCAAGCTGGTTCGCACCATATTTCATGGTAAGACGTTGCGCCTGCTCCGTCGTGAAGAAACTTCGAAGAAGAGGTTCCAAGCGCTGTAGTTTCGGGCCCTTGTACTGCGCTGTATTCAGACCAACCTTGACGTCCGAAGAAGTCTGGAACTGTTGATCACCACGAGCGAGCGCTGCCTTAAACCATCGAGCAAAACCTGGTACAGGGGACAACGTTGCTGCCATAGTGCATCGCAAAAACATGCTGCTCATACGCTGGATCGTTAGGAACAACAAGTGGCTCGCAATGTTTAGTCCCCGAAGTCCAGTGTTAGACGTTGAAACAGAGTAGAAAATTATGTGCGACGGATTCTTTACCACGGGAGTCTCTTGCTCTAGAATAGGAGTAATGTTGTCGCACAAGTGGTCCGTCACAGCTACCTGCACGAAAACCAGCGGAGCGTGCGGCATGTGCATGTGAAAAAGTCCAAAGCAGTAGCGTTGCTGTCCGACAAGTCTACGATGCAGATCGTCCCAGCTTCGGATTTGGTGCACGCGTTCATTTTTCAGCACAAATGCAGCTAAATCCTCAGATGACAAGTCAATACGACGGAAACGCATGCTACCTTGTGTCGCAAACAGGTCGCGCATAATCAAATCCAATAGTTCCAGCGCCTCGATACTGGCCTTGGGTAGTTTCTCCCGATGTCGTTTGATCAATACGCCCAAATCCACTCGAAGATTGAGCAGAAATAATGGTCCAGGATGAATAGTGCCGAACAATAGGAAAAACTGTTCTGCAAGTGGCACAAGCCCGCGCTTGATGCTCTTCGAGATGTTTGGATCGTTCTTGCGACTAAAGCCAAGCGCCGCAGCCGTCACGTTCAGTACTAAACCAGAGCGCTTGATTGATGGTAGAGTCTTCATCATCACTGCTAGATCTCGCACTCCTAGATCCACTGCCAGTGCCAACACCAGTTCCAATTTCTGCGCCTCCGTGAACATTTTGTAGTCCTCACACAAGTGCAGTGCAAACTCTCTACGATGCTTGAGACCAATTACAAAGCCATCACTCACATTGGCATCCAGAAACTCCTACATAGACTGAATGAGTACTGCGTTGCATGAAAAAGCATACGCAACGCCATGAACAAAGCTAAACTGTATTATACAATAACGTACCTGGATCTGCGTGATAAACTCAGCACGATTAAAGTGCACCGTCTCCACGGAATTACAGCTACCTTCAGGACTGTTCTTTCGTGCATTCTCAGCATCTCTATCCTCTATATGTCTACGTACCCATGCGTCATCTCCATGGAACACAGACTGCTCTGCAGCAAGTGTATGTTCTCCAATAGGAGGCATTAATGTACTTGTCATTATGAAAAAGTACTGATTTAAAGATGGTAGTGGATGAAGTAACAGTTGTAAAAGTAACGCAACTCGTCATTGTTTTTGGTTCTTACCGGTTATTTAAAGGTATCCTCCATAAAGCAGAGGACGGACCCCATCCATGACCGAGCGCAAGGGCATTTACTTTGGCACCATTGATGCTGTCACTAATGACATAGTGCCTACTAGTGTACGTAATGCTAGTGGTAATCATGGAATAGCTAGCAACTTGGAGGTCGCCATCCGTGCGGGCAACGTGAACGTGTCGGATAACGTCGAGACTGAGGTGCTCGAGTTATCAGAGAGCAGTCGTGCGGCACAAGAGAGACATGCACAGCTATTGCGTCGTATTGAAGCAGAAAAGAGAGCGCGGAATATTGCAGTGCCTACTATTGTAGAGGAAGTGATTCGACGGCTACGGCAGCTTGGTGAGCCAATCACTTTGTTTGGAGAGCGACCGGCCGATCGTCGCGAACGACTGCGCGAGATTTTATCTCGACTTGAACTAGAAGCAGAAGAAACTGGATTTGTTCATGAGGTGCTAGCAGATATTCAGCAGCAGGGTGTGGGACCAGATGCAGGGGTAGAACGAGCTGCAGCAAGAGAAACTGCAACTGCCAAAACCACAAAGCCACAAGAAAATCAGTTGTTCTATGTACCCATTAGGAACGAAAGGCTGAAGAGTGTGCGTGCTACCATTTTCTCCCATACTGCAAGTGTGGTAGGGGCGCGGCTGAAGCGGGAGCGACAGGAGAGGAATATAAGTCAGGAGGAACGAGCCCAGGACAGTTGATCGCTACGCCGCAGAGCTATATGCTACGGCACTAAAAATGGCCAACATTGCAAGCCAAAGCGGTGATGTCAGGCCTCTTTGTAGCGTGAGGTTTTCAGTTGATGGTGCGCATGTGGCCACCGGTTCATGGAGTAGTCTCGTTAAGATTTGGGATACAAAGAGTGCTAATGAGGTCAAAGTCTTTCGTGGACATGCAGACCGTATTACTGGATTAGCATGGCACCCGAGCAGCGTATTTTCCGAGATGACGGATGGTGCAGATTCTGTATGTCTGTGCAGTGGGTCAGCCGACGGAACTGCTCGGCTTTGGAGTGCGGCTCGCAGCGAGCCCTTGGCTGTGCTGCAGGGTCACAAGGCACGACTGGGTAGGGTAGCTTTTCATCCGCTGGGCAACTACGTTGGTACAACCAGTTTCGATCACACATGGCGGCTTTGGGACGTTACTACGGCAAAAGAGCTGCTTTTGCAGGAAGGTCACTACAAGGAGGTATACGCCATTGCGTTCCAGATGGACGGGGCGCTTGCAGCAACAGGAGACTTGAACGGCAACGGACGTGTTTGGGACCTACGTTCCGGCAAGGCCATCTTGCCACTGCAGGGACACTCGAAGCAGATTTTATCGATGGACTTTGCTGCTAACGGCGTGCAAATTGCATCGGGTAGCGATGATCGAAGTGTTCGCATTTGGGATTTAAGACAGCAAAAGTGTTCGTACATGATTCCGGCCCACAGCAATTTGGTGAGCGACGTTCGCTTCTCGCCTAGATCCAGTGAGCTATTGCTGAGTGCATCGTACGACTCGTCTATTAAGCTTTGGAGAACGCGTGACTGGAAACTCATGACTAAGCTGCGTGGACATGATGGCAAGGTCATGTCTGCCGACTTTGGTCCAGACGAGAAGCATGTTGTGTCCTGTGGTTTCGATCGTACCTTTAAGCTGTGGGCCCATGAAAATGAGTTCTAAGCTGCTAGTGAAACGAAATGATCGCTCGATTAAGAATGAGACAGCAAGCCCATGTATCAGCACAATGATGGAAAACCTTTGACATTATTTCACGCCCTTTGTACATTGGGCTTTTGTAAGTGGCACTTCAAGTTCGGATATGGCGATGATCGGCTGTAAGCTGCTTATGGTCAGCTTTCGCCAACGCAAGCGCCGTCGGCATCACGATACGACAAGCAGTAGGAGAACTACAATTGCTTCGTACCCGGCCATGGTCGTCCTGCAACAAGGCACCACCTGATGTAATGATGGGGAGCGTCACTGTCGTAACCTATAGGCAGCAGTCACAGATAACCTGTTCGATTAAAAAACAACCTCGACTGATGGTATGATGCATTGTTGACGGTGGCAACTGATATGTACTACTGGATTGCTAGTCATGCTTTTGTATGCTTGCAGGTCTTCTAAGTTCATGATGATAATTGAGCTTAGTCTTGATGCTGTCTTGTCTTCAGATGCTTTGCCTCCTAGCTGTGTCTTCGAAACTGCTTAGCTCAACTTTTGCTGCATCAGGTAAGACCGACACATATTGTCATTGGTGATCACCACCGATCTCACCGGTTCTTACATGCAACAACTTCCCTTGCTACTGCTCCTGTATTACGGCAAACATTACACCAGTTGTCTTCGTCTGTTCCAAACAGACCAGTTAGTCTCATTGTATGTGTGTTATGTGGTACCGAAGATCCATGATGCACATTTGCTAGATGTTAGAGATACAGCAAGATGCACATGCGTGTCAAATATATAAGGCAAAAGCCCGCGCCGCTGCTTTCGTGTCCATATTCTAAGTTGATAATGCTAATTATCTCAACACACTCTCTACCCGCAGGAAAAGCAAGGAGCTTGCAAGTATTGCGGTGGAGTCAAACTGACTAGCAGCCAAAATTCCACAAGACAAACCTTCTATTGCACGTCCGAGAACAGGAGACTCTAAATGGCCACGATCTGTAACCACATTCAGCTGCAGCGACATGACGACGCTTGGTTGCGTCGTATCGGACTGCTGGTAACGAACGCACAAACGCTTGCTTTGAACGTCAAACAAGGGGATGAAGATGAACGATCGAAATGTCGCCGTTGTCGTGCAAGCTGTAAATAACTTTTAACCATAAAAATTCGGTGTTGCTTGACATGTTGCTCCGTTTGTTCGGGACATTCTTGTGATCGTTTGATGTTAATGCTCTTGAGACATTGATGCGCACATAATGTAGTTGACATCGGTCCACGTCGGATGGATTTGCCAGCGTCGGAAAATCGGATTACCCACAATACCCGACACATCTTTCAAAGTAAGCCCATCTTTTCTTAACTCGACCTCAATTTCACCAGGCTGGACAAACTTGTTCCAGTCATGTGTGCCTGCTGGAATGATTCGCATCACATATTCCGCAGCTCCAATAGCAAGTGCAGCCGAAAGAAAAGTTCGATTGATAGATGAGAGAAACAGTAGACCACCCGGCTAACAACGCACACCAACATCTCATCAGAACCCGCGACCACAAGCACCAGCATCAAACTGACACTCACCTTTACCAACGGAGTGAGTGAGTGCAAAAATGCAGGCACGTTAGATACGTGTTCAATGACTTCCAATGAGCACACGACATCAAACTTCTCTCCTTGTGCTACCAGTTCATCTGCAAATGCAATACATAAGTTTCAGCATCACCGAGTAAACTGAATATCTAGCTTTCACTATACACTCACCAGATGTAGAGAGACGGTAGTCAATGCTGCTCGTATGGCGACAAATTGCTGCATGTTTCTTAGCAGCAGTAATGTTATCCTCTCCAGGGTCAACAGCCACCACTGTGCCGCCAATGCGACACAACGCTTCGGACAGAATACCTCCACCACAGCCAATATCAGCCACCCGTAGTCCATGAAGTGGATATGGATCATTATCTGTTGATTGTCCATAATGATCAATGACATGATTACGAATATACTGGACACGCACAGGATTCATCTGATGCAGAGGTCCCATGCCTGACAAGCTCTTTGGAGCCCACCAGTCCCTGGACAAACAAAAGAAGACGTCAATCATAATCAGACCCTTCACATACAGACAAAAAATAGACATAAGATACATACGATGAAACAGCATTAAACTTGTGTACTTCATCCTTTACTACAGTAGACAAGGAACGACTTGTGCGTCGAGGCAGCATCGACAATAATGGTCTTAACATTTCGATACACTTCGTAGTAAAAATGACAAAATTTGAAAAAAACGTGTGTAAGAAATCATAAAAAAACCTTGTAAACTGGTGTGTATTACTTCAAATTTACGACCTACATTCCTCGTCTTTTGCCACCAAGATGAATAATAGAGGTAGTAAGGACACTGAAGATGCCGCAATGCAGTTAAAACGTGCGGCAGGAGAGATTGAAGAAGAATGCAGGTCAGTCAAGTTATTACGGGCAGATGAAGATACAACGCTGAATATGATTCAGTCCAGTGCCATGGACGCTACACGAGCTATGTTTAGCAGTCCACAACAACAACAACAACAACAGAGTACTCACTTCTTTGTGGGCTCTGAGTCTATCATGCCGCATTCACTTCAATTACAAGCACAGAGTAATTCAGATATACAGAATCATCAGATACGGATGCAAATGCAGCAACGACAACAGCAGCAGCAGCAATATGCAGCAGCCATGGCAGGTAGTATGGCTCATGTCTGTGTGTGTGCTCTTTTTTTCTTCCTCTTGGCATCAATTGGATGAAGTATATGTCTCTAATTCCTTCTTACTTATACAATGTGTATACGATGCTATTGTAGCACGGCATCATGCTCAGCAGCGACATCAACAGGCCGTCGCAATGGCCACAATGATGGGCAAACCGGGCTCTCCTCCAGGTCAGCTGAATAATATGAAGCCAATGGCGCTTGCTGGGCAACCACTGCCAAGCTCTGATGGTAACGTTCATTTGGATTCCTTGATTGGAAGTCAAGGAATGAATTATTACATGGACACGTTGAGTGGGGATCCAGCTCAGCAGCCATCGCTATCAGCTGCAGCTACGACTACCGTTGCCTCCCAGATACCTGCTGTTTCAGTGGCACCGATTTTGCCAAATGAAGCTGAAGAACCTTGTTTTGTGTGCGGGATGAAGGGCGAAATTTTTACATGCAATGGTGGTTGTGGGCTCCATGTGCACCCTGCGTGCATTGGCGAGGATGCAATTTTTCCGTTTGTTGGTATGTTATTGCGCCAGTATGTACTGACATTCTTCGAAACATCGACATTTTATCTTACACGATCCTGGATGCTTGTAATATAATGACCAGTTGGCCAACTCTGTGGTAGCTGCTTCATTGTGCAACAAAATCGTGCATCTCCGGAAGATCTTACGAGAGGAGGGCCAAACGCATTATCGGTAGGATACAGAAGCGTTGAATGTTGTTACAAATGCCATAATTACAAGACTGGTCGTTTCTTGTCCATTTGTGGTAGGTCCGAAGAGCAATCTTGTGTGTAAACTTGGAGACAAACAATACCGCGAACTTTGACAAGTTTGGTCATTTGGCGTCATTGCGGCTGGCAGAGATTGGATCGGTGCGTACCGCATTTCCGTTCACACACAAGAAAATGCTAAATATGTGCATTCTGGCGACAGATTGCAGGTTACCCGATCAAACCGTTTGCTGAAAAGTTTGTCGAGCCTTATTTGCTGGTGCGTGCACAAATACTTGATCAACGCTTGTATGTTGTTGCTTACAAACATGTTTTGCAGCGCTGGATACGAGAAAAGCTCTCAACTACTACTAATTGGATGCTGAACGTGCGTGAAGTGTTCACCGTGATGATTGGTCTTTACAGGTAATTGTATTTACAATAGTTGCTTAAGTTGAAGTCACTGACCAAATCATACTGTTGATGAATTGGTATTTTTAGCCTAAAACGTGCTTGCATTGCTCATGGTCTGCACCACAAAGTAATCAACTTAATGAAAGCACGCAAGTTTACAGTAATGGACTACTTCGGATGGCATCCAGCTGTCGAATGCCCAAGCGTGCGGTGTTCGAGTTTGTGCGCTATCTGCGGAACTCGCAATGCTCCGAGTGTCGACTTATGCTCACGCTGCCACCACAAGCTTGTGTTTCCGACAACATTTACAAAGTATATTAGTACACTCCTTGCCGCCTTCTATGCAGGTGCGTCGTTCGATGACCCTTGTATCGTTCGTCACAGTCGAATCAAAGCTTATTGCTAACCATGGTTTTGCGTCACAGAGCAAGTTGGGATTTCACTTGGAGCATCTACACTGGACGTCTTTGCACACACAAATATTGTCCGTGGATTGTACAAGGGGCTTCGACCATTTGACGCTGATGGTGTCGTTTGGGATTTGTTTACCGACCAGTAGAGTGACTTGTGTTATTGTGAAACAGAAAAGAGAAGGTAAGCTGATGAATTGCTGTTTTTGTGGACTGCGTTGTATGATGCACAGATTGCGGATGATCTTTGGCCTTTTGGATATTATGAGCAATTTCGGCACATTGCAGCTCAACCCAGATCTGTTTGCGCCGGAGGTCAACATCATCTTTAACGCTGCTTACGTGAACCAAGCTATGATAACGAACGAGTTTGAGGTCGTGGGAAAGCTTCTCCAATGCATGAAACTATTTGGCCTTGCCAAGAGAATGGAGAACAAAAACATGATTGAGTCCTGTGAACGCTATTTGCTATTTAAGCACCTTCCCAATGGAAGCTGGTGCAAGACAAATGGCTCAAAAGTAGAGCAATACAAAGCGACTGTCACGTGCTCGAAGTAAGCTGTATACTAAATGCTTACATATCGAAGTGACTTCTAACTTGTCTATGCTTTTATCGCTTAGAGCTCTTCTCAACCCAGAGTTTCGTGGGTACGGCCCAATGTCACTCGACTTTCAACGACTTCTCGAGAAGTGGGCTCGCAATTCGTCCCCGAAACATTCCACAATGGCCAGGGGCAAGCAGCCAGCCGAGACAGCAAAGCTGAAACGACTAGTGTCCGGGGTGATCGTGAAGGCGCACACCCAAGCGAGGCTTAAACGTCTTGAGGCAACGTACAAGGTAGGCTGTAAAAGCAAGGTTTTGTATCAGAGATTTTCTAATCAAAAGACTGTTACCGCGGTATTTTGTCAATTTATCAGCGGCAAATTGCTCCAAATGGACGTGACTCTTCATTGGAATCTCTTGTGACTGAGAGAATGAAACAGCTCTTGAAAGCCAAGGTACGTGCTGCTTCTGATTTGATCAGACCAGTGTCAAAGATGGTAACAACCAGTGACTGTTCTTTGGGTGTGCAGAACCTTAAAGCCTCCACAAAATCGGTATCAAGTGCAGAAAAAGAAAAGGCCGGTGAAGCGGCAACCATATTGGATAACGAGAAAGATGGCATTAATGAGAAGGAGTCTCATGATGAGACAGTATTGATAAAAGAGAACGCACCAAATGCTGACAGCACGTCTGCTTCGGAGGACGTCAAATCTGGCCACGAGTTAAATCGTGATTTGAGAGCTTCGGCGGATAAAAGCCAGGATGATGATGATATGCTTACGAGCATGAGTTTGCACGAGGATCTAGAAATCTTTGACGGCTTACAGTTTGAGGACGGCGGCGGCATTATTGACATGAGCTTGCATGCACTAAGACATAATAGAGAAGTCGTCGAAGATAGCGTAGAACGTGCACTGGAGGATACTGACGGCACGGATGTGCCCGGACAGGATGACGACGAGGATGAAAATGTGTACGATGACGATGAAGATGAAAACGAAGATAGCGCAAGCTATTTTGTGGACGGGGAAACGTTGCAGCACCAATCACAGTTGAGCGAGGTGGTGGAAACACCAAATAGTAGCGACGTTACCACAGATTTTCCATCTGGAATATAACGAGCAATTTCAGGTGTTGAACGTTGCCCAGTTTCGTAAGAAAAGTTTCAGCTGATCACAATAGACCGATGATTTGACCTAAGTTTCTCTCGCCTGGCTGTCTATATGTAATTGGAGCTTGAGCTCGCTGTTGACTACCGGCAATCTCGGCCTCGCTCAATTCCAGAAACGACCGTAATCCCTCCCACGCTGCCCGAGACTACAAAAAACACTCACGTCAGCAACATCAAAAATCAAGTAGTTCTTACAACATCTCACCTGAACGTGATAATCCAGTTCCGAATTTGCCAACGAAAGTAAAGCCGTCTTCAGATTCGCAGTCTTTCCGGTATCCATCCGCTTTGTTTCCACCTTCAGGCTGTTTGCGATGAACTGAACTTGCTCTTTGGCTTGGTTCATGCGATCCTCCGCCTACAAAATAACAAAAGTGTAAAACACAATGGATGATCCAGGAAACAGCGCTTCATTGTACACGTACCGATGCCATTTTTTGCTCAGCTCGCATGGCAGATGCCGCTGCACCACTACTCGCGCGAGCGGCCGCAAACCGCTCCTTATTGCGTTGCATACTCGCATTGGCTTGTTGGACCTCGTGAATAGCTGACTCGCGGTTGTGCATCACGGTCTTTATTTGTATGCGCACAACAATCACACATAATAAATGTCATTGCGTGAAGTCTACCAGGATGCAACTGCAGGAGCCCGCACCTTAACAGCATCCACTTTACCCGCCTGATACCTGATGATTGACACATACATTGACAGCAACTTGTCCAGCTAGAATAACAAGATTCACATGACATCGACGTTAGATTATCGACCACCGATTGCCCCTCTAGCTTCGCGTACCTGATCTTGATAGATGTTTGACACAGTCTCAAAATGGTCACCTGCGACCTAAAGAAGCAATAGAACACAAGTTTGCGGAAAGATTAATCCCAAAAATGCTCCCGCCATCTACAAACTGATCAGCAACAGCAAAGAACACACCTCAGCAAGCTGCGTCATGGCCGGATCTCTTTTCTCGTGCTCTGACAGGGCAGATAAATAGCTGCCAAACCGTGACATTTCGTATCCTTCGCTGCGTTGAGCTGCATAGACAATGTCTGAACAGCGTGTCACCTCTCGGATTCGCTTCTCGTACTCGTTCATATGCTGACCAATCTGTTATCACCAATAGTATTTTAGTTGTAATGTACAGCACCATAAGGTCGAAATGAACAAAGTTTTATGGATCATGTACCCTCGCGTAGTCATCGTCAGTCTTTATCTCAATTTGCTGCATGTTTGAGGATAAAAACGCACCATCTTTCAGAGAACTCCACAAGGAGCTTACCGAAGCAGGAGTTGGAACATATGCGGCAGCAATAGATGCAACTTTCAACAGCTCCTTTCCAGCAACCAGACCCTGTTTCAGTGGCCGTTCATGAACGCATTGGTTAAGTAGGAATCAATTGCGTCAGAAAAATGCACACACCTCTGTACTAGCAGCGAGAACGATCTGCAACTCAAGTGACTGCGAAAGCTTTTCGTGGGTGCAGACTTCATTCTGTCTCAAAAACATCGGATAATGGAGGTAAACACAACAGGCAATGATGGCAGAGCAAAAACATCCGCGTACAATGAAATGTTCTAAAGCCTGGCGACGTTCTTCGACAAACGTTGCATCCATATTTCCAGTCCAGCGCTTCTCCGGAAGCGGTGGAATGATAGTACCTAATTACCAGTCAGCTAGTATAAGTTTACGCTTGAGCACACAAAGTAAAATGTGATTCAAACCTCGAAAATGCATCAGTAGCCTCTGATGTAGCCACTCAAAGTCACTAAACCGTCGCTTGACTTGTGCAGTGGTACAAGGAAAGTGTGAGCAATTCGTCTACACTCAGTGGTCAACACGAAACTATACGTTAATCAAAAACGTATTCTCATCACACAAATAATAAAGCTGTCGATGTCTTTACCTTTGTCGAAATCACGTACTGTGTGTAGCGTGAGTATCCCGACCCAACAATCACGGGTGTGCTCACCGACACGATAAACGATCGTTCAAAGTCTGGCGCCGTTTCTTCTGGAAGCTTAAAGTTTACAAACACATCATTGCTTTAGTTTTTTACTCTTTTGCTACTACTATCGCTGCTTCACACACCACATTGTCAACGGGCTGCTCGAGCTGGAAGTCAGCCAACGGTAGCGGTTCTCCCGAATAAAGACTCTGCATCTGACACTTGCCAGTGTTTTGCACTAACGCAACAAGTTTCATGGCTACAAACCAGCAGTCTTTATTCAGCTTCTCTTGTGACTTTCCTCCACTTGCTAACCGCCAGATCTGAACGTCAGACAAATGAGTTATTACTTCAAGACCTTGCACTGCTTCTGATCCTTTCTCGCACCTCTCGATTAGCATCATTCATCAGTCTTGCCCGACGTATAAATGCTGCACCTTCAGTGCCTCCAATATATCCATCTGCGTCTATATCCACCTGTAATAACAACAAGAATACAAAAGCTATCAGACATAGGTAAAAAATAAAACAACTCCAAGCTATAGAACAAATGTACCACTACGTACAATATGGAACAGTCTTGAATACAAAGCTCCTTCTGCACTACAAAACTTAATAGGTCCATTGACAAACGCGATAGTAAACTCACCACAATTGCCACCGTTCGTCGAGGAGCGCCCCATTTGGAGCATAGTTCACGTTCTTCTTGGTTGATTTTTATTAAGTATCAAGAAAACGGTGTTGTTTTATTCCGTACAGTAAAATGACATTTGATTGGTAGATATTAATATCATCCGTAATCTTACTTGAGAAAAAACCGGTAATACTGTCAGTTTCCTTCTATATAGAATAACACACATTTTTTTACGATAACGCAGGTATTCACGAGTATATGACACACGGTAGCTCACATCAAGCGACAGAAGCACGTGTTCGTAGGAAACCAATGGAACATGAGTGTCGTTTGAAGAAGAAACAGAAATCTAGACGGCGTATGCGGATCTCGAAAGAGTACGAGGTGTTTTTGTGGCACGAGACTACGAGCTTTGAGCAGTTTTGTATGATTGACTTGTTATCGATCTACTGTTATCTTTCTTTGATATAGATGTATGAATCGCCTCGTGATGGATTATCTAGTAGGAAAAGGATATCGTGAAGTAGCTGAAGCTTTTTGGCGTGATTCGGGCACAAAACGTACGTCTTTGTAACGTTTTGCAATGTTTTTTGACATTGTTTTTAAGTTGCGAAAGCTTCGACTTGCTTCCTCATGACGATCCTATGGAATAGCACATATGGATCTACAATTAGTACAAGAACGTATGAATGTTCAGCAGCTTTTACTTAAGGGACAGATCCAGAAAGCACGGAGTAAATTGATAACCATGGACCCAGACTTTCTCAAACAGAATACCGAGATGGACTTCTTATTGGCGAAACAAGAGCTCATCGAGTTGATTAAGGCTCAAAATATTGAAAAAGCACTGCAGTTTGCAATCAAAAACCTGGCGCCCTTTGGTCAAAAAAGTGTGAGTAGCTAGCTGGCTGTACGTGTTAGCGCTTTGTTTGATAAAACGGTTTCTTACTTTCTGGTTGATAAACAACAGCCCCAGTTTCTCCGCGAAATTGAGAAAACGATGTCCATCATTGCGTTCAAAAATCCGTCCGAGTCGCCACTTGGATATGTGCTAGAGCAGGCCCAACGCCGAAGCGTAGCGAGTGAAGTCAATTCTGCGATCCTGCGGAGCCGCACGCAAGAATTGGGTCTGTATTGATGATATCTCTGCGTCAGCATAGTTGTCAGTCTTTGATGTATTCACATATTGTTGTGGTAATGCTTTAGAGCCCATGCTACCGTCAATGGTCCAACAATTTCATTACATGGAAAACCAGCTGGAAGCTAAGCTCAACCGCCGCTCGCAAGGCATTCGAGTTGACGATTCAACACGTTAGGATACTGCATAGCAATGTCTTTGTTCCAGGGTCTCTAGGCTGGTAGACACGATGCCTTTAAGTCGCGTCGGTCATAATCGGTCGGTCGTATTCGGTGTCAGTTTATTGTTGCATGGCTTGCATGAACCTTTGGATTGCCAAGTTGAAACTGCACAGAAGCATTCAGAACACAAATAATTTATGACTGTCCTGCATCGTCGTCTGATTCCTCGTAGAGCTCTTCGATTGCCATCATTCGCCTCACAAGAGGTCTTGCATTATAAGGAAATAAGTCGGCGGCAACGAGCCGATCGATTTCCAGTCGCAGTCGAATGAGCACACTCATCACATCTTCTAATCGTCCGTAAGTCTGCAGTTTTTGCTTGCTAGTGTCCCAGTGTGAATGTATGCGTCGTAGGTATTTAACAAAATACTCGAGCATTTGAGTTTCTGCAGCAGTAAGAGACCAGCGTTAGATGATTACAACAAGTGATCACGTATCCAACTCTTACCATTTGACACGAGGAGGTCAAGTAGCACCAAATGGTCCTGTCCAAGTGTTTCGACAAGATCAGCAAAAAGTAGGTCCGGATCGAATTCAGCAGTGACGTAAGGAATAAGAGATGGAAACAACTGCGTGTCGAGGCTGAAGCTGAAGCAACCCGCAATCGTTGTTATCTGCATGAGACGGTTTACAACTTCGATCAGAACATCATCTTGCTCAGCCAGTACCGCAAAAAGTTGCTGCCGACTCAGTATATTTGTAGAACACTGTAGTCCACTAGTGAAGGTCGGCTTTTGCAACGTATCACTCGGTCTTGTGTTGATCAAATTTTCCAGATATGCAGTTCCCATTCGACTCAAATACAGAAGCCATTGCTGCAAGAATGGGTATGGACCCGATTTGGCAATAAATGCCATTTGGCTTGTCACAGTTGCATGGTCATTTAGTAGACGCAATGCCGCGGACGTGCAGGAAGATTCCAGAAGCCACACCACACATCGCTCGAGCCACTTTGAAAGCATAGTGTCGTTCGAACAACTATAACCACTGTCCTCTGTCTGGCGTACCCAAAACATTAAAAGTTCTTGAAAATTACCAAGCAGCCCTAGGACCGCACAAGAAACGAAGGTTGGTTGAGCAACGTAGTCCATCGCCACGAAAACGTTATCCATAAACATCACCATATGCTCGCTTAGCTCCACTTGGTACGAAGCTGCAATCTTCAAACCATGTAGGCGTTTGATAACATCACTCAAAAACACTAACGCCTCGTACTGGACTGTGTAAGGGGCCGATGTTGTTGCTAACTCTACACGCGCTTCAGCGCGATCAGTTGTCATGAAAACGTTGCGCATCATACCTCCGACTAGCAATAGATTTTTCAGCATTGCTTGTAAGCATGGGTGCTTCACAATACATTCTACTTGACCCTCGTCATCACTACTGCTTCCTTCCATGGACTCCTCGCCAATTCTTGCCTTAATGAGTTGTCGCAGTAACTGAAACCGGAATCCACTGGCCTCTCGTTTCCAAGCTGCAGCCGATGGCAATATAAAAGCTCTGGTAGAATCAAAACACAATGCACAAAGCCACAGAGATAATTAGCACACGATCATACTTGATCATTTAATTCTAATTCCCTCCCCATCCAGCAATCCTCACTTGATGATATCGTTAACATATCTCGTCTCCATAATTCTATCATGAATAACGATCTGGTGAAGCTCCTCCTTCGCAGTATACGCGACCAATACGTCCTCGTCATCTATAAAATCCAGCAACATCTTCAGCTCAGCATAGAAATATGCATGACGGTGTCGAATGGAAGATGAGATCGTTCTGATGCGGTGAATAGCTATACACCATTTTATTGATTCCATCGACTCAGATTAATACCAAATTAGAGCCTTATTTTAGGCTTCTCTATTTGACACGCATCATAGCTTTCTGTATATAAGTGCTACTTTATGCATCGCACTTCAGAAGACAACTGTACTGGTTTAACATTGGAATGGTACTTCCGTATCGCAACATTACTGCCACTTCAACTACTGCCACTTAAAAACCCATTGCTAATAATGCCATTGGTACGACTTCATTTTATTTAAACCAATCAACATTCAATATGACGTCCGTCCAAGGTTCCCAAGCAGTGGAGACGTATTTGCGTAACTTTGTAGGTGAGACGGCCCATTATAAGGAAATTCTTGAGATTACACTGTGCTACGGAGTGCAATGTTTATCAAGGACTTGTTCACTGAAAGGTATCAGTTGTGACAAATTACGTATCATTACAGGTACTTACTTTAGTGCATACAAAAAAGCCTACTACTTTTTCTTACAGGTTAATGTATCTAACTACTTAATATGGTTACTTTATCCTGGAGTAGAATATGATACAGTAAAGAAACAAGACTTTTATGTATACAATGAATCTCAATGTAATGACAAGGAAGGAGGAAGGAGGCAGCAATGGATGCCGTTGGAAGTAAAGACCAAGCCTTCACACGCGTGGAGAGATGGAGAAGTGGAAATGCCAGAATTTTGTGGCATTTTGGCTGTAGCATCTTCACATTGTTTTACTGCAGATCCGAAATCTGCAAATGACGCGATGTTGTACTCTCTATCGCCATCGTTTGATGAGATTGCTTACCTTACTAAATTGTTGGGCAAGTCCTTTGTGGACGTGATGTGGAAGAGATTTGAAGAAAGAAAGGGGTCACAGATTACTACAAGAGAAGCGATTGATGAAGAGTTTCATGAAATTGATCAGAGGAAGACAGTGGCGACATTACTGCCGCTAGAAATGCCAATTACATCGTTCACAGAGTTTTTGGGCACGTATGTGACGGAGTGCGTGCGTCAGCGGACGAGATCTGCGGACAATAGTGAGAGTGATAATGGTGAGGGTGTTGCTCTCAATGACGAACAGGAGAATACTGACGCTCGAGGAGGTGTGTTTGTGGACAAACCAAGCCCCTCTTTTGTCACAAGTAGACGACGAAATGCTAGTACTCCAAGCATTGGGATAGCCAACACACATTCACATGTCGATCCTATTCAGAAAAATCATCCTCTACTACGTCAGCTGCAGCCACACCAAGTTACTTGCTCGCTCCAGCATGTTCAGTCGAAGATCCAGCCTGAATTACAAACCCGGCGACAGAAACCTTTGCGAGTGAAGAGAACACAGTCACAGAGAATGACCCGGGACAGCCTAGCGAGTGCTCGGTTGGCTGAGTACGACGCCAGGCGTGAGCTGCAGAACGTGCGTGATGGGCGCCTTGCTTCCAAGATGTTTGTACGTAATATAACGACGGGTACGCTGAGTTTGTATAAAGCATTTGAGTATGTCAGACAAACCAAAGAGGCTATTATGCTGTCGCAGGAGCCGCTGCGTTAGAAATCGTGGACGGCTTTATGAAGAGTCCTCTTATGGACACGTTTGGTCGTGGAGATATGTTCGTGTCAGGTAGAACCACGCAGACAACGTGAGATCAGATTTTGATTTAGTACCGCTGAAGCGTTTCCAGGTGTATGTGATCCTCATCATTTTATGAACCAGTGATCCCACCCAGCCATGCTCAGCACAAAAAGACCCCTTGAAACAAGAATTGTGCGGCGCAACACCATTTGGTGACTCTTCTCTCGGGTGCGAGCCCGAATTACGACATCGATCAGAAATCCTACCAAAACAACGAAGTAAAGCACTGTCAGATGACTAAAAAGCGTCGACAAAACTAATGGTTGTTACGCTTGCATGCTTTGCAGACTGCCAGGAATGCCTGGATGATTTTGGGCCACTTCATACGAAAATTGTTCGGCCCAAGTGGAATAAAGAGGATGTTACAAAGTCTGATTCGCGTAAGTGATAAGTGGCATAGCTGCTATCTGTCGAAGGTGTGACAAGAAATAACACATGCAAATGTCCCAAAACCCAGGTACCAGAAAGATCAAGTTTGAGTGGAATTTTGAGCAGTGAGTGTATATACATGTTTCTAATGATATACTTCGGTTTCGACGCTTTGGAGGACTAACTCGTCGCTTTGTCAAGTGTCCCTCGTGGAAATTACGAGACTACTGATTGCCCAAACGCATGGACAAAGTTTGAAGAAGAAGCAAGTGAAGAAGGAATTGCTCGAGAAATTAATCACTTTGTCGATGACCTGGGCGATACACTGAGTGAAAGCTCGGATCTTGTATTCCAATGGCTTGAAGGCGCCGTCTGATTTTACGTTTGCAATAAAACTGCTTCTCAATCGTCATCATCTCACATTGGACCCAGTCCAAATGCCACAGCTAGATTTAGTAGTGAATAGAAGCAGTAGTAAACCATAAGAAGTTTGCCATACCACGCCGGGCAGCTATAGTTGTAGTGGACAAAGACCAGCAGCGTTGAAGTGAGAGATACAAAAAGGAAGACTAATGATATACAAGCATGAGCATCGAGCGGTAAGTCTTCACTGCGCCCAGACACGAATGCCAATACCATTGGGAGTCCCAAACCGAGAAGAATGTTAAACACTGGGCCACCAAAACATCCAGCAATAGCCATTTGCGGAAATCCAGCGCGAGCCACTGACACATCCGTGATGAAATCACCCACAGAGTTCCCCCAAGCAAGCACAGTCATCCCCAACAAGCTGTTGCTAACGTGCGTAATGTAACCTACTGCAGCCAGTAAAGCCATCAATTCGTTCGCCACGGCATAAATCCAGCATACACAAGCAACAAAAGCCAGGAATAGCAATAGACTTGACGATTTCAGTGATCGTGGCGCATGTGAACGGTGAGTAAAAAACGAAATTATAACACTTGTGCAGACACCCACGACCACAAGAGCTTGCCACAACGGTATTGGGTACGAAAACCTACCGCCACACATATCGACGTTAGTGTATCCGCTCATCGCCACGACTAATAGTGGAACAGTCAGAGGTGACAGACACGCCTTGGAACGCGACCAGGATTCATCATCTAAGAGAGGAACTGTGATGTCTCGAAGGAGAACAAGTATTGCCTGTGGGACGCAAAGCACCTTCAATACAAGTGGTTCGTCACTTGTAAATATCCGAATCACACGACGCTTCAACCGCCACCTCCAGCGCATGTGCTCTTGCCATTTTGGAAGCAACCGCTCGTCATCGTTATCGGTATCCTGTTTGCTGTCTGCAATCAGCGAAGACGACATCGAATCTTCCTCTTCAACGTCAAAATGGTCGTCATACACTCGGCTTGAGAATCTGGGACGTGCCAGTTCGCGTGGCATAGACATTTCAAATTCCTTGTAATCCGATGGCTTGCCGGCATCATTGTTGCCTGGTGTACTTTCGGCATCTACCTTTGCCTCGGATCTCGTAATAAAGCCATATCTATGTTTGTGCTGCTCAGCCCTCCCCATTCTCTTGGCATCATTACCCCTTGGCGGTAGAACATGCCAAAAAGCAGCAACAACCCGGTTCGTCTTACCTGCCGGCTTAGCACCACCAACATCATCTTCAGTTATGCTTTGTGTTCCCACACACGCTGGGAAGACCACACTGCCGACATATATCCCGTACATAACCAATAACATTAAAGCCGATAACGCCGTATCTCTCGTATCCCTTTCATGGCTACTAATGGCAAGTAACAAAAGTAGCAACAGCGAAGCAATAAATGCTCCAATATCTCGCAAAAATGCCCAGCGTTTTACCTTCACAGCAGTGGCCACAGCTACACCACCTACTACAACTGTAGAAATAAACATAGCTCCTCCTAATAACTCATTGACTCCTGTCTCACCTACACCAGAACCATATGCAGCAATAGCTGAGAAAACATCAGGAGCTCCATTACCAAAGGCCAAGAACGTAACACCCGCGACATCATGAGGAACACGTAGCCGATCACTAAGATTTGCCAACGTTGGTGAAAAATATCCATCAGCTGTACTTCCAACTAAAAATGAATGAATAACAATAGAATGAAAAAAAACACAAGAAGTTAAGAGAAAGACAGACTTGGTCAATAGATAACAATAGACGATAAACGATCGAAACTATCCACATCCTGCGTACGAAAGTAAAAGAGAGCAGCAAGCCAGAAGAATAAAAACAAGAACGAGAGAAAAGGTAGACCGGATAATAGACAATAATGAATGTGGACGTAGTCGACACCTAATGGACCTAACGTCATGTTGGCAACGAATGGATTTGTATTGCACGCCATTGGAAGCGATTCCGAGACAAGTGTTGTCATTTTAGATTGTGAAGAACGACTTTTTTACATGAAATGGATAAAAGTTTGAGGCTAAAATCGGATTTTGGAGATAAAGTATTTCTCAGGTTTTAGTCACATTTTGTCAGCCTTTAAATTAGGACGAAGGCGAAAAGTATTTAGAAAGTAAAAAGTATCAAAACACATTTGTGCCAAATCTCACAACAAAGCAAGCATGAAATCTGTCTGGACAATACGTTTATCATGCGCTTTTTTTTGTGTACACATAAAGGTAAACCATCGTAGCGACAACCGTCCATACCCTTACCCTGCTGTCAAGTTCTCACAACCATGTTGCTATTAGCTTCTAGCATTTGGGTCGATTTATCAGATTTGGTCCTTCGATAAGTTCATCATGGACCCCCCACCCTACAGCTAAGGTTGGACCTTAGATTTAATAAATTTGGGTAATTTTTTGGTAGTAGGACCGTAGATTTGCTAAGGTTTAACCCTAAGTTCTGATAGGATTGGATCTTACTCTTGGAAGGAATAGACCTTAGTTTCACGTAGGTTTGGACCATACTCTTAGTAGGACTTACTTTGATTTCGGCAGGCTTCAATCTCACTTCGGGATGTTAGTCTCAGTAGGTTAAACCTTAGTGTGGTTAGATCTTAGTTTCGGTAGGATGGAGCCTAAGTTTAAATGAATTAGACCTATAATTGATAATACTGAATCTTAGGTTTACAAAAGAATAGGGGTAAATTTGACCTTAATCCTTGTGGCTCTACAAGCACATAAGAAGCTCAAAGCATAATTGACTGCAACGATTAAAAGCGCACTGTCTCAATCTTGTCACCGCCAGATGTTCCTGTTTGATAATGGTTTATCAATGTTAGCGAAAATAAAGAGCGAAAATAGACAAAATAAGAACCTTGACGAGCCTAAAATAGAAAGTATCCGACAGAAAAGTAGACTAAGCGTCAAGACAAGCCTTGTACCAAGACGGATCCAGGAGCAGACACCGCGATGAGCGACAAAGACGAAACAACGTCCAAGACACTCAAATACGACGACAAGATCCACCTTCAGCGCGGTCCAGACCTACCCAGACAAAGACTCCTGAGTCCATCGCCATACAACCAGAACCGCGACAACACCAATAGCAGACCCGGCAGGACCGATAAAGACACAGCAACTTTCCTCAAGAACAGTAGAAGACCAAATTAGAACAAGGAATAAGCCCACATCCGCCACGAGACCAAGACGAGACGACGACAAGAGATGATGCAGCCAACTGACGAGGAAATGCGGCAGTGAATAAGGGAACGAAGGAGCGAAAGGAACCAGGACGAAATGCCATCAGGGCAGACAAGATTGCGGTGAAGGGTTTCAAGAACTGATAGGTCAGAAAATCAGTGGGGAAAAGAGAAAGGGACTTGCCAAGGAAAGGCGACCGTTGGGCAAGGGGCAGAGAGAAAAGGCGCTAAAGGGGACAGGGAACGACGGTTGATGAGAAGAATGTACTGTTAAAGCGTGCTAGTTAGCCGCCATTCACGCGGTTAGCCCGATGGACCGCGGTTTCTTGAGGTGGACCCCGGTCCTTCAAGTTCAACCCTGTTCTATCATTGGTAGACCTCAGTCTTTCATAACGGTAGACCTTGGCCCTTCGGTCGGTGGACTCTCAGCCCCAGTCCCTAAAGGTCGACCTTGGTCCTGCATCAATGAACCTCGGTCCTCATTCGATAGACCTTGGCCCTAAGGTCGACGGACTTTCGGTCCCTCGGTCCTTAGACTCTCGGCTTCTCGGTCCCCGGATTCTCGGCCCCTCGGTCAATATACCCTAGCCAAGCATAATCAAGAATCAGGTCTCGGGGGAAAAGATAGAGGAAAGGAGTTAAAAGATTGGACTAAATTAAGTTGTTTCATAAATCGTGGTTTTATCGTTTGGGTGTTTTTGTTTGAACCATTGTAGGTAGTCAATCCAATGTACAAGCAACGGGTCATTCAAAATTTCATCATAGCACGCCTCCATTGTGCTCTCAAGGAACTTGACTAAGTCTACCCACCTGTTCCGGGAAGAGATATATTTTGGCCCCCCGGTGAAGACAGTTGTTGGTAAGACCCAAGTGCGAATAGAGCCCTAGGATACATGTGGCCTGTGGGCTTGTATGAGTAACACCTCCTATTCTAACCGCTATCGAAAGCGGTCTCCCTACCCTAGTGGTTTGGAGCAAGTAAAGGCCAGGCGGTTAGCACCCCTGAAAAGGAAGAAAAAGGCCAGGGTTGAGAATCTCCCCTGAAGTATTTGGTTATCAGTCCACCCTCGACCTAGGCGACCGAGCGGCCACCTACCCGCCTACCGAGTGAAGTATATCCACTCAAAGCATCTCAAGGTCAACCTCTCTCAAGGTCGACATCAAGTCTCAACCAAGTCCTCCGAAGAGTGCAACCCGCCAGCCGACGGGTACACAAGGTGAGAGAAGGTTTATGCGCGGCATTGGGGTACCCCCTCCGACAGTCAGCAGTCCGGCACAGTGAGTGTCTTGGGGTCTCATTACGTCTTTTTGAGACCCACTCCACCACAATGGTGCGCGTGCCCGGATCTTCGAAAGACGCGGGATATTACCGCGAGTCCCAGAAAGATGAAGATGTTTAAGCAAAGATTGAGGAAAAGACCGAAGGGTCACTGGAAGACCGACCACCAGTGACTACACAAGGAAACAACGAAGGATCTAAGGACCGACCGAACCGTGGGAGGGGCCCGGTCAATATGGTTAAGGTTGAACTTATTGAAGAGAAACCAAAATACCCTCCCTAATTTCACCTCGAGGACACCTTGGGTCATGATATCTATTATGCCCCAAAGTACAATCAGTCGAAGGTGAAAACTGAGTGATAATTGTCCCCAAAAAACAAAACCATACAAAAACTACAAAAAGTACGATCGCCATGTCCAAGCCGACAAAGCTCCGGATGAAGGCACCAGGTGACACTGAGTCGGTAGACTTCTTTACCTGTTCGGATGCTGACGTGACCATGGCCTGCCATCGACTCAAGCTTGACGCGTTCTTGGAGAGCACCCCTCACCAAATCTTTCGAGATCCGACTGCTGGGTCAGCTCAGTGGACCTGTGTCGACCTTTCCCAAGCTGAGGACGGTGACAGACGCGATCACCGCGCTTGTGATCCTTCTTTGCGAGGCGGACATTGTCGCAGGAAGGTTCGAGCCTGAATACTTGTTTTTCCCGTGTTCAACAGTATCAAGGCCACGTTAGAGATTCTACACAAACGTCTTGGGATCCTTGTGGGAATAAACCCAGTAATACTCGACTTGTCCCTTGCGACCGCCGCAAAACCACCGTCTCAAGACAGCCAGATGTCCCTGCAAAACATCGAGGTTCCCTGAGAGCAATGTTCGACCGAGGACCCATGGTCTATGCGAGGTCTATCGCAGACCCCTTTGCCTCAGGGTTCTCATGTCCCTGCAAGGCAATTATCTCGAGGGTCGCCCGTCGCTAGTCACGTGGGCCGAATGCCACTAGGAACAACTGATATTTCACTGCTGCAGGCCCTAGCGGAGAGCGCGGACGACGAGCAGCGATCTCACGAAACGACAACGTGTGTACAGCCAAGGGAAGTAGGGCTTCTGTAGGTCAAATTTTCAACCAATCAGAAATGAGCCAAGACTAATTTTGCTCAGTCACGTGACGAAGCTGCCCGGGGAGGGACGCCTACCAACCCGGTAGGTGATTTACAGGCATACTTCGACGCGGCGATGGTAAAATTCCTACAAGAACACCAAGTATCGCAAACACACATCGATGGAAGTGCAGCCAGAGGACGACAGAGGACGCTGAGGTCAACGGCCCAGCTGGGCCCAAGTGCAGGTATGAAAGCTGCAAGAGACCAAGCCATGACTGATGTGGAGATGGAATCGGTTGTTTGGTGTGGATACGACCCAGATGACATGGACCTCGATTTTGGACCTCTGGTGAGAGTGGCCAATGCCACCCTGGGACAGGTGCCAAACATGGTTCCCCATATAAAGCTCTCAGCGACCTGAGATCTCAAGGAGATCATGGAAAAGACCAAGATAAGGACCAAGCACGCAGCTGGGTGACCACTGTGAAGACCGCGTTCACGAGGGACCAAGCGCCAGATGGGGAAAAGTGTCTCGTTTTCGGCGGGTTATTGACTGGACCTGCCCAGAGCTGTTATCGTCAACTAGGTCGCTCTGTTTGTGGCAATTGGAAGGATTTGTTACAGAAATTACAGATGCAGTTCTGTGGTTTGGGGGTGCCAGTGGCCCGCCAATATTACCACGCAAAGAGAAGGTCGGATGAATCCCCGCTGGACTACCTGTACCGTCTGAATGTCATTGGACTTTGAGCGAAGATCAAGATCAAGGATGGGCCGCCCAAGATTCAAAAGGAACATGTCGGACATTATATCAAGACCTTGGACGACCCCGACCTGGCATACCAGTTCACCGTGTTACGTTTGGCTGATGTGGAAGAGCTGGAGAATGTACTGAGGGTGCGTCAACGGACGAAGGCTCGACGGGGCGAGATGTTGTTTGGGCAGGCAAGTTTCGCCAGAAAGCACCGATTACCCCCTGATCGGCCAAGGGAGTCGTATCGCCACTCTTTCCATGCAGTTTGAGCGACCCAGGAAGGACCAAGCTCCAAAGACTCCAGTTTGGACAGTTCTGATAGTGACGGTGACCTCCGGAAGGTCTACCTTGTGGCTACGGAGACGGAGAAGGACCTAGGGCCAAGGACCCCGAGGGACCGACCCATCAGAGAGGTCGACCAGCCCCGACCCTCGACCAAGGACCATGGACCTTGCACGCGTCGGCAAACCCAAAGTGCAAGATGCGCCCATTGTGGGTCCAGGAAGCATGGAGACTTGGGTTGTTGGAAGAGGCTGGCCTGCGATCGCTGTGGGAAGAAGGGCCATCCATCAGATCGTTCCCTGTCGTGTGTCGAGGCTGTGGAGAAACCCACGAGGTTGGAAAGTACCCGATGGAAGAGTTTTTTAACTTAATCCGTCAGTGGCACAACCCAACCAAGCACGCTGGGATATTGCCGGAGAAGGTCGAGCAGATACTAAATTAGGACGCTCGCCAGGTTTGGATCTGGTACGAGACGAGCGTTCTAATTGTTGCATTTTTTGCATATGTGGAAAAGCAGTTCAAGGGAGGAAGAGGCATTCAGATACCAACTTGTATTAGTGCAGCCGATGTTACTTGGACAGCCGCATCTCTTACGCATTATGTGCGAGTTTGGTAGCTTAAACGTGCGTCAATATCGCTAACTGCTTTTTGTACTCTTTTTATCAAATCTGTGCTAAAACTTTAAGGAAAAATCAGTCCGCAGTTTTTTTTAGCCATTTGAATTTTGCTCACTTTTGCTCCATTCTTTCAAAAAAGCTCAAAAGTATCAATTCTGCGTTCAATGTACTCAAGTCACAATAATAACGGCCGTCAAGGACGTGGACGTGGTCAAGGACGTGGTCAAGGACTTGGTCAAGGACGTGGGCGTGGACGTGAAGGTCGTGGCTCTTTTCTCAGTAATCGTGCTTGTTTTCCCCGTAGTCCCCGATCTTCTACATTCAATGGAACTTCTTTTGACGCTGCTATTAGTCTAGATGAGAGTTTTATTATGGAGATCCACGCGGCTCTCAAGTCACTCGTAGAGGATGGCGAGCGAACGGAAATGAGCTTTTCATCTAGTTTTGACGCCACACAGAGACGCTATATCCATACAATGGCTCAGAAATATGGTCTTTTCTCCAAGAGTTCGGGGAAGAAAGCGGCTGGACGCTTCATTCATGTGGCAAAAGTCAAGAAAAATGCGGCAATGCAGGAGGTTTCGCTACGTTTACCAAGTGTACCTCTTAATTCTACCACAGTAGAGTGGTTTCCGTCTGTTGTGAGGCAGTATATGGACAAATACCCCGCTCCTTCAGTGCAGGACGGGGACTTGGACCCGTGGAGTGCCGAGAATCTTCGTCCATTGGTTTCAGTACCTAAGAGACATCATGGACGCGGGAATGCGTCACTATTCAAGCCTTTGCCATGTCGAGGGAACCAGACAGGAGTCAAAACAGTGAGAACTGTACCGATTGAAGCGACCAAATTACCAGTGTATAGATATCGCGAGCAAATTTTGGAACTTGTTCAGACGAATCAGATTGTGGTGCTTTCAGGAGATACTGGGAGTGGAAAATCAACGCAGATACCGCAGTTTTTGCTGGATGACGCCTTAGCACAAGGACGGGGAGACGAGACAAGGATCATTTGTACTCAACCACGACGAATTAGTGCAATCTCGCTTGCAGAGCGTGTTGCACGTGAACGCATTGGACAAGATCCAAGGGAAGTGGGGCACGCAATTCGGTTTGATTCGTCGTTTGATACAAAGCGGTCCAAACTTATATTTTGTACGACGGGCACGTTGCTCAAGTGGCTGAATAATGATCCATTTTCGCGTGGATTTTCGCACATTATTTTGGACGAAGTGCACGAGCGTGATCAGTTTACTGACTTCTTGCTTATTCTTATGAAGACGTCCATTCTTAAGCGGAGACCAGACCTCAAGGTGATTCTAATGAGTGCTACCATTCAAGTGCAAAAATTCTCGCAGTATTTTCAACCGGACTATTCGGCGCCCGTACTTCAGATGGCGGGAGGCACTAACTTTCCAGTGACAACGCTTTTTCTCGAAGACATTTTGGCGCTATTAGAGAGTGATCGCACGTCGCCATTGCCGATTATGGACGACTTGAAAATCAACCACGTTGGAGATGGGTTTACTAGTCAGATGGGAAAAGCAGCTGCAAGTAACGGGCTAGAATGTCCTTTGTGTGGTGGTGCTAGCTTCGCCGATGAAGAAGCGTTCGGCATGCACGTAGCGACCTGCTTCGGGGAGCCAAGCGCTGAACTTAGAGCACTACCTGTACCAAAACCAGAAAATGTATCAATGCCCGTGCCTGTTGCTGCCATAGGAGACGTTTTACAAGCCACACTAAGTGGGATAGATGTCGACGTCAAGGAGGCACTACTTTCATCATACATGAAGCAGCAAGACGCGCTCCGACAGGATCAGTCAGTGGACTACGATTTGTTGTTGCAACTGCTCTTCCTTGTGAACCGTACTTTTCCGCTAGATAAAGACGGAAAAGGAGCCATTTTGGTATTTCTTCCTGGTTGGGAAGAGATTTCATATATGGAGCGCGCTCTACTCAACTCACCAGCAACATCAGTAGTATATGAAATAGCTCTTCTTCACTCGCGCTTGTCAGCGCAGGAGCAGCGTCTCGCATTCATGACGCCACCGAATGGGAAACGAAAACTGGTGCTGGCTACCAACATTGCCGAAACAAGTCTTACTATCGAAGACGTGGTATTTGTTGTGGACTGTGGCAAATCCAAGCAGACGCATGCACTTGCCGCAACCTCAAGCTCATCTTTTGTGATGGGGCTGCAAACTACGTGGGTGGCGCGAGCAAATTGTATGCAGCGAACAGGTCGTGCTGGTCGTGTTCGTGCCGGTGTTTGCTTCCGCCTTTTCTCAAAGTCACGATACGAAACCGCCATGAAAGATTTTATGCCTCCAGAATTGCTTACCACTCCATTGGAGGAGCTGTTGCTGCAAATTATGCTACTTCAAATTGAAAAGAAGCTTCACATTGACAATGCTAAAAAATTTCTTTTGGAGGCGATGGATCCGCCAAGCGAGAATACAATTGATGCGTCGCTGCAAAGACTGACAGACATGCGTGCACTCGCTTACAGCAAGAAAGGAGACCGGACTCTGACCTTGCTGGGCTGGCATTTGGGACACATTTGCTCAAGTGGTGTATCTGTCCAGATGGCAAAGCTCCTGCTTTGGGGACATACTTTCGGCTGCTTTGACGCAATTTTACAGACAACATGCACGCTGAGCGGGTATCGGGATCCGTTCATTAGTTTCCTTGGCATGTCTCCCGAAGAACAGCGCCAGGTGGCCGTTTCTAAGAAGGCGTTTGCCCGCAATGGGTCGCCGCCCGCGCATACTTTGCAAAGTGACCATTTCGTTCTTTGGAAGGCATTTGGTGCATACCTTGACGCGCGAGCAGGGTCCTCATATAAAGCAAAGGATGCGTTTTGTGCTCGAAATAAGTTGCACCGACAGACTTTGGATCAACTTGTTTCAATTTACAAGCAGTTGCAGCAAGATTTAAACAGGTTGGGACTCTCGGTCGCTACCCAGCTTGTGCCAACTGCAGTGTCAACAAAACCTGCAACTATGGAAAGCGTCGCACCGTACTTGATGGCACTCAGTATTGGCATGTACCCTAATGCGTTGTTCACGCGTTCGGGGGTAATTAGTCGTAACTGGACTTCGAAAGAAAAGGTGAAAGTGAAAATGGATGGTACTTCCATGGTAATGTGGCCCGATGCTAATGTTAAGAAAAACAAGAGAAAGCATGGTTCTGAACAGGACGAGGTAGGCCCACCGGATCAATGGCTTGTGTATCACGAAATGATGCAGTCCGAGCGTACTCGTGTTGCAAAATATGGTTCCAGGCTGCCGTCACGTTTGTTGCAAGTGCTTCTTATGGGATCGGTGGAAACGCAGTCGATAGAGGAGCAGACTGCAAACGTAGAAGTTATGAACGATGAGTCTGTAGCTGCAAGTAAGTGGTTGGTTGTCTTGGATGATTGGATCGTGTTTGAGCTGAGCAATGCTGCTGAAGCGCATTGGGTAGCGCTGCTGCGAAAACGTTTGCATGCTGCCTTTGTTCGTCACTTAGAGCGCCTGCATGCAAATTCTCAAAGTGGCGAAGCCAAGGCCTTGTCAACAGCGGACCAGCAGCTCAGACAGCACGATGCAGATCTTGTTCAAGCTTTAGTTACGTGGGTCTCCTCTGATCTGTGTCATGAATCCAGGCGTTAGGCCTGAATGTAAGGTAGACATGGTGAGAGACCATGTCTTGTGAATACAGGGACATTGAGTTTTATGGTTCTCCTGAAGTGATTATTACTCGGCTTTAAATGAGATGCCTTCTAGCTCGGCACCAAAGCATTCCCGCACCTGATACTGAAAGAGGACAAACGACACCAACTGAGTACTGCATCGTTGGGTTCGTGACTGCCGGTTGTACGGTCCGTTATATCATTGATCGGCTCACTTGAAGAAGTTATGATGAAGGTCAGATAATTCCAGTGTGCTTAATACCTCACGGCATGAGTGATATTTACATCTGCCACTTGCTTAGTTTCCGTAGTGCACTACCAAGATAAATAGACATTACAGACAAAGAAATTAGACAACAAAAGCAACGCCATTTGTCTTTGCTATAGTAATGAATACTTCGAGAAGAGCTCAAAGCAGCTTTGAGAGAACATCCTGTGTAACATCAACAACATTAGCTCTTCTCCTAGGTGGTCCTTGAACCCATACGACACAAAACTCGCTAGCCTCGTCAGCTTGGCTATAAATCGGATCAATTACGTGTCTGCTGTTGCTGCTCCTGGCCTGCAGCAATTGCAGCGTCACAATGCGATTGCACACGGCTTTCATAACCTTTCCACACTTGACACGTGAAGGTCAATTCATCCCGGAACGCATCGCTTTTCTAAATACAGCCAATTTATCCATTACAATAAAATGAACAGCAAATATTATCTATTAGAACAATAAAGCACACAAATAAAATCGTTCCATGCGACGTAGGGGACAAACCTCGAATTGCGTGTTAATCTCCTTAAGAACCTCATGTAGTCGAGCAACTGAGCCAGTGATACGCTGAAGTAGTGCCTTCTGCTTCTCTTCGTGAGGATCTGTATCATTAAGATAATAACATATACACACAGAAGCAGTGATTAGATGCGTTAGAATATATAGCGGTGCGATGAGGAAGCGTGATACTTTGCATTGGGTTTGACGGGCAATTGACAAATGAGTCGCTCATTGGTTGAAAACAACTATGATTGTTTACAAATAATATGGGACATAAGGATGTGTAGCCATGTGTCGACTCTCTCACATTGGTTCGTGAACAATGGCACTGAATGGTGGTGGCACAGTCTTTTGTTTTGGACGTGACTGGGAGAGCGTTGTCTCTAATAACGTCACGATATGCTGCAGTTGAGTTTCCTGGCGGCTTAGTTGTGCTTGAAGTTGAAGCTGCAATATAGACCATGAGAGATTGTATCAGAATTGGCAACTGCTGATAAAAATAAGGCGAAAACATGATGAGGAACGAACCTGCGTCGTGTTCAGTCGATCAACTTGTTCTTGAAGACGCAAAATTGGAGTTGACGAGGCAGGAAACGAAGCGTTGTGCTGAGGCGTGGTAAAAGCCGATGCTGGGACTGAAAATGACTGCGTTATCACGGGCGAATCTAAATCGGGTCGAGAACATTCAAGTTGTAGGACAGTTACAACAAGCATCCGGTAGCAGATATGCGTCCTTTCAGTTGAGCACAAATGTACCTGGAAACGTAAAGTTGCTGGAGCTTAGCGCTCGTGTCAATGACATTCGGATCGACTCTTCCATCGCTTGTTCATTCTTCTTTCCCTGTTTCTTGAGCATGACTTCGACAAAACCACTTCCGAGGATAGCACCTGCAAGAGCCGCGTTAGTTCACGACCCAAAACACTCAGCACCTTCGCATGACTCACCAGGAATGGTGAACAAAATGATGCCCCAGAGTGCCAGTAAGGACGAGAAAGCCCGGCCTGGAGTAGTGATCGGCACGATGTCGCCGTATCCAAGAGACGTAATGGTCTCGATTGCCCACCATGAGCACGTGCCGATGCTGGAGAAAACGTCAGGTTGAGCTGGATTCTCGAGGAAAAAGCTACGATGTTTAATTTACACGAACACACACATTGCAAATGAACATAATGAATGCAATCGTACAAGGACCTTGTGATTGGCGTACATGGTAGTAGAGGAGGTCAAAACAATGACAACGGTGAGATAGCTGACCACTCCGAACTCCTCTTTCTTCAGCGTAAAAATCTCGCGTAGATTTTTCATCGCTTTGTAAGACCGTTCAAGGTGCAGGAAGGACATGATCCGTAAAAGTCGAAAACCTCGCAGTGTCAAGACACCACGAGACGATATCAAAATCCTAAGCAGTCACGACATACAGACACGAAAAGAATAAGCCGTCGACTCATTGCTTCTTTAAGCAACCACGTACTCATGCTCCAGCAAGATCTCCAGATAAAATGGAACGAGCACCACAAGATCAATGATGGACATAGGTCGTACCATCCACTTCAACCTACAAAAAGTAATAACAGCATTGCGTCGTCACACAGCAGCATATCTGTACCTTGAGCACTTCTTCTCGTACCTGCCACAGACTGGATGTGTATATCTGTCGTCTTCCACACACGACCAGAGACGAAGAACATACTCCACGGTAAACAACGCCGTTGAGACGTACAGAAAGATCTCATACCAGTCCGATGACGTCACCGCTATCAACATTCAGTCAGTCCTTTGTCCAAAATCTCAGCAGCAGCAGTAGCAGCAGCAGTTTAACATCAGATATAGTCAATTATTTATCAACGTACGCGCAGGACCAATCGACGAAGCTGACACATACATGGCCAGTATCACATTTATTGTAATAAGAATCAGCACACAAACTTCCAAGATATAGGACGCGCGCTGTAGCTTCGAACGTGTCTTGAGCGACGTGCGGTAATGCAGTAAAGTCCAGACGTCACTGCGCACTGATGCCCATGATCGAGCACACTTTGATTCATTCCGAGATATAGAAGACACTAATGACGTTCTTTGCGCGTCTTGCATGGACAATTGTGCATTCCTGTCTTTGTCTCTATGCAGTAGACGCCGGTGTTCACCTTGCATCCTATTATTCAATACCGATCTAACATATAGGTACAATGAGGCTAAAAAAAAGCCAAAACAAAAATGAGTACCTTATTTATGTACCCAAAAATAATCGTCCTTACCGGTATGTACTTGTACATGTAATCGGTTTTTTTTGCACTTGTTATTTTGGTCATTGCATTGCAATAAATATACCGGACCATAAAAACTGCTCATCCGCCCCCCCAGTATTTGCATTTTTGAGTCGTTTGGGGGAGCGAGTGAGCACTTTGTAGGAGGGGAATGGAGAGTTACCATGCAAGTGAGAATAAAGCCGGTCGTGGTGGACCTGTGTATAAGGATCGCAATTTATCATTGCACGGTGGACGTAGTGGTGGTACGAGATACCAAATCTCGAACTCCTCTGGTCGTAACCCTTCTTGTCGTGGCTCGTCCACTGCAGTGAGCTCACGAGATCGCGAGCGAGATGGACGTAATCGTCCACGTTCACACTCTCGAGACGGTATGAAGGAACGTAAAAACAGTATTGGAAGTCGTAGCTCCTCTTTTCTTGTAGCCGGTAGTCCAGCATTGAGATTACGAGAGCGAAAGAATTTGCTACTCATGCATCGAACTGGAGCAAGGAGAAACGAGTTGTCACCAGCAGATACAGCCACACGTGTGATTGGAATGGATATCAAGTATATGAAGGTACGTGGATAGTATATATGTAGGGTTTACATGATGATAATGCTGGTGATGGTTGGGGATGATGATTGATGATCGATGATTGTGGTCATGTGGTGTAGAACTCGGAACGTCCGTATGTAACAGACAAACTCGTCATGTATCCAGGTGTTTTTCCAACCAATGCCAATTTTCCAGAGGAGAAATTTCGTTATCATGCGGTGCGGAATGCCGCGTTTGTGAGTCCATTGCCACGTGGATTTAACCAGCAATGGCATTTACAGTATTCAATGTTTACGGATAAGAAGCTGCCTATTTTTGATGACCTTACAAGAGCGACGCGCGCTATTGCCCGGATACGGAAAGAGTTTGAAGACACAACAGGTGCGAATGTGGACATGCCGATACCTCCAGCTACTGGTGACGAAGTCGCTGCAAGTACTGCTACGGTAGAACATACATTTACAAACTATTTGATTCGTCATGTGCGACGATTAGATGAACGCACTAGTCATATATGGATGAGTGAACTAGCGAGAGGTGCTCGCAGTGCCGCAGAACTTACACAAGCATATGGCGTGCCTTTCAAACAGTGGAGGGCAGTACCAGGCGTTTCAAAATGCCCGCTTCTTGACCTTGTGGTGAGGTATCGCCCTGGATACGCTGATGCCACGTGGTTTGTGCGGATTAATGTCGTCTACACGGAGATACGGGAGCTTCAGCGAGACGGCGTGCTTCGGAAAGGCGACTGGTTCTTTAGTCCGCGTCGCAACCAGCGGCGCAGCCAAGGATGGACTGACAAGCTTATTGACTATTTGCATTCAGTGGTTCGTCAGGCATCAATGGAAACATGTGGAGGGTCAGAAAACAGGTCGACGGAATTAGCCAACTCTAAACCAACGGCGAATGGCGTTCAGGTATCTGTGAGTACGAGCAGTGGAGCGGCAGTATTGTCGACAGTGTCAAGTACAGGATATATACACCGCACACAGATGGCTCCACGGTTGCGACACGGAGATATTCCATTTTCAGCAAACGCTGGGGCCAATATCACGACAGCTTCTTGTAGCGGTGGAGTGGATGTTTCTCCGTCAGCATTATCGTGGCACGAAAAATGGTCGTACGTATTGAAGCTATCGGAATACCAGTTCAAGGTAGGGCTTTTGGACCGCACGCACTATTTTGACGGCCTGTTGTCGCTATTGCAAAAATCCTTGACGCCACGATCGCAACGCGGAGTGAATGGTCCTGCGCAGTGTTTGGCCGTGCTAGCTCTTGGTGTGAATCGTATTATGGAGCTGATTTTGGTGGTGGAAAAGTTGTTGCCAGAGATGCTGCTTTCTGCGGATACAGTATTATTGCTTGTAAAGATATTGCTACAGCTGTTGCAGTACTTGCTTCCCCCTAATCAACCAGTGCCTCCGGAGACGACAGGAAGCTTACTTCAGGAGGAGTTGTTAGTGGCTCTGTGTCAGTTGCTGCGTGACATCCTGCTCAACGGCAATGACACCCTCGTGCGTCTGGAGGACAATGGTACGTTAACGTTATGAGTTGTTAGTTTATGACACCCTGCTTACGTCGTATTGTTAATGCGCAGCGCCACCGTTATGGCCAGCCTACATATTCACCGATCGGTTTTTTAACCGCGACGCTTACAGTGCTGCAGCAATTCAGGCATGTATCAGTCGTTGTCTGTGGAAGAACAGAGATATTGCAGGGCGTATCCTTCGTCTTCAACAGGCGTGCCCCTCCCTAAGTTCGGTGGGTGGGGGTCAGGTGCTTGCCGCTACCATGCGTAATGAGGCGCAAATTTTGCAGACTGTAGACCGTTTTCATCGTGTAGACTCGATCTTGGACTTGCATCGTGTTTATAGCGAGGTGTTTAGTCCGCTTCCAACCGCGAGTCTTAGGGGCAATGGATCCTCATCTGAACTGCCTGTTGATGTCGCTGCGGTCTTTCTCGTGTGCGAGTGGGCGGTGACAAACCAGCGGCCAGCTGAGTACAGATATTTATCTGCACTTGCGCTGATCGAGATGCACAGCAATGCGCTTTTGGAATACGGCAAACGGTACGTTTATTGTGAATTGTTTTGATACTTGGCGGTGCAAGCTGCTGACGCATGTGCACGGTTGATGTATTTTGCTCAAGCAGCAAAGAGTTATTACCATACTGCGGGCCAAAGGACCACCAAGTGGTGCTTCAGAGCGCTCTGCAAAATTTCTTGCAACGTTACGAGCCTAAGGTTATTACAGAGGTAACTCAAGTTATCGAATTATTTTGTCTCCTTGTCCGGCGCCGATTGTTTAGTGTGGCCAGCTTCGTCGAATTTGCGTCTTGCTGTAACGAAGCAGCGGCTACTATGAGCAGCAGCCCACTGCTAACGCTAGCCGCTGGCGCTGGAGGCAGTACTGGCGTCGCCAAACGAAACAAATCGGCACCAGTGGTTCACACTGCTTACAATATTGAATGTTCACCAGGACGAGGATATAAGTCCAGCGATATTCATTTGCTGTCCTTGAGCGATCGCCTGAAGCTTTATTTATGGCAGCTACCACGAAGCTCATTTCCGTTGCCGACATGTGTTCCTATGCTCCCGGATGACAGCTACGATGGCGAACTGCACTATTTGCGTTGGCTTGAAGTCATGGAGCTTCGTCGAGAGCATCTCAATTACTCAAAAACACTAGAACGTGCTCAATCGCTTTGTGTGTACGTGTTTCACACGCACGGTCAATTATACGATGCACCAGCAGTTGGAACGCCTGGGGCGATGGATGCAGCTGCTGCTGCTGGGAGCGGGGATAGCATTAGAGTACTGAAGGAAGTGGAGTACCAGGGCAAAGTGGGCGAGTTGGTATCAGCTGTGAAGACCATGTGCGGTCATGACAAAGGGCGATTTGCACGCTGGTTTTTACACAATATTTATGAAGAGACTACGTTTTTCCGGTTCTCGGATTACGGAAGTGTGGAACATGTAATGCGGCTTGTGTGTCTTGTGCTTGAAATTGTGGATGTGATGGCACTTCTTGAGGTACTTGTACACTTCCTGCGGCGCTCACCATGTTATCTCGTTAAGAACGTAGTGTTGGCAATGATTGAACGTCACGAACTTGCCTTTTGTGCGACGGACCAAATACCATTCTTGCTACAGTCTTTTGTAGACCGCTTCCACCGTATCCCCAAGAATGCCGACGACAAGGCTGGCAACGTGGCTCAGTTCTTTTGCAAAATGTACTATGCGCACATTAAGAAGAAAGAGATCGCCAAGCTGGACTTGCCGTTTGCGCTGCTTAAGCCAATTGCAGAAACAGCTAGAAAAAACCAAGATGCAGCTGCTGCTGTAGGTAGTGGAAATGGTACGAGTGCCACTACGAACGGCAACGGAACTAGCGGGAATCAAAAGACTAAAGAGATGTCACTAGAGGCTACGAATCCGATTGTACGAATTCCGCCACCCCGCGAAGTTCTCCCTCCAGAGCTAAAGAGTGCATTGGCACGATCATTCAAAGCGTTGCAGGCGCGATCCTTTGATGGTCCTGGTGCCGATGGTAAGCAGACACCTGCAACACCTGGAAGTAGCACTCCACTGCAAAGCCCCAATATTATGAGTCAAGATACTACAGCATTTACTGAGTCTGTAGCAGCTTTTGAGCCAAGTTATACAAGCTTATCATGGCAGGAGGTTGTTGGTGAAGCAACCTCTTCTGCAGAAGCCAAATGTCGTGATAGCGCTGTCGATTTCGCAGTGGCTGCAATCAACATGAGCATGACGTCATCTTGTGTCGGGTCTACGAACGCAAATGCAACACGGGAGCGGCGCACGCCTAACTACGTGTTCTTCTTCCGAGCTGTACTGAGCGAGGTGATGGACAAATGGATGGCGAACATCTCGGCTCGGCTAAAGTCAAACTGCAAGCGGCCCATCACAACCCCGCATTATGTGCACCGTTGCGTCCGTCTTATTCGGGAGGTCGTAGAACAGCATCCTGATAACGGCGAGGAATTCAACGAAAAGTTCTCGAACACGTTGGTAGTATGGTTACAGAAAGAAGTGCTGCCTGGTTTTGCTGGTAGTGATACGCCCAAGCGTTCGCGTAATCCATTTTTGAATGCTGACAACAGCAAGGAAGCTTTCGCACTTAACCAAAAAGGCCGTCTGGACCGTATACAGTACGGGCTTAAGAGTTTCCTGGTATCTCTGGTTGTGCACAAAGTGTTAGATCTCTCTCAGGTGCTCCGATTGGTACTCGTTCCGCTCTTCCCGCGACTGGTATGTTCTTTCACTGTGCTAAAATCGTGCTTACTATTAGTGACTGACTTAGTACCATGGCTGCTGTGATACTAGCGTCGCGCGTCGCGTGACCCACCACCAAACCTGCCGACGCAGCTACTTGCAATGGCCCTCGTTTTCCAGCTCTTTTCAGAGCCTCCGCAGAATTTACTGCTTGACCCGCAGAAGCTGGTAATGTTCGACGAGCCGCTGGTGAGATGCTGTTGCTGCACCTTGCAACTGTTGTCGTATCTGTTCTAACCAACTTTGCCTCTCCGGGTGATGCAGACGAAATATCATCTGCGTTTCCTTCGCACGCAGGTGCCAGCGTGCTTAATGTTCCCGCTGTGCTTTCTACTGTGCCAGATCTCGTACCAAATGGAGGACAACTTTTTACTTCGCAAACGCGAGGAGCGTGGCACGTTAGCTAGTGCCACGCTTTTCAACTTGACATCAGACGGCATTGTTCGCGACATAATTTTTCATGATACAAAAGAGGCCAGAGAAAAGCATATCCTGCCCGTTTACCATAAAAAGCAGTGGCATACAGCTGTCCTGCTGACACACTTTTTCCGGCCACCGTCATCACCGGCAGAGGACGGGAATGGGCAGGTGCAATTGCTCAAGGTGGGACAAATTATCGATCAGATGAACGTCTGGACACTTCATCGTGGCGGCTCAATTTACCTTGACTTGCAAATGAGTCGACAGCAACAGAAGGTAAAGCGCTCTAAGCGACGGATACGACATCAACGCCAACAAACATCCCAGTATCCAGCAGGTTCTAACAAACGAAAAGCATCTCATGGAGACCTCTCGACGCGCTCTAGCAAGCGTACAGCAATGGATAGCGGGGAGGGTGTTGTAGCAGCTGGCGTAAATGACTTTGCTGACAGCAGAATGTCTTTTGGTAGTCAAGCAGATAAAGCGACATCATTTGGTGGCAGTCTGTTCGGCAGCAATATTTCGGATGGAGAAGAAGAAGTCGACGACGACGATCTGGAGCTCGAGTTGGGATTTGATGAAGCGAGTAGTGCTACCGAAATTTTGTCGAGCCTGATCGTACTGCGGACCCTTAAACGCACCTCGCGACCACCTCCCGGGGTTGGGTCGACTTCGTTATCGTTAGCCGTTTCGACGTCGTCATCCGTACCAGTTGGTCAGACGACATCAGCGACAATGACTACCCTCTCCTCGTCGTCACCCCTTGCCACCCCAAAGCTTTATGGTACGCCGCACAACGTTCATCTCGGAGAAGGAAACGAGAGCAAACACCGCAGTGATACACCAGGTCCAAACGATGCTTTTAAGAAGACAACATCAGCGCTAGCTGTGCCTATGACTGTTACAGCAATGCAGAACTCTTTGACACCATGCGAAGCTCGTATGCTGGAGGCAGCGCGAGAGGCTCAAGACTCGGCGGTGGCGTCTTTGTATGCAGCCACAGTTTGCAGCATCTCGAGGCGTGCCATGGGATCAGTGGTTGCCAAGATCCTCCAAATTCTCGAAGATGATGTGAAACACTCGCAACCTGACAAGTTTGCTCGACAATTAAACACAACCTCCATTGTGCGTCTCGTTGCCGGCATTATGTGCACACCTCCTGGCAATGCCTTTTTGCCGCGCTACATGATGTCACTCGCTACTCAGCTTGAATGGCTGTATGAGGGCTGTACGCTGTATGACAAGCAGCGGCATTCCGCACCATCGGATCATGTTCTACACAACAGACTATTTCAACGCCGACTACGTTGCAAGTTGGCTGTGCGACTTCAGCTTGTGGGTGTGATCGGTCCTAGCAAGCATGCTGTTTTGACAATTTGCTATCGTGACCGCATCGTCAAAACACTATTTGCTTTGCTTGGGACATCAACAGTCTCAACTGGACCAGGAGTTTCACTATTTAGCTGGATCTTAGACCTCATTCCGATCGTCAATGCCTCTGTACTCCATGACAGACAATTTGTGAGTATAGCTGTACCTATAGTTGGTTGTGCTACAAACTGGGATATGCTAACAACTCTTCACTTGGCTAACCAATTGCAGGAACTCGTCGAAGCGCTACAGCTACCAGATAACCTCAAGCGACGTGTTTGGTCTGTCCTACCACGTCCGGTGAACACATTTGGAGCTGCGAATGGGTATGTGTCGACATTTGTTCAAGGTGATGTTGATACTCTATCCAAGAAACGGGAATGCGCACCCGTTGACCCGTGGGGTTTATTGGAACATGTACCACAGCTGCCTAGCAATGCTCTTGTCTCAGACTTGCCTACTCCGATGCCAAAACGACCACGACGAGTTTTCCGGTGCGTGTGATTGATTAATCTGGATGGTCGGTCTATGGATTTATATCATCATCCTGTAGACGACAACATTCAAATCCTTCCGTGTAGGTCATTTTGGCAACATATTGTTGCTTTTTTGTGTCGGTAGACACAAAAAGGGTTACAAAACACCCCATCTCACAAAGCACGAACATATTTATAGTAACAGAATGCATTGCTTCATTTAAACATCAAGTATTTTGAAACATCAGATCTGGATACTTAATCAAGACAATTAATTATCAATCTCCTATAAAATGATGCAGTTGTTTTTTCGAATTTTATTTAATATACTCTAATGTTGCAACTTTGACATCAAAAAATACCATGCTCATCACACATTTTGTTTTTCATCCAATAGCAACTCGTTATACACCATTTCTAATGTAACCCACATCCCTGCAGCATTGTATTAGAACGCTATAGCTTGACATGAACACTAATGACAGCAAGAAGAAGACAACGTCTAAGTCACGCAAACGTAAGACTAGTGACGTGGGTACGGGCGTTCGTTCCAAACTTGCTTCTACAAAGCGCTTTATGACTGATGCGACAGCAGAAGTTGCAGTGAATGGCTTAGGCGCTGAAGCCAATGCTGCTCAAGTAGCTCAACTAAAGCCGTTTGTGCGTGGGGAGTTCGTGGAAAGCAGTAGGTTGCTTTGAGACATGATGATCAATGTATTATACAGGACTGAAAGTGGTTATTGTATGATTGTGAACCTCGACAGTCAAGCAAATGCTCTTTGGGTTTGGTGATGAGGCCGAGCCTCTTGATGAAAGTGCAAAACTTATGGAAGACTTGGTAGTGGAATATGTGCATGCTATGGTATATGCCTGATACATTTTTCAGCTCAATACGACAATCTCGTGCCTCTAGTGTTTGCTATGGATACTAACATCTGACGTTTGCCTTGATTTTTTGTTGTCGTTTTGTTGCATTGAAGACTAAAAAAGCGATGGAGTTGGCAACCATCAAGGGCAAATTGGATACCGAGTGTTTTGTCTTTTTGATTCGAAAGGATCCAGAGCGCTATGAACGCGTTGCTGAGCTCTTACGTGCAAACGAGGACTTTCGAGCTGCTTTAAATAGTGGCTTTGATCCGAGCGACGAAAATATGTACTAAGCAAAAGTACCTATATTTCTAACATTCATGCAACATTTCTAGAATCTCACACGTTTTGTGTCAACATAGAGACAATAATTGTATCAAGCAGGTCCAATTTTTGTAGTAGAAATATTCGCTTAGCAATCGAAATTTCTTCTTTTCCATCGACAACTGAACTCTCACGTCTTCCAGTGTTAAGAACAGCCAATAGCTCCATTGACTTTCAATGTAGTTGTAATAGTAGTAATGTTCATTCATGGCTACAACACTCTCACATGAAGCAAAACAAGACAAAGACGTGTAGACGTATCGATCGAAACTGGACGAATCGAAATGCGTATTCACTCAAGACGCGACCGTCTGCGTCTGCAATAGCACTGACTTGCAAATGGAAGCGCAATCAACAGCACAAGTTAATGAAGAAGCAGTTCATTGAGAATGATGGTAGTGATAATACTGCTGGTGACATGGAACGAGATAATTTGGATATGGAAGAACAGCTTACAGCGTTTGTGGAATACGTACTTGTCCGGTATTTATTGTGATTGAAGAAACAGTCGAGGTTGAGACTAAATTATGGCCGGTGGATTGTGGTATGATTGGATGAAAGAATGCTGCAGATATGGACAGTTTAGATATCATTTCAAGCCAAGATTTTGATGGTATGTAGACAGACGGCAAGAGATGGTGGCGTGTGTGACGCTCACTTATTGTCCTTGTGTGAAGGAGATGAAGAGCAAGATTTAGTAACTCAAGGCTCTCAGCATATGCAGTCGAATAACTGGCAAGATGTTACAGATGGTTGGTACTTTGGTTGGTTGGTAACTATGGCATGAAGAATGTAGAAGTGATGCTAAGTGTACTTGTTGGTGCAATTCCTTTCAGTGAACCAGTTTCAGGACGAAACTTCTCAAAAATATGGCAGTGCGTCTTCTTTTGACCTTTTTTGATCGTGTCCACCGTACTTCTTACACGTTGAATTGACTGATATTTGCTTGCAGACGTTATTTGTGCCCCTCGGTCTGTGTCCATTTCTGGTTCTGGCACATTTCTCGAAGAAAAACAAGTTGTTTCTCGCCCATTTTTTCTGAAGAAGGCTACGAGCACCGAAGAAAGAGAAGTGCATGGCCCTCTTTCCAAAGACAGTGAGGGTTCATTAAGTGGTACGTGTAAAAGAATTCTAAGGTGTTACGTAATTGTAGGTGCTGACTTTTCGTCGCTCGTGGCTGTTTTTGATCAGATGGCTTTGCCACAGCAATAAACCTTGTGAGCGCAGTGATGCCCCAACCATAAGTATGAACGTCAGTAGTGCGACTCCAAATGTGGCATCGAAGGTGCGTGTGCTGTGAGCAGCTATGCTTTATGTAGATGCTCAATATGTTTATGTGGGTGTTTTGGCAGGCTCAATGGAGACAACGACGCTCGATGAAGCGAGATTGCTCAGTGATCGAAAATTCTAGCAAGTATCCTGTGCAGAGACGGCTGTTGCTTATGGCACCACCCACACCCGTCATTACAAGCGAGTTATCCTCTGATAGAATCATCGAGCTCAAGGATGGCTGTTTTGACTCGAGTGATGACGTCCCAGAAGTCTTCATGCGGTGTAACAAGAGTTCGTGTCGTGTGTTGTCATCCCTGCCAGAAAAACGACAACAGCCGTGTCTTTGTCGCATACTGAACTCTTAAGTCTGTCTATGGACTTTCAGTCACGACGTACAAGGAAGCGAAGAAATGTTGATCAGCTAAGCCTGGACGGCTTTTTGCAGTTAGAAAAGCAGGGAGTCGAATCTGTCGCTGCTAGTGGTCTTTTATTTTTTTTTGAATAAAACAACATTAGATTAGAGAGGTAGATAAACGACAATGACATATAAAAGTATAAGATTCCGGATAAAAATATGGCGGGAAAGTCTTGTGACTCGTACTTGTGGATACATGAACGGTATTATTTGTTTGATTTAAGCACGTAATAATTGCCTCAGTGAGTGACCCTCAAGTCTTCGACGGGGGACGACAACCACCTACCAACCAAGAACTGAATTCTATCCCAATAGCTTTTCCCCTCCCTCTTCATTCTTCAACCTCCCTACTTTACAGCAATAATTATTATTATGGCCTACGTTACACTCACGAACATTACGGTACTGGATAATCCCACGGCCTTTACGAATCCTTTTCAATTTGAGGTCACTTTCGAATGTGCTCAACAGCTCGAGACCGGTGCGTGTTCAATTCTTTTTTCTATAATACATACGATACAGTATCGTCTATCATAATCTCATGCTTTTGTTGCTTTGTTTAGATCTAGAGTGGAAGATTACGTACGTTGGTAGCGCTGAAGACGAAAGTCGTGATCAGGTACTGGAAGAAGTGCTCGTTGGTCCCGTGCCTGTGGGAACCAACAAGTTTGTATTTCAGTCGGATCCACCTAACCCAGACATGATTCCAGATGAGGACAAGGTCGGTGTGACGGTAGCACTTGTCACGTGTTCGTACCGTGGTCGTGAATTTGTACGAGTGGGGTATTACGTTAACAACGACTACGCCGACCCGTTCTTGTTAGAAAATCCACCTGCCCGTGTCGATATCTCGAAATTACAGCGTAATATTCTTGCGGACAAGCCACGTGTCACCCGCTTTCCCATTGACTGGTCACCTGCGGGTGCTCAGGGTCCAAACGCTATGGAAGATACCAACCATCAGGATGTCGCTGCCATTGGCTTCGGCGCAATGCAGGCTGGCGCGTGTGGTGCTTCTATAGCTGGCACTAATCTTGAAATGGACTTTGTGGATGACGAGGAGCTTGTGAAAGCGGCAGCTCAGCTGGACCATAATTACACTGATATTGTCATTGGCGGAAACGCTGGTGATGATATGGAGGAGGACATTGACTTGGATGAAGAGGATGATGAAGATGATGAAGCGGATTCTGTCGAAGAAGCTGAGGAAGAAGATGCCGATGGCGACATGGAGATGGAAGATATTGAACAGCAATAAAAAGCAGTGCAACAAGCGCTACTTTGTGATTAGTGTGCAGGGTATATATGCTGTACAACTCAGCACATTTGGGGCAGCACGACAAGCAGGAATATACTGTATTTATAGAGAGACAAACGTGCCATGCGGATACAAGCGCGATTAATGAATACTATGAGCAAGGGTAGGGGCCACAAAAACGACGTGTGGATGATGAAAATGATTGAGTATTTTTCTTTCAAATGTGTCTAATCTACTCAGGTAATATACCAGTAGCATGCTTCAAAGCCGGTCAGTGAGCTTCCTCTTGTGAGCTTAGCGCAACTTGAACTCGTGGAGCTTGCTGTATGATCCACTGGCGCCATCAAAACGTACGTTGATATCGATATCCAGGTCACGTGGATTGAAAGCGTTGGGTTTGCATGTCAGCTCGCCCTCGATCACCTCACCAGGGCTGCAAGCGATCTCTCCTTCAAGATAGAATACAGTTTGCTTCCAGTGCGTGTACTCGGCCTTGGGTCCCGTCGAGAAACTAAGCTTCTTGTGCGTAGCTGAGAATGTGCAGTCAAAGTACGCTACCAATGCATGGCAAAAATCCTGGCGAAAAGCTGTCAACTTGAACGTGGATGAGAAGGCCAATTCATCTTTTGTCACAGTTGTCAGGTCAATGTCCAAGATAGGGCATACATCCGTCAATAGCGCGTCACTACCCACAGTGTCTACGAGTGGTTCTACCTTGGCAATATCTCGGATGCAGCTCATGTCAAATCCGTATACATTATCCCAAAACTCAAGTTTCTCGGCCTTGTACTCTCCATCCTCGATAGCACCAATGTAAAGGGTTGAATGATCTGGAAACATAAGTCCACCAGGTACCAGGTACTTATCACGTGCATAAATTACCGTATCCAGCATGGACTCATAGAGTAAAAAGTAGCCCATCCACTCAGAGATAATAATGTCCACCTTATCCACAGGCATCGTGAGTTCTTCCATTTTACCCTGAATGAGTGTGATCTTGTCCGCAAAGCCATTTGCCTTGACAATCTCACGTGCCTGTATCAGAATACCAGAACAATCAACACCATATACATGCTTTGCACCAGCATTAGCAGCAAACATGGACAAAATACTAGTACCACATCCCACATCCAGCACCACCTTGTCTTTAAACAAGTGTTTACTCTGTAGAATGGCGTTCATATAGGCCTTTGTACGCACTGTATCTTTAAGCATTTCTTCATGTATACCAAAGTGTGAATATGAGTCAAAGTAATAATCTTTGCTTGTAAGTTCCTTGGATGTGGTAAGACCATCATTAGTATTAGACAAAGGCGTAATAGGTGACATTGTGAATGGAATGAATCCAAGTATGAGGGATGGAGTGAGAGATGAAGCTTGTAGTCGTCACTCGAACGAGGGTCATCGTGTAAATTGATTGGACCTCTGGAATAGGTCCCGACGCTACTAGTCACTAAAATGCAGGAATGAATGTTATGGTTGACTATATAGTGTTCACATACCTAAAATGTATGCTAGTTATAAGAATAATATACGACCAAGTAAGTAATGATGATAAGTGGCATTTTCGAAACAAGATTTTCCCGTTCAAGGCATATGTCGATTGTGTTCATTCCACTTAAGTCAGAGCACAAACTGCTGGTAGACGATGTACTAGAGCTACTAGAAGCATCTGCACATTGCCTGCCCAACGCATCAATCACAAAGGAATACTTTCGTGTCGATTAGTGGCATTCAAAGATGGCCCCCCCCAAGACTCCCGAGTAGCTGCGCATGAATCAAGACAATTCGATCAACTGACTTAGATGGCACCACGGTTACCCGACTTCTTCTGGGCACGAGGAGCGTTACCACCCTTGAAACCCTTACTGACGTGCTCCGACTTGGTCACTGACTTCTTCGCCTTGCTGCGGTCCTTAGCCTCCTTCAGAGCGGCACGGGCAGCAGCACGGACCTCTGGCTTTTGGTTGCGCTTCTTGCGGATCTGTTTACATTACGCCACGTCGTTATTGACGTTTGCATCAGCTAATCAATTGACAATAGCACTGTATAAATACTGTAATTACTCACATCATCAGCAGAGACACCAACAATAGCACGCTGGATCTTGGTGGCCTTGCGAGCACGACGGCGACTGACCTCTTCGACCTGTTACAACCAAAGCGCCCCAACGTAAGTACTTGCTCGCTCATCTGCTCACTATTTCCACCTGCCACAAACCTTAAGCTTCTTGTTCATACGACGCCAGCCAAGAGTCCACACAATTTTTGTAGCTTTTTTACGCTGCATAAAGAGCGACTTGCTTTTTGAATTGATGAACACGTAAGCCGAGCCATCACGACGGATGTAGCGCGAGCCGTGGCCAGGATAAATGCGGCACTCGCTGAAGGAGCACGTCTCGGTCCTGAGATTGAAATGCCACATGTGTTAAAAGCAATACTCACGTTAATCTAGCTGTACAATTGGTAAAAGAAGATGCTACATGAGGGGGGCCCAAGCAGTTTGTGAAACGTCATGGAGATCTATGCAACGTATGTCACTGCGTGCTGCACCCTGTTATCTGAACGCTATTATGCCCAGTTCCTCTTTCGTATGCCTGTCTTCTTTAAACCAATCAAGATGTTTATGTAAAAACGCACTTACTTAATCACCATATTGCTTGAGTCTTCTCGGGAGAGTTTATGCCAATTGACTCGTTGGACGGGCTTCCAGGGTTCAAAACTGACACAATTGCTACTTCACACTCACCACTGTAAATTGGCTGGTTGAAAGACGTTTACTTAAACGGTACTTTATGTGTTTCTTGTGCGGTTATGGCTCGCGGTTCGATCTATCACGGTTCACAAACATTTATACAACAGAATTTCAGTTTAGTCCTCTTTTTTCTTGTGCTACATTACTGCAACATTCACGCAATAAAGACGTTCGAGCACAATAATGACAGCTCAGTTCCGGTGCCAGGGCGTCCGACATCTTCGACGCGTTTTCCGTTCATGGCAAACTACCGATAGTTATCGTAGTATACACTGTAACTCGAATATTTCCTCTGTGAAGACGCTGCAATTATCTGCGTATGCACAAGCTCATACGTCCCGCAGCGTCATCAATTTCGGGCTCGGCCAACCCACTGTCTCGCTATTGCCCTAGACATATTTCGTGATGCTTCAATGGCTCGATTTACACCAAAACAAGACCCTGCAATGCTTCAGTATGGATATGCTAAAGGTTTTGCTGGATTTCGAGAGGCGATTGCCAAGTTTGTGGCAGGTAAACAAAAAAATAAACGGTGGATTGTGGGTCGTTCAAGTAGAATGACAGATGTCTGATGAAGCTCGTGATTAGATGCCACATTTACTAAAGAGATTGATCCAGAAACCGTGATGGTTACGGCAGGTAATTCACAAGCCATTTTTACACGCAGCCATAACATTTTCCAAGACCAACCGACGCGTGTTTGTGAAAGAGCCGACTTACTTTCTGGCGCACAATATTTTTCGTGAGCTCAGCCTTGACTTGAAAGGAATGCATACAGGAAAGGATGGGATTGATGTAAGTGGTGCTTAGCATTACCATCTTGTGTTGTTTGCTCAACAATTTGTTCTGCACATGCTCAGTTGGACGCGTTGGAAGTGACGCTGGCCTCGGCGATGTTCCGGCGTTCTTGTATACGATTCCATTCTTTCACAACCCAACAGGAGCTATCATGTCTGCAGATCAATGTAAACGCCTTGTGGTTCTTGTACAAAAATACGGGTTTCGTATCATTTCGGACGAACCATACAACTTGCTGCATCTAAATGGTGGCGGACTGCCGTCCCTCTCGTCGTTTGATGACTCGGGTCTAGTTGTTTCACTTGGAAGCTTCTCAAAGATTCTTGCTCCAGGACTTCGACTTGGTAAGAGTTGCGGTAGAGCACATTCATCCGACGACACAGCTAAGGTTATCTCATATCGTCATTTATTTGCAGGTTGGGCTCAAAGCAGCAGAGAGACAATTGAGAAATTGTCGACGATTGGTAAGTCGTAGTGGCGGCGGTCAGAATCCTGTCACTGCGGCGCTCGTTCATTCCGGTAAGCGCGTTTCCAGCTGCTGCACGCATTCTGTCCTGCTCATCTTTGGTGTGTTTGACTGTCATTTACGTGGCAGTGCTGGAGCAGGACCTTCTGTTACCTCACATTGACCTTTAAAAGCGTCCTTCGGGCCCGCAAAACGGTCATGTGCTCTTCATTGCGCAAACACTGTTCAAACGTTGTATTTGTTGAGCCGTTTGGTGGGTACTTCGTGTGGCTACAGCTTCCTGAAGGGGTCCACACCGCCTTACTGCTTAAGATTGCCGAGTCTCGGCATGGTGTAGCTTTTACACCTGGTACGCGATGCTCGCTGGGCACATTGCATGACAACGACGGCGGCGATGACGCCATGACGCAATACGCGCGTCTGTCTTTTGCCTTTTAACGAAGATGAGATCCGCACAGGTATCAAGCGGCTGCAAAGCGCTCTCGCCAGTCTGTGATGATGGCAAATCCAAACTTGTTATTGACAACATATATCGGTATTAGGACCAGTGAAAGCCTAAATGATGACGAGAAAGTTGCCAAAGACACGACATGATGTCTAAGCTTAAAGCGATATGCGTAAGAGCTATTTTTAGAGTAGAGGAGAAAGCAGATGATGTCGACAGGACTAATCATATGATATTGCTGCCTAAGCTCAAGTGCTGTTACTAGCTTATAGAAATTGTTGCACATTCCCTGTCACCAAGCATCGTTATGCTGACTGGTATATGTACGCGTTTATCTGTCGCCAACAAGGTATCCACCCGTCTGCAGGCATTGGGATCGGCACACAAAATTGACATAGTTCGTTCTGCTGCTACCTTTGATTGCCGACTCGGTCAAAGGAATGCCATCGCCGTGAAAGAGGACTTTCTTAGATCAAGCGACACAGGTCGACAAAAAAAACGCAATTTTCGGCTTACTGACAAAACACACAGCGGCTAGACTAGTTGTTTTCTTCTAGTCATTCTTCACGACCATACCGCTCATTCCAGCTCTTGTGAATCATCGCAAGTCTACGTTATTCATTTTCTCCTGCACATTGGCAAGACAGGTACACTACAATTTGCATCGCAATTAGTCGCAATCAATTATACACTCGACCAAAGTAAGTTTTCTTACCTGCCACGGTGCCAGTCGATGGCACGAATCATAGCGCTCAACTGCCGACTCGAGAATCTGTGGCGACCACATGTCGCAAGATTTCAGTACGCTCGACAGGAATCTATCCATGTCACTAGAGCCGTGTGTATCACCCACGTGCTTTCTAAACCGATCAAACATACTCTCTGCACCAACTATGTCTAGTTGGCCAAGGCGACAGATAACGGCATTTCCATATGCTTCATTTGCAAGTTCATGTTGCCCATTATCACGTCGCGTGTCACCCACCGCCTCAAAGCACTCCTCAGCAAGTGACCACAAGCCAGCATCAGCGTACAACTGTGCCGCCCACACACCATTTTCTGCAGCAGTGTGTGCACTACCGCCAGCTTCGGCAACCATTTTAGCCTGCACATGCAGCTCTGCCACTTTAATAGCAAACTCAACCTTTTTGCACTCCGCTGAAAACCTTCGCTTCAATCGCAAAGCCAACTCGGAAAGCCCGCGTGCTGCTTCATCAAAATACCCAGCAGTAGCTAACTCATCACACACACTTCGAATACTTTGAACCAATTCATTCTGCTCATTCGAATACGTCTCTGCTTTCTCCAACTTACACCACGCAGATTCCAACTCGTAGTTGGCACGTGTAAGCAAAGTACCGGCGACCTTTGCCGCCTCACTGAAAAATACTGCAGCATTTTTCCAATCTTTCTTCACTTTAAACTGCATAGCTTTTGCTCGAATCTGTCGATGCGACTCGGTCTCTGTGCCACAATGACCTGTCTCGAATCCCGTCGATGGTACAGTTTTTCTACGTCTCAACAATCCATCAGTGCTTGAACTTCCACCTATCCCAGAACCTTTCACAAGGTAATTCTCAATGCTTGACATGGTTCCACCCCTTGATACCTTCATCACCCACGGTGCACGACACAAAGCTTTAATATTCTCACCAGACTCATCCTCCCATCGCCACGTCCCAAAGATACCAAACGCGTAGCGCTCTCTTGACGGTACATAGACTACGCTAAAGACAAATGCATTATGGAAGCGCCAGGTTAACGGTTCATTGTGAATCAGAGATTTAGCTGTTTGGTACATGGCTGAGAACCACTTCGTAACGCCTACAGACGCATCAGGTATGAGATCTCCCGGTTCATTTTGTTGGTTTATCCATAATGCAAATGAATGATCCGATGGATTCGTGACTGCAGCTACAAATACTACTACAGATACAAGTAGTACAAGACGAAATAGTGTCGCCATGAGTACAGGTAAGAGTGTAGCCATAAGGAACATGCCAAAGACTATTAGTATCAGAATAAAACAGTAACAAAAGAGTTAGAAAAAGAGGTAGACTTTTCTACTATAAAAAAATCGAAAAGGCAAGAGACAAGAGATGAGTCATCAAAAAAGTAGCAATCGACAGCGTACGTATAAGAAATAAAACATTATTCGCTGTCATTGATGCTGGAGCTGCTGAAGTAGCTACAAAAGACGGCGTCGATGTCTTCTTTGCCATCTTCATGGTCGACAGAATATTAGAAAGTGGTACACTGTGCCATTCTCAACTGTAGGCACAGAATGTTGAAAAGTGGTACACTGTGCCATTATCAAATGTAGTCAAATGATCGAGAACCAATGTAGCAACTCTATATTTATTCCAATGGTTGCAATGATTCGGCAGCAGCGTCTAGACGGCCGTGTTGGTAACGAACTGCGGCCTTTTGCCTGCGAACAAGGCGCACTCTTTCGTGCCGATGGATCTGCACGTATGTCTCATGGTAGTAGCACTGTACTAGCGGCAGTGCACGGTCCTGGCCAAGCACGCAACTGGCGAAACGAGAAGACGGACAAGGCGACGCTAGATGTATGTTTTAAGCTAGAAAAGGGCATTATAAGTGCGTACTTAATTGATTTTATGCTGTCGTGATTATGGTACGAGTGACTGATTGTTATGTACATTGTATTTATGCTTCAGCGTCCAAGGAGAAAGAGTACGAGCTGATCATCCGTGAGACCTTTACGCCCATTGTGCTCACAGACAACTTCCCTCGCGCAGTTATCAGTATCGTGATCCAAGTTATCGAAGACAATGGCTCTATATCCTTTTGACTTTTGACTTTGCTGCGTTTGTTGATGCTGGGAGAGCAAACATTTGATCCAGTCTAGAAGAAGCGAAAGCGTGATGCTGGTGTAGTTTTCCTTAACCTTGTTTTGTCCATATTGTCGTTGATGCCAATACCTTCTTGCAGTGGCGATTAATGCGGTAAGCTTGGCGCTGATGGATGCTGGAATACCCATGAGTTCGCTTGTTACGGCAGCTTCTTGCGGGATTTTTGCCGACGGCAATTTGTACTTGGACCCTTCATCTGTCGAAGAAGAGGTAATGCTACGGTAATTGTTATGTTACGAGTATCAAAACCCATGCAAGTATGAATGATTTTTGTCTACAGGAAGCCGTTTCATGGGTCACGACTTCGCGATCCAGCACAAGTGATGGCGTTCTAACTTGCATTACGAATGGTCAGTGTGTTGTAATTCAAGCACAGGATCAGAGTACTCATATTGTGTGTTTGCTTCAGGCATGCTGTCAGAAGAGCAATATTTTGCATGTTCAGAGGCATGTCAGAGGTGAATATTGATGTGACATTAGTAGCAGAAGCAGTATCGTCGTTGTTGAAAAATAAAAGCTAACAAGCGGTGCTAATGTGTGTAGGGCATCGGAGAATGTAGCCGCTTTCTTCCGCATTGTGCAACAGAAAAAGCATCCAGTCGAGTCTATCATTTAGTCAATAAAACTGGAATCGACGCCTTCTCATATTGCGCATCACTGTGGATGACGTGACAGCAACCTCATCATTTGACTGGATTGTTAGCTGATTCCATTGCTATTGTTGCAAGGTTAAACAACTTGTCGCTGTTTGCATCAGATGTACAGAATATACACGGTGGCTATCATTGTTAAACCAGTCAAATTCTTATACAAAGCCAATAAGCTTTGACGTATAACTGATGTAAATACGATAACTCAATTTGTCGGTAATCAATCCAACGATATCCATGACTGGCTATTTCCCAGCCCGCATCCTTCATGGCTTGTGCTACTTCAGGATTTTTCTGTAATGCAAGACCAACTGCAAATACAGTTAGAGGAAGTTTTCGTTGGGTAAAAACACGATAGAGTCGCCAGAAACCAGCTCGACTGCCATATTCATACAAGGATTCGAGATTCATACGACGTTCACCAATATACGGTGTTGCATTAAGAATATCAGATAGTAAATGTTCAGATGCAGTATCGCCATTTAAAATACAATTTTCACCACCTTCTTCATAATTAAGTACAAATTAAAGTGCTAAGTTCTTGTCATGAGGCCATTTTGGATCACACCCATGGCTACCATAATCACGAGGTGTAGTCATATCGAAATGATTGTTGCAAAGACGATGACGAGGGGGGAGGTAGTCACTCTAAGGAGGGAACAAAACTGATGCACTGAAGTAGGAAAAAAAATCAATAGCACTATTTCGTATTTAACTGAAACGCTCCCAGAGATATTTAGATATTACTAAGTAACCATTGAGGGGGAGAGTTCTATCTAAAGTAACACTTCGTACTTTCAGTCAAAAATCATGCCTGGAGATGGATATGATCGCCATATTACTATCTTTTCACCTGAAGGAAGACTCTATCAAATAGGTACACATCATATATATATATATATATAGAATATAGAAAGAGAAAGAGACAAGTATCTCTATCTTAACTAGGATTCTCTATGTCTCAATGTCTTTTACTATTTAGAATACGCTTTTCGTGCTGCAAAGGAATCAACACTTACATCTGTAGCTGTTCGTGGAAAAGAGAGTGTTGTGTTTGTTACACAAAAGAAAGTGCAAGTAAGTGGATTTGATTAGGATCCTGTGACTACTAAGGTCTTAAGTATCATAAGAGAACCTTCTGCTTAGACTCTTCTGCTTCTGTTGCTGTTTGTTGTTCTATTGTTGTTGGTTGTTGTTGTAGGATAAATTGATTGAACCTGATTCAGTTACAAATGTGTTTCAAATTACACCTGAAATTGGGTGTTTAATGACAGGTTTATATGGTCAGTACATGTACCAAAATGAATCAAAAGATTGTCTCTTGTGGATTGATTTTCGATCGAATTGTTGGTGATTATGTTGTCCATAGCTGACTCAAAGGCACAAGTTCAACGTCTTCGTTTTGAAGCACATGAGTTTGAAAATAAGTTTGGATACAAGATTCCATGTCATGTATTGGCCAAACGTATTGCAGATGTTGCACAGGTTTATACACAACATGCTTCAATGCGCGCGTTTGGTGTTGTTACAATGCTCATTAGTGTGGATGAAGAAAAAGGACCTCAACTGTTTAAGATTGACCCAGCTGGCCATTTTTGGGGCTATAAGGCCACATCAGCGGGTGTCAAGGAACAGGAGGCGCAAAACTACCTTGAGAAAAAGATCAAGGCTAACCCGACCATGGACCATGAATTGACGCTGCACACGGCCATTACGTGTCTCCAGTCGATATTGTCGGCGGATTTTCGTCCCAACGAAATTGAAGTGGGTGTCGTTCTGCAAGGCCAACGATTCCGTAAGCTAACGGAGGACGAGATTGAGGCCCACTTGACTTCTATCAGTGAGCGCGACTAATTTTGAAGCGATTTGCTGGTCGAAAAATGGTGTTCTCTCAGGCACAAAAAGAAGTAAACAAGAGGAAAAACATTGCGATAAACGGTATTGTGTTGACGTCTTGATCAATAGCTCCTGAGATTTGTTTTGTTTGGTAGCAGCATGACCAACTTGACAGTCTCTACTTCTACTTCTTCGTATTTGTTTCCCCACTAACTTACTCCCAAAACCAAGGAACCATCATCCTCATCAACGGTGTCACGCATGATACTTGGCCATGTAACATATTTCTAGATCAGTTTCTATATCAGACACTACTTCCCATCTTTGACCAGCATTATCGTCACCTGTATTGATTGTGCGTTTATGAATAACATGCAGCTCTTGATCACGTGCCCTACAAAGATCCTTCTAGAGCAACCTCTTCAATGTACTCGGTGTTAACGTACTTCGTCGTGAATCACAAGGAGGTGAACTTCTGATGCTACCACGATTGAGATCCCCAGGTCCCAGCGATTGACGCCTCGTCGATTTAATCTGGCGCACAGGGGCACCAAGCTCACACTGACTCACCTTTTGTGCAAAGCGCATACTACACAAAGACTCGTCCAGGGATGCATACGTAGGCGACAAGTTAGCCATCATTAGCGTCTTGCCGTCACCCGAGAGCGCAGGCTGCAATGCGTACGTGAGCTTGCTGTTGCGATACGGGACGTGAGGAGACTTCTTCGCTAAAGCCTGGAATACATCAGCCAGAGCACTCAGGCTCTTGTTGATCGCTTGTGCCTCTTTCAAACGATTACCTGTGGCATTCGATCGGCTCAATCGCTCACTACCGGCGAGATCAACCAAGCTCAAGCTTCCTTCAACCTCCGTCTTTTGTGCTTCATTGTATCCTTGTATCGTCAGCACGAAAATACTGTGGCTACGTGATGAGTGCGCGTTCATGTCAGTACGGTCAACAGAACGGTTGCATGCTGCCAAATTGACGATTTCATCTATCTGCTCTCCTGCCTGGTCAAAATCGATAAAGACCTCGGTCAATCCTTCCACGTAATTCCTTCCCCGATTATCAGTCCGGATGTTGTGCTTCGTTTCTTTGCTATTCTCCATGGTGAGCAAATCACAAATTGTTTCATTATAGATTTCGTAGAACGTCACCTTCAGTGAAAAGTTCCAACCCATTGACGTCAGCTCTTCACAGCAATTGATAATCAAATCAATCGAGCGCGGGATGATACCGCGCATCTGCGCCTTCCCACTTCCTTGCATAGTGTGAGTCTTTCCAGACCCCGTTTGGCCATAAGCAAAAATACACACGTTGTAGCCGTCCATGGCCGACTGAATAAAATCCGATACATCCTTGAACAAAGATTCCTGTGAGTCCGACTGACCGTAGATCTTGTCAAACGCAAACGTGTGTGGATTACCAACGTTTGTCGTAATCGTAGACGCAAAGGTGTCGCATATAATGGCAGACTGCGGATTCTTAGCCAACGCTTCTCCACCATCCGAGCGCAGGAACGGACGAAGTCTGACATGTACGCGAATATTACCCCGCAGCTCTTGGATAGTGTTATGCAATTTGCGGCGCATGATCTCACCCTCAGCGATTTTCGTCTCAAGCTCAGCAATCATATCGGACTTTTCTGTCAGCTTCTGTCGCGCCTCGAGCAAATAGTCCGTGAGCTCCTGGATACGTCGAGTTGACTCTCCGTCATCATTTTGAGGCTTAAGACTGTCATTATTTGAACCATCGACGACATTGCTGGAGCCATACAACGGTTTTTGAGTACTAGGCTCAGTTCTGCGCATCAGCCGATTCTGATCCTGCAAAAGTTTCATTTCGCCTGCGAGAGATACGTTTCGCTTCTCATAACGAGCCTGCATTTCCTCCATCTTCGCTTCATGGGTCGTTTGAAGAGCCACCATTTGGGCATACAGAGCTGTGTTCTCCACGGTCAGCTGCTCCACATTTACCTGAAATTGCTCCCGGCGATTCTTTTCGTCTTCAAACTTCGCCTCCATAGCAGCTAACTTGTCTTGTAATAAGTTCTTCTCCGCTACCATAGACTTTGACGCACGAACACAATCACCATTTTCAGTTTTCAGGCTTGAGGCCTTCGTTTGCATGATTGCAATTGACTCGCTTAGGTGTGCAACTTTTTTGTTTGCCTGGGACAATTCCTCCGTCAAATTGCGATTCTGCTTAGCCAGATCGGTGGTTTTCTCCCAAAAGCTATGGGCACTGACTGATCGTTCGTCGTCGTCATCATCCATTTGCTGCTTGAAAAAATCCCGTTCCGAGCAAGCAGCGTCTAAATCCAACTCCAACTGCCGAACTTTCTGGTTTAGGCTTATGTTCAACTCTTCAACTGCCTTCAACTCGTCGTCCTTCCCATGCAAAGTCTCCGTAACCAAGCGTGAACTGGAAAGGACTGACGCCGATGATCGCTCGCGTTCCTGAGACAATGCCTGTTCGTGTTCCATGAGCTGCTCGGCAAAACGCATTCTCCACTTCTCTTCAATCTTATCTGTAGCCTTCTTCAAGATAGTACGCACATAAGCCGACAGTGGCGAGTCTTCCTGCATCGCTTGCTGAAGTTCTTGACGCTGTCGATCAGCTTCTTTACTTGGCAATCGTGGAAAAATGTTTTGTGAAGAAGTAGTAGAAGCAGTCTCTGAGTCTGACGTTGGATGAGATGACTTGGACGATGGTCCATCTCCATGACAATCGTCTAGCTCTAGCTCCGGAAGTGATCCTTTTGTATGTCGAGCGAGTAGCTCTGAGTTAAGCAATTGAGTCAGCCGTTCGATCTCTGCAGCGGACGCGTCTACATACGCGTTCTGTTCCAAGACCCTTGTCTCAAAAGCCTCGCAGCACTTCATGAGACCGTCACTATGTGCGCTTAGTCGACGCATCCCTGCCTTCAACAGCTTTATCTCTTCTTGCCGAGCCTTCATACTTGACGTGGTCAGTGTTGAATTCGTTGAAACTGAAGACAAGTACGTTAGCAGTTCGTGCACGCCTTTCTCTGTCAGCTCATGGTCCTCTTTTAAAGCCATCACTAACTCTTCATTCAATACAAACTCTTTTGGAAGCATCGTCAAAGATGAAGCTGTTGCCGGCCAGATTTTTTGCATAGCCGACGTCGCCTTGTTACGTGCTGGTGACGCGATTCCAAAAGTGTTGCATGTGCTTTTTGTACTCATCCTTGACGACGGTGCAGATCGGAACGACTCTGACATCGCTAACGACGACATCGATGAAGACGACGACTGCGAGCCAAAACTACTACGTCGGTTCTCTTTATTGCTCGCTACCAACTCATGCAGCGTCTTCCTCCTCTCGGACGCCGCACTAGTTGGCGGTTTATTTCTTGAGCTTGACATGGACGATACACTTGTCACACTGCTAGCCATACTGCTAATGCTACTGTTGCTATTTGTTCGCTTCAGACCACTGTTTTCATCAATCATACGTGTCTTCATTGACATAGAGTATGCACGTCGGGTCTCTAGACTAGATGGTCGCTTCAATACACCATCCTCTGATCGTACTCTAGCGTCATTAGCTACTCCACCACGCTGAGTCTTTTTCTCCATTGTACGAGGTATTGTCCCAGCTGTCATTCCTCGTTGATTCGTCATCTGCTTCGTGATTGGTGAGGTACATACTCCAGACGTTCTCACTAGAGACGCACGGTCACTTGTTCGTCTCTCACACGTCGAAATCTTTGAAATTGTGCTCGGTGCACGCAATTTAGAGCTTGAAATGTGATGTGACGCTGTCTCCATCACTTTCTTGTCCTCATTGGCATCATTTATCACGTTCTGAAGGTCAGGAAGCACTGCAGTTGCTGGACATTCATTCTCCAAGGCATTGATATGTCCATCACTTGGCTCCATTGATAAGTCGGTAGTAATAAAGAAGGACAACAGAGAGACACGAAGCTATTTAAACGTCTGTAGTGACGTTAAACTCAGTGGAATATCAATACCACAAACACAGAGAGAGAGAGAGAACGAGAAGACGAATCAATGATACGGATTACTCTTGGCTCCAATAATGTAATGTAATCAACACACTTCTCTCTTCTTCTTCTTCTTCTGATGGAATTTGAAACTGACTCGTGTCTGAATGGCATTCAAGACTTAAGCGGGAGTATACAATTACAAAGTATAAAATTTAAAACCTGGCGAACATGCGAGCAAATTTCAAGGAGAGATTGCCAAGATATTGCAATATTTTGAATAAAACTAAAAAGGAAATTGTATCATATAGTCCGTCGTCAGTCAGTCGGTCGGTCGTATCTAATTCAAAAACAGATCAAATGGATTTGGAGACTGTTTCGTACGTATTGAATCCAATCCCATCCATCTTCCATTATTCTCTTGTTCATTCCTTCATTCGTCCTTCATTCCTTCATTCCTGATCGATTATAGATCAGTATCACAAATGTATCGATTCCCTTCTGAATCTTTAATCTCCGCTCTACGATCAAACAACATTGTTACATTAGCATTATCACTCTTCTGACGAGCTGTATGTTTGCCAGCGTCTTTTATTCATACGAGAAAGAGAGAGAGAGAAAGCACGTACCTGTATCTGCCCATGGTCATCACTGTCCGATTACCTCCTTTTTCTGGTTCAAGTGATACTTTCATCTCATGATTATTTGTCTGTCGACTATCGCTCACATTGGTCGCCAATGCAGTGGCCACTCCTTTACCAAAACGTCGACTTACACCAAGAGCCAATTTCTCATCAATCACTTGAATGCATGCATCACAGACACGGCAATCTTCTTCTGCTGCTTGATTTACATTGATCTCCTACTCTACACAAATGTGCACAAAGAAGAAAGAAAAGCACATACAAGTAGTGAGTAAGAGCTCTTGAAGTAGGACGAAAGAGCGACCATTGACTCAGCATGAGCTTCAACTGCAGTTTAGACTTGCCTTATTGATGAATTTGGTACGACTACCAGAGCATCCATCACATATTACCGCTCCACAGCGACGACAATGATGACGACGGATCCAAAACCCAAAATCAGTCCGACAGAGCATGCACGTGTTTACTGAAACGTCTGGAACCCATTGGCCATCGCTCTGTGCACAGTAAAATGATAATGACACTTAATCACAGTTATCTAGAAAAGAGGGAGAGTGATATGTATATAATGTACCATGTGCTTCCGCCACGAGCTTTCGAGAGGGTCCTTCGAGCGCGTCTTGAGCAGTGGTGGCGTGACGATTTCTTTCGTCATAATGTAATATTTCACAATACAGAATGTTACGTTAAGCGTTGTTTTATGCTTAAATTAGACAGTAAAGATCTACATTTAAGCCCACGTTTTACGCGTTAACGTCCTACAATTTCTGCTTCTTCTGTAACATCTCAACCTTTTCATCCTGCTTTCCAGTATGAAACTCACGGTCACCAGCATCACCAAGACCAGGCAAAATGTAGCCATCCTGTTCAGCAACATGACAACAAAAACGATCAGAAAGATGCGCAAGGAAAGACACATTTATACACCACATCTTAGCTAGCTGCACGTATTCGTAAGAATAAAATTACTCACCTCAGAAAGTCCATCGTCAATCGCAGCGAGGAAAATTTCCACATCGGGATTCTTGTCACACACTTCCTGCAGACCCTGCTTGGATGCGATTGTGCTTACAATCTTGATTCTTTGAACGCCCCACGTCTTTAAAACTGCGAGCGTTGCGAGGATTGTGCCAGCTACAAAGATATACAACCATTTACAATAATGTTAGCAAACAACAACACAACACGTTGTCATTGTTGACACTCGATAGCTGCTAGAATCTTACCCGTAGCAATGACAGGTTCCAGGATAATTGCAACGTCGACATTACACTCCTTTGGGAGCTTGTTGTAGTATTGTACAGGTAGTAGTGATTGCTTGTTGCGATACATTCCTATCAACAACATAAACATCAATATTGAATTGTAGTTCTGATAACAAGAAGTTGTAATAGAGATCGTACCAATGTGATGTACTGTAGCGTTTGGTAGTACATCTAACATCGGTTCTACCTACATCATCATCAGAAATGTATTGCACATTAACAAGACAAACTATCCGAAGGCATAAGAAAAGATCGTTATTATCAGTGTACCATTCCCAATCCAGCACGAAGAATTGGCACTAATGCCACCAACGTAGACAGCTCTGCGCCTTGATGATCGCCTTTTGGAGTCTACAAGATTCATATTGTAGTCTATTACATTGTTTACGTCACCATTTGATCAACATTAGACGTCTACCTTAATTTTCATCGGAATCGTCTCCAGATCATCCGTTGCATCATATCTACGTATATCATTGAATCAAATACAAACCATTTATGAGCTTGTATACGTACTATACAGTTATTGTATGTATACATGGCACAAACCCAAGATAAAAAGTAACTTCTCGTAGCAAATGACGAAAAATGCGACTGTCCGTACGCTCATCACGTAGTTTTGTAAGCTTATGACGCAGTACTGGATGAGTGGCACACCAGACTTTACTATTAGGTGCAAGACCGTATTTTTCATTGTTTACTCGTGTATCTACCTTCATCTTTTCTTTCTTTCTCTCTTGAACTGATTATACTTCTTGACGGTAGATTCAATACTGACGAGATCTGGCTAAAAGTGCGTCAGTTTTTTATTTTAACCAATCACAATGCACCAAAATGACAAACTTCAACAACACGAAGATTAAAACGCTAGTGACGTACACCGACGTCATTCAAATGTATCCATCTATCACATGAACACCATTCTTACAACAGTCTCTATAACCATCAATCTACCACTCGGTCTCGTGGAAATCCTTGAGGAATTTGCCGAAAATAGACTCATCCGAATTGTAGCCGACAAAGATTGGATCCAATACGCGTGCTGCTGCGTCAATTTCGTCAATAGGGGTCTGGAAATTGTGGGCTTCTGCATAAGCATGGGCCTTTGACAATGGATTTTCGTCATTGATCCAGCTATAGATTTACAATACAAACGCATTAGTGTATGAGTCAATATACGCATAGCAACTTATGAACATCAATAACAAATCACGTACCCAGTGTCGACCGAGTTCATATAAATGCGCCGCTTGCTTAGATCCTCAGCACATGTGCGCGTCATCATATTGAGTGCAGCCTTCGCCATGTTCGTATGGGGGGTGATTTGGTGTCTTGTATCGGTAAAACTTGCCCTCCATAGCACTCACGTTCACAATAAACTTCTTTTCAGAAATGCCACTCTTCTCCAACAAAGGCAACAGGCGGTTGTTCATAATAAACGGTGCCAACGTGTTGATCGCAAACACTTCCGCCACTTCAGGAGTAGCAACCTCGCCCATACGAAGTAGCCAAGAGTTCTGCGAGCGAAGGTCTAATTGCTGTCCATTCACGTCCACAATGCCCTTTGGAAAAGTCTGATCGTCAGGATGGTCTTCTCCAGCAATCAAAGGCACCTGCGACTTCAACGCAGATGACATGACAACGTTACCGCCTGTATTGACAGCATTGACATCAGACGTAGAAAGTGCTACTGACTTGACATGTGACTCAAACTCCTGTTGACAACTTAACAACATCTGAACTTCCTTATTGCTCGTCTCTAGCGCCTTCGTCTCCTTATCCACAAGTAGCTTGTAGTAAGCAGGAGGTCGACGCACCGTCTGGCATGCATTATGAACAATCATATCAAGACGAGAGTAGCGGCTTATGACGAAATCGCAGAACTGCTCCAGGTGCACCAGATCACGGAAATCAATGCCAAATATGTGAAGACGACCCTTAAACGTCTCATACTCCGAATGTTTTGCAAAACGTTCGGCTGCATCCTTTGGGAACCGTGTTGTCACAATAACCGCTGCTCCTGCTAGTAGCAACTTCACTGCCGCTTGAAATCCAATCTTCACGCGGGCTCCCGTAATTAGCGCCACTTTACCACGTAAATCTGCCGTTTGAAAGCGTTTAATAAAATTAAGCTCCGAACAACGTGGACAAAGCTGATCATAAAAGTGATGAATCTTATCAAATCGACTTTTGCACGTGTAACACGAGCGAAAACCCAGCAATGCATTCGCTTCTTTACTGTAAGCTGCTACTTCATCATGACGAGCTTGTTGTGCTTCATCCGTGCAAAGTTGCTGTAACTTCGAGTCAGAAATACTTGTCAACAAAGTATTTGTAGCATAACATCCATAATCTCCTGCTACACCGTCGGCAATCATAGGCAATACACTTGTTGCATCATCACCTTGTAACAACAAAGACTCTAACTTTGCAATCCGCTCACGACGTAATGTCGAGCTATTAATATGACGACGATCGTGCATTTTACGTCGATTATGACGTGCTCGTTTTTCTTCACGAATTGCTTTATCTTCCAGATATTTCTTCCGTCCTATGCCACCAAATTTACGTCCTTCAATGTATTCACATACAGGCGCAAGTTTCTTACGTAACATTCGCATATTCCTTTGCTCCAAGAGATCATTACGATTCGCTAATACACCTAATACTTTATACGTAATAGCAATCTCCTCTTCAGTAAATGGAACTTCTTCTACTTCTTCTACTGCTTCTACTACTTCTACGTCTTCCGTAGTCGCCATTACAATATTATTGTGATTGTCTGACTCCATTGACGATTCTATTATGATAAAATTCTGATGGTTGTCGTCTATGCCGAAAACTGTTTTGGAATCAGGTGCGACACATTAATTTCGGTAAGGTTGGATGTATATCACCTTAGTTTCAAATATGTATGTGGTATACATTGAATAACAATAGTTAATGCCACATATACAGACAATATATTTCCATGTCGTTCAGTGCATTTGTCGCCGGAATGGCGCTAGGTGGATTACGCTATGGCATGGTCAAGTTTAAACTCTTGGAGTGTGAAAGTGTTGTGATGTATTCGGTCAATCAAGTGACAGAAAACTTTCACGGTCATGATGGACACGTACGTTTTCTTTTTCTATTCGTTTGGATTGCAATGAAACAACAATTAATTGTGTGATCATGTGTACAATTAATTGTTTAATCTTATTTTTGTAGCGAAAGAAAACGCATAATCAATCGCGTTACGAGTCCCTACCAAGTCATGAGCATGAATATTATACGTACATACGTCAAGGTTGGAACTCCAAAGTGATGGCATTTCGTCACAAGGTGTACGAGTTGTTTGAAATGAAGTAACAAGAGAGAATTGAAAAGCTCGTGACTTGTTCAAGTGACAGCTTTTCGAAAACGATGACGTCATCTCACATGTTCATGATGATATTCATAGCTCAGAGGAGAGTAAGATGCCATGACGCTTTATGAGAAGTGTGTTGTCGACCATCTGAGCCTGTGTGTTTTGTTTTGAGCTTGCCGTACAAGCTCGTTCGTACTGCGTCATCATTTTTGGCACTTTCCGAAAACGCTTGACCGGCATATCTGACTGCGTATGCATGGCGTTGAAAGTCCTCATTGATGATATATACATCGTTACTATCGCTATTACTACCAATGTTTTCTATCGTTTGCCATTGTGAACTGGTCCGTAATTGTCTCCATACTGCGATGAAGTGCTGGTTCAGACAAACGTCGCTGTATCAAAGGTGCCTGCAAGAAGGGTTCGTATAGTCAATTTGCCTATCGAGTATACTCCTGCAGACAAAAGTCACAGTCGAAAAACATGGTGTTGCTGCATTGGCACATCAACTAGCGGACTGCCAAACATTCATAACACTCGCTCTCGCTTCTCTCGGCCAAGGATGTGTCGTTAAATTGTGGAAAAGCACAGAACTGTCAGCAATGACGTTACGTACCTGGTTCGACCAAAACGACCGATATGCCATTGACATCCTCACCCCAAAGTTTTGAGCACCTTGTTCAGCATTGCATTCGCAAACGCTGTAGATCACTGGTCCGGTAGGTCTTCCGGACCAGTGACCTACGCAGCACCAACAACTTCTTCTTCTGCTTCTTCTCCTTAACTTCTCGTTTGCTTTTCATCGAGTATTTATTTCACAGAGAAGGACCTGTGCCAACTCTTTTTCTCGTTTCCTAAGAAACCGCTTCACTTGAGCAAGCTGGACGCTGCAAACTCGGCCATATCAATCTGCGTCAAGTGTGATCGCGCCAGCTTCATCCGACGGCTCTTTACTTATTTTGATGTGGTTCGACCTTGGCTTGCCGTGGCTTTAGTTGAAGATGACTGCTCATAGTTCGACGGCATCAATGCCGCTCAACCTTCTCATACATGACATTAACGCCGCTCAACATTCTGGACGCCAACGCACAGATCAAAACCCTGCGGGCTGAGTCAAAAGCATTCTATTGCACGCGAACGTCACCAGTTCTAACATATCCGTCTAAATTGTCTTCTAAAATGTCCTTCCCTGCATTGCTCTCAGCTGTTCTCGTTCTTGGTTGCTATCAGGTGTCGTCTGTTTCCAACTATGCACCAGAGCTAGTTGGTTGATCACGTCCCTCTCTTGTTTTGTCTATGTAAGGTTCCGGTCTTGAGGTCGTTGCGTTCCGATCTCGCATACTAAACGGCAGACTACTCCGCTGGGCGAGTAAAATACTTGCACCAAATGCGAGCAAGAGTTTTTCACAGCTGGCAGTTCGGCCGTAGTAGTGTGTTAGTTCGCCTCAGGGTCACTCCCCGTTTTCTTGCCTGACGGGACGACTTGCTGCAGCCAAATGCGCGTCTTGTAAATAGCAAAGAGGTCACGGACGAGCTCTCTGAAGTCAATACGGCTATTATAACAATTCATAATTGTTTTATCAGTTTACTGGGTGAAAAGCACTGCGACGTCAGCATTGTTGCGTACCGATCGGCTTCAAAGAAAAACGTCAGCTTGTGACGGTCAAACTGATACTCCGCGTCAATCACATTCATAGGAAGCAGACGCTGACGCACTTTGCTCTTGCACACTTCAAACACCTCGTGCTCTTCTTTGCGCTGCGGCATCACACATACTTTAGCATCACTTTCAATCATACCTCAACCAGCCTAAAATGTAAGTATGCTCACCTGCTCGTTCAACATCTCAATTTCACGCTGGCTTGCCACACAAACAATCTTCTTCGTCGGCAAGTCATGGCGCTTGCTACGCCCGGTAGACTCATCTCCCGAACTTCCAGATTCTTTACCCGAACCAACCTTACAAACATCTGTAGTACGTTGCACAACACGACCAATGTCTTCACCACGGTCTGCTTCCACCTGTGAGCACAAAAACCATTGTAAGCGGTCATCGTTGTCATTTCAAGTTATAAAAGTTGCAACTAGACCATACCTTAACGTATTCACCAGATTTGTACACTGCACGACCAGCAAATACTTCCCGTCGTCCTCGCTTGAACTCCACGTCGTAATACGCTTCAGGTGGCGGAGGTGGAAAATGGACAGCACCACTCACTGGTCGTACATCTGGAGGTAGCGGGGGGTGCCGGGTCCATGTGTCCACGTGACCAATCAAAAGCAACATCGGCCGAGTTGCTGCGGCTCAAGGATGGAGGGTATTCCATTGGAGGTGCTGAAGCAAAGAGCTGAGATCCCTCCATTGACTGACTACGAGCTTGGCGCGTCGACGGGTAATTGCCGTACTCCATGCTGTATGAGCGTATTCCACGACCCATGTTTTCCTGGGGCAACTGGTTCTCCTGTTGCTCACCATTGTGCGAGTCGGGGTACGGTGGCATTGCAAATGCATCGGAATAGCGGCGATAAGGCATCGGTGGTCCATACTGAGTAAACAAAAAAAACGATTACGATAGTTCAGGTATATAAATAAGCTGAACAGAATGTAAGAGTAAGCAAACAAAGCAAACCTGGTATTGGTGCATGGGAGAATCCGTAGGGATACTGACACGCGGTGGACGGACACCAGTGGGCGGCGGTTGTGGTTGCCCGGGTTGCATCATGCCATTCCCAGAGTGAAAACAGCGAAGAGTCGGTGGGAACTCTCGCGCCATTTGCGCTTGCTGTAGATGCTGCTGATGTGGAAATGGAAGCCCATATTGCTGCTTATTAAACGGAGTGTATCCCGACGTACCATACGCCGCCGAGTACGAAAAAGAACGCGCACGCAATCGCTGAAGCGGTTCCTGCGGTGGAGGTAGCGGCGGACTTGGCTCATGCGAGCGAACCAGCGTGAAATCGACCGAAGAGGCGCGCGAATCCTTCGTCAATCTACTTTCAAGTGACAAACAGTCATAAAAATGTCAGCAAACAAAGCAAACCTGTTACAAGCAGCTCGTTTTGACTCACTTTGGGTGGCCTTGGTACTCCTCGTCATACCGTTTACCGGCCTCACTATAAAGTAGTCATAGCACCACCAATCCACATCAAAAACAATCCAGATAATCTACTCAAACACAACTAGCAGTAACGTACGCAGAGAGCAGCGATCCGCCACTATTTTCACAATACAAATCAGCATGTCGTGTATCTCTGTTGCCTAATGACATTCCAAACCGTGGCGATGTCATGAAAAATTCTTCATCCTGTAATTGCCACGTTTGAGCATCTTTTCGATTTCCAAGCACTGGAGATTTTACATGCACTAGTGAACCCGTTCGAGTCCCATTTCCACTGTCTACACTAACGCTTCTAGGTGGACGTGGAAGTTGTGAAAGCACTGGAAGACAAGATTCTGCATATGATGGATCCACAGGTGGTGGTGGAACAGGCACGGCACTTTTTTCCATCTCGTACGTATGTCTTTCTTGCTCTTGTTGTTTTTCTTCACCACGACACTCTTCACTCTCGTCCTCCGATGATGATGAATCATAGGAAGATGAATCCGATGACGATAGACACGAGCTCATGACACCACGTAAATGACCAGCATTCTTCAACTTGTTGATTTCACTATGTGTCCTGTCTTTTGTTGTCATCTCATGTCCAGAATTGCTTGCAACTTGTCCAAATGATAATGTCCCATCTTGTCTCTGATTCTCTGATGGTGAGATAGATTCAAATGAACTTGAAGATGAACAAGAGTGTGGATGAGTTGGAGGAGGTGACGATGACGTCGATAATAAACGTCGACCCAATGGACGCCACGCATCAGCAAGTGACGCTGCTGTTGCTGTGCTGCTGTAGCTGTTACTGCTGCTGGTGTTTCTATCATGGACATACCATGTTGTTTCGTAATCCGACCACCACTTGAAATGTCCAATGTCTCCTGATTACGTAAACGAATGGGTGAATGAGTTTCTGATGCAGATGGAGAAAGCTCGGGATCCATTGTCGATAACGCCATCATACTTGTCGATAAAAATGCCGTCCATTCTTCTTGAGAAGATGTATGATTACTAGTCGTATTACTACTACCAAGATAATCAAGGGATGAATGACGTGTACGATGATGCATGGACGTGAATGGGTTAAGATAAAGTTATGGGTTTTTTACTCTTGAATATTGTAAGGGGGAGATAGAAGAAGAAGAAGAAGAAGAAAGAAGAAAGAACCCGAAATGGGTTAATCACTTGTAATAAAAATCCCAAGTAAGAAAAAAAGACTGGAATAAAAAACACGAGAGAAAGAGGAGCGACTTTTGTTTTGTTTTGAACTTGTTAGAATGAGGGAATTTATACTGACTCGAGATTTGTATGACGTTTGTAAGAAACACGCGGTTTTTTATTCGTTCTTTTATGTAAGAATATAATCTTTTCTACCCCCTCCCGTTATTCCATACAAATATCAAGTATAACGTTCAAGTGGGTTTATAGAAAAAAATATAGAAGCTCGACATCTTACATCATTTATTCGACTTGCGACCATCTTTTGTATGGATTTGATTGAGACTGTAAAAAAATGGCTATCGTCGATTGGTGATGATGATGATGATGACGATGATGACAGTATTTCTTAATTACATATTGCCATGATGACGAGACCGTATCTTGTCAATTGTTGAGAAATAAATAAGTTTCTGCTGCCGTATTTTATCTACATTTGAATGAAATTATGGACTGAGTGACAATATTAAATTCACCTCGTAATCTTTTTTCATTTCTATATCATCTTCAACTGTTTAAAACTCCCACGAAAAAAAAGACTTTTTTTTATATATTACGGTTTTTTGCCTCCTGTCAAGTAGCAACCCTATTAAACTGCCTACTCCTAGGAGTTAAAACCCGTTTCGTCAGCTAATGCTATATTAAAGTTTCCAACTTGACGTAAAGACAGGTCATATCGTGCCTTTTCGTGTTCACAGTGACTAAAACTAGTCCATCACTTTTGGTCTTAAGAATAATCACTTGCTTCACACGTCACAGACTGCAACTTGTAACAACATCACATTGAATAGATTTTCACAATTAAATTCAAATTGTCTCAAAACTAAAACCTTCAGCTAACATTCTTACACACAACTGAAGCCATTGTCGTCATCTTCATTGTTTTGGTCCCGGCTCATTCAACATCTTACTAGCTCTAGAATATCAAGCACGAGCGGCTCCTTACCGTCTCAAAGAATCCTCTCTCTATCACACACACAACCACCACGTGCAATGGCTCCAGTAGACGGCGTTATTTACGCGCATTCGGGTTCGGATAGACGCTCTAGAAAACGACTCGGCGCTGGCGACAAGACACTATGGATGACAAAACCAAGACAGAGCAGCATGAGTCACATGTGTACCATACACCGCATACGATTGGCAGTGGGCGACTTTGTACGACAGCTCAGTGTCGAGTTGTTTTTCATGATGATTGTGCTCTTTCATGGCGTCTTTGTGACGTTCCAATTGACAATGGCAAATGACACACAATCATCGTACAAGTTGGCTATTGACGTGACAGAGATCACGGTAGGGACGATTTTACTATTGGAAATCTCACTGAAAGTCTTTGCCTATGGACTGCACTATTTAAAAGATGGGTGGGCATTGTTTGATGCGCTGGTCATTGTCATCAGCTTTGTACTGGGCGTTCTAGCTGCCATGGGAACAACGTCGTCCATCGTGGTTAAGATTCTGAGACTGAGAGTGATGCTACGCGTACTACGAATTCTGGTGGTGGTTGAAAGAGTAAAGCAAAGGTCCAATTCCATGAACCTCATGCATATCAACAAGGGTGCAATTACGTCACCTATGGAGCACGTACTTCGAGTTTTGAACGAGTTGCGTTTTCATCCAGCAATTCGTCCATCGCTCAGAGATGGACTGGAATTTGCTATCGATGCTATAAAGAATAATAGGCTGCATGATGCGACTACTTTGCTGGCAGTGGAAGGACTTGATATTGACACGCAGAATTGGCTACGTGGTGAAATTTTGATACGAAACCACTTGAACAAAGTACCGCCTGATACTGAAAAAGACGACGATTTCGGAAGTCCAACCCGCAAACATCGACGCTCGTCGATGGGAAGCTCTTTGCTCCGACGTGGATGACGCAGCTGACGTTGCCCATAGTAGCTCTGATGGCAGTGCAGCTGCAGGGTCCAAGTTTCGATCACATCACAGACGTCAGTCTCGACAATTGCTTTCACATGATACTCGAGGAGCGATCATGCAAGACGTTATGCCTAAGCTGAACTCTGCCGCAGAAGTTGAATTGCAAAACCTGCTTCAAAGCGTAAGTTTGTGGAATTTTGATGTCTTTCGGGTACACATCGTTTCTGGTGAAAATGCACTTTGCTACATTGGGCAGCACCTTCTTGGTGGCAGTCCTTGTCAGGCACTAAATATTAAACGCAACGTGCTTGTGAACTTCCTGTTAGAAATCCAACGCGGATATATATCCACGAACCCGTATCACAATGGCATTCACGCTGCAGATGTTATGCAGACTGTGCATTACTTTCTTATTCAACCAGAGTTAGCACCGTTTCTACGTCCCCTAGATTATGCGTTATCGCTCATTGCTGCAAGTGTGCATGACTTCATGCATGATGGCTTCAACAATAGCTTCCACATCTCAACGGCATCGGAAATCGCGTTGCGCTATAACGACCATGCAGTGTTGGAAAACTACCATGTCGCACAATCCTTCTTGGTTATGAAAAATGCTGATCTCAATGTGTTAGGCCAACTTGCCCCAGATGACTTCAAGTACGCGCGTGACATGATCATTCAGATGGTCCTAGCAACCGACATGGCTAAACATTTCGAGGACGTAGCACTTTTCAAAACTAATATCTTATCAGCAGCTCTTGATAAGAATGCTGTACTGGTGAAGGACGTAGGCGACAAAAAGTTGCTGCTGAAAATGATTCTCCACACTTGTGACGTATCAAACCCAGCCAAAGAGCGTGAAACCATGTTACGTTGGACTGATCGCGTAGCAAAAGAATTTTTCATTCAGGGAGATATGGAGAAACAGCTCGGACTTCCAGTCTCACCATTCATGGACCGAGATACAATTGTGCTCAAGAAGATGCAAGTTGGGTTTGCAGATTTCATCGTGTCTCCGCTCTTTAGTGTTTGGGCTCAAATTCTTGTTAATGTAAATGCCGGTGCCTACCCCGCCTTACTCTCAAACCGCGAGTTCTGGTTGTCACTCTCAGACGACTTCAAACCACACATGATCAAGGACGTTATCCGAGACCTGGAAACTCAGCGGCAACGTGACACCAAAACACGATATAGAATCACAAAGGAGAAATTATCCCCGTGCTCGCGTCGTAGTCTCACGAGCATGCTACTCGATACAGATGATGTGTAACCAGTCAAACAACTTTCAATTGACGCACTGTGACGCGGTAGCACGTAGTTTTTGATGGTGTCGGTGTAGCAGCGGAAAATGGATCACAAATTAGGTCAATGGATGGAGTTGATGGGGTGTCTGCGAGACGAGCTGGAACACCTGGCCCACAGGCTTGTTTGGAGAAGACAAACGTATCATGACAAGCTTCGCGTGAAGCTGGCCGAAAACAGCGTGTTGTCGGCGCGGGCTCATCGTCTGACGCAGCAACTGTCACAGAACACGGATCTTTCGGAAGATGGCGCGTAGGCTGCGGCGGAACAAGGTCAAACGCTGATCTGTGGGAGTTGCTATCCTTAGGCATGGAAAAGCTTAAGGCTGATTTGGGGCTTGCCAGCATTGACGCAGTAGCGTGGATGATGATCACGGCGTTGGTAATAAAAGTGCAGGTAGTGGTTGCCAGATGAAGGACCGGCGATAAAATGTGATAATGTGGAAATAGCTTTGAGGTTCTTCAAGGTCTTGCTCGACCTGTTGAAATCCATTAAGATTTAGTTCACGGCTTGTAAAAGTCAGCTGCTAAGTTTTGATAGACTTGTTTGGCCAAATGATTGATGTTTTCGTGCGTAGCGTTATTGCCATAGTTGTCAATCAGCTGCTCCAGCGTCGGGTCCAGCAAATTGAATCGAGGGACACGAAGAATGGACCGTGTGAAAATTTCAGCATTAACTTCTTTCAACACGGGGGTTGCTTTTTCCCTCACTTCCACAAGATTAATCCAAAGACGCTTCTTCTCAAAGATGATCACATTTGGCACGCGAGGATCGCCATGGATCAGGCCAATCTTGTGGAGCTGCTATAACAGCTCAAAAAAAGGTCTAGTACTTCCTCTCGAGTCGTCGGTTGAGGCAGCGTTTTTCCGACAGGAGATAGCAATAACGCCGCGCTTTTACGAGTTGCACTGACCGTTCTCACTAAACGAATCATTGAGCCTGTATGCTGCGCTTTTGTCCAAGTCATTTCCTCCCTAAAATGGCGTTCAATGCTCTCTACAATTTTTAAAGCACAAACTTCTCCATCTTGCCTAGTTACCTTAAATACACGTCCATACGCGCCGCAGCCGAGATATGCATCGCCCTCCACCACATCATCAACGCCGAATGAAATGCAGGCTTTATTTAAGTGGGCCACCCATGGGGACATGTTGTCGGAAATGAAATTCTGAAACAATACTTTTGAGCCCTTGTCAACCCACTTTGCTTTCTTAACCTCAGCAGGATCACGGTGGCGGCTCGTGATCAACCAAAAGGAGCTCCGATCAGCCAGAACAGCGCTTCCCGCCTCAAAGCCAGGGCATCGCAGATATCGCACCACTTGGCCAAACGCAGCGGGAGTTATAGTGAGCTTGCTTTCAAACAATATGATGCAGTCGATAATTCTTCCTCTGCTACTCCAAATCGAAAGTCATTTGGGAAACGCTGCACTCCATCGCTCGGTGTTGGCTTGGCACGAAGCATTCCACGGTGGGTCGCAAATCCACCCGGTTTGAAGTCTGTCTTCTTAGTCACAAGTGGAAATTGAAACAACCATTGATATCTCTCACTGTTAACAAATACCATACCGCAGCTGTGTAGTACGTCGCTGATAAATGGAGTAATAAATGCGTCAAATACAGCTTCATTGCGGATGGCATTGGCTTGAGTCTGAAATTCCTTCGACCAAAATGCTTCTGCGCTCACCTCTGGTTCAAAATCGATGATCCGTCGTCGTTTTTGCAGTCTTGAAAGCTCGTATTTACCCAATGGCCCACTGGAGAAGCATGTCATATTGTTGTTTTGACAATGAGCTATATTATCTATCACAGCGTCATGTATGACAGCTTTGTAATCCGATGCTAAATCGTGGACATCTTTACCCCGCAACTATTGTCCCTGCTTTGGAATCACTACTAGCACGTGAACCTGCTGATATGATGGAGGATCCATCCCGTTCAGCACGACCTCAAGTGGATCCTCTCCCTGTATTTCTTGATTGTTCTTCGTCAGCGCTTCGATGATAGCAGTTGTTTGGCCCTCCTTCAGCATCGTCACGTCCTCCGAACGCACTTGCCGTCCGTCGTTTTTGCCACGTAGAGCTGCAGCTCGTCTGCATCGACGAGTTTCAGCTTGTTCGAATTCTTCACTTTAATCGCGTCCTTAAGTTCGTCTACTGAGTCGGCTTCGTCTACTCTCACCGAGAATACGTTCCCCGGCACACCGACAATTGCACAAAAAAGCTTTACCATCTTTCTTTAGAACGACAAATTTTTTAATAAGGCAACTTTATACGATCTTACCTAAGTGAAAACGAAACCTATGATCAAGATGTGTAGGAAATTCATAACTTTTAATTAACAGATAAGAGTCTTGCTACACGTCACAAAATCTACGAAAGATAAGGCTCAAATCAAAATGTGTCGCTTGATCAATAATGACGGCCCCACAAACACTATCTAACCATTTGTTTGGTCGCAATTCCATCGTTTTGTCCACGAGAGCGGCATTTTTTACTTAATTTGACTGGTAGGTAAGTGATGGCGCAGTACTACTGCAGGTCATTTGTTGAATCGCTCACAAACTCCGTACTATTATTCTCGGCGAACTTCCTACTGTGTTATCGACAAACGTCGTCCATTATCGATGACAGCGTCAATACCTTGTCGCTCATTCACAGGCTATCTCGATGCCCTTGATTACTTGTGTGCTAGTCTATGAACGATCATATTTTTAACCAACTCGGAGCACTGTTCAAGCCATTTCCTGTTTTCATTATGTTGAAAGGTCGTTGTTTACAGCTCTTATGTAGCGTACGCTTCTGTTTAAATTGGCTAGCATTTATTATAGCTTTGGCTTTGCTAATCGTTTGCTCTGCGGATTCCAACAATCGACACTCGATCTCCAAGTTGTTAAGATAGCATGCTGGTTTGCGTCTTGTCCTAAACCGGGTGTTTCTATCGCGATCCAATTGCTGTCAACAATTCAAGATCATGTGGCTTTACGCATGGGCGACATATCTAACAGACGCAATCTCCATGACAACGAAACAAACGTATCTTTCAAGTCGTCATCTTCAACATGGAAGTCGATCTTTCGTGCTGTATCAGGAAAAACTGGTGCTAGACGAATTCACCTTGCACCTCTTGGAATACCGACAAACGTAGACTGTACGGAATACGGTCGCATGCAGCAGGATTCTAAATGACAACGTCGTTGCAAAAACTCGCAGCGACAAAGACATCTTTTTAGATGATTGCATCTTGGTGTCAGGGCTGTCACTGTGTGCTGAAGGTTTGCTCTTCATATCCTTATCATAGATCATTAAAATTTTACGAAGTGTAGGAGACTACCCCGCGCGCTCGTAAAGCAAACACAAATCATCTTCACATAAACATCACAACCAAGGGACGTTCCCATCGTCACGACTGGCTGAAACGTCTAGTGGCGCGTTTGACTTGGACTGCTGCTGGACTGGCTGGTCTTCGAGACCGTCCTGTTGCTAGTCTTGTCTTAAACGACGCTCTCGTGACTGCCACCGCTGAACGAGGTTGTGCACGTCTTTCATCAAAAAGATTTGATTCGGCGATCGCTCTTTGAGATACTCAAACACATGACGACGTGTAGCTCCACCTCGCCAAAGTTGCTCGGCCTGTGCAAGCACTTCAGGATCGCGTACACGTCGAACCTCAGAGTATTGGAGGTAAACCGCTTCCGAGAGCTCATGATTGTGCTCTGCCAAATGCTTCGTGACAACGACGCTCCATTTACTTGAACAGTCAGCACGCTGCAGTGTTGCACCTATTTTGGCGGGGCACTCAGCGGCCCGAACGTTGTGGCTAACACGCTGGCCGCTACCGCGACTGCGACGCTTCCATCCGTTTGTGCACAAGAACGTCTTCAAGTACCATCCATATCGCTCGGGTACTAAATGGACTCGAGACAACCCATGAACACCTTCTTGCTCAGTCTCCGCTGGATTTGTATCATCTTCATCACTTCCGCGCACAAGAAGTCCTTGACTTGCAGCTAGTTGACGAAGGCGAACGTTGCGTGAGCGCACCGAGTACGTTGTGCAAACACGGTGTAGCTGGAATGTTGCAGCTGAATACGCGTCCAGGTATGTGCGAAATTCTTCCCATGAGGGATACCGTCGCACGATGCGAGGCACACGCCAAACTGTTTCTCCGTTTTCAAGCGTCACCTTTTCAATCTCAACATGCGAAGAAGGTTGCCAGCCTCCGTCCATGTCTTCATCACACAACATCGCTTCGTCTTCAACATCAAAATTGATTTCAGTAGGGGCTAATGACCCGCTAGCAGGGACCACAGTAATGTAGCTACATCCATCAGCAATCCGGAAGCACGTACATTTGCGCTGCTGAAGTACTTGCAGAGCACATTTTATGTGTTTCTGACGTAATCGTTTCCGGGTTAATACCTTGCTCGTTAGTAGTCAAGTCAATATCGGACAATGATCCGTGGACACGACATGCAACAGATATCACATTGGAGCCGAGGAAATCCATCCGACATTGCCGCTCCTGCGTCGTTGAATACCACGAGACTAGACAAGTTTATGGCTGGTGTTGTCAAGGCTACCGCGCTTTCACCGCTTACGTTTTTCAAATGATGTGTCCTCTTGTTTTAGTGGTGCAAAAGTAGTGCTCTAGTATGTGCACAGGATCGATCATGATATGTCATTGACTCCATGACTCGACACTGTATCATGCATACAAATTTGTATCTCATCTACTCATTACTAAAGCACAGGACATCTCAAAGCGTTCCATTCATAAGTATACGTCCAATATGTGTTGAATACTTAAATGATTTTCCAAAATTTAGTCCAGACTAAAATAACTTACACCACATATTTCTCAAATTCTAAAGGAGATTTGATCTCATCTTGTCGTGCTACTTGTTCGACGCCACTTTCCACGTCGTTTATGAAGATTATAGAGCATCAAAACTCTTTTATCCGTCCATGTGAACAGTTTGATCATGTCTCGAATGCTTTAGACCTTGCAACAATCGAAGAAAACGAGTCAGTGGCTCAAAAGTTCAGATGCTCAGAGTGTAATGTCATGGCTCATGTGAATGATGATAATGATCCATTGCTTGTTTGTATTGGATGTGAACTTGCAATTCATAGGAAATGTTACATGAATGTATTGCCGAGTGTAGGAAACGAACAAGATGAGAAGAGAAATCATGGCATGGAGAAGGAAAATGAAGTGACAGAGAGCTCCGAATGGAATTGTGATTGCTGTCGACAACAAGTCCAGCGGCAATTGATCCAGTGTGTATATTGTGGAAAAGATGGAAGTATAGCAGCATTAAAGGTTGTTGAAACTAGTGACGACGACGCGGCGTTTTGGCGTCTATTTGCTGGGTTTCAAGACGAAAACAAGTCTGCATTTGAGAAAAACTCCGTGCATTTTGGTCACGTTTTGTGCATGAATTGGGACCCACGTCGGTTGGCTGCACACACTGTTAAAGAAAGTAAACTTAAACATGCTGAGAAGGTGTCAAAGAAGAACATTGCTAAGAAAGCTGCAAAGGAAGCGGCGACGGAAGATACTCGTGAAGAAGTCGAAAAGACAGATGAGATTGTTGTGGAAAAATTTGAAGCTGTGCCTGACGTGCAAGAAGTGCTGATGAGAACATTACTTCCTCCTGGTGAATGCTGCTTTTGTCACTCGAGTGGTGGTGTTCGGATACAGTGTCGCCGAGTCAATTGCGCGCGCGATTTTCATGCCATGTGTGCACATAAAGGAAGCGGTCACGTTGAGCTGCGGACTGGTCGTTTCTTGCAATTTCACGCATATTGTGACCGTCATCGCAACTGTACTGAGGATATTGGCGACCTATTAGCAAAACTAATTACACGCCCCATCCGGTTGCTTGTCGGTCGTGATGACATGCGTCGATTTGGTACGATTGCAAAACATTTGCTGGATTACGTCAGTGCTGCTACTGTGATGCACGATCTGGCAGCCTTGATAGTTGGATATTGCAACAAGGGTTTACGTGCCAGCAAAAGTGAGCCGCCTGATTATAACGTTAAACATCTCCAAGTACTTCAGTTTTTTTTGAGCCACGTGCCACAGCTTGAAAAGGTTTACGCCCTGCCACCGATGCCTGCACAAGACATTGTTGATGACCCAAAGCTCTTTCGTCGTCTTGAAAGAGCGTTTAATCCACTGAGATACATGGCCACCTATCCTGGCCCATTTAATCAGCAATACACTTGTGATGTGTGTCGGGATCCTTTTCACGAGCGACAACACTTATTTTATTGTTGTAAAGAGGATAAATCTGCGATCCCGCACGTTCAGCATTGGAGATGCACAAAGCGCCTATCAGCTGCTCGAGAGCGTGAAAGGTATCTGTCAGTAGCAGGAAGTACGGGCGCGAAGAAAAAACGAAAAGCCATATCGATTGTGCAAAATGGCGTGCGAAAGGACAATGCGGTACCAAAGGGCCTTCCGAGTATGACACATGATGTTATTTGTGGTGTATGTTCTGCCAAAGTTGATGTGCGTGGTTTAGTTGCGACCCACAAGGAAGCAAAAAGTTTGGAGTTTGAGAAGAAGGAAAGCAAATTTGTGCAGAATGGTTGCTACATTAACCCTGTCGGTGCCAGATGCTACTCGTATGGATTGAATGCGTCAGCTCGCAAACCGGCGAGACCGACTGATGGTAAATCCAATAGCAGCTCGATAGGTCAGCACGCAGTAGCTCAACAAGTCTTGGGGCCGCCAAAGATGGATCGGATTAATGTCCAGCGCACGACAAGGTGGCTTGCTTGTGTGGCTCAGATTATACGCCTCGTCGGGGCTCCAGCTCCTGCAGTTTCGGATGAGGCGAACAAGTCTCCCATTGCCACGTCTGCCACCACTGCAACTTCAGCTACTAAGGGTGTGACTGATTCAAAAGAACCTGCTGAGACCAAGATACTAATAGATAACTCAACGCCTGGCAGCTCTGCAAGTGATAAGGCTAAGCGTGGGGACAACGATCTCAAATCGGAGATTACATCGGCAGTCGAGAGCTCGCTGTCGTCATCTACTACCACTGCCACCACACCATCTACTGCGACATTGCAAAAGTCAATAGCGATGGTAACACCATCGCTCGTGACTCCTGCTATACAAGCACTGTTTGACGAAGTAATGCGTCTCGTACGGCCCTATGATTCTTACGCCCTTAGCAAACTGGAGACTGCATACGAGATGCTACTTCACCGCAGTGGACCCGGTGTTGCTGTCTTGCGTATGTTTACCCACGAGTACACTCGTTTTGTGTATATGAAGCACACACGCGCCGTGGAGAAAGCGCGCAATGAGAAACGGAAGCGTGCGGAGCACGAAGCACAGGAAAATCGCGAAAAAGAGCGCAATCGCGTAAACCTCGAGGCAGAGCAAGCACTCAAGAACCAAATGCTAGCAATGCGAAACAAACAGCGACAGCATCTCAAGGCGTCATCGTCGTCCAAGTAGTAAGTAGACAAAAGAGAGAGTTCTGCTGAAAATTCGATTAATGATATGTGAACAAGATGAAAGCAACGTGGTGCGTGTCGTACAATAAGCTTGTACAGGTTGCAATGAATCAGTCATCGGTTTACTCCATCGTATCTTGCTGTTCGTCATTAATCTGTTCTAGCTTGCAACCTCTTAGTCATCTTCAAACTCGCTGTCCGAGTCCGAGGTACTTTGGCCTGTAATATTCATACCCTGAGCAATCTCCTTCTTCATGACAGCACTGACCTCATAACAGCCTTCACACACGCTCTGAATGGCGCTCTTTGCATGCGTATAGGCCATTTTAAAACCAGGATGCGAATTCTGTGGAATCCACGTCACAAAAAAGAGTTTGCTCGACTTACGACCGTCAGACGTTAGAAATTCGTGGTCATATACACCATAGCGACATTCCGAGTCAGGTAATGCAGCAGTAAAGTCTTCAAATGTTGCAGAAGGTGGTGCCGTTGTATCTATAACGACCTTATCAGCTTCAATACGAAATAAAATGTACCGAAACTTGCGTCGCATCTTGAGCTGTTTAAATTCAATAATGACAGCATCAGTAGGTACAATAGCATTTGCTGGTACATCATCTTGATGACGAATGTATTGCGCAACACCTGCTGTCTTCATATGAGGTTCTGACATGATGATGATGCAATCAATACGAAACAAAACAGAAGCTTCTTTTTCATACAGTGGAATGACTTCTGAACCTGATTTAGTAGACACACACAAACATACATATTCTGTCACCAAATTCTGTTTTAAGCGAGCTTAAATGAAAACCAAGCCCGCTTACATTAGATTGTATGACTGGTCTACCTAGCGTCAAGAATTGATTAGGAAGTCAGTCGCAGTCGGCTTTGGATCGCATCAGTTAAGTTTTCCCCCCTTCCCAAGGTACGACGTGTTACATACAGTCAATTCTTCTACATAGTGTCCTACCATAGGAGTATTCTACCATAGGTGATGATCATGATGATGAGAGAAGCAGCAAGAAGACGTCAAACACATGAGTTTACAGCTCTCTCTCTCATCAATTGATATCTCTTGTGGTGGTCCTCAATGCATATCAGTTCCTATCAATTCATTTAATCGTTCACCATACAAGAAACTCTTAACACTATCATATGTGTTTCCTTTTATTTTACTGTAGGTTCTTATCTTCTACGCTGACATTTATCTACAATGGCTGAAGAGGAACATGATTTTGAATTCCATTCAACGGATGCCGGTGCTTCAGAAACGTACCCATCTGAAGCTGGTCAAATTCGTAAAGGTGGTTTTATCATGATCAAGGGCCATCCATGTAAAGTGGTGAATGTATCGACATCCAAGACGGGTAAACACGGTCATGCCAAGTGTAACTTTACAGCTTTGGATATTTTCACGAACAAGAAGTACGAGGATATTGTGCCTTCCACGCACACGACGTCAGTGCCCTTTGTGTCACGTGCCGAGTACACGCTTCTTGACATTACGGACGATGACTTTTGCTCGCTCATGGACGATTCGGGTGCTACTCGTGAAGATATTAAGCTGCCAACCTTTCCAGAAACGTTTGCTGACGAGATCCGTGCGGATTTTGATGATGGCAAGCAGCTGGTACTTACGGTTCTAAAGGCTTGTGGCACAGAGCAGATCATTGCTAAGAAGGAGGACTTGTCCTAAATACTTGGTAAAGGTTTATCCTGCCTTCAGCCAATGGGTATGGCCAATTGGTGGGGGAAACGCGCTGAAGCTTCGTAGCCTTCAGCATCAAATTGCGTTTGCCTATTTCTATATTTTTGAGGAAAGGGGCGCCAGTAGAGACAACTAATGGTGTCGATACATGGTGTTTCTATTGGAAAGAAGCTGCGGGAATGCAAGCAAGATGCTAAGTAGTTGAATATTTCTCTCTCTTTGTTTTCTTTGTATTCTTGATACAAGACAAGTTTGGTCTACATTGGAAGGATTATGTGGAATTTGTACTGAATTTAGCGATGTAGCAAACATCATTACGCTACGTTCAAGAGCAGTCATTTCTTCAACAGGTCAGACCCATCAAGCGTAGGTATGAATTCTACAGCTTCATCATTTGAGTTCGTCATGCTTCAATGACGAGGGGTTAGTAGAATCACAACGACAAGTGAGACACCAACGTGTGCGACCTCATAGAGCATCTAAACATGTCATGGGCATCCACAACATTAGAGCATACAAACATATCAAAACATGCAGACGAAAACCATACCTTGGGGGCAAAGACGCTCCAGATAAACAAGTGGAAGCGCATAAGGTAGACCACAACACTACAAGTACACAAGCATGGTAAGAAGCAGAATGAGAATCCTCCATTCTCACAAAAGACGTACGTGTAAACGGTAAAACGAAGCGTCTGATACGTGAGCATCGCAAGACATACTGTCCACCTCGTATGGATCGAGCTTGGTAAATTCTGGACTTCTGACACCTTTGTGAACATTCTTGATGTCTTGATCGGTGCAACAATGTTCAACCATTGGAAAAGGTTGACAAAGCATACAAGCTGACCGGAAAATACACTGACAAAGGTCAGTGCACCGACCAGACTTTGTGAATACGATGCCAGACCATGATAAGATTGACTAATGTCGATAGTCGTCACCAGGTGCGAATTGCCCAGTGCAAAAAAAGCTGCTTGTGATAGCCACAGCGCCAATCCCGCGATAACTACGCCACTATGCTGGAGTGAAAAGCTCTGTTTGTACTCAAGAAGGTGTGCTACTACTTCCATTTGCAAGCAGAGTAAGCACAGCGTCGGAAAATTCGCGTTACGCTGGAGAAGGCTCACAAGAAGCCAAACGATCATTTCGACCAACGTAAGACGCAAAGCGTGTTCGGCAAAGACCACAAGCAAAGTAATTAGGATAACAGCTGCATACACCACGCGCGCGCTCGCATCGGTATCCAATGAAAACCACCATGTCCACACTTTGAATCCGACTTCATCAGCGACAGTCTCACTTGAAAGTTTCTTGACGTTGAGGCATGCCAACATGCCGGCTATGAATAGTAGTGCACTACAAGCACCTATAGAGAACTCAAAGAGAGCTCCCTTTTGCAAAGATCTTCTAATGTGCTGTGCAGCTTTTCGAAGCACAACTCCGCATATGAAGGCAACGCAGGCACTCAACGGCAATACGCTTAATGGTAACACGGGAGCTGTGGACAAGATTGACACCGAGTCGTCTGCAGCAAACTCGTTTCCAGGTGCGTTTGTATCAACTTGGAGTCCATTTATTCGCCAAAAGTTAATGACTTGGTTACGTGCGCGTAGCATTCGTGTGACAACTAGCAACACTCCGACCAAGACTAGCCCAGCACGCGGACAAGATGGATTGCTTAAATCACTTGTTGAGTTTTCACGTTGTAGTAAAATGATCCCAAAAACAACGAGTAAAGAGGTCGTCATGAAAAATATAGTCGCGTGCTCATTTTCAATCGATGAGCTCGACGACAAGCTGGCAATCTGCAAAATGCTGCCCAAACTTACAGCAGCCAGCAAACTAACGCGTGCTTCTTGCTTGATCTTGATATTTGCTTTCACATTGAGCCGCGCGATAAGTGCTGACACCGCAGCAGTACCGCTGAAGAATAGAACTATTAGACCAGAGAATATCACCGTCACATTGTACTCAGACCCATCACTCTGCGCTACCTTAACTTGCAGTATCTCACAGGCTCTAAGCACAGTTGCCGCAGTATCGTGGTCGATATTGACATCTTCTCCATTCGGTTGGATACTCTTGAGCAGCTTGCGCAGAGGCGCTTCAAATTGCTGGTCAAAACTTGCTAGAGTCGAGGCATGGACCTTCAATTTGGCAAGAGCATATAGCTGCTCGTAGTTCATATACAACGTACGCAAATAGTACGAACTATAGCGTGCGGTAGAACCCGATGAAGCACGAATGACATCATCTAGGAGCAAGCCTGTGCTAAACATCGGAATAGGTAGCCCGAAAAGTGATGCGATCGTTGGGACTAGGTCTAACTGACTGCGTTTTTGCTTGTACGGGCGATCCGTCGTAGAGCGCATTCGCTTACCGTCACCGCGAATAAACATCAGCAGCGCAGATGACTCCTCTAAAGTAGCGCCACCATGGTTACCGAGTTCCGACATCCCATGATCGCTGCATAGCAAAATCAGCGAGGGTCGGGCAAAGTTGTTATTTTTCATTCTCCGCACATCTTGTTCACGTACCGAGTTTACCACGAGCTGCACCACATGATCCATTTCTTGCATTTTCTCCTGCATTAAGAGCGATCTTGGTCCACGCAAGTGACCAACATGATCTAATCCCAAATAATGCAGCACCAACGTGTCCCAATCACCACTCTTTGCATTTTGCATGGTTGGATCTAGCTCGTCACTTAGATGCCTTGTCACATTATAATCCACCTCCACTGTATCTCTCGTATAAAACCCTGACGTTCCATCGGACCGCTTAAATGTTTTCGGAAACAGCTTGAGCCACGTATCATCGCCATAAAACACAATGCGCTTCCCACTCGCTGCCAACAATGACACAAGGTTTGCATCATTGACCAAAGCTACAGAATTAAAGTTTTTTAATATATCAATAAATGCCGGTGGTTTACCCGTCACAAGCGCCTTGAGACGGGGCATTGTCACGGTTGGTACACTGGCATGGGCGACATAGCCAAGAGCTATACCAGACGTCACGAGTCCACTAGTAAATGGCATATGGATGTTCAATTCTTCCTTCTTTTGCTGCTGATCAATATCTTCCTTTACACGCATTGCAGCGCTTCCTAGTACCATATCAGCCCGCAGTGCATCAATCAATACAACGACAAGGCGGTCATAGACAGCATCAACCTTTTGTAAGCCGCTATGCTGCATATTGTGACGATTCAAGTTAGCAGATGAAGGTACTGTGGATTGGAAGAATACTTCATGAAGTCGTAATAAGCCACTGGAGCATAGATACGTCCCTAATCCAGTGCACAAGCATAGCAGACACATGATCCTTGGTCGCGTCATGTTGCGCTATTTTTAATGTCTTGTGACACACAAGATGTACACAAATCATACGAAATGCATGAATCAGATTATTGACAAATGTAACATGTCTTGCGTAATCTTTTTTTAGCATTCTCGTGAAGTAACAGTTAGGAATAATTACCATTACCAACACGTCGGTTTTTACGAGTATGGTCATTTCCACCAAATTGTGTACGCAACACATTGTAACGACAAATTGCATCGTCAATGTTTATGTAAGTGCCCTGAAAATGGCGTATACCATCAGAACAAGGTGTGAATTGTCTTCTTCCGTGCAAGATCCTTCGCTGGTTAAAAATAACCGTTTCATCCTGTTGTAGTCGGAATTCGTTGCAAAACTTTCCACCTTCGACCATGTCATGGAAAACACAATAGGCATTGTAGTATGGCATCACATCATTGAATGAAACCCTCAGTGGCCCCTCAAACGGAGGACTCCAATGCACGGCAATTACTTCATCACGATGATTGAGCTGGATATGTGGACGTTGGTACTCAAAGATTGTTGCCTTTTCACGAGTCAAGTGATGTTTCTTGAATGTTGCAGGCACACGACAAAAGGTAGCAAAGTGTTCAGGATGAAGACGTCGGAACTCTTCCACAACGGCAAACACGTCCACAAATGTTGACTCCCCACCTTTGACCGATTCGTCAAAGCGCAGTGCGTGCAACAACTGGAGTCCAGGAGGAGACTCGTAGTACGCCAGATCCATGTGGCTCTTTAAAGACAGACTCGTATATGCGATGTTGACCTATGCAAACAAACATCAACAAGAACAAATCAGGTCTCGTTTTCTGTACCAAGCTACTGACATAGAGCCTTACAGGTTTAGGCTCTGCTACCACGTCAAAAACATCGCCATACTGGAACCTGTGTCAATAATGACCAAAATCGGGTCATTAGTACAAACAACGACAACAGCAATTTTACCTACCAACGTACGAGTGCGAAATCGGTGCAATACGCTCTGCGAGCGTTTTGACAGCGCCGCGGATTGACGGCGTGTTACGAATTACCGTAAATCCATTCTCTATAACCTGGTAAAGTGCCTCGTAAAGGCCCTTGTCGTCGCTTGTGTCCATCACACGGTCATATTCCATCGAGGGAATAGAAGCATCAACGGCTAATGGGGTTGTAGTCATATCACGTGCATGCTGGTCTAGTGCCCAGTCCGAGTAGCTATTTTGAAGCAGCCACTTGCACGAGTAGCTGGATTTGTGTCGATCATTCCACACAATGTTCAGCATATCACCTTTCACTACACAGCAGCAAGCCACAATCCACCGTTTGCGTTCACATTTCGAGGCCTAGAAACGATGATCAGCACCAACACTGCACGTACCAAACAATTTCTCAAAATCTAGTGTGTCTTTGTTAATCTCAGAACAATTCACAACTCGCTGTCCCGTCGAGTGGCCGCATTCCAAGCACTGGCACCACGTACGCAGATGCAGCAGGTGAAACTTGCTTCGCTTTCCATCTTGCCATCGCAACGTAATATACTCACGATGCTGCACGTCGACTCCTAGAAGCTACATCCACACAATAGTTAGCATTTCTTACCTTGTCATTATCAACAAGTACAGCCAAACTAACTTTATCCGCAATCAGCGGGTGCTCCACTTCCCTACAGATAGTGTTCACCCTGGAAAATTGACGCCACTGCAATGCACGAACTTTCCGCGGTACTGTAGCATGAAAGATTATTCAACCCACACGCGTAAACAAGCGTCTAGCCTCCGTCACCAGTATTGCTACATCAATTTAAGCGCACCTTGTTGTTTGTAGCTACATTGAAAGATCGGCAACATGGTCTGAGGTTGCAGTAAAGTAGCCGCAACAGCACGAGGAAGAGCTGGGGAGATATACCGCATCAGAGTCAATACAATGCAAAATGTAAAGTAACGTGAAATGTAACGGCTAACCGCTCTACAACTGTAAGGCGACGTACTAGAGCACAAATTTTGTGAAAGTATAAGGAATATTCTTAATGCGAGAAATTGACAATTGAGTAATATTCCAAAAATGCAAGGCAAGACAGATGGATTTCATAGTGGTACTATACGTAAACGCTATGTTAGACGTCATGAGCTTCTGGACGTATGCAGAAGAACAAGAAGCACAAGGATAATTCGTACATAAAATTGCAAAACAAACTGTACTTGTGGCGTGTATCGAAAGCTCACGAAAGATGGAAAAGCTACTGCGGCGGAGGGGGATCTGTTGGCTGTGGACTACTCGGTGCGCTTCTCACATGTTCATCACACGCAATCAAGCGGTTCAAAAACTCACAGACCTCATTGGTGTCACGAAGTGTAAACGAAGCGTCCGTCGACATGCTCTCCTCGGTAACTACAATGCCTACGCCCTTGCGATTGTAGTGCGTCTGAAAAAGTCGAAACGCGTCCTCGTCAGTAGTATCGTCACCGATATAAATAGTGTAGACGTCATCATGCTCGTCCAGCTCAAGCGTTTGTAAAAGCCACAACAGCGCCTTGCCTTTATTCCAGTCAATCTTAGGCTTAAACTCATAAACCATCTTGCCTTCGTTCAATCTGCATATGCAAACAAGTGGTACATGCAAGTCAGTTTGTGCTCACCATTTTATACAAAAGAATAAGCAGCATTCGTGGCTTACTTAATACGTGAATGCTTGTCCCGCATGTTGTACGCGAGGCTTGAAACCTGCGGCTGCACAGCTGGATCGACGTTTCTGCACGACAAATACAACAAGAGATTAGAAATTGCAGTCTAATCCTCAGCTAGTTGCGGCTCAACTTACCGATAGTGTAGTGACACCGAATATATGTTGTCTTCTACTTCAGCTCCTGTAATGTCTTTTATCTGCTCTTTCAGTTCATCACGAAGCCCATGCAGGTCTAATAGAAATTGTGCCGCCACTTGGTTCTTAATAGAGGTGCCGTCTGGACCTTCAATATCAAAGCCATGGCTACCGGCGTAATAAAGCTGCGGGATACTCACGAATTCCTGAATCTTGTGCAGCGACCTACCCGTAATCACTCCAGTAATAAACTTCTCGCGCAGCTTTTCTAGTGTGTCCTTCATCGTAGGCGATAACAGTGCCAATGCCGGGTCATTTACAATTGGCGTCAATGTGCCGTCATAGTCTAGGAAAACCACGAGACGGTGGTTTCGAAAGTGCGATTCCAGCTCACTGAAATTAGCCAGCGCATTTGCATTTGTTACGGACAGTCTGCGCGGACGTGCAAGCCCGTCATTCGTCGAAAGTAAATGCTCATTCACAGTAGTACTGGCAGTCGTTGGAACGGCCATTGCAGCAAGAGACATAATTGCAACTGATAACAGGTGGGCAATGTGCTAATGGAGCAGGAAGAGGTGGCGATTGGTTCATGGGTGACCTGGTCGCAGTCGTCAGCGAGAAGCTGTCCAACTGACTATTCGCCAAAATTATATTGACAAGACTTTTGTATGAACGAAAATAACGAGATGGGAAGCGACACGGATCGTTTATAACTGAAAAAAAGGATTTAATCCAACATCGTGTGCGGATTGACCAGCGTATTCTAGGATTGACACATTCGACTGGTGGTTCTTTCTAGACAATAACGTCAAGAAGGGAGATTAGTCTGCGATTAGTATGCGAGACGTCCGAGGATTATCAAGTCTTCTTCCAAAACATAATAACGAGGCTGTTGTAGTCGAGGAAAAGTTCGGGGCATTGTGATAGATGGAAGTAAAGTGCTCACCACTCGGAGACCACCAATCTACGTACAGAACAAGATTGTCAGTAAATCTATTCAAGCATTCATACATGCATGAGAGAAACACATTAATTACAAAAGTGGGGGCAATGGTGACGATGACAAGGTCAATAAAGCGTCGTTGTGTGGTTTGCTGAAGACATGACGTTAAGATAGCCGATCCGCCTTCGACCATGACGCTGTTTATCCCGTTCTGTCTCACTACGCCTGCAGAGAGAGTCATGAATTCATTAGATGTTGTATTCTCTTACAACAGACAAAGTCCTAGTCGTACAAAGGGCATCATGAAGATCGACGTAATTGCGACCAGCATCTCCAGACATAGTCTGACATTCTAAAACTGCAGCCCCCATCATCTCGAGAGCTTGCCTCCGGATTTGTATTTCTGCAGCATATACGGTGATGTCACTAATGCTTTCTAGACACACACCCAGCTACAGCACCCGTTTTTACCTGGATCCTGCGATCCGCGGCCATAAAGAATGATTGGCTTTTGGCACGTTGACAAGGTAAACAGTTTGAGAGATGTAGGGCAACGTAGATGCGTATCGACGATGATTGGTCGTGGACTGCAGCCTGTGGTTCTCGTCAAACACATCATGCCTTGTAAGAAAAACTCAATTGACTATGTGACCAAAACTACTACGTGCCTTCTACCAGCCGTGCATTCAACGACGGGTTGTCTGCGATCACAGTCCCAACACCAACCATAATTCCATCATGAAGTGTACGCAACATATGAGTCATTTTCATCGACGCAGGCCCGCTCAGTAGTGTCGGTTTGCCTATAACATCAGCTCGTCAGTCTAACGAGCACGTATCCTTTCAACGCACTTGCTTGTTGTTGCTGGGCACCTCTCTCAGCTGCTAAGGATCCATCAATGCTTTGTGCATAGGATAACGTCACAAAAGGCAAGATTTGCGGATCCGTTTGTGTAATTTTTGGATTCCACTCCTTCTGTGCCTCGCATACGTGGTGTCGCAGTTTCGATATCACTGCATCGATCATGGCGGTTTCTGCTGATTGACATGGAGCAGTATCAATACCGGTCGGTTTTTTTGACATCCAATCAAAAGAACGTAGACAATACCGGTACATTGTGATGAGAACGTAAGGCTCCAATTGCATTGATACATAGCCAAGATGGCTGCAATGCTTGTGCGTAACGCAATGCAGCACGCTGTGGCATTTATACAGCACAAGATGTTTCCAAACTTGCCGACGTCAGCTCTTATCGTAGCTCCGCTGACACTGAATAGCACCTCGTCTGCGCTGTCCTCTACCCCGCTGATTGATGCTATTTGGCACGCCGCCCCCAAGTCGAAGGTATGAGCTCTTTATGATTTTATATATTTACCAAGCAGTAATTGATTGATGCAAAACGAAAAGGTGTCAAAATGGCAGCTATTGCTACTGATTGAGGAAGGAAGAAGACTGAGCGCATGGTGTTTTGCTGTTGTTTTTCTTGCTAATGCTGTAGGTAACACCATCTCGCAAGCGGATTCGGAACAATCATCTAAGCAAGCGTCTCAAAAATATTGTACATTTTCAGAACTGTTCCTTGTGTGGTGAGAAGAAGCTACGTCACCGTTTATGCATGAGCTGTTTTAAGAAAGGCAAGTACTTTGTATAGACAGCGTCTTACAACTTGCTCCATATGACAGAGAGAAACAGTTTTGCCACTATTAAATGAGTGATGAATCTATTTGCATATGGCTACATTACTGGTGCTTTTCCTCTTGTCTTTTATATCAATCTTTTGATTTGCTAAAAATCACTCGTATACCTTATTCATTGGTCATTAATTCTCTCAGTCGAAAATTGAAGTATCAGCAGCAGATGGACGACGTCTCCATAGGACTAGAGATGGAGCACGAGAACGCTTCGTTCCTACAAATGTCAGCATCTACTACATCAGTAGTCGAAGAAGCGTCACCAACTAATAAATCAGTCTCAGCTTCACTTCCAGAACCAACGTTAAAATTACCAGCCACAGTGAATTTAGTGCAGCCAACGCCGACGCCAATCGCTACGCCACCAGTTGCACTTGCTACAAGCCCAGCCGACGATCATTTGCGTGTATCGTATCGGTGTAAAGCTACGAAATGTTTTCGTCTGAAATGGGAATCAGAGAGTGAGTGAGTGAATAGCGCAATGGCTCAGGAAGATTGTGTAACTTACATGAACAATATTGTTTCTTTCAGTGAACCCCCGATGCCATCGCCAGACTACAATCGTAATTCAGAATGATGTGTACATCTTTGATGGTTTCTATTTATTATGTCATAGCAATCCACCTGAGGTTCCAAGGGTAAGAGAATTATATTGACTGATACATTACTTACATACAGCCACTTTTGTGTGATGCAAACATGTTTAGTTCGAGTACTCGCGTGAAGGTGTCATGTGCAAAATTCACTTTATTCAAGAAGATTTGCCATCCTCCGTACGTGGGACGACAAGCGATGAAGCTGATGGCAACGGAGAGGCACACCGTTCCTTTTGCGACTCGCTGTTCTTGCTTCAGCGATACGTGTTCCAGCTACTATTGGGTATCCAACCATCTCACTTGTTTGGAAAAATCTTCACCGATCCAGATCATGCCACAGGTCATGTATCCGAGATATGTGGTGACTACCATTTGGTACCACGATTTATTGCCGTGAATGAAGAACCATTGCTTCATGTTGAAGACTTACATTCGCCCAATCGTGTGGGCTATGCGGTCGGACATTTGCTATCGGTGCAAAAGATATTGGAATATCTTGGAAACAGCGCCAAATTTACCGTGCGCGACTTCATTTTGCAATTCAACCACCGAGAGCTTGTTGACTGCATCGTTTCCACTCGCATCAACGGCCAACCAAGCGTTTTTCGTATTGACGAACTTCTCATGGAAGAAGCCCAAAAGACTGACAAGGGCAAGCTTGCTGTTACGAACCGTGGCGTTGTGACAAAAGACGGGCGCCATTGGGTGCTTGCGGTTGCTCACCACAGCCAAGGTGCCCGCAACTACGATGGTGCCAAGTCGATAAAAAAGGTTCGCAAGTGGCAGAAACAAGGGCAATTTTTACAGCTTTCACCTGAGGTTGAGCCACTTTACGAAGAGCTGCTACCGGCGGAATGTCATCTTACGGGTATTCGCACTGATCTTTTTGAGGTAGGTAGTGCAATGCCCATGGTGCTGAAGTATGTGCGTCACTTCGAGTTGCTTACGAGTTTTGAGAAAACGATGGGAATAAAATTCGATGACAAGGCACTACTACGACAAGCTTTTACCCACGGATCATATATTGACGTAGGCATGCAGAATGTCAACACAGTCGAGGCCACTCGATCGCGCGTCCGGCTTGGGCACGTGTTTGAGAATGTTGCCTCACTCAAAAGATCGCGCAAGGTATTACTTGATGGAGATTCACAAATACCTATCAAGGCATCAGGAAACGATGCCTCACAATTGCGGCAGGTCGCGGAAAAGCATTTGTCTGGCGAGTTCAGAGAGGAGTTTCACTCTCGGTATTTATGCCCATATGAACGCCTCGAATTTTTGGGAGACGCCGTGCTCGGCTTTCTTGTCGCATCATCAGCATTTTTGAAGTTGCCGAATGCCGGTGAGGGATTTCTTCATCAGACTCGCGTTGACATCGTGAATAATGGTAACCTTGGCAAAATGGCGAAAGCTGCTAACTTTGAATCGTTGCTGTTAAGCGCATTTGATCTAGCAAAATTGAATGAAGAGCTCAAAGCGAAAATTACGGCCGACTGCTTCGAAGCGCTTCTTGGTGCGCTTTACAAGGACCAGGGTATTGCACCGTGCCGTGCGCTGCTGGGTTCTCTTATGGATTTATACGACCCTGAGCTGCGCGAGTTATGCTATCTTTCAACCGAGGAGCTTATTAAAGAGTCACAAATTTATGTAGATAAAGACCGAAGTGCTATCAAGAAGTGGAGTAAGTATACGCAAACATTGCTGTTGCATCGCCGATTTGCCGCACGTTCTGGAGTGGACATCGCCAACACGCACTTGTGGCTGCAAGCTGTCACTCACGCATCATTTCAAAAGCCCCGCATTGATGAAGACGAATTTATCGGTCACGACCCAAGCTATGAGCGCATCGAGTTTCTTGGCGATGCTGTGCTGCAGCTGTTGTCATCCGAGTTCCTTGTTGATGCTTTTCCGTACCACCAGGAACACCTTCTCACGCAAGTGCGATCATCACTTGTGAAAAATACGAAGCTAGCAATCGTTGCGCGTAAGGCTGGATATGAAGAGTTTATTCGTTTGGGAAGTGAGGTCAAGAAGAGTGGGCAGTTGTATATTGAAGATGTGCTAGCTGATGTGTTTGAGGCTACTCTCGGCGCCGTATATCTGGAAAACCCGGGCGATCTACAAAAAGCTCGCTCGATTTTAGAACGTCTCCTCTTTCCGCGACTCACAGAGGCCATCCGACGTCGTCAGTGGATGAATCCGCGCAAGGTTTTTATGCATTACATTACTCAGTGGGGTTACTCAAGTACACGGCAGATTTCGTGTCAGTTTAAGAAGTTAAAAGTACCCAATACTGCCACTGAACCAGGCGTCTTCGTGCCCAAGGGCACTGACGACGATGCAACAAACGGAAACAGTAAAAGAAAAAAAGCTAAGGCAATTGAACCTTCTGGACACGCAGTGGCTCTCTACGTGAACAATTTTCAGATATCTCGTGCGGTTGGACGCACCATTGTCGCCGCTCAAGACGCAGCTTGCAAGAAAGCTTTAACGCTCTACGGCGTCAAGATTTACGACGATTAAGCGGAATGCCAGGACGGAAATTGCTCACACGAATAGCAAATGTCAAATGCATGACAAGGATGTTGACCTGATTATTAGAGTAATCAAAGGAGTTTCATTTCTTGCAATTGTATGCTGACAGCAAAGCTGGTGTGCTGTTTTACAAACTATCAGACTGACCATCTTGTCTAGCTTGTCGTCTCCTCCTGAGCCTTCGTAGCAGCAGTCGGCGGTGGTCCAGCAGGAAGTGGCGGTTTCTTTGGTGGAAGTGGAGGAGGCTTGGGTTTCAATGCACCTGGTGGTCCACGAAGCTTGCCTTCATTTTTCCCATCCCGGCGTTGCTGATTCTTCTTCTGTCCACCAAGCATTTTCATAGCTACAGGATCCTTCCTCCCGTAGTATCGGTCCTTAATGTTCTGCTGGGCCAATGGATCGTCCTTGTCACGTGGCATCTCATGCAGATATGGACACTCATCGCCTCGATTGCACTCTCCTCGTGCGTAGAACGAGCACAAGTGTGCACGATTACGCTTATAGTACGGTTCCTGACGTGCCAAACGTAGTAATGCACTACTTGCTACGCCTGACGCTTTGCCGTAAGCAGACACTACTCCTTCCTGTTCTAACATGCGACTATGCTGCTGTGAAAACCACTCACGGTTGGCGTCACTCTCAGGCACATTCACAGTCACTTGACCATCCCCTCCATCTTCTTTGGCCAAGAATGTATCACGAACTTGAACAGGCAAATGATATTGTAAGTCTAGTACACATGTTTGACATACATTCTTCATCCTAGCACATGTCTGACACACTTCTGTCTTCTTGTAACGTGCACGTTTGCCTGGTTTCCAGCGAAAGACCGTAAAAGGACGAGCACAGATTTTACACGCACTACCGTATGCTTCTTTCATCATACGTACGTATGGATTTTCACCTAAACAGCCTTCACATAATAGTGGAAATTCTTCCGACTCCCATGCCGTCTTCGTCACGTCCGCCTTAATCCCAAACCCACGTTCCCCCATGGGTTGTTTTTTTATGACTTATGAAAGGCACAAGTACTTGGTAAATAAACGTTTATGATTCGCTAAAAAACAAGCAAACACCACCAATGAGATTTCAAGTGAGTCCCATTTTCATAAAGTGAAGTAACGGTATGACTTCGTTCTTGCGGCGCTCGGGTGTCGTACGACTGGTTAATCACCGCCTGACGCAGCTCGAAGGCACAGACGCGTCGCGGTTTATTCAAGCAATACTGACCAATGACATGAAGCTTTTTTCACACCGTGGAGATGCGATATATGGTGGATTCCTAAACACCAAGGGGCGTGTGGTAGGTGACTGCAATGTCGTACAAGTCGGGAATGATGCGTTTTTGCTGGAGTACCATGAAGCAGTGGCTGAATCATTAATGAAGCACTTAAAGAGATACAAGCTGCGCATGAAGGTCAAGATTGAGGACAAGACAGACGCCTTTGCACTCTATGTCACGTTGCCCGCTTTGGTGGGCGAGGAGAACGTTGCATGCTGCTCATCGTCAGTTGAGGCACTAGATGAGATACAGGCGATGAACGTTGGAGACAATCATAATGCAGTCGTGTACGCTGATCCACGTGGAGATTGTTTTGGTATCCGGGCTATTCTTCCAACTGACGCAATTTGTAAGAAGAGAATTGGATAGATAGTCTGGTTTGCACCTTGCTAATTTATTTGCTGTGTTGGTTGTAGTTTATACACCAAAAGGCTACGAAACAATGGAGATGTCTGCATACTTTGACCACCGTATTGCTCTTGGAGTCGCGGAAGGGTGAGCAGTCGAATGCGCTGATAGTTTGGAACCTGCAGTACTAACTGTTTTTATGTGAAGCAAGGAGCTGGTCGATGGAATCCCACTCGAGTGCAACCTTGACTTGTTGCAAGGCATATCTTTTCGTAAAGGTTGCTATGTTGGCCAGGAGCTCACGGCTCGCACGCAATTCAAGGGCAATATCCGTAAGCGATTAGTGCCTGCTGCTCTAATTCCAGTCGGGCAAGAGGATGTAGTGAAGGACCTGTCAAACCTTGCATTCAAGTCGTTCAATGCGCCATCAAACAGAGCGCTGCGTGCCTACCTGGCCGGCTCAAAGGATTGGAAGAGTGTGAATACGCCTGATATCGGTGACAAGATTGTGACCGCCGGTGAAACAAAAGCAGTTGGAACAATATTTAGTGTTGGGCAGGACGTAAGCAGTGCCATTGTCATGATGCGTTTAGGTCATCTACATCAACCAGCATCTGAGAACGACAAGACTGTGCCGACCATAAAGTTCTCAACGCAGGATGGTGCCTTCCGTGTCATTCCATATCAACCTGCATGGTGGCCTCAATTGGATTATAAGACTGGAAAGATGCTGTTATAAGAATATAGAGTAGCAGTATTAGAAACTTCATTTCTAAAGGGTCGCTTTGTTTAGAAATGGTTGAATAAACCTATGCAAGTTTCAATATTTCCACCTACAATTACCTTTTTAATGGAATACTTTAGTAACTATTCCATCATAAAGGTCACTCTCTACATTGAATAATCATGTTGTTACTTTGGCATGAGGCATTAGGTACGGACGATGAACAGGCAACAGAAGACGAACTCTATGCACGCATTATATATTCATATGAAGACTCTCAAGATGCCAGAATGCTGTTGCAAAGTCTTCATTTTGTCCAAGGGTTGCTGGCGTTTGTACGAGCACTTGAACGCAGTAAAGACTTGACAGAAGGAGTAGCGACGACGGAGTGGACACCTCAATGGACAAGTGTCACGCTCACTAGACGACGATTCTTTATATTGGAAGTAGAACCACAAATTTTCATGGCATTGGTACGCAAGAATTGGTATTATATTCGAGGTGATTGCTGATTGTTGATAATGGAATTGCTGCTGTAGGGCATCCAGCCTATTGTTGAAATTGCACGAGTTCTTCCAGTTTTTTTACTTTTTGTGTATGTTGTTGGTGCTGTGTACTCACAATTTGATGTTGTTGCGACAGAAAGACCATCGAGCTGGATATGAAGCACTGCTTCGTGACATATACGGCATGTTTCGACTGTTTCATGGGACCATTGAGAGGTACATTACTAATCCATTCAACCTGACGTCATTGGACTTGGACTGACTCAGAATATGTGTATGATTGTTTCTGTAGTAATTTACGGCTGCTGCCCTCAGTTGATGGATCCAACGAGTCGGACATGACTTTCAAGAAGGATACAGATGGAATGGATCTCTTGATGAACATCGCTGCGGTGCGAAAACGATTGCGCAAGCTTCGACTTGCAATTGATTTGATCACTCATCACATGCCACGTGATGTCTACAACGACGGTAAAGAGTGTGATAATGAGATGGCGCAATTACAGGACGAGAAGCAGACAACAGAGGCAGAACTTCGGGCGTTGGTGGCACTATCTCCGGCTACAACACTGCAAAAGAAATGTTCTGAGTTTTTCCCCACGCTCCTTCAATCCCTGAATGTTCGCAGCGTTAGTGCGATGTCGGAGTTGCAAGGCCTTAGCTATTTTCCAATGGACCAGCTCACGTTTTTATCGTTGCAAACCTTCGTAAATGGCTTTCACACCGATATACGGTTATCTGAATCAGGTGTGGAAGTAGAACGCGTGGAGAATATGGCGCTGTTTTTCAAGGGCAATCTTTTGTGGAATTCTCTGGAAACCACGACGATGCATTTGCTCTACAAGTTCTTACAGCTTCGCGAAGAACGTGGTATGACCATGCTTCGTGGTGATGATGAACATGGTTGTGGTGATGTGAAGTCTGCTCTGACGCCATCAAATGATGCGGACGCCGAGCTGTGGATGACCAACCCTTACCAAGATACGTTTCTTCCTGTTTGGTCAAGCAAACTTTCCTACACAGAATGCGATGTGATTGCTCAGAGCAAAAATGGCCGCCCTCCTGTGCGTATGGCAGCTCGCTCGCTGCACAAGCAGCATCCAGCCTCGCTGTCAACGTTTCTATCTGAAGCTCTGCCTTCCTCTGGTGGTGGCAAACTCTTGGCTCCTGTCTTGACTCCACCGTCCAGTGTTGGTACTGAGCCATCACAATGTTGTCCGCCTCCGCATTCTCCTACCTCGCTGACTCGACATATAGGGGCACGCAGGAGTGAAACGAGCTCTGCTAACTTTCATGGTGCAGTTAAGAATCGTGCAAGGACCCCATCGTTTCGAAATGCTGGTCTGATGCTGCATAATGGCTGCTTTTCAAAGCTACTTCATCCAAATCGAGAAATACAATCAGGAAGAGGTTGGAGTGGAATTGAACGTGTGTGGAGTCCGCTTGTATATCCTCTTCATGGTGTATCTCCTTCCATTGCGACTGCCGCGCGCAAAGTGATGGCTGCAAGGCATCGAGTAGTCGTGTGGCACGAGGCAGATCTCACAATGATTCTTTTGCTCCATCTTAACGAAACCAAGCATGATTCAACTAGTGCAGCACCAACAAAGTTACAGGCGAGCACAATAGAGCGTCTAGAAGACTATCTGGAGGGTCAGCAACGATTCCAGACTCTAGCAAAATTCATTCTTACTCGATACAACGCCACATTTGCTTCTAAAAAAAAAGTACGTGTCTCTTAACTTTGCGATGAACATTACCAGTACTAACTTTGACTTTTTGATTTAGCATCCCAATCCTTCCTCCACTCCCTCCATTTTTGTACATTAATCGTATTAATCTTGCGTTCCGAATGCAGCATGTGCCAAGACTCTTGAAAAGCAAGGAGGACGACTTGTTCCCTGTACCAGGCAAATTGTTAGTGCACTACTTCCCAGCGTCTGCTACGAGTCTTATCAACAAGCTTCACGCGGAGCTGCACCAATCTTTTAGCACTGGTAATCGTGAAATCTGCGTTCGCACGCGTCATGCTGGCTGGGTGCTTGCCAAAAAGTCAGAGACATCGCATCGTGAGCTGTACGTCTTTATCGACAGCAAGATGGGCTCCACACTGTACGATCTTGCTGGTATGTCGAATCCAGTTATGTTTTGGTATTTTGTATCTGCTGACCTCATGTGTGCATGCATGTAGATTCACTCCAGATGCTGCTGGACGACCAATTTGGAAACGTCTTGTTTTAAAATCACCAATTTCGCGACGTTCAGTACAATATGCTTGCTCATTAGTATAATTAACATTACTCGATGGACAATAAAGGTGCCAAGTAGAACTACAGCACTGTGGTCACGTTACGAGATATCATGCACACGTATGGGGCTTTTATTACAGATGGTATAGTTGAAGTTGTCTCGCCATGTGTAACATAAGCAATAATGTTGCTCTATGATTATGTTGCACTATCTTGAGCGTTATGTTGCGTTATCTGGACAGTTTTGTTTTGTACGCGAAAGAAGCATGACGGACAAGCAGCTCGAAGAAGATCAAGCGCATCTCCGTGCTGCCATTGACAATGTTTCGACTGATGCATTGAAGGTATGAGGCTCTTTATATTCTATCAATGTACTGCTATGCTCACTACCGTTTGCTTTCCATTGAAACTGATCACAAATGCTGCTGCAACATGCCATAGATGCACATGTTGGCGGCGTTAAGCGCATTTGATACGTCCAGAAGCTCTACGATGTCAAGTTCATCCACTGATACAATGAAAAGGAAGAGTGAAAAGAGTGATGGAATTGTGGCAACGCTGAAAGAAAAGTCTGTGACGGTACAAAAGCCTCAAGACGCTCTTTTTTTGGCGGTTCATGCGCTGTTACTTGAAACTGGTATTGCAAGAGCTTTTGGTCGACGAACTTGTAGATACGAATACTGATATTTGTCTGTGTATAGGCTACAAACTGTTGGGGACACCAGGCTTAGAGTTTGTGTTGCCTGAGAACTGGGATGCTAATAGTGCGAACGGGTTGTTCAATGCACAATACGTTCACCCGACCGACGAATCGGTCAAGTTCTCACTCCAGGTTCCGGTTGATGTTTGGTACTTTTTTTGCTGTATGCTCGTTTGACGGATATTTTGCGTGCTTGAGTCAGGGTTTGTTTGTTGGAGCCAAGTTTGAAGTGTACATATCAGACGACAAGGATCAGACCCATTCGATTGAATTGAAGTAAGCTTGTGTAGTCGTAGAATCAGACACTTATAGCTTTCTGCTTTATGAATGACTGAGTGTGAGCTGGTTTGATTATAAAGTCTCGACAAGTTTGTCGACGTTAGTGAGACGACGCCTCCTATCGCGGCAGCAAGCGTGCTCCAGAATTTGAAGGCTTTGCGAGAGACATTTACGCCATTCGCTGAGAGTATTCAGCCCGGAAAGAAAAAAGGTACCACACGAGTAGCCAGCATGCCAGTGGTGTATCCACCGGATCGTGAAAACCGAGGAGATTATGGTGTTCCGTCTCCTGCTCGTATCCCGCCGGTGCGTTTTCATGATAGAGATAATATCACTTGCACTTATGGCATTACCCTTTTACCGATGTCGTGATCGTTACATGTAGGTTGGAGGGGGAGATGCATTTCCACCGGGCCTTGGAGGTGGCAATCCAGACATGTTGGTAGGACCTGACCACCCACTTTTTGGTCATCGTAGCGATCCGTCACAGGGTCCTGTTCCTGGCGCTCGTTTTGACCCGTTCGGTCCGCCTATTGATCCTTTCGGTCCTAGCGGATTTCATCGTCCTCCATCTCGTGGTCCAGCACCGAGAATGCCATTTGGAGGACCAGGACCCGATCACTTGCGCATACCTCGGGACGATGAAATGGACACTGACTCTGGTTTCAGCGGGCAGGGTAGCCGCGGTGGAGGTGGCTTACCGCAACCGTTTGGATCCAACCACTCTTTCTTCTAATTATGCAAGTGCTTTAACGTAACACTCATCTTGATGAGATAGTATCGAATTTACATGCCAAATACTAGCACACGCACCGTTTCAGCTCTCTCAAACTGTCCGAATCAAAATCTGTACATTTATCGAGCACAAATGACCCAATAATTGTTTTAATCGTATCACAATACATTCCAGATACAGATGGATCAGTGCGTGTTGTCCATCCCTGAGCTCGTATCGCGCATCATCGACACTTCACAATGCAGTAACATCGTCTGTATCAATCACATTAACTCTCTCATTCACTTGTGTCCAAACGCGTGCTCTTCCAAAAACGTTAAGTTACTTAAACAGTTGATGAACCATCTCCTGTCAGGACAATTGCAAGCAATTAATCATGACGATGCGTCTGAGCTTCATGCAGCCAAATGAAAACTACTTACGTGTTTAGTAAACGTTGTGGAAGGAAACTTGCTAGCTTCAGATGTATTTTTGCAGTTGGTTTTAAGCTTAATGTTGACGGATCGATTTGTATCCAGTGACGTATTGACTGCCATGACTCAATGGTTAATTCAACTCAATAGTAGCAAGAGTTTGTCTGCTTGCAATTTTCTGGATGTGGAGCTTACGGACAATGAGCTGGAAGGGACATACTTGGAACTTGTCAAGCATATGTACGTGACGTTGGGAAACTTTCGTCTGCGGCAGAGCCTTGCGGAAATGCTCGAGAAGCTCGTGGTTACTATAGAACATGCAAAGAAGGTTGTCAAGTCTGGAGTATTTCGTGTACTACTGCAAGTGGCCTTGGAGCAGCCAGATGATGTTATAAATGCTGCATTGCTGCAGAATTTTACTTTAGTGGGGACACGAGTTACGTCCTTGGTTTGTTGCAAAGCGGAGGCATTTTTATTAGTTCCGACGACAGCTAACGTAGAGGAAGAACAGGCGACGGTGGTTGATGCGAAGCAAAGAGATGTTTGCGAATTAGTTGTAACGTTGATGCTGAGTGGAAAGTCGCTTGTCTTTGTCGACGCTGTTCGTATGATGCAGCTCTTGATCGATAACGAGCTGTGCCGATCACTTCTACCGACGTTGCCTGACCTGCGTGGTGCTCTGGAAAAGGTGAAAACGTTAGTAAGACTGAAAAGCAGCAAACTCTTGCACGATGATTATGTGAAAGAGCTGTGCAAAGCGCAGTATGAACTTCTTTGTCCAGAAATTGATGCCTTCGAGCGCAAAAATGGCAGTGTTATTGGCTTGCTTTCAGACAAGGAAGTACTTCGAAGGAACGATGGTGCAGGAGATTATGGTCTGCAATTGGCAACGACTTACAAAACTCGCGGTAACGCATTTTTTTGCCGAGGAAACTACCCCACATCTTGCACGTTTTATCGACGTGGTATCGCTGTGCTCAGAGCAGCGCAGCTTGAAGTAGAAACTTCACTGCAATCTCTTTCTGTAAATGAAGTATTGACTCGCTGCACTATCGGGGCCAGCGTGCAGGTCTGTTCACCCCGAGGCGATAAGTGGCAAGATGCAGTGGTCTCTGATATTAATGAGAACGGCATGTCCAGCCAAGTTGAGGTGCTATACGATGCAGACATCCACGAAGACGAATGGGTTGCTATTTCTCGCATTTGATTGCGCATGAACACAGGGCTGTTGACTGCGTTTGATGATCTAGCGGTGGATTGTTCCATGAATATGGGGAAAGCTTTTTTTGCTTTAGGTGACCACGATCAAGCTGTTCAGTGCTTTACCGATGCGCTATCTCTTCGTGGCGGAAAGTCAATCTCAGCGCTGTACTCACGTGGAGTAGCGAATATGGCCCGTCGTGATCTCACAGCCGCGCAACAAGATCTCTGGAATGCTAATCAATATTGCATAATGCAGCAGAACAATAGCACTAGCGGTGGCACGAGCAAAACAAACGCCACAGATGCTGAGCAGAGCCGTGCTTTCCACAAAAAAATTGTGGCTGCTTACAAGAAGCTTCAGCAAATGCACGCAAACAAGAAGCGTCTGGATAAGAAGGTGATCAAACAAATGGTGAAATACTTGTCGACCATCCCTGGCCTACAAAACGAGTAAAGCAATGCCGTAGAAGTGGAACATATTTGTATTCATATTCGGTAGTTGTCATCGAATGTAGACCAGAACATGTGCAACGCGAAAACAGGAAGCTGAAGTGCCCGCATGTATCCCTTTGAACTCTAGGTGCAACGTCTTGGTTTGTTGCAAATTGACTCTATGCTGGACCAACACGAATACCCCTTGTGGACTGCTCGTAGACAGAGGCTTCTACAAGGATGCGTTGTGCCTTAGGATGCTCGATGAATAGCTGCAGCTCTGAAATGGCGCGTTCAACATGACCTTCTTCATTATTGAGGTACGCGTATTTCTCTGCAATGTTCTGGTAACGCCGCGTGATCTCTGTCATCTGCAATCAAAAATACGAATACACAAACGACATCAGAAATGCAAACACAATCTGCCATACACAGAAATCAATATATAAAAATCGTACCCTCGCTTTGGACGGCGTGCGGTAAAACGCTTCCTTCTGCTCGTCAATTTCAGCAAATACCTTATCCAAAAGATTCGTCTGTTGCTGCCCCATTGCATCGTCCTCATCACCACGCAGAAAGCGCGAGACGGACGTAGCAACTTTTCCAAGTCTACCAATGAGTTTAGTTGACATTTCCTTAGCTTTTTCCGATTGATCCACACTCAAAAACGGCAACAATTGCGTCGCCAATCCAGCAGCTCCAGAACCAGTTTGACCCCGTCCACGTTTATTCGAGTTCACTTCTCCAATCATGACGCGTAGATCCCTTACAATTTCGTCCGTGTATTGACTCAAGAATGTTCGACACGGCAATGATGTGTCCTTAAAAAATAACGTCAACGACTTGCCTCGCTGTGGAGTAATGCGGACAATGTCCTGCAATAAAATCAGATCTCCAACATACACATAGTCATCATCTTTCTGACCTGCTGCTTCCCTTGATGGTAGAAGTAGAGCAATTTTTCCTGTCTGTAACAACATTGGCGTCTGTCTCAACGTGGATGTGGTCGGGTCGATTTCTTGACATGGGTACACTGCTCCACGGACGTCTTTTTTGCGCATTTTCATGGTCTTTTTTCTTCTCAAGTGTCCATTTTTGTACCCATTCTGCTCGCACAAATTCTTGCCTCCTGTTGAAAGAAATTTGGTCGGCGCCGGGTCATCTTGCTGTACTAACTGAAAGAACTCATGCACTAGCATTGTCAATGTAGTGGATGGACTCCATTGGTTTAATAAAGGTAACTGGAGTATAAAAATGGGTTCTTTTTCGCCTGATTTGGGTAACTTTCGTTTCCGGAGTCCAGGTGGTAAATACATGGCACCATGACGAATTTCCACTTCAGGAGCTAAAAAGGGATATTGTACTTGACCTGCAGCTACTTGATCATCAAGAAAAGGCATACGAATGACCAAATGCGTCAACGGAATCAAGAAAAGCGCGTCCGAGCCATCAACAAATGGGACAAAACAATGGAATTCGCCTTCGCACAATCCACGGGTTTGTGATACATACGCGCGTCGCAATGTAGCACCACAAGGAAGTGCACCTGGTATACGGCACTTTTCTATCTCGCGATGTACACGAGTAGACCAAATATGCTGCTGCTGCTTTGAAGAAGAAGATGATGATGGGCGACGTCTCCATATTTGATACTCAATTTTGGTTCCTAATTGAAAAAAGGGAGAAATCATATTTGCGATCAATGATTGGTAGTAAATCAGATACTACGTTTTTTCATTGGTCAAAATGAAAAAAAAACAAAGGAAAAGGACACGATAGTCAGTCTTGTACTTACTTGCCTTCTACATTCCTCTTCCTCTTACTTGTCTTCCTCTACCTCAAAGCCCTTAAACAACGTTGTCTTGTCATTACGTAAATTATTGAGTTCATCAATAATAGACGCCAACAATTGATTCTTATCATCCATTTTCAATCGTCCATTGTTCATCATGGACAGTTTCATGATCTCAAGTGCTTCCTTATCTGGATGATCAGCTGGAATCTTTACTTCCATCTCGGGCAGCTTAATATCGTCAATATGACCTGTATGACCCATACGGGTAAAAGCTTCCTTTAGTATCTTTTCCAATTTTTCTCCACTTGGTGGTTCACTTGGAATATTCAGTAGATCCAAAAAAAGATCGGATGAGCCTGTTGTTGCAGGCCATGACTTGTCCTCCATCATAGCAGCAGGTTCCTCCCACTCACGGTGAAAGTTGTCACTGTATACATTGTCCGGATCAAATTCTCTGTATCCACGTTCACCTGTAGTCTCCATATACTCTTTATATGGATCATATAAATCACCCATTTCGTCATCATTAGTCCCTTTTGTCTCGAAATCCTCTGACGTGCGACGTCGCCGACCACGGAACGAGTCATCATCGTCATCAATGCGACGTGTTCGTATTGCAAAGCTTCGTATAATAGAGAGCGTTTGAAGCTGTGAAACATGTCGCGTAGCCTGCTTTGTAGCTGTCCGGACAAGTGCCAACACCATCATAAATTGAACGACGAGCGTTTGTCTTTGCCAGCCATCAGGACAACAGAAAATTGATGTGGCACACATCTGTTAGTGTGATGAACATAGTATTGATACAATTAATAAAGAATGTCATAATGGTCGTAGCATGATTATGTGGTGACGATCAATGGCACCATAGCGACCTCTTGCTGACCGTTTTACCCCATCTCTTTGATCACAAGTCGGCCAAAGGTACTGCTACTGTATTTGCTCATATTCATGGCATTATTGCTGCTTTCTGTGAGCAATAATGCCATGTTACGCAGCATCATATAACATGGGCCTTCACGCGCTCGGCAATAAAGGGTCAATGCAGTCCTTACAGCTGATTACGATGACTATTAGCTCCAATACATCATGTTGTCGCTTCAAAAGGATTGATGGCGCGCAGATTGACAGCCAAACTGATGACATTTATCTTGTTCCTGCACGAATACGCATTCCAGTATGGGAACGAGAAGTGATAAGGCTGCAATTGCCTGCACGCTCTCGTTAATCATATCGTGTGCACACCTGTACACAAAACTAGAACAAGCTGACCATAAGTGACGAAGAAACCATGCCAGCAGCTAAGCTTCCTGACAATTGAGGATTGATTCGAGTCGAGTCGAGACTCAATGTTTACGTTGAAGCATACTTTCTTTCTCTCATCGTTCACTTTACTCGTGTGTTTGTCTTTACGTGCAATTACGCCGTCATAAGCCGATCAAGTCGCCGCTGCTCTCGTGCCATTACCTCCTCACGGAAGTATGCAGCCAGAAACTTGTTGCTGCTTAAGAAGCTGCGGAAGGTTTCTCCACCGATTTCGACCACTTTCACGGGCTGTGTACATCGCACGCTTGAGTGACGAGTAAAAATCTTACTAGCTTGTGTTTGACCTGAAACGCCGAGCGGAAAGTAGTCTCCTGGATGCAGCTCTTCTACAACGATTCCTTCTTTTGCTTTTAGCACTTCTACCTGGCCATCCAGTAAGATAAATACCGAGTCGCACGGATCGCCTTCTTTGTAAATGAATTCACCGGTATCGAGAGACCGCATTTTCACCGACCCTTTCGCAGCTTCCACGCATCCAAGCAAGTGTTGTTGGACGTGGCGGTGCGCGGTTTTCTCAAGACGGTTATTAATGGACTCGTATGTTCCCTTTAGATTTAGAAAGTCATCTGCCACAAGCTGCAAGACTTTGCATGGTGTGTTGCTGCCTTTGGCGCATCGATAAGTGGCAATGCGAGGCAGGAAGCGTCCGTCAGGACGCACCAACTCGATCTCGCCAAAAAAGGTACCCTTTGGCAAACACCTGAGCTTCATTTCCTCGTACCCTGACGTTGTAGGTCGCGTTTGAATAAAACCTGGCCATGACGGGCTTGATGCCAGCCTGCCAGAGCTATCAGACTGTTTGCATGCCGACGTGCTTGGATTACGAGCGTCTTCATTTACCGTATTCCCGATTGACGAAGATTTCTTAATAGGGTTTTTGCAAGAGACTTCAACCTCACCATCCAGCAGCAAGTACACGTTGTGTGCTCCAGCATGTCCTTCGCGAATGATGGCTTCTCCAGGACGATAAGTAGCAGAACGCAGCGTAGAAATGGTCATTTTCACGTTATCATAATCGACAGCGTCTACAGATGACACGCTTTGCTCGGGGTCTCCACTTGCACCCACAAGCATCTCATTCAGCTCATTATCACTCATGTGTTTACCCAAACTCTCGCTCACACGCGCAAGATCGTTTTTCGAAATGAATCCTTTTCCTTCTTTGTCAAAGAAATGCAAAGTGGAAAGAAGCGCATTCGTTTTCTCGTTCAGCGCCTCAACGCTGGAACTAAGCCCCCAAGCAAAACTACGCTTCACACTTTCTAGCTCGTGATTGTCGTCCTCATCCAGATTCTCAGCCATTGCATCAATGAGAAGAACCGCTAGAATACTTGCGCGAAGGCGACGACGTCCGCGCTGAAATTTTTCCAGCAGCTCAGCAGAGTTTTTCATTGGTTCAGGGCTAACCTGGGATTGGTTACGCAACCATGGGTGCTGCATTGCCTGCTCCGCGCTTAAACGCTTGTTAGGATCAATTTCAAGCAGCTTCTGGATCAAATCACGGGCGGACGGCGAGATGAATTGCCACGCACGAGACTGCGTTCGATATTTCCCTTCAAGAATTCGTTTTCGGATCTACACAAGCAAACGCGATGAGTTGGCATAACTGCATTCATGCCACAACAAATCAGACACTTCTTACCTCTTCGTCAGGCAAGTTGTTATAGGTGTCGAAAGGATGGGAACCACACAGCAGGATGTACAAGACAATTCCCAGAGCAAACATGTCGGATTTAGGTCCAAATTTGATCGCGTCAGGGCCTGCTTGAGCATCATCTTCCTCATTACTATCGTCCAGCTGTACTGCTTCGCCTCTGGCTCTAGCTTTCCTTTGCTCATTCCTGGTATTTCTCCTATGAATGAGTGCACCATATTCTAGCGTCTCTGGTGCCGCATATGCCACTGTTCCCATCAAATGGGAGTCGTAGAAGAACCGCTCACCCATACGAAAGGATACACCAAAATCCACAAGACACATGCGACCTTCATGCAGCAAAATGTTCTCAGGCTTTATATCTCCATGCACAATTCCCTTGCGATGCAAGTATTGTAGCGCATCGCAAAGCTGACGAATCGTGTCACTCGCCTGTCGTTCAGAATAAGCTCCGTTGGCTACCAAATGGTCAAAAAGCTCTCCACCTTGAGCCAACTCCTGCACAATAAACCAGCAGTCCTCATTCTCGTACGTGCCTCTCAACTGCAAAATGTTTGGATGACGTCCAGCAACTCGAAGCACGTCTACTTCACTCCAAAACTCGCTGGCGGACGTCTCACTTTTACTCAGCATCTTGACAGCCACCAATTCCCCCGTACGTTTGTCCACACCTTTCTGCACTACACAGTAGCCCCCTTCACCTACTACCTCATCTAATATGTCGTAGCTATCGTGAATATTGCCTGGACGTCGTATTGTTGAAGCTATCGCACTCTCCATGGTCGCATCGAAATCCTGTTGTGACGAAACGTGAGCGAGCATTAAACCACCCATCGTGGCACCTAGAGCAGACAATTTACGCCACATTTTGGTAGCATGCTTTTCCCCATTGTTGCAAGTACTAGAAGCTGCTAAACCACGCTGATAACTACTTGGAACACTGTGAAATCGCTGTCTGAATATCATTGACGATGCTGATCCACGAGTGCATTCGGAGCTTCTGGAAAGCCCTAGACGTGATCGTTTGCCATTCCGAAAGCATTGACACAGCGTCAAGAGGACTCGTAGACGCAAAGACGGTTGAGGCATAAGCAGTGAAGAGATGGGTTTGGTAATGGTGTTGGGAACTAAGGAAGAGACCGAGAGAGAGAGAGAGAAAGGTCCTTCAATTCCGAAGGAAAATGCGTTTTGAATGAGATTTGATGCTGTCCAAACAGAGATAAAAGTCCTTTTAGACTGGTTTTATTAGGAGCACACCTCGGACTTTACTAACTAACTGGTAATGAATCTCCATACTATCTTTAATTCCTAAACACTTTCATCGTCATTGACTGCATGTGTCGTCGATCGATTCACGGCTGAAAGCATATGACCGACTACATTGTCACTTGATATTGCTAGTATTGTATGCCTCATGGATCATGAAAAAACGACACAATTGTGCGCCAATGTCATGGCGACGAACTTTCTCTTTCAGCATTCCTACTAGAACGTGAATGACGCTGCTTTCATGATTTCGGGTGGCATTTTGATGCAATCAATCAGTGAATAGCGTAACGGTTTGCCGTAATGAGTTTTTGGTTTTGTTAACGTTGCTTCCTATCGTGTCGAAATCTCATCGTTTTGGCAACCACAACAAACGCTTCCAGAACTCTTACTTCAGCTGGATGATACCGTCTCGCAGCAACTGCCTCATTGACCAACCCGTCGGACGATTGTGTCCGTCGTCTGAATGACGCCAAGACCAAAAGATCCATCCCGAGTGAGCCTTGTTGAAAGCTTCGAGTTGCGCCGATGCAAATTGTTTGAGTCCATAACGGTCTGCACTTGGAAAGGCGCATTCTTGAGCGCCTAAACTCCACTCGTCGATGAGTAGCCAATTTCCACTCCACGAGGATATCTGGTCGCCATAACGGCGGATAGCTTGCAGTACCTGATTGCGATTCTGACCTTCATAGCCCCAGAGAAAATACGGATGCCATTCGTGCCATACGTTAAAGTACTTTGGGTAGCGCATGAAGTCCTCCATAAATGGTGGACTCTGCTCCGTTAACAGTGGTGCCACGGTCAGCACACAATCGTTTCCAGTTGCACGGATCTCACTGTACGCACGTTCGTAGTAAGCTCGAAGTACGTGTTGTGCCGTCGGGACCTCAGGTTCATTGAGAAGACCAACGCCAAGGAAGGCTGGACAATAGCGATATCGCGAAGCCAGAAAATTGGCCAGGTATACCGTATTATCCACATTTTCCGGGTATTGTCCCCAATACTTGACTCCACAGTCGACTGCAGCGCTGTGATCACGGCCATTCTGAGAACCTTTAGCCGCGTGAATGTCCACAATTACTGCAATATCGTATTTCACACACCAATGGTTTACCAATTCATCCAAGTAACGAAGTGCGTGAGGAGCAAATACCGCCCACTCCTGCTTGTTAGGAAAGTCGGTCAGGTCAAAACCCATGATCCAGTAGCCTACAGGTACTCGCACAGTGTTGAGTCCAAACCGCTTCATTTCGGCAATATCAGACTCAGTGACCCAAGTTCGTCGGTGTTTATCAAATCGTCGGTCGCCTTCTTCATGGCCTAAAAACTTCATAGTCGCAAATTCCCCTTGGTTCTTGATCTCATCGGGCACGCCGTGCCATAAACACGAGTCCCATGTCATCCAGTGCTCAGCGACTAGCCATCCACCAAGGTTCGCACCACGACAAGGAATATCTCCACGACGTAGTCGAGCTTGGAGCGAGTCTGGCGCGACGCAGGTCATTTTAAAACGAATTGGTCAATTTTTCTATCACGTGATGAAATTCAAAGTGGGACCGTGCTCGTGGATTGTCAACTAAAGCGTGTTCTCACGGGCGTTGATTCTGGCTATGCATCGGCCTCAATAAGGCTCAAGATCAATCGTCAACGTTCTGTCAATTAGGATAGCATCAATGGTGTTCGCACAATATATTGCATGGTTGCAAGGTTGTGGTTTTAGCAAAGGTTTACGCTCGGGAGACGACACCCGAGTACATGACTTTAGGTGTGTTCAGAGGTGCTGTAGAGCGAAATTCTGAAGGATACGGAAATCAAGAACAGGCAGCACCCGAGGACAATGAAGCTTTGACAAATATAGGATACCGTCACGACGAAGCACGCGTATTTGACATCACCTTATCAAGAAAACGGTGATTGTACCTCAAGCTCGACAAAGGAATACCAGGCACCAGTGGATTGTTTGCGTTGATGTTTGACGTTGTTGCGCCTTCACCACATTTGAAGAAATTGAGCTTTATTGAGAAGTATCATCTTAAATAATAGCCTACAGTGAATATAAACAACAGATAATCTTCTCGAGAATCTTGAGCTCACTGAAGTTTGGCAACTGCGAAATCGCGTGATTGTTCGTTTATTCTTATACATTACTAGCATCATGACGGCATCATTGATGTGGCCACTCTGTAGGCCATGGACTTTAAGCTGTTCTCGACTCGAGACGTAATTACTTATCCGACTCAAGTATAGGATCCGATAGTTCTTAGTGACAGCTTTTCCACGAGCTGAACGCCTTTGTTAGAAAAGTTTTTAGCAGTGGTCAAATTACTACGCAGTTGAATAAGCTTGCAGACAATTGCGTTAGTTTGAGCAGCATAGTGTAACTATTTGCCACCACGACGGGTACTGAGAGCGAAAACTCATGCAGTGCCTATAGGAATGTAATGTTAGTCATTCTGTCGGACTGACAGCAATACACCCCAATTCTGACTTATCCCATGTGACCATCAAAACAGTATGAAGCTACTCATGATGAACAAAAGTGGGAGCTTCTATGGACAGGCTGCTAGGCGACGTCGCACACCGAATCGAACGGGCGCGTCACGGGGAAACCACAAACCAATCGTTACCGACTTAGCATTATCAGGTTACTATCCAATGGCGAATGTCCTCGCTACTTGCTCCATCTTTGCAAGCTTAGTCAGTCACAACATCTTCATTTTCGCTGTCATCATCTTCGCAGTCTTCTGCATCGAACACAACTAAGCGATTGGGTGGTAAGATGACGCACAAAACTCCTCGAGCTGCAGCCGAAATCACAGAAGTCACGTTTTTAGCGGACTGCGAGGAAGTTGAAGGCGAAGCAACGACTCGTCCTCGAGAATGGTCAAGATTAAAGGGTTGGATGACGCTTTGGGCAATGATCGCCTACAACCAGTATTGATACAAATGATAGTCAGTAAACACGATTTGGCTTGCGCAGACCACAAGTGCCACATCTCAAGTACCTCAAATGAGCCAGTTAACTTTGTATGCGAGAACTCAACGTTGTCGTACGACTGGAGATACAACCACTCTGCAGTACAGAAAATGAGGTGTTAGTGCTCAAAGACATTGTTCTCGCTGCTCTATAACATGTACCTTCGTGCACCTGACCATCAACAGTGTGATTCACTACGAATGCAAGCATTTGTTGCCTTTCCAATGACCTATCTCCGTAAAAGTCAAAGCTTTGGCAACGAATAATATCTGCAGAAGACCCTCCTGAAAAACTTATTACCGCAGCATCCCAAATCAAATTTAAGGGCGACTTGTGGCGAAGATGAGGATAATCCACACCTTGAGATGCACGCAGAAGCAATAGAACGCCCGAATGTAATCGAAAGCCGGCCATCATCGTATTGCATTCGGCCTGGTCATCCCTCATGCACCCGTAGTGGTTGAGGGAGTTCCAATCAATTGTCTCTTCACAGTTTTGCTCGTCATCACTCTGATCATCGTTTTTGGCAATTTCATCCAATCTCAGTTTGCTGAATGGCTGCCGAAAATGTAGGTGACATTCTTCTACAGTGTTACTGGCGTTACCAATCGTAAAGCCCCCACTCTTTTCACGCCTAGTTGCAAGCGCTAGTGTTTCTGCCATCGTGTCCAGTAAGACTAACCAATGATGTTGGATACACGTAACGCGGGCAGGGAATCCTACACCCAAATTTTCCGTATTGCCTTTTAATGGGATTGGCCGCGCTGCTAGCTGGAAAGACAACAAGTTCCCAAACGTTGTTTCGACTTTGTACACATTGTCACTTGATTGTTGCAGTCGGAAATGTTGAGCAGCTTTTGCAGCACGTTGTAAGAAATCACACAGGCGCCGCAAGTTTAGAAGAGATTTTGAGCCACTTGGATCTTTTACATCCCGACCACCATTTGCTGTAGCACTTGCTTCCCCTCTCGACCGATTTGAGTTTGTGTGAATACGGACACGTTCTAATATCCACTGAAAAAAGAGCGCAAAATCCTGGTGAGTCTCGTGTATGGCTAATATAAGTGCCTCCAATTCAACGAGGGCATCTTGTGTTGCCTGGACGAGGTCGTCAAGGGCACTAGTAGTGATTCCCAGAGTAGCTGCGTAATTTTCATTCCACCTAGCGTGGCCACGCAACTCGGACAAAAGAAACTGGACTTTAACTAAGGCAGGCTTCACTTTGCTTTCAGCCAGTACTGTAAGCGACTCACAACCACTGAATATGGCTTTCTGCATTCGATACACGCTCTAATTACCAACAGTCAAAATAATGAACGAAACTACGATTTCCACTCACAGCAAAAAGTTTTAGATACTTACCATCTCTTGAATGTCTTGAGCAAAATACTGAGCCAGTGCAGGCGGGGTGATACCCGTCACTAATACTGACAACATATCTTCTTGCGGCAAATCTTCGCATGCGTACTTTTCATAAAGTAGCCCGATTAGCCCCATCTTGAGCTCAAAGATGCGAGTTGCATTTTTCCATTCAGTGCTCACTTGTCGACTGTACAAAGCAATCTGATCAAACAGTGTGTTCACGCAATCGATTATGTTCGCCACAAGTGCCACATCTTCGAGAATGTCACAAACTGCCGTCATATCTAAGGCCAATATTCGATACAGCTTCGACTCTTTTTCATCTACTGCTTTACCCGCTTGGCCGCTGCCATCACCCATAAAGACGAGCACAACGGAAATAAACGATAAGTCTGGCGCAAAACTCACCTGCTCAACACGGAAGCCACCTGCTTCACCTCGTTGATGCCCCATCGAGTCTAATATCCGGAACTCATCGTCAGTAAAGTGTTTACTCACATCGATGCGGGTAAGAAGTACTCTGCCCATCCACCACAATGCAATAAAACCCCGTTCATCAGCAGTGACTAGTAGTGTATCAGGGTGCGCAGTTTTACAGTCATCCCCAAGAAACCTCGACGCTCGATGTTGAAACTTTACTTTTGACTGGGACATCGTGTCATGAGAGCTCCAGAAATTACCGACAGCTCCACAAACCTTCCGACGACGTCGTTTGGCTGTAGAATCACGATTCAAAGTCCCATCTCTAGTAGCCTGAGCCCAGTGCATAGCAGTGATGCAATGTTTATGGCAAAAGTTGCTGCGTCTTTGAGGCAAGATTTCTCCGGACTCGATTTCGAAAATTGCCACGTCTCCGTCGTCACACCCGACTGCGAGCTGCAGTCCATCCGGTCTCCAGGCCAACGTCATCATCTCAAAACTGACGTCTGATGGATTAATGTGTAGCAACTTTTGCCACGATGTTGTCCGCTATGAGAAAAAACCATTGGATTTGTTAGCAAACAGTTGCCAAGATTTCGTTTAGGTTTTAGCTCAGTAGCAGGGACGCACGTGAACTACGAGGTGATGTTCAAGGGTGAGTACTGCAATAAGGTCCATAGTAGGGCAACAAGCCACCGCTAAAGAGCTCACATAGCGGTCCTGCAGCGCGACGAAGGCGTGCTTTGAGGGCATCTGGAATTGACAACCTCTATTAACAATGAAGTGAGAGTGATGTGAGATACACAAACAGCCTCATTCAAAAAGTGTACCACGTCACATATTGCGTGGTGCCATCACAGATACGAGCTGTACATTTCAATTTTGACAATAATTTGGAAGTATGGAGTGGCTTGTATTCGCACACAAGCTTTACTATCACTTTTTGCCCCGCGTTATGTACAAATGTTAGAAAAGAAACCTTGGAATATAGCAACTACAGCAGGATGGTTCGTTTAAACTGTTGATGACTGATCGGAGTAACCGTTTGAGACGACTCTCGAGGCAGTGACGCTTTCAATTATTTTCAACAAATTAGCTATAAGTTTTATCTAAGGTACCAGGGTGTCGTTATAGGTTATGAGCCCACAGGACGTGGAAGAAACTACTGCTATCTAAATATACTACTCAATTTGCGATCTACGTGGCACGACTTTGTTACACTTATAAGGAGCTTGTATAAGTTCACCTATTTGTTGCGGAAAGGGGATACGCTTTGCCCCCCGTAGAAGACAGTCGTGAGGATAGACCCAAGTGTGAATAGATTCCCAGGATATATTTGGTCTGTGGGTTTGTCTGAGTAGCACCCTTGAATCGACCCGCTATCGAAAACGGTCTCCCTACCCTAGTGGCCCGGGAGCAAGTAAAGGCCAGGCGGTCAACACCTTTAGAAAAGGAAGTAAAAGGCCAGGGTGAGGAATCTGAAGAATTTGGTTATCAGCCACCCTCGACTTAGTCGACCGAGTGGCCACCTACTAGCCTACCGAGTGAAGTATATCCACTCGAGGCACTCCAAGATCGACCTCTTTCAAGGCAGACATCGCATCTCCACCAAGTCTTCTGAAGAGTGCAACCCGCCAGACGACGGGTACACAAGGTAAGAGAAGGTCCTTACGCGGCATCGGGTACCCCTCTGGCAGTCGGCAGTCCGGCACAGTGAGTGGCTTGGGGTCTTATTACGCAGTATTAAGAGCCCACTCCACCACACTTACAGTACAACGGACGACAGAAGTCCCAGAGCGGTCGCTAGTTGATTACATAGCAAAGTCGGCACCGGTAGAGATGAAAGCCATTCTGATCTAAAGGTGGACAACGACAAGATGGACTATGCGAAACACGCGGAGCTAGCAAGGTACGCCCAAAGCCACGCTGCGGACGTCGCAGTGAGATAACAAGGGCACAATTCGGTGTAAACAACGTTATTAATCCAACGGAGATAAGAAAGTGCCACATCTGCCGTAATCCGGCACATTTGCGAAAGAAACTTCCCAGAGTAGGAAGCTAAAAGTTCTTTTTAAGGAGAGAGGCAGTGAAAAGGATGGAGGAAATGAAAATTTTGTGGCGGCGGTGGACACTAATGATATCAAGATAGTGACGTGAAGGAATGAAATATTAAGCTCGACCTGGTGGTCGACGGTGGATCCAGTCGAAGTTTCGTGAAGTACACTTACGCATTGAAGAACGCTGTGGACGTTGATTATTTCTGTGTATTGGCAAATGAACTACAAACGAAGATGACTATGCGCGGAGATGTGGGTCTGTTGGTTACAATTGACGGAATGACAGATGAGGTGCGATTGACGAACGAATAATATGCATCTCAACAGCGCAAGAAAATTACGTCATACATCAAGCTTGAGAAAAGGGGGTACATCTTAAAGCATGATGGGCATGTTGCGCAACGTACTGACACGGCGCGAGTTGTTGCAGTATTTGAGAGGGGTGATATTATGGTAATTGATGCTGTCCCGATTGTTTTGAACATATGGTACAGGGTATTGGAAATGGTAGCAGAAAGCACGGATAATAATAAGATTCACGGTACTTTAATGAAATTTCATTTTCGACTACTCACCTGAACTACAAAGCGATTACGAAAATGGCACAAAACCCTGGATATGAGGTCGTTCTCAAAAATACTTCTCGGCCTAATTCTCTGACGTGCGCAAAAGAAAAGCAGACTAAGGGCTTCCAATTCAAGGCGGACAGCGGATACAATGCGCCGACAAATCTCATTGGTGGCGTAATATACAGTGATATCAAGGGGATTATAGCACTACCGCCAGGCGAGAAAATCGTTACATAATCAGCTTTGTTGCTCACAAGTCAAGCTATTGTCAACTTCTCATGTTTTAGTATGCCCACTGTGTGCAAAGACTTCTTCAGATAAAAATTTTGGCGCTCATCCATCGTCTCAGTGTTGCACACATGCTGCGTAGTGATTACAGTGCACTCCTTGCGTATATAAACCTTGTATCCCTTGGTCTTGTCAATCTTACCGCTATTAATCTACCTACCTGTGCATGTGCTTTAAGTGACTCCTTTCCAACATCTCGACGCACCGTGCAGGGGCTTCACGTCGACTACTCAAATGATCCTATTAAGAGTCCAGTCTACTCTTTTTCAGCCACTTCCGCGGCTGTCGGTTCGCCAGGGAGCCCGAGAAAACGCAATAATTCCTCGCAGGATCTTGCCCGGGAGGTCGTCTGTTATCTTCCGTCTCATGGAAGCGACCACATCGAAGGTATTCTGAGTTTCTACTAAGGCGATATAATTACCAAGACAAGCACGCCGATTTCTTCAGTACTCAAGTCCATGTCCTCCTGTGGTCTCTTTGCCTCCCTTGAAGAAGCTGTCCGATTGCATTGACACCCTTCGACAAATAGTACAGAGCATCCTTTTCAACCCTTCTGTTGTGTCTCTGATATGCCAACCGTGGACATATCTTTCGATGTCCATTATCACACAAAAAGCGTTTCAGGCCCAGGTGCAGGATTTACTACAAGGTCAACCAGGTATAGCCGGGCTACCTTAGCAAAGCTACTTATGCACTACGTGCAGAGAAAGATAAGCTCAAAGAACTGTATGCCTTAGGGTTCTTAACCCTGGGAAGGCTAGCTTTACAAGCTTATGCCTTTTGGTTGTATACAACCACGTCTCAAAGAGACCAGTATCAAAGATACACAACCTTTATACAAGGACTAATGCTTTAAAAACTAATGCTATTCAGAGCAGGTTTGAAACTGTTTTATTTTAATGTTTACTTCTAGCACTAAATATTGAAAAAGACCTACCCTATACTTAGTGATAGTCACTATTTAACTGGCTCTGTAACCTTTTTAGTATATGTAAACATACGTATTCATTATACTTAACCTAATTACTATGCGCACTTATCTCTGTGCCTTTAGGAACGGTCACATCAATCCCAAAGTATAGCCGCCACACCACAACAGTGTAGCAGGTGTGTACTTGATTCTGAAGCGTTACTTAATAGCTGAAAAAAATGATTTGAAAAAATATTACTACTGATCATCTTTTATTCCGCGTAGGCAGACTCTACTCCATTAGAAACGGTCGCGACCGACAGCTCAGGTATGTTTGAGGTTGCATTGCAAGATCAAATACACTTAAGGTGCGACATCACCTGTTTGGCTGATTCATGCGACAAGGACATCCGGCCACCACGTGGGTCCATCTAATGGCGATGAAGGGACCGCCATAGGGACTGCACCTTGTCAAGTTGTAGCACCGCCGGATTTGCACGTTGTTGTGGAGACGGAAGCAGCTAACACAGAATATTGTTTACCTTTACTTTCTACACCCTTTTCACACGTGCAGCAGATTCATCTAATATAAGTATCATATCACCGACTGATACGTCGAGGTCTGAGCTACACAGACTGCCAGCGACTTTGTATTGGCGACGCTTCACGCCTGTGTCTTGCGCTGGGCTGTATTCTCTGGCTACATGATATCATAACCTGTAGCGATAATATGTTGTTTAACACATTGGGTCCTTGATAAAGTTTAGAATTAACGTATTCTCAATCAACAACAGTGTCACTGCTTCCAAAGTCGGTAAAGGAGTTAAAGGACAGGACTATATCAAATCCGAATCAATTTGCGATCTACGTGGCGTGTATTCGTCGCACTTAAAAGTAACTTGTGATGTCTGTCCGCCTGTTTATGGAAAGGGATACACCTCAGAGAGTGCGGACTGCCAGCCGACGAATAAACAAGGTGAGAAAAGGTCCATACGCGCATTTGGGTACCCCCTCCGACATTGTGCAGTATCGAACAGTGAGTGGTTTGGGGTCTCATCACACAGTTTCAAGAACCCACTTCGTCACACATACACATGAGTTGCATCACTGCAAGATGCTATCCCAACATTGGCCGATCTGAAAATTTAGATGACACGGCAGCTGCACCGCTAAACCAAGCGCACACACTCAATCCCGATCCTTTTCTTGTATCCAAGATAAGCGAGAGATTGCGATACATGTGCAAGTGTTGAAAACCATCATTACCACTTTGACTATTGAAACTCCGACGAAGGTAGTGAACGTCAGAGCCTTCATATAAGGCCTCCAAGTTGGCTTTGCTAAAACGGAAGTCTTCCGGGTGTAGGGTTCAGTTTTGTCAAACTGATTTGAGGATACGGTTATAGTGTTATGGAATGATAAAACCAATTTAGAGCCTTAGGCCGGCAACTCATAGCTACTCGTCTGATGTGTCAATGAAGGTCAAAAACTACTTCGTTTACTGACTGCATTCCACCCTCTTGGGTCAATGCCAGTGCTTGCACCTCGTTGTTAATGTATACAACCGTCATTATCCACTTCACCCGACCCTCTTGGGCCAGTTTCTTGTCACTAAGTGCTTGCACCTCGTTTTCCTCAAAGACAACATCCGTTTGTGACTTCACACGACCCTTCAGGGTCAGCACCTCGTTATCCTCAACGACAACATCCATTGGTGACTTCACCCGACCATACAGGGTCATTACCTCGTCATTTATGTCACTTGGACCTTGTCCTGACATCTTGGCGTGCATCCACCAACACCACTCATATTGTTTAATGATGTAACATCATTCTCATGACACATGTCATATTTGTCATCTAGTGGGTTCTTAACCACACTACTGATAGCCCTTGGGTATTGCCCAGCAGGATTGTCCTCGACACACA